TAACAGTCTGACAACATAACGTATCAAAAACTAATTAACATTACTCAAATATAGTAGTAATTAAGGAGCACATAAATACCTTTTCAAAAGCGCTTTTCATGGAAGATCGAATGTAGTAATCCACACGATCACCGGAGTTGTCCACCACCTTAATATCACCTTTCACTCCTCCTCCCCTTTCTGTGATTGTAACATCTTCACCCAAGATCTTGGAAGAAGACAAGGCCAAAGGGAGAAGGTTCTCAATTTGGCCAACTGTTCCCCTCTGGAAATAATCATGGTAGCTCAACAATTTCTTTTCTGCCCACCCCTGCATAGAGCACAACACCGAAGACAAGATCTTCACATACAAAGCCTCCCTATCCGGCCTCTTGGCATTGTTCGCAACTTCAGCCAACATGGCATGTGCAGCACACAAAAGGTCAGGCTCAATCTGCGCGGTTGAGACGTATTGCTGAAACAAAACCCATGTAAAGCACACGTTGTGTATTGGCCTAGTGATCCCCAATGTCGACCATGTCTTCTTCATGAGCTCGAGGAGCTCATCGACTTCGTCGAGTACTAATGTCTCGTCTCTGATATCGAAGATTGAATAGAGAAGAGAAATATAGATGTGGATGTTGAGGGGGTAGCCATCAGCCCAATGACAAACATCTGTTGGAGTTCCGTTGGAGCTGCGCCATGATAAGGAGACAACAGAGTTGCAAAGGGTTCTCATGGTGTCTGAGTTCTTTCCAGTGTCTATGGCTTTGGTGTCAACCGATCTTATGATATCTCTAAGACGCATGGCGAATGTGTTGGACTTGTCTAGTGGGATTGAAGGGTGGAGGAGGAGGCCGGCTTCGAGGATCTTGAGTTGCCGCTTTTGCCAGAAATGGTACTCGTGGGGGTCGTTAAATTCGGAGGGCTTTAGGTGCCGAAGGAGCTCGAGTGGGAGGATTATGGTCTCTGCTCGCCTACCCATCTGCTCATTAAGAAGAGTAAAATTATTTGTACCATATTTACAGAGAGGGAAGTAAAGAATCACAATTGTAACGAAAGTGAGATTCACCATCTTCAATGTGCAATAATCAAGGCATTGTAAATTCCTACGACACATTTTATATCACTTTGTGTCTAAATTTTATATTTTATATTCATTAATTATCATGCAAACAAACACACCTGACTCACACATTGCACGTGTTTATATATACATATAGAAAATAGAAATGAATACGTACTTGGCCTACGAGGGTCCTCATGAGCGTCTTCCGGAGCCGATTATCGCTCCCTTCCGTGACCCTCATCTGCTGCCTCATGATCTCGGCCGACGTCATCGGCCGCCTCGGCCTCGATGGTGGCACGGTGAACGATATCCCGGGGGACCCACTACTATTCGATCCATTCGGAGAGGAGGGACTCGACCATCCACCATTTCCGGCGCCCGACACCATCCTCCTCGACGGCGACCGCTTGAGCATCTTCAGCCCAAGTGCCCGCTTCACACGGCTCGTCGGGGTCGTCACCACCCCATTGGGCTTCGACCCCGATCCGGACCCACCCCCATCCCCACCACCATTGTTGTTGCTAGTGCTATTATTGTTCTCGTGGTTAGAGTAGAAGACGAGGGCGTTTCGTCCTCCGAAGCCGGGGGCCGAACGACACGCGGTGAAAAAGATCTCGTACGCGGTCTCGCGTACGTCATCGCGGTCTATGCCCTCGAGCTTGCCAAAGGGCCAGATGAGGTCGGGGTCGGAGTCGTGGTAGTCGGGGCGGGGGGCGAGGAAGGAGCTGCATAGGGAGTCACGACGAGCGTGGTACTGGTGGCCTGGGCCCATGGCAGCTGCGGCGGCAGGCGACGAAAGGAGAGATGTAGCGGTCGGAGTCAAATATCCGGCGGGGGAGACAAAGCGGGCATTTCTCTCTTAAAAGAGGAGGAAAAAAAAAGAAAGGAGAGAGGATTTGAGAGGCGTGCGTATGTGTGAGATGATTTGGTTGGTTTTGTGTCGATTGGTTATGATTTATGACAGCGGTTTTGTGCGAGGAAAGAGAGGCGAGAGCCAAATACAGGAGAGAACCAAAACGCTGTTGTGCGAAGAAAACGAGGTGCAATGCGACATAGATAGCAAAGACGGTTCCGAATATTTCTGCTCCTTCTTAATTATTATTATGATTACTCTCTTAATTATTTCTTTAATTGTTTTTGTTTTTGCTAATCTTGGATTAGATTAATATTCGTCTTCATCAAACAAACAGATTGATCTTTTAAAGCTAGTTAGATTCTACTTACACTCCAGCTCATCTGGAGAATGATTTGATTTAGCTTCACACGTACTTGCCTTGGTGTACCAGAAATTTGTTGGTTTCCCTACATTATTATCCACTAATCTCTTTTTGGTAATTAAGAGCATTTTTTAAACTGTAACTTGTCTGTCTTTTCTGTTTACGTTTATGCGCTCTACTTGCCACGAAGGCTTGACGTAGTGGCTCTATCTACACCTCATGTTTACTATTTCTCTGTTTGGGGAATTTTGCACTACATGATTGTAACACTGTTGTGCAGTGTTACCCATCCATCCACTTATGTTATAAAATCAATAGGTACCCTAAAGTAAATATTCGTCATCCACTCATATTATAATATGTCGATGACTAAAACCACGTGGGTAGTTCTAACACAATGAGATAGAGCTTGCATATGGGGTAGCCAAAAAAAAAAGCATCAATAGGTATGGACGTTGGTGTCCACAAAAGGGGTTTGTATTGACAATTTTCGTACCCAATATACTGAAGTGCTAATGCAAATTTTCTTTTTGTACAAGCAATCTATACTACTCTAAGCGGGGACGGCCGCACTCCCTAACAGTTGTGGTACATAATGGTAAAATGATGAATGTGATTGATTGAGTAAAATAAAAAAGATAATCAAAATACAAAGATAAAATCGAAGTGTAAAATCTTACCTATATAGTTTTGGTTGAAACAGGGTTCATGGCTCAAAAGACGACTTGCCAATTACCATTGATCTGAGGCAAGAGAAGCCCAACCCAACTGGTCTTACAGTAAAAGATGCTTCCGACAAGGGGAGGCCCATCAACAACCGTTAAGGCCGCCTAAAGATATCCATATATACTCAGCCATGATAGCTTCTCTATATACATGCTTGATAGTCTAGTCATGAGACTGAAATTCCTAATAAGTCTCCAAATATCTTTTGCAAGTAATCGTAAGCTTAATGGCGGAGCCAGCTAAGGTCTAGGAGAGTCAGTTGACCCTTCTACCATGAGGGTTTGTTTTTTGGGTTAGTGATGATTTGTATAAGTGTCGACTGAAAACAATTATATTGAAGAAGCTTCCGAAGACAAAAATTGAAAATAAAAAACAACCATATCCGCGAGTTCTATGGCAAGATTACTAGTACACCACGTTTCTTTTATCCGAGAAACCCATGCCCACCGCAAACAATTAGTCATTAAATGATTGCCACACAAAGTATCAAAATTGATGATCAATGAAAACGAACTGCCTTGTTAAAAAGAAATAAGAGATTCAATTTTTTCTTTTCTATGCAAGAGATAGTTTAAATTACTTTGTAATATACGAAAGGGAAATCGAACTTGGGTGTAAGGGGTCGAATAGAATCCGGATCCTCTGATTGATTTAAGAACTCAAAAAGAATATGAAAACGTAGTTCTTGACCAAAAAATATATATATATATATATATATATGAACACGTAATATAACTAATCTACGTATTATAATATGAGTGTATAATTATTGATATTATGCTGTAAAAGTAAAAAATATCAACTATATTGTCCACATATTATAAAATATGGACTGATTATTCAACATGACTATATTTCAATATCACACAATAATGACTTAAGCTCATGACATATGAATCACGTCGTCCACACCAAGATTGTTGGATACCTAAATCAACAATATCATGTATATGTACTACCTAATAGTTACTAATAAATTGAGTATATATCCATGTATGCTATATTGCTATTGGAATAACTCTCTTTACAGTGTTTTTATATATTTTTTCTTATTGATCTAATAAAATTCTATCACTTTTTTATAATAATAATAAAAAAAATTGAGTTTATATTTTCTTCATTTCAAATTCAAACACATGCACGTATTTCACGGTGGCGGAAAATTAAACATCAAACTGTTTGACTGGGAAGGACGATTTGGATTGGAGATATGGTGTCTAATTGATGACCAAGTTTTGATGAAACTTGGCAACAACCAGGCAACCAAAAATGAGTGGATGGTAATACATAACTTAGAATCTTTATTGGCTCGTCACAATCCGTCAGAAGACAACTACCACTGTCCATGCTCCATGTTTTTGAAAATCATATAAAAAGCAAACTTTTGTGTTCCAGTAATTACTAAATTTAGAAACGAATTAATCAAGTAATTAATAAAATAGTCTCTTATACCTAACTAATTAATTATGTCACAATAATGTGATGAGTTCATTTTTCTCACAATTTGCTTGTCTTTTTTCATGTTTTTGCTTGGAAAATATTTTCAGTAATATAAATGGGCCATGTTCCTGGACCTTACTTGGCTTATCTATTTATGCAGAGAGAGAGAGAGAGAGAGAGAGAGAGAGAGGGTTTTAGTGGCCTTTTGGTTCCTTTTTCAGTGCTGCATTAGTTTCTCCTCCTCCAATCGAAGAGAAGAGAGAAGAAGGAAGAGGGTTTAGGGGAATGCCTGTTATGTTTCGAGGGTTTTAGGCTTTTGGATCTGCAAATTAAACCCCAACAACTTGGAAGTGCTTCAAACTTTGTGGTAAGTTTTAGAGCTTTAAATTTATCTGCATAAAGTATAACATGAAGTCTGCGTTTGAGGAAAAACAGTGAAGTTTTTGTGTGTTTGAGTAAGGTTAATGTGCCTGAATTTAGGCCTTCCATTCAACTTACTTTCCTTCAATTTCTTTTGCAGTTTTGATTCATTTGTTCTTGTTAAAAAATTTCAAATGCAGAGAGAAAAGATGAGAGTGGCAGTGATTGGTGCTGGGATTAGTGGTTTGGTTTCAGCTTATGTTCTTGCAAAAGAAGGGGCGGAGGTGGTGTTGTTTGAGAAAGATGACTACTTGGGCGGCCATGCCAGGACTGTCACATTTGATGGTGTTGATTTGGACCTTGGCTTTATGGTCTTCAATCGTGTAAGTAATTATTATCTCAATGTACCTTTGTTTATTTTTGCGAATAAAATATCATTTTTCTTTATTGGTACGAATGTTTGAGTTTCAATTCTCTCCTCCTTCAATATCATTGTGTAGGGAGAAAAAAAAAAAAAAAAAAAAAAAAAAAAAAAAAAAAAAGCATATGTAAACATATTTTAAGCATAGTTTAATTCATTATAAAAATAAATTTTAAAAACTAAAAAACTAAAACTTAACTTTTATCATTCTAAAAAAAAAACACTTAACTTTTATCAGGTTTAAGTTAGTTTGATTTGGTTAGTTTATATATATATATATATATTCTGTTTGGTTTATGTTTTACTATTTAAACTTGTTTTCTTTGTATAAATGATATTAGGGGAGGGTGGAATCGAACCTAAGACCTCAGGTTCATATATAAATGCTCTTAACCACTTGAATTACAAACTTCCTGCAATTTTACTATTCAAACTTTATACCTTGAAACTTTATTTTTTTTTTTAATAAACACCTGAATTTTTTACAAATATTATTTTAAAATTTCTTTACTAAAGCCTAATTAAATAGGAGCTGAAGTGACCCTACTTTAGTTTTTTTTTGTTTTTATTTTTTTGGGGTCAGAGAAAATGACCCTGCCTTAGCTATAAACTTCATAAAGGGCAAAAATGGAGCTGATAGAATTTTGTTTTTATTTTTCTAAATGGAGAAAAAAAGTGGGACTAGTGATGGGTTCCCATGCAAACGAAGGGTCCCCTATGTTGGGGGTAAAAATTGATATTTTGTTTTTTCCAAAATTTCTTTTTATGGATATTAGCTCTTATTTTCTTGTTTTAATTATTTTGTATTTTATTACACTATTGTTTTACTTATTTGTCTCTTTAAAATAAAATTGTTGTGATTTAAATAACAGTAATTTTGAGTAATATTGCAAACTTAATGGTCTTTTACTATTAATATGTAAAGATTTTTTTTTTTGGGACAGAATAAATATGTAAAGATTATGTATATATCTATATATATTACCCCTGCATGTGCCAATTGTTGTTTTTTTTTTTTTTTTTTTTTTTTTTTTTTATAAATTAAGAAAATATAATATGGGTAGTTATGTTCCATAAAAATAAAACCTATTATCTGATTTTGTTTTAATTTTTAATTTTTTTAATATGAAAAAAATATGAATTTACCATATTATCCTCATTTAATTAATAATTTCAAGGACACTTTATGGTATTTTGAATGTTTTATACAAAGTAAAAGGTAGAGAATGGTAAAACATTCAAAATACCAGAAAATGCCATTGGTATTAGCAAACATTAAGAATTGAAATTATTAATTAAATGAGGATAATATGAAAAATTCACACTTTTTCATATTAAAAAAATTAAAATTAAAAGAAAAATCAGATAATAGATTTTATTTTTATAAAACACAACCACCCATTATCTTTTTTAATTCTAAAATTAAATTAAATTATAAATAAATAAAAAGCTTTTTGCAGACCAAAATGCATGCGGAGAGCCCAGTAACAATTACGGCACAAGGTTTGATGAGAGAGAGAGTGAGAGAGAGGGGTGATGAAAACGTGTAAGGACCTATATATATTTATTGGACCCAACCATGGCAACGTCCAATCTTAAATAAAGGTGTCAGGTTTTCATGATATTTTCTTTGATAAAATGCCTCAGAGAAGGATAAAGTAGGGCAAGGGGGCAAAGGAATGGCCGAGACTTGGGCTGCATTAGGCCAACCTTTACAGGTGGTTGTTAGGCTCCATTAGCCAGTGCATGGTAGGCCAAATTTTACAGGTTCTTGCCTCCATGAAGGAAAATTTCTGGATTCACCAATTGGTAAATAAATAAATGGATATGAGACCGACTATTCCCCTTAATCAAATATTGAAATAATATGAAACCCACTTAATTTTTTGATTCCTTATATGTCAATAAACATGGAAAAAAACTAAGAGATTAGAATAATTGAATAATTACAATACTCATTTTACTCGTGAACATTCTAATTATGAATTAATGTGGCCTTTTTTTTGTGCATTTTATGTCCTTTCGGTTGACTAAGGACTACCATTAGTGAGTTAGGTAAGGGGCTCACTCCTCCTTAGTCACCTAACTCACGTATTCAGTGTAGGTTTTTCTCAACAGATATGAACGTAAATGAATGAATTTTTACATCTAAACAATAGTCACACAAAGCTGTACTAACAAAATAAATGTGGTCTCTACTTTTAATTTGATGCTGACAAATAGAGGTGTACAATGCTGACACCCGTTTCATTTATATTAAGTTTTAAAAAAAATTGTATTTAGCTAAAAAAATATATTTTGGTTAGTTAATCTTAGGATTTAATCATATAATTTTTTTTAATTAAGTTTTAAAAATAAATAAAGAACCTCTCTCTCACTTATTTAAGTTCTGATTTAGATGTTGAGGTTTGATCAATCCAAAACTAATTGATAATGGTAGGGAGTTCCAAGAGTTTAAGTTTTGTAATGCAAGACTTGGAATTTTCGATGTCGAATTTGTATACTCTAGCAAGAAAAAATAAATAAATTGATGGTTTGAATATTGGACAGGTAACCTATCCAAATATGATGGAGTTGTTTGAGAGACTTGGGGTAGATATGGAGACATCTGATATGTCCTTCTCAGCGAGCTTAGACAAAGGGCAAGGCTGTGAATGGGGCAGTCGAAATGGCTTGTCAAGCTTGTTTGCACAAAAGAGGAACTTGTTCAATCCATACTTTTGGCAAATGCTTCGAGAAATCACCAAGTTTAAACATGATGCAATCAAGTAAGTAACTTAAGTGATCATCCTGCGCATTATGTATTAAATTTGCAGAAATAAATTTGTACTTTTTATGGTATCGTGAATTTAGACTACACATTCAGACAAAAGTCAATCTCATTAATAATCTAGATTCACGTAGAGTCGGATATAAACTTTTTGGAAAAATTCTTCGATATACACTCATATTATAAGACGTATATTTATTATTAATGTTATTATTACATACTAAGTCCATGACATATCAACCATGTCGCTCACGCATATTATAACGAAATGAAATGGTACTAGAGTCGGGCATCTAAAAATGTTGGGTTTATTGCAGTTATATATCTTAGTGATGCAACATATGTGTATATTTCTATTTTATTTCCTGTTCCAGTTACCTTGAGGAGCTCGAGAACAACCCGGACATTGATCGCAATGAAACCTTGGGGCAGTTTATCAAGTCACGAGGCTACTCTGAATTATTTCAGAAGGCTTATCTTGTGAGATCACCGAACCATTAATTTCTGTAACATCTTTAGTTGGAGCTTTTCAAGTCACCTGTTTCCAGTTAAGTTAATCCGTTCCTTGGTGGAAAATATTCTGCAGGTTCCAGTATGTGGTTCAATCTGGTCTTGCCCTTCAGAAGGGGTTATGAGCTTCTCAGCCTTCTCTGTTCTCTCATTTTGTCGAAACCATCATCTACTTCAGGTACATTGTTTTTGTTCTCCTTTTAGCTTACCTTAAAAGCCTTTGTATGTCAACGGGTCTAGCCCAGTGGAAAAAAGCATTGACTTGCAGACTAGTGATCTCAGGTTCGAACCCCTATGACACCTTGGTTGGTAGTATGCATGTGCGAAACCCCCTCTCCTTGTAGTTTAGACTATCGCGTGTATTAAAAAAAGAAACCTTTATATTAAATTATGCTTTCCCAATTTGTATGCCTTGAGAGTTTTCATGCCTATAGGTACTTACATTCTTGCCTTGGCCTGGTTTGGTTTTGCAGCTATTTGGCCGCCCACAGTGGCTTACTGTCAGATGGCGTTCACATTGTTATGTCAAGAAGGTCTTAATTTTGTTGCTGAATCACCCAATATTGCTTGCCTCATTTTTGAAGTAAATGTTCCCTGTGGCTGATGTTTGGTTAACATTTCAGGTCAGAGAAGTGCTGGAAAGTAAAGGGTGTCAGATAAAAAACTAGCTCTGAGGTACATAGGGTTTCCACAACTGATGAGGGTGAGTAATTAATTTTCTTTCCATTTCTTGATTTGCTATTGTATGAATTCCTGTAGGATTATAATAAAACATTCTTGGTTCAGTTTGCTATTATATTGAGTGGATTTTATGAGCTATGCCTGATAAGTTTGGTTTTATATGAAACTAACCTTGCATTACATCTACCAGAACTATAACCTCATTGTATTAACAGAGTTTATATGAGAGAGAGCAGGTTGCAGTATACTCTCTGGTGATGGTTTGGAGGAAATATACGATGGCTGCATAATGGCTGTCCACGCCCCAGATGCCGTGAGAATACTAGGAGACCAGGCAACATCAGATGAGTTGAGAGTACTTGGTGCTTTCCAATATGTATACAGGTATACTTTCCTTTTCCTCATTGAATTATCATTTGCATTGACAATTACGTTCAATTTTCATTTCAGTTTTTTCCCAAAGTGACCATTTTCTTTCTTCATATTTATTCAGTAAGTATCATTTTGATTGGAAGATGGTAATTGTTGCTCCTCAGAGCTTAGGACTAGGACACTTGAAGTGTACTCAGAATATGATCAATTTGTAATAGTGTACTTGTTCATGTGCTTTCTCTGCCTTTTTTTGGTTTGGGAAAAATGGGTTATATGCTGAAGTTGATTTGGCTTTGGCCTGTGATCTCCTATAGCTAATTCATTCAATGCACAATCATTGTTCAACTCTCTATTGGCAGTGATATTTTCCTGCATCGTGACAAAACTTTAATGCCCCAAAACCCAGCAGCGTGGAGTGCATGGAATTTTCTCGGAAGTAATGGCAACAAAGTATGCTTGACATACTGGCTCAATGTGCTTCAGGTAAATAGTGTGTTCAACTTATGAGAAATAAAGTTCATATTAGTTCTCAACATCAAATGAAAGATTAAAAACATGGACTTTGATCCAATAGGTTTGATGTTTGGCCTCATTTTGTTAAGAGAAGTAGAAAGTTGAGGAACTCCTAGAATTTTTTCCCTTCGCTGTTAAATGATTTAACCATTCCCTGGAATTTCTGAATGTGCAGAACATTGATGAAAAAGGTCTACCATTTCTTGTGACTCTAAACCCAGATCATACACCAGAACATACCTTGCTTAAGTGGTCAACAAGCCATCCAGTCCCATCTGTTGCTGCGTCGAAAGCTTCTGTTGAGCTTCATCGCATTCAAGGAAAGAGAGGAATTTGGTTTTGTGGAGCATACCAGGGTGAGGTTTACTCTCCGGTGGCCAGAATTATGTTTAGCTCTATCTTGCATTAAAGAGATGATTATGACATTTTCATCGCTCAGAGCTGATCTTTTTGTGTGTTGTAAAATCAGCTGAGTGTATGTTATATTTTTCTTTTTCAGGTTATGGCTTCCATGAGGATGGACTAAAGGTATGACATGATGGAATAAGTAATTAAAGATCATTTTGTTGTATAACCAATTCAAATATGTTACATGGTAAGATATGAAAGAAAGATTGACATCCTAGGTCATTTTATTCATTTTCGGCTGAGCGATACAATGCTGACTATATAAAAGCCCCAGCCATTTGGAAGAAGGGCTGCCAAACCTATGTTTTCTGCAAGGTCTCTTCGAGATTATATCAAATTAGTGGAATTCAGCTTAACAGTGAAGTGTTCTACTTTGCAGGCTGGAATGGCTGCAGCACACGGTATTCTTGGAAAAGGATGTTCCCTCTTGAGCAACCCAAAACACATGGTTCCGTCACTGACAGAAACAGGGGCACGCCTTTTTGTTACTAGGTTTCTTAGACATTATATATCTACTGGATGTTTAATGTGAGTAATACTAAAAGGCTAATATTCTAGACTTTCTTCACTATAAAGCTCAAGCTAAATCATATAAATCACAAGCTTGTAGTTACTGATCTGCATTCCATGTGCCAATTATCTCATTCAACTCTTCTTAACATAAGAATGAGATATATATGCATCCCCACTACATACTCCTTTAATTTTCTTTCATCATGTGGAATAATTTTTTTTATTTTACGGAGATTATTAATACATTGTGCCTTCTCCTCCTATAGTTTATTAGAGGAAGGAGGTACAATTTTCAACTTTGAGGGAACCAGAAAAGGGTGTTCTCTAAAATGCGTTCTTAGAGTTCATACTCCTCAGTTTTACTGGAAGGTATGCATTCTTATTTTGATTATAACACTTTTTTTTAATGGGAATTATAAACTACATGGTGTTGAAGTTAAAAGGAAAAGTTCTAAATCACTTCCACTCATAAGTAATAGAATGCATTTGTCAGGTAATGACACAGGCTGATTTAGGCCTTGCAGATGCCTATATCAACGGGGATTTTTCTTTCATTGATAAAGACAAAGGCCTTCTAAATCTTTTTATGGTAAGATAATTGATCGGTGTCCAGTGCAAAATCATTTGGTTACTTTGCCGATTCACATAAGTTATCATCTTGCTGATTCATTTTCCAGATTCTCATTGCCAACAGAGATTCAAATTCTTCTGACTCAAAATTGAACAAGAAAAGGTTTGATGACACTTGGTTACCAGCTTAAACTTGAATTATGATATAGCTAGTAGTCATCAGAATCTCACTGAGCTCAGGACTCAAATTTGTTTGCTATAGGGGATGGTGGACGCCATTGTTATTCACAGCTAGTATAGCCTCAGCAAAGTACTTCTTTCAGCATGTTTCAAGGCAAAATACTCTCACACAGGCGCGCAGGAACATCTCTCGTCATTATGATCTGGTACACAATTTATGACCTGGATTTAGTTTTCACAGAGATTTAGTTTGTTTTCATTTAAGGTACTGAATTCAATTAGCATCAGGCATGCACAAGCTGATTATTACCTTTTTGTGTGTTGCAGAGTAATGATCTATTTTCGCAGTTCTTGGATGAAACAATGACATATTCCAGTGCTGTATTTAAGGTCAGAATCATCAGTTTCCATCAAGTTTACAGTAAACCTAGCATGAAAAAAGGTGTATTGTTTAATTTATATTTTTGTTTCTGTATTGAATTATTTTATAGACTGAAGATGAAGATTTAAAGACTGCACAGCTAAGGAAAATCTCTCTTCTCATTGAAAAGGTGAGTCTTTTATGTAAGAATTGTGAGCTTTCGATATCCTTTTCTGTGCACTATTCCAATCTGTTTTTCCTTTGAATTAATCTAGTCTAGAATTGAGAAGAACCATGAAGTTCTAGAGATCGGATGCGGTTGGGGAAGCTTAGCTATTGAAGTTGTCAAACAAACTGGTTGTAAATACACTGGCATCACTCTGTCTGAGGAACAACTCAAATATGCACAAAAGAAAGTGAAAGATGCTGGCCTTCAGGTATCAAATTTTGCAAATTCCATGCTTATATATAAGCACATGCACATGCTGCTAGATGCATGTCAAGGCTTGAGGCTTACTTAGAAAAGCCTTTCATGCATAATTTCAACTAAATTTCTTCCAGGACCGCATCAGATTTCTTCTGTGCGACTATAGGCAACTTTCTAACTACAAATATGACAGAATTATATCTTGGTGAGTACTGATCCCACCAAATTTAATTCATTAATAATATTCCTCGAAAATACCTTGACCTGCGGTGGAATTTTTCAGCGAGATGCTTGAAAGTGTGGGGCATGAATTTATGGACGAATTTTTTGCTTGCTGTGAATCTGTGCTAACAGATAATGGCCTTCTTGTTTTACAGGTAACATCCCATATAATGTTGTCCCAGGGTAGAACTAGAACTAGTAAATATAGTTGTTCGACTATTTTGATTAAAAAATAAACTCCTATAAACGGTAGCATCCAACATCTTGCTAATAGTTAAGGGCTATTGATCTTGCTTCAGTTCATATCAATACCGGATGAACGTTACGATGAGTACAGACGAAGTTCAGACTTCATAAAGGAATATATTTTTCCTGGTGGATGTCTACCTTCATTAAGTAGGGTAACATCAGCAATGGCTGCTTCTTCCAGACTCTGGTATGATCTGTTATCATGACAACAATTTCATGGTTAGGTTTAACTTCCTTGTACGTATTTTTATTCGACTTTCGGGAATTCCATTACTGCAGTGTGGAGCACTTGGAAAACATTGGAATCCATTACTACCAGACACTGAGATGTTGGAGAAAAAATTTCTTGGAGAGACATAGGTAAGAAGAAAATCATGCGAACTGCAATAATCCTCCCCAAAGAAACATAAACTTATCATTGCTGCTTGTTGCTCTCTGTGCTCTTCTTTTGCTGCAAAATGCATTTACTGAATTTATTCTCTAATAAAAATTGTTTTTAGACATATACGTAAATATGTACATATGTAACTGAAGTTTGGGATTTTAACGTTGGCACAATGGCTTGGATGTTTGTAGTGAAATACTGGCTCTTGGGTTCAATGAGAATTTCATCCGGACATGGGAATATTATTTTGATTACTGTGCTGCTGGTTTTAAGACATATACGCTTGGAAATTACCAGGTACACATTACATATATGTTCCTGCAATTTTCAGATATTTTAAGCTTTTTGGATCCACAACTAAAGAGTTGCAAACTGTTCGTGTGTGATGTAGATTGTGTTTTCGCGTCCTGGCAACACTCCGGCCTTCACCGACCCATACAAAGGCTTCCCTTCAGCTTCAGCATATTGATTGTTCTGTTATATGATCAGGCTTCACAATTCAGCATAGTATTATTCTGTCGGATAGTATTATTTTGACTAAAATCTGCCGGATAGTATTATTTTGTTCCGGAGAGTATTGACTGTTTATCCATAATATTATAAGGCGTTTGGTGCTATTACAAATAAATAATATGATTAAACTATACTGTGTTTGGTGCTGTTCCAGATAACATCGGATCCTATTTTTTTACAAAAAATTCTTTGATAATTTAAGTGGAAATTGAAATTGAAATGACATGAATTTTATTTATTTATTTATTTTTTATAAGATTCATATGACAAGATTTTTTTTATTTTTTTTTCATATAACCAGAAAACAAACCAACAAGCACCAAAAGTAGAAGAAAAAAAAATACAAGAAGAAAAATATAGCCGCATGTATTGTTCTAATCGTTGATTTGGGATGATAATTTGATTATTGAGTTGGATACACAGCCGCATGTATTGTTCCAATACATCAAGAAAAAAAGTCAAAAAAGAAAAACTCATAACCTAATTTCTACAAAAATTTAATAAAAAAGGAAATATATAAAGAAAGAGAAGATGAAGAGAGAAGAAGCACGTTAGAGAGAGAGAGAGAGACAGAAGAGAATAACCTTGGAGAAGAAGATGAAAATAGTGTTGTTGGATTTTTCACATAAACATGTGTGTTCTTTTCCCTAGCTGTATAATTAAGTATGTATTATCTAAACCGGGATGTGTGAGTTGTATTAATTAGCCGAATAAAGAGCGTATAAAAGTCCAACCCGTTTAAAATAATCAAGTAATTAAATAATACAATTTGACCCCAAACACCTGACATGGACTATTTACTCCCATTCAAAGTCTAATACGGTGTACCAAACGAGAGTACTGCCGAATTTCTGTTCATTTTTTTCTTCTTTTATTGTATGCAGTTATTTTATCATCTGTGTTTTGGATCGAACAAGCTTCCGTGAAAAGCTGCCTGTCTTCTTCATCTACTACTTTTTTTAAAATTAAAAAAAAATTAAAAAACCAGAAGACACAAAAGTAATATTTTTTTATCATTTAGCTTTCTGTTGATGCTGAACAGCAAAATGTTGCCACTAGGTTTAGACCTTGCAACAAAGCCTACTTGACACATGAGCGAGTATAGCCTAGTAGCCCACTCCACTGAGGCAGATCATAAAATGTAACATAACACAAGATTGGTTTATTTTCCACAAATCGTATCTGGCATAAAACTGTACAGAACAAAATGCCAACGTCTAGCACAATCAGTGACCGTCTAACATCGGCCATTGAAATTTAGACATACCAAGTTTTGCAGAATGCAGAGACCATGTTTTAAACATACCGGGTTTTCCATACCAGGGTAACCCATTTTACACCATTTCATCTCTAATATGCTTTACATAATCCAAATTGCGGGAGAGGGGTAGAAGATGCCAATAAGTTATAGCCAAGGAAGGCTCAAAACAACAATGCATGTATGTATGCTTAAGTTGCTAAGCAAATGCATCACTAGGCATTTCAAAACAGATCATCGTCTAGTGGGTGCAACATCTAAGGATTCTAAAACACCGAACAAAACGTTCAATACAGAATCAGATAAGAAAGCCCTCACACCCTCAGTATTATTGCCTTTTCTATTTGACGGATTCCTGTAGTTCAGTCAAAACACAAAACTCCCCCACAAAGAATTGAGATAACAAGGTAAGAACACATGGAAGGAGACAAGATATAGGGTAGGCTACTCTATACTATAACAGGGCAGGAGAAAACAGAGTCTGCACTATTACAACAGTCAATATTCTTATTGAAATAATGCATCATAAATCTAGCCTGTGTTCTCAAATTTGGAAAAATAAATGAATAAAAATGCAATGGGTCTTCTACTTCATTCTAAAGTTCTAGAAAAACTATTTTAACAGAAGCACCTCCTTTCTGCTTCTCTAAATTCCGGAACCATCTGCTCCTATGAATCAAAACACGGCCTTACACAATCAAATTTTAAAGCGAATCTGGCTAAGCTGCTCAAGTCAACATACCGTACGCTGTTCACCTCACAATCTGTCATGCAACCAAAACCAGGGTGAAGTTTACGATATTAGTGATATGAGCTTGAGGACTCTGCGAAATTTGACAGTGTTGGCAATGGCATGGCCTGGCTGGAGAATGCCTCATTAATTTCAAGTGAACAAACTTCCAAATATTTCATTCCATGCTGAACACACCCCCAATGAACATGCCCCACCATGAAGCTCGTTTCAGCCATGATGGACACTTCACTTTACAACTTGTGCACCTCTCCTCCTGTACAACACAAGGGCAAATACAGGGGGAAAATGATTATGCCATCGTCAAAGTGTCAACTACCACTATGATTATCGCTACCCATAACGAAGTGACCAGCCCATAGCTCCATTGCTATCAGAAAAATATCCTCACTACATCTTTGTACTCCTACTTGTCATAACAAATCAAGCATAAGCACCTAATGGCTAAACTTTCTACAGCATCTAATCCTCAGCCAAATTAAATTAAATTAAAATAAAGCACTAATAAGATGTCAAACAACAGAATACTCAAATGCAATAAAACCAAAATAGGTAAGGTTATATAAGCTACTTTAGCTTTAACACTACGACCAAAAACGTAATTGCCACTAGCAGCAAGTAGACAATTATAAGCACGCCAAATTTAACACCACTCAAAAGCAAAAACTAAATACGAGGAGCATCTAGTGCGAACTAAAATACTACTTATTATAGACTACCAAAAGAGTAACTGCAAACTACTAGAATTTAAGCAATCCAACCAGTCCCAAAGCATTGCCATCCAACTTGAGCTGTTCCTGCTACTGCCGCTGGTGATGAGAAACCATTACTAGCTCATGCATAAAGAGTTACAGATCCTTAAAACAGGATGAAATTTCCATTGAAACAGTTGACCATCAAAATTACTGCTGTTGGGATTGTCGTGCCTGAGCACTGCCATACCCACCACCATAACCAACTTGTCCACCATTTGCCTGACCACCATAGTTTCCTGAAGCCTGGGATGGATCAGATCTCCAACCAGCATTTCCATAACCTGTATTTCCATTTGAATCGCCATAGCCACTCCCAACATAGCCACCACCACTACCTTGCTCCCCACCTGCGCCACCAACATTGTTGTTTGGGACACTCCCTGAACGCCCTCCAACAGCACCATAACCAGACGGATTTGCATAGGACGCATCACTTCCACTGTACCCACCATAACCATAACCTTGAGCTCCATACCCAGCCGCTGCACTAGGTGATTGACCAGCAGGTGCAGAACCAGGGCCGCCACTGCCTGCACCTGCACTGCCACCTGAAACACCCCAAGGAGCAGTATTCCCGTATCCCATAGCACCATATCCAGAGGGGGCTTGAGAACTCCATGAACTTCTAGGGGCACCTGGCGGACCACTAGCATAGCCAGCATTTGGGGCATTAGGGTTTCCGTAGGCAGCAGCTGCTGGACCTCCATAGCCAGTATTAGTACTACCGTAACTTCCATAACCGCCATAACCAATTCCATTACTGGTAGGACCATAGCCATAACTGGGTGCACTATACCCAGAAGAACCATAAGGTGGAAAACCACCTCCAGTACTCTGAGATTGCATGTACCTGTTGGAGTCCATTCTACCATCATATGCATTTGGGTTGCCACCAGATGCGCCATATCCTTGATAACCGCCACCAGCTGCACCACCGCCACCTTGACCACCCCCCATGCTACGGCCACCCCCACCAGGATTGGCATCTTTGGGAAGAGCCCGCTTAACTTCCACTTGCTTACCATTTAAATCATGAAATGTTTTGTGCAAAACCCTATCAACTGCTTCTTCAGTATCAAATGAAATAAATCCAAATCCACGAGGACGTCCGGTACTTTGGTCATACATTACTACTACATCAGTTACATGGCCATAAGTTTCAAAATACTCACGGAATCCTTCTTCGCTAAGAGTGGGAGGCAACCCTCCAACAAATATCTTCTTGGTCCTAATATTTCCACCATTTCCAGCACTTCTAGTAGGGTTAGCATTTCCAACTCTGCCAGTGGTTTGCTGCTCCTCTCTTGATAGGGCCCTCTTAGCCTCAACCTGAAATATAAAACCAATGGTTATGCAACAGAAGTAAAGATAACTATAGTGTCCTCACCGTTCTCATTTTTTCCATCTTCCTAACTTTTATGCAATTACAGCAACCCAAAATCATCTTCTCTCTAAAATTCTTCTGATTAGTAAAATCTCTGCCATCCATAACCTACTATAACCATAGACAGCACCCACCCGTTATACACGAATCCTCTCCCAGGGATCACCCTCACCCACTGAAAAGTGGTAAGAGAGACCACATACAATCAATAAAATGTCCCCGGAGGTGCAAGTCAAGCTAAAATTATTAGCAGCATCATAATTCTGGGATGTAAAACAATTGACATGCAAACCAATATAAATCTTAAACCCTAAATCCAGTCACATATGTAGCAATGAATTATTTCATAGCAATGTACCTCCAGACACATTTGCTCACAAGAATAACTTTATTACACACTAGCAGATCAATAAAAGGGCAACGATACAATCTATTATGCCATTGGATTAGATAATGACATTTGTGAAATTGCCTTTAAGAATGTAAAAGGGGGTGGGGGTGTAAACAAATTCTTCAAAACTCTTAATAATTAACTATAACATTTATAACATACAGCGACAAAATATTTGAACCAAAATTAATCAATGACTTCGAATTCTAAAGTTTTTAAAGGGAAAAACCAAGGAAATATCATGTTCTATTCCACCCCCGCACCCCACGGCTATATCAATTGAATCAAGTTCCACCTTCCAAACTTAACAGCAACCCGCAAACCAGAAAAAATGCAAGTACATGCTTTCATATCTAATGGAATCAATCTCAACAACATAACTAAAAAAATATATACTTTAATATCTAACGGAATCAAGCTCAACATAAGAACTCGACAAAGATATATACAACCATAATCGCAGTATTACAAAAGCAAAAGGAAACTAAAAATCCAAAATCTAAAATTAATTGTTAAAAATAAAACAAACAACAAACAACTGAAACACGCACATAGAAACAGAAAACAATTAGCTTTAGACCTAATTAGCACTTAAATACGCTCAGAAAACGAGCCAAGAAATTGGAATCTGAATCTCACCGTTCTACCATCGATGGTGTGCTTATCCTGAAGAACCCTATCAAGAACAGCAGGATCTACAAAAACCACAAACCCAAAACCTCTAGGGCGTCCCGTGACTTTGTCCCTCATAACCACTGTTTGCAAAACGTCGCCGTAGTTGCTGAAGTACTCCTTCAGCTTATCCTCCGAGGTTTCCCATGAAATCCCACCAATAAAAAGCTTGCCTTGATCTGAATCCATGTGGGTTTTCACTTCCTCTCCCTCTAACTGCCTACGTGAGTGAAAGATTCGATCGTTGTTTATTTTGGAGGGGTTTTTTGGATTTTGGGGGTTTGGGATTTGGAGAGGAAGGGAAGAGGAAGGGTTTGTGGCCGACTAGAGAGAGAGAGAGAGAGAGCGCGCGTGGGAAAGTGAAGTATGTATGGTAGGCTTTGAGACTCTGGTGGGGGGGGTGGGGATTGGGACTTGGGGGATTGGGAAGTAGGCGTTTGGACGGATGAGATTTGCTGGATTGGTTGGTCGGGAATCATTTTGATGCGGGTGGTAGTTGTTGTACGGCTGAGATTTGATGTAAGTCGTCATCCGTCAGTGAGGTCCAAGTCTTTAACCTCCCCTTGTCTTAGCTTTGGCTCTTTGTCACGTGACGTGCACACTAGATGACATATGATTTTCTTTTTTCTTTCCTTTTATTATTCGAGAATTCAAAATTTGTACTCTTGTAGCATTTGCCCGGCCCGTTTGTTCGGGTAAGGCCTGAGGCCCAGCTTTGTTTGTAATTATTGATAATTATTGAATATTTATGAAAGGATTTCGAGCCTTTACATTTGCAAACTGTGTATTTACTCATATTTCGTAACATCTAGGCCATTCCAATAATCTAACGATTTAAGATTTGACATTTCACTTTTAAACTTTTTACACTCATCCATTTAATGAATAAGTTTAAATAAAATCTAAAAAATTTAAAATAAAACCTAGCAGCTATCCCACCTCTTCGATAACTCTCTCCCTCTTCCATGAATGTGCCTTTTTAGCAAGAACAAGAAGACGGCAACCCAATCCTAGATGGGTGGAGATGCCTCATAATTGTTTTGAACATCAATGATTTCCAAGTGCTGGTGGTATTGTCCCAGTGAATTTATTAAAACTGAGATTCATTGCAATCTGCAAGCTTGAAGAACCCTTTTTTATATTTATAGTTTATTTATGTATTTTACAAATAAAACACTCAAATTTGTTTTGTTTGAAGAGTACTTTTTTAACAAACGAGAGTTTGGGGTGGGGGAAGGGGGGAGGTTGGCTGTGAGGAGGGAAGATGTTGCCGTGAGTGTGGGTGGGGCAAAAGTCCTTTTTCTTTTAATTTTTTTTAAAATTATATTTAAACTTAACATTGTTAAGTTAAAGTTAATTAAATGGATGAGTGTAAAAAAATTTAAAATGAAGTGTCAAATCTTAAGTCATTAGATTATTGGATTTGCCTAAATGTTGCGAAATGCGAGTAAATGCACTGTATGTAAATGTAGAGGCTCGGGATCCTTTATGAAAATCATAGAGTATATTCATATGATTATAATCATTTTTTTAATCAAGAATGCTTATAGTTGAAGTGGTATTACAATTTTGTAAGGATTTAACAAATCTCAAGTTTAAATCCCTTTTTAAACAAATGGCAAAGTCAAAATAACCTAATCAAATGTAAATTTAGTAGTCAAATAAGCTCAATTCATAAGCCGTCCATGAGCCTAAATAATTTTGGACCACAGGAAGGCATGAGACTAGTATATTTATGAGACGGGTTAGTCCTCGAATTAGTTTGAGCTAACAAATAATGTGGTCAACAATGTGATTAGAACTAAGGTATATAATGTGGTCAATAATGTGATTCGAGCTAAGCATAATGTGTTCAAACAATGAGATTAGTAGATAGCCTACATTGATATTTTCTCCGTCTCCAATAAGGTGGCTTCGAATTTTGTTGCAGGCCAGCCGTTAACTTCTCTTTTTCCTTTCTTCCATATGCACTTCTTGTCAAAAGTACCAAACAAACATGGGCTGTTCTTGACTCCCTTTCATAAATTCTCACGAGACAAAAGGCAAACGAATAAATGAGGGCACAAGTATGAGAGCCGCATTGTACAATGTAATCACAGACAAACAAACAAAGCTTTTTCTTGTCATTTCCTCCTTTATTAAACTCGTGCACCCACCACATCATTTAACTCCTCCAACGTCACTATTTTCAAAACCCTTTGGAGCCAAATGCATTTAAAATTTCCCTAACCCCCCCTTTCCCCTCTATCCGCCTATATGAACCACAATCCTCAGTGTTGGTGACACTAATGAGAAGCTAGGGACTTTCTAATATGGGGTGCTTCCTTGCCTGTTTTGGTTTTTCTAAGAAAAAAAAGCGGCGAAAACCAGGTAACAAAGTTGCAGCTGCTGGAGACCAGGTAAACTCTGGTTTTTGTTCCTGGATGTGTTTCATTGTGTTAATTAGTGTCAGATTATTAAACCCAATTTGGGATTTTTATGATTTTGTTTGCTGCAGGGACGTGGGAGCTATGTACCATTAGATTCATCTCTGACGATTATTGGTGTCGATGGTGCAAAAGAAAGTCTCCGTAGTGCAGGTTCTGAACTCAGGTTAGTTCTTGCTTATAGTCTCCTACTTTGTGATGATATGTGGAATATTAATTTCCCTTTCCTTTAATGTTTGTTGTTTTAGAGACAAGCCTAAGGAGCAGACAAGGTTCAAAATCAGAAAGAAAGTTAGCTTCAATCTTAATGTCCAGACCTATGAGCCTATTTCGACTGGTTATCATTTCTTGGAGAGTGACGAGGAGGAGGAAGTGGAAAAGAATGGCCAAGAAGTATCAAAAGGAAGCCTTTCCACTTCAGCATCTCAAAGGGATTCAACTACATTGCGGATGGGACTTTTTCCTTCAAATTACAGGTACCAAAATGTTCGAGACAGCTACGACGAAGACGACCATATAGCAGATGAGGAAAGTGATTTAGATGACAATTATAACGACATTGATGATGATGATGACAGTGAAATTGATGATCAAAGAATAAGCCAAGAGGGGTTTTCAAGGCAATTCTGTTCTTCCTCTATAAAAAGGGAATTGGAATGTCCAAATGCTAGAGGTAATATCCAGTATGTACATTCTGTACTGAGTCCAGTAGAGAATCTGACTCAGTGGAAAGCAGCCAAAGCAAAAGCAGCAGCACCAAAGCAGCAAAAGGAGAATATAGCAGCATTATCTCAAGAACCCCGGATGCCGCCTTCTAGCAGATCAAGTTATAACCAGTCCAAACCTCTATTGCAAGAAATCCCAGTTCATGCCAGTCTTTCAAGTTGGTTAAATTCACAAAGTACAAATTAGTCCGAGACCACATTGATCACCAATATTTGCACAGCTTCTGTAACTGGGACCATCTCATTCACGAAATTAACATATTTGAAATTCAAGCTCGGTCAAATCTAAAGCGATATGAGAGAAAGAAGTAAACATAGCTAATTTGATACCAAAAAGTGAAGAGGGCAATAAACAGAAGTGTAGTTGAGGGTGCTTTTTAGCTTTGTAGCACATTTTGGACAGAGTGTATTTTTTGAGGGCATTGTTGTTTGTGTTGGTTTGTTTGTTTTTGGTTCTCTGGATTGCCTTGTAAATAAAGATGTTTGGTGGATTTGTACTTGTGTTGGGCAGTAACTCTGTTCAAGGAAAGTATGTAAGTCCAGAACAATGGCTTTGCAGAAAAATACATGTTGGCTTTACATTATATTTCCTTATGTCAGATGTTGAGTGGGGCAAGTTGGTCGAATGAGTTTTAAAATTCCATCTACCTAATAATGCAAGGATATAGATTCCAAATAAAGATTTCATGTAGAAGCAGAATCAATTCATCAATATTTTTTGGATAAAATTTTATGGAAGAGTCAAAATAATATCAAATTATACAAGGATTTTGAAAATTATATATAAAAATTCCATCATTGCCAGTTTGCAAACAATTTTCAATATTTTATTGGGGTTTCCAGGAACAATGTATACAAACAAACAGCAAAAAATTGGTACCACCTGAGTGATGCTTGGCAAATGCTATTTCTTGCAGGAACATTACAAATCCACTAGGTTCAAATTATTGATTCCTTAGGCATTTAGTCCTACATAGAATACATTATTTTGGCCGAAACAGTCAATGCAAATTAGACAGAAGTATGTCTGGAACACAGCCATATTCAAACTGCAAGATGAATAGACTTTCTTCTTTCTGTCAAGTGCTGAAGGAATACAGAAGGGAAGAAATAAACAGAATTGAAGTACCTTTTATTGAACAGGATGATTATCAAAGTATTCTGTCATTCTAAATACATACAACATACAAATATGCCCTGTAAAGCATACAAAATCTCAACTGTATTTAATATATTACATATGAAACCATATTGCCGTTATCCTTATCTGCTTTCACTCCCGGAAGATGATGGTCCACTCAGTTTGCTTCTGGTTGTAAGAGAGCTCACAGCAAGTTAACCAAAAAAAAATCGTACTAGACTTAGATGCAAGACATGGGAGACTGCCTTGCCTTGGTCTCAGGACCTTTGGTCCATCCTTGACACAGTAGGTTAAAACAGAGCCAGTTTGTATAAAAAGCATCAAAATCCACTTGGAGAAATTGCCTAATTGATCCAGCAAATGTACCCTGATAATTCGTGTACTGAACGATATCTACATAATAATACATATGCAAGAATCTGCATCTTCATCATCAGAATCACTAACATCGCTGCAGATGAACAGGAGAAAGGGTGAGAGACTAGTAACTCCACAATAAATCTATAAACAATTATTCAACATTGATGTAGATAATAGTTGCTCTTTTGGTAAATCTGTTTTCCAATTTTAACTGGTATTACAAGTAGATAGGGAGATTGTTTATTTCAATCTACGGAAATGCAACCAAGCAGATTATCTTGAAAAGGATGTCTTGGTTTGAGCAATCAATAAAGATGTGGTAAACCAACAAATTTTGGAATAAATTGTATTCCCAATTCCTTTAGTGCGCCAAAAACATGTAAACACAGTAACACGCTAAGGGACAACTGAGGAAGTTACTTCATATGTAAATCAAAGAGTGCCCTTATGTGTAAGCAGACACTTCTGTGCTAGATCAAGGGATAGTTCAGGATAATGCTTCACCAGAATACAAGAGATATGAAGGTTCCAATGATCAAACAGACCAAAGATATAAAGGTTCCAACGATCAAACAGACCAAAGATATAAAGGTTCCAATGATCAAACAGACCAAAGACATGAAGGTTTAGTGTAAATCTGCATAACTTCACAAATTGGATGCATAACTTCGTCAAAGATAACTATTTTCTTTAACAAAAAGAAAAAGGAAACTATGTCTTGAAAACATGGAAATTAGACTGACCAAACCTAGATATTCAACTGACAAACCTAGACTAAACATATAATAATAAAAAAATCGTGCACTACATTAAAATGGAACCTGAATTGACCAAATCTCATAGTATTACTAACAATCCACTGCCTCAAAATCAAACAGTTTTTCTAGAGTAGGAACAGTAGATAATCACTGCAACTCCCGTTTGTAACAAATAGCCAGTCAAGTAATTAGCTGAACTCCAATAAGCTAAAGGTCTCCCAGCAGATGCTAAAATTACTTCTGTATATGATGCAAACTATCTTTTTTCAGGAAATACGAAACCTATGATTGCAGGAAAATGCACTAAGAAAGACTACCACTGGATAAACAAAAAAGGTGGTTAGAGGCTTGCAAGTTGCAGCTATGTCAGAAGCCCATGGAAGTAAGAGGAAAGGCAAACCCCAAAGAAGTAAAGTTGGCTGGTAATGGTCATTACAAAAGACTAAACAAGAAGAATGGCTTATGTAAAATGGATAATGTTGGAGAGCAGAATTGAAAATTAAGTGTCACCACAGCTAAAAGGACAATTAAAAGATAAATGAAGATGGTGAATTCTGGAATTAAAGTTCGGCTGAAATAACATCTCAAATCAAAGTCGAAAAAATAGAGCAGAACACCAACAAGAAATAGGAGACAAGGATTTGCCAAGAGTTTACAGGTGTCAGATACCCTGTATCCACAATAAGGTAGAAATACATGAGGTAGGGGCTGCTCTTTATATTTCATCTTGCAGTGAATATGCTTTCACTTTTGCTTTATTGGGAGCCATGGTTATAAAGAGTTAACTGGTTAGTCCTTTGCTTTTCAGTTTTCACTCTAACATTTCCCAAGAAGGCTTGATAAATTCCTTCAATCTCCTTAGACCAAACTTCTACCCTGATGGAGGAAAGTTACTAACCCCAAGCTGTCATCCTGATTCCTGACACTAGTCAGGTAATTCTGTTAATGGAGCAGGCAGAAGCAACAACACCTTCGTTGAGAAAACTCAAATAGGTCAAGCTCAGCTCACAACAAAATTGCCGAATCCAATTTAAAAAAAAAAAATCTCAATGCATAATGAAAAATGCAAACATAGTCATAAAGGCATTCAGGTCAAAAAGTGCCAATCAATTTGGACAAAATCTAAAACAGTTTGACATGACCAAAAAGGCAAGTGTTCTTCTTTATAGTCAGAAAACACATCAAAACATTTGCAAAGTTCACATATCGTATAAGCATCCATTATAAAGAAAACCACCACAGCTAAACCACATCAAAGCTCAAACAGGTAAATTAAATCATAAAACTACATCATGAAACCAAAAACACCACAAACAACAAGCATAACTAAACAAAGAAATCAAAATTCCTATAATTTGATCAAGACAATGCATAAGTAAAGAAATAGAATTCAGCAAATACATTACCTTGGTTCGAATTCCAACACCTCAACAAGCTTATTCCCATTCTTATCATTCCACTGCACTTTTCGTCGGGTTTTATTCGTTTTCCTTGACATACCGCCTCTCCGAGGCGGCAACAAAGAATTAGACTCACTATCTTCATCTCCATTAACATTTTCCTCAACTCTTTGAGAGTCTGTGGTCTCCGACTTCTCAGTTTTACAGCCATTAGTAGCATCCTTAGCATCCGTATCCATTAACAAATTCGATGCACGACCAAGAAAAACGCACACCCGATATCCAAATTCAACCAGAAACTATTTAAAATTCTGTAATTTATCAAAAACCCAATCGACCCAAATCCCTGATGTTGAAGAATTCGCAAACCCTAACCCTAAAGTTCAAATCTTGCAGGTCATCACGGACGTGAATTGCCATTTTCCCCAAAGTCAACGCCCATTCTCGACACGACCGGGGCTTGAATAGCAATGAGATAAACTAGAAAACACGATCAAATTTCGAAAGAGAGAAAAAGGAACCTGATAATTGCTAACCAGGGAGATAACTGGGAAAAGTTTCACATTTTCCCGAGAAAGTGACGGAAAATGTACAGTTTCTTAGATCCTATACGAAATGAAAGGAACGGGTCTACTATTCTGAACCCATTTTGGTGCGAAAAAACAAATGAATACTAACAATGAGAGTTTCTGATTTTATTTTGTTGTGTTTCTTTGAAGTGAGAGGGGATCAGACCCATAATTTGATAGTAAAAAAGTAAACGACTCACAACAATTTTCAGCGTTTACTTTTTATTTATTTTCTCAGTTTTTAGAGGCTTACACGTGGCATAATATGGGGCTATGTGTGTGTTAGTTAATATCGTTGTAACAGTGAGGAGTTGGCGGTATGTTCACTGTGAATATACACCGAAACGTACAACAAACATATTTATATTTTCCTTTTATTAAAGCACCTAGTACATTCTAGTACCAAAAAATAAAACACAGTACATTTTTGTCAATTATGGTGCAACTTGTAATGCTAGAGTCAATCGCTTACTCGATAAGCCGGCCAACTATGTTTATGCATGCACTATTTTTTTTCCTTCTAATGTTTAAAAGAAGAATTCAACAAACGTCGAACTCTAATATTGTCGTCACGTGAATATTAAATTTACAATTTGTGAGTTGTCATGTCATTTCATAAAATTGACGTTATGAGATGAATCTATTCGAAATTATGTTTTTATTATGAACGGGAAATGAATAGCCGAAAACTCTTTTATCATTGAAAAGAGAAGTGACATCGCACTAACAGCTAAGCAGTTATTTTATTATATTTGAACTTAGCCAAAAACAAAAGTGGGGTAAAATTTTGTAAGTGGTGACTCATGATTGCTGCTAATATCACTATTTACATGTGGGTGGTCATTTTTAATTCCCATAGATGTCATTTCAACACAAGTCATTTTTAAGTTGTAAGTCATATTAACGTAGCAATAATGAGGTTACCTGATTGTCCTACATGAGTTTCTTTCCTATTAGTATAAGCCATACATCTTGTGCCACTATTTGCAACTTTGACTTCTTTATTTTTAGGGGAATTTTGATGGGGCCATCCCACATGTTCTTAGAAGAGATAATCCGGCGGCATATATCTTTCTCACAACAACGCATCTCATGCAAAATATCTTAATTTTATTTGGCCATTAAAATAATTATAATGTAACTCGTGTAAGAGTCTAGATTAGTGGTAATCCCATAATTTATATTGTAATTAGACCCATCCTCATCCAAGAGATCTCAATGCTTGAGAATTTTTTATTTTTTATTTTTTACTTTTTGGAGGCTGTCAACAATGAAAATTGATTCGTCGAACGGGTAAATTACCTAATTCGATTTGTGGTTAAAATATAATGCGATTGATTAAATAGTTACATTTATTTATCATAGAGTAAATGTTGACTTATATAATAATAATAACTCGCTAAGAGATTCTCTTAATAAGAAAATGAAAGCAAATTTGTAATTTTGTAATTTGAAGCAATCTCTCTTCCAAAGAATGGTGGGGACAAACACTCGACATCCCATCATATTGCAAACCTAACCAACTGATGGCATGGTTTGAAGTCTTCCTTAAATGATAGTTGGATCTCTAATCAAGAGTCAGTACTCAATGGTTCACCACGATAAATATACTCAATGCTCCACTGTATATAAATTTTTGTTTTATCCTACGCCAATAAAACTGTCGTTAATGATATTTGAACTCATAATCTTCTCCGATGATGTGATTGGATTGAGGGTTTAACCAATTCAGATGTGTTAAAATGGAAGATATTACTTTAATGTCTTCTTTACTCTAATTTTTTTTTTCTTTCTCAATAACTTGGATTGCATGCAAAGGCATAAAGAAAACAAAACCTACCAAGATGAGGATGCTGACAGAAAATCACTTTAGTATGTTCTTTTTTTCTGACAAGTTAGCATTAGCAGCAGAGAAAGAGACAGTTTGCTTCAGAGGTTGCTAAACTTGAGTGCAAGGTTGAACTTAAATTTTACTCCAAGTTCATACCCTCCAAAAGTAGTTTGGGTGAGAAACTGTATATCACACTATACATCCCTCTACATAAGTTCCATTTGATATGAGAACAAGATATCAGAGGTAGAAAGATAACTTTCTGGAGGCAGGATGGCATGCTTAGAGAGGGCATCCCCAGCTTTGAAGAGAATCCTGCTCAAATTGTACCGGTAAGTATATTTTCAGTATTCGTGCTTCGATTGCCTAATTCGAGTTATGCATCGTAACAAAACAATAATGTTAAGATTTTGCAGTGCTTATTAGCAGCTGTTTTGCTATAAGCATATTGCATTTTTGTTTGAAAATCTACATTACAACAATGTCTCATGTCTGCATGCATGAAAAGGGTTAACTAGCATATTGCATTTTTGCTATAGTCATTGATGAAACAGCTTATTTGCTGAACTAGCAGAAAAAGCAGCATCTCCATCCACTTCATAATTTAACAAGTTACAAGGTAGTGTTTTGCGAGCCATCGATAGTGAGTTACAGAAATGGCGACCTTCTATAAGTGTAGGAAGAGTGAAAATTAAATTGATATCAAGAAATATTGGAAGGAAAATTCCACATCATAAAATTTCTTTTGTAAAAAGTACAGCCGAAGTGACAGATTTAACTAATCTTGACAATATACATAGTAGGAATTTGGTGACAGGAAGATGTGGTATCCAGGTAGATAAGCATTATGTGTCCAGCAATAAGTTGTAGGGAGGATAGACCTGTATGGTTCTACCACTAAAATCAGCAACTGCAAAAAACTTCACCACATGGAAAAGAAAAGTCATGTTCAGCATCATTGTCCAAACTCAAAAACAGCCTTTGTGGGATGTTTTTGTGGTGTTTAACTAATAATGGAAGCAACATGATAAAGTACTAAAAACTTTTCCCAGCGGCTGGGAAAAAAACAATAACAGAATAGCATAGAGGAGATTACCATATCATCAAAACAAGGAAATAACAAGAACTAATATGGTCCCCATCACATAAACAGAACTGTTATAATGATACGTGAGCAAATGAATAAAATTTGGATATTGGATTCTTCCAAAAAGTTCAAAAACTTGTTAATGGATTGGAAACTGACTATGGAAGGATAACTTTGCTAAAAAAAATACTAAATTTAAATCATATACATCAGAACTTTTGGAATCAATGTCGTGCGTGTATGCGATGCTTCTGGTTTTCAGTGTGAATCACTTATCAACAAATTCATTAGGCTTAGTATAAAAAAACAAATGTTTGAACTCAGATACTAATGGTCAATATGGCAGGGCTTTTAGACACTGAAATTAGAGTAAATACAATTTCTAAAGCTTATACAATCTACTGTTTTCTTCAATATATTTAGTAACCAAATCTGCGAAACAATGAATCTGTCAATGGTTTTCTAAGTAATACTCATTCTGACGATTAGTATTGTTGCTTTCATAACAGTGAAAACAAGTCCATAGAGATTGATCATCACTTGTATGAATTTGGGTCTGTGGAATACCATATCCAGGTAAGCCTTGGTCTTCAGAAATCGAATTTGAAATATTCTAGTCAATCTGTTCAGTGTTCATTTTCTGCCTTTCTACCTAAAATCAGTCAAAGCCTTCAGTGGAAAAGCATCAAGAAAATGGTTTTATCATGCATCCTCAAGATTCAAAATCAACTCACATAAAAGACTAAAATTTAAAAACATGATTAGCATTTTAGGATTTAGGAATTTCACTGGTTCTTTTAAAGAAATCAATTTTAGAGGAACGACACCTTCATGTTTAGATAAAATAATGTGTGAGAATTAGTGTGAGTGGTCAACACCTAATCATATGGGTTTTCCAGCAAGCATTTTAGTAACTTTTATGATGATTTTCTTGAAATGAAACAGTCTTCAACATCAGATGCACATTATACCTACTTGTCAGTATCAACCCCGCTCCTTTCCCAAGGAGTCATACTACCAAACGGGATTTCGCATTATACTAAACAGATGGTAAAGGGAATTTGTCCGGATGTTGTGGAGATCATGGAACCTGCGAAAGAAGGATACCAGATTACTTTGAGACTTGATTTGTCTAAAATTCCAAATGGAAAAGGTTTGACAATCTTTCACATTACCTCAATAACATATAGAAAAATTTAATCATATTATTTGTCTTAAACGTCGATATTTCTTAATGCATGACCATCTACTTTGATAAGTCAGTACACATGGAGCTTCTTGCTGTTACATTGACTATCTCATTTTGAGTAAATCAATGGTCAGTTTGATAGCCAAAAGAACAAAAAGAATGAAACTTTGTAACTACTTACACTAAGCAATGTTTTCTTGGATTCCAAGCTCCTTTTTCCTCCGCTCCCTAAACCAGAAATTATAAGAAGATGACATAAGTTGTCCATATTGTTACACACCACTACATTGGTGAAAGTCCGAAAACAAGTCTGAATAGTAAATTTGGAGACAGCTGTGTCCTGTACACTAGTACTTAATTAGGTCCTGAAGTACTGTATAACCTAGTTTTCTGACTGTACTGTTGAGGCAGACTTCTTGTCCACAGTTTTGTAGTTTTTGTGTTGGTCACAAAATTCTGCTTCTTTAGAAAAATTGACAGAATGAAAAATGCTTAAGCTAACATGGTAAAAATTTACAGTGAAATTCTGCTAAGATTTTCTTGAATCATATTCATAATTCTATTCATGAAATTCGTTTTTCTTTCTCCAGATTCTATAAAGGTAATTGCAGACATTTCTGCTGTGCAAGCAGTAATCTTAAGTTCTCAGCTGAAAGAAATGTTGATGAATGTCAGCTCCCAAGATACATTTCAAGGAATGTATAAGACAATCAAGCTTGTATATCACCCAAGAGAGCCTTTCTTTATTGTTAGACAGGTAAACTTCCTTCCTAAGGGGAACATCAGACTACCATATAATGCAGAACAATACTTGTCACTTTAGAGATAAACACATAAGACCACCATATAATGCATGGATTTTAATGAAGGTACTCATGTTTTGACAGCCACAGAAAATCTTAGCAGTATTCCCGATACGTTTTAAAGACAAAACAGACGTCATTATTGCAACAGCCTTCTTTCAGGTTTGTGGCTGATGCAGTGAAGTAAATATTTTCTCATTAATACTAGTAATGAAATCACACTCTATTTCCTATTCCTAACAAAAATTGGTTAAAATTTTCTTTTCCTCGATTTTCTATTTTGATCCCCTTCTGGGGAATGGAGACAGGAACTTATGGATGTTGGAAGTTCTGAAAAATGGGCCAAAGCACCTCCTTGTTGCTGGTCACCCATTCCACCTCCAGAGTTAAGAGGAGAACCTTTTGAAGATTTGAGTACCAACGGAGGATTTGTCTCTTTTGGTATCTTCTTAGATAACAGTCTTTAAGTGCAAAAGTCATGAATTGAGTGGTTACAAACCAAATTCTATTCACCATTAGTCCAAATAAATGGAACAAAAAGTACTCCAAATATAAACTTTCCTCTTAAGCGCCATGAATTATCCAACAATAAGTTAGAGAAAGATGGAACACTTTTTTATAAATCCTATAATAATGTTTCTTATTTAAATAATAGCATCAGCTATTGTTTTATCTTTTTTAATTTATGGTTGGCTTTTCATATACCAGATAAAGATTTGGTATACTCAGTCTAATACATGTGGTATTAACTCATATGCAGATATTTCTTCACGCCATGTCAAAGGTAAAAGACTAGACAAGACTGTATGGAGTTTGTTGAATTTCTATGCCTATGTTAAATACCATGTAAAGGTAATAATTCTACATTGTTTTTTGGTTTGTTTTTTCCTTGTGAAAATTCATCCTTAGTATTCTAGAAATTTTTAAGCATAGCAATGGTTACATTTTTAGCTAACAAGTTTGTTCAACCAGAGCACCAGAAGTTTTATTCAGAGAAGGATGAGAAATCGTTTGCAGAGATTAGTTGAGGTACAGAACTGAAACCCCTTTCATACCCAAGAAACTCAAGACCAATGTTTACGAGTATACAATTTCTTTTCCTTCTCTCATATCAAAAGGAATTTTGGATTGAAGACCCCGAAAAAGATGAGAGAACTAATATTCCTTACATGCTTGTAGGTCCTGCATAAGAGAAGCACGCAGGAAGAAGAAAAAGAAGAAGAAGAAGAGGGAAACCATAAGGTTCAAGGTACGGTTTCAGTCTGTATACTTTCACAAACTCATAATAAGTAATAAAAAGATAGCTGTAAAGTAAAGGAATGAGCTAAGAACTTCCCTCAGAAGGAGGCAGCAGCTGGTGCCTTCAGTTTCTGATGGACAACAAAGTTGGAATGATGAGCTTAGCTTAAACTTCATTACCACTTATTAAAAAAAAAAAAAAAAAAAAAATACCATTACTGATTCCGTGCCATATATGAAATAAAGTATTTAAAAAAGTTATCAAAAACAGAATCTTCACAATGATATAATGACTGGTAAGTCCATTATTCTTAGTAACTTCTGTAAGAGAGATATGGTAGACCAACAACAATTCATATTTTCTTAGAATCTGGTTATAACTCTCTCATTGTTTGCTTTCAAGCAAATGCAGGATGCATGTTCATGAGAAAAAGGATCAATGTATCAAAACCTAAAATTCTAAAACGAAGATATAATGACTTGAGCGGGAAGATCAAGAGAATCCGTTCGCGAATTAAAATCCAGGGATTTGGGCGTTTTCGTCGACGATGGTTGAAAATGCCAAAGTTTTCTTCTTCAATGAGATATACCAAATTAGATTAAGTTCGTTCCATATCAGGACAGAAGTTAGGATAAAGAATCATTGTCCTATACTGCTTCTTATTCAGAAACATACCATGACATTTTTTCATCACATTTAAATAGCAACTGAGTGCTGTTTTAAAGCCTTCATATTTATCAAACTATAGTGACATAACTGCTTAATTTGTATGTCTTAATATGTCATTCAGTGAAAGTCAGATAAACAAAAGCAGACAACATGTTGCTTAAAATATTCAAAGGATTCAATTTGCTTTAGAATTGAAAATAGAAATAAAAATAACCTCGCAACCATTTGGTGCTTATAAAGTTGTGGCAACATCAATGAAAGAACAAAGTAAAGAGCACTAAGACAGCAGATATGTATAAACTCAAAACTTGAAAAATTAATATAGACATAGATTTGGAAATTACATTTTAGCCAAATAGAGGATAGCAAGATAAGTTTTTGGGGAGCTAGTTTAGTTGCTGACGAAATAAGCAACAGTTTGCGATCCGAACATTCAAACAGAAAGATCTGAACATAAATAGCATCAAATAGTATTTTACCTTTTTTTTTCCTGGATTATATTAAAAGGTCTAGGATTGACTTACCAGGAAATTTTTCAGCTGCCACAGTGAATCATAATCATAGGACACCTTAAAATTTTCAGTTGTTACTAGTATCTCCAACTTCTCAGGAACCCTTTCAAATTTCAACTCTCATTCTCCTTCCTTCAAATGGATGCGGTTCATTGTATGCTTGATTTTTGAAGAGTGACAACTTTGAATGCAGATGGTAAATTATTGATAAACATCTGAAAGTAAATGATTTCTGTACCAAAGTATGTATGTAGCCACGAATTTGCATCAGATGCAATGGCCCAGATTGTAAAAGTTTGCGTTAGGCTACCAATGCACCAGATGCATTGCCATTACTTATTTTGAACTCACAAAAGTCTTAATAACATGCCTTATAAGGAGCGCCAAAATTGAAGGTAGATATGCGGTATCGACAAAGACAGATTACAGGTGCTTATGTTTTTATATTCTTTATTTTTTGAAATGTAAGTACTAGTATTACTGATCATATATATCGAAAAGTATGCTCTTTTAGATCATAAACTCTTTATAAGGATTACAAACACATTGAAAGAAAAAGAAAAACAAGAGGCCAAAGAGTGTGAAAAAGGTCATGTATGTATTGACCAACAATTTGCAGCCATTCGCATTTAAGTCATGAATGTTGCAGTGATTTTATAAGCATGAACTCTAATACTTCCGCAACATTCAGAACACAACGAAAGTTATCCATTTACTACAACTATAATACAGAGTAAGCATCTAATACTTAATTTAAATTCATGATCTGAGACAATCCAATATCAAATAACCGCATGCCATAAATTTAAATTTTATAAAAAAGAAAAGAAAAAAAGTAAACACTAGCGACCTGAGAATGAACAAATGAGTAAAATCTCCATTATCTCTGAAAGTTTCTACCAAAATTGACGGTAAACAAAAATAGAACATACATTCATTCCATATCGAGGTCGAGGCTAGAAGGCATCAACACATGCCCCGAATCAAGCTGCGCTAGCAACGGGCCACTGGCCTCACTACACCTCAAATTCCAGTTACTTGCCACCAAAGCAAACAACATCAAACTCAATAGCAAGACTGCAATTGCATGCCCAATGAACAGCAGCGTCATCAAAGAAACACCCCTCAAACCATCCTCCTCAAGATCACATTTCCACTCAGCATTCTCCTGGTTTGGCCAAACTGACATTTTCTTGCACCCTTTTAATCCAAATGCATCAGTGTACAAGGACAACCCAAGTTGCAAAATCCAAGTGCCCTTTAAGACCAATCCAGAGGACAAGAAAAACTCGGCGCAAAACGAACAGGGCCTAATTGATAAATACAAGGAACAAACAGCACAAACAAGGGTCAATGTACCTAATATATCATACATAGCTCCACCAAGACCCGAAATTCCCTTGCCGATCACCGAATACTCGACCAGGAACGAAATGGCTGCGATAACGAAGACGAACCCTTCATCGATATGCAAAGTGTCAATATTTTCACGGCAGATGATCAAAATGATGAGTGCCCAGAACATGAAAATGGCTGCTGATTGCTGGAAAAACGCGAAACGATACGTGGGGTGGCCCGAAAAGGCCAAAAAGATAAAAATTTCGGAGAAGGAAGCAATGGGGAGGGCTATGGTGAGAGTGTACAAATCAAAGTTTTTCCATTTGGGTTCTGAGAAATACCAGATTTTGGATCGGTAGAGAGATGGGTTCTTGAGGTAGAGAGAGGAGGAGCAGAGTAGGCGACGTAGGCCTATGGGAAAGAGCAACACGAACGCTGAGAAATGGGTTGCTAGTGATGCCATGTGAATTGTGAAGCAGCTGTGAAATTTGTTGCGTTTCTCTCTGCTTTCTGTATCTTTCTGATTTTCCTGCGTTTTTTAGTTTTCGTTCCCTCGTCGACGTTGTGAGGAGAGCTGTGAAATTCAGAAACGGTTTTTTGTGTTTTTCTGGTTTTGGTTTTGGGCTCAAATTTTCGGAAAGAGAATGTTAAAAGTTAAAACCATTGGCCAAATGACACTTTTCACCTTTTTCATCTTTTCTACTGTGGTATTTTTTTGTTGTTACATTGAACGCGATCCTAACTTTAACTTATATTAATTATTACATTTCAAAGATTTTTTTTATTTTTTTATTTAGAAGAGATTTCAAAGACTTATGTTTTCACTTTTCTTCTATTATTTACGCACCATAATGTTGTCTCCTCATATTATAATATATGGTATTATATGTAATAATGTGACATTCATATCTAAGTAAGTATTTTCCCTAACCTACTACTGTGAGCAAGTTCATATCATCATCTTGCCAACATGAGCCTTCACATTTTTTATTCCCCTTTATTCAACCTAGGAATACCGCTGCACATGCTAGGGCACGTGCCTTATTTTAACGTTGCAAACACAAGATTTGATTATTTGGACGAATGTTGTAAACACTTGGTAACTACGAGGATAAAATCAAAAAAATTGAAACTACAAGAACGAAATTAGATAAACTATGTGGACCAAATGTATTTCTCACCTTAAAAAAAAACATTGATACTCATTGGACGAGTCATTCTATAGTAACGGCCTTACATATGACCCTTGGATAAGGCCCTATTTCTTGACTATTGGATTAAATTGATTAGCCGTTTGATGAAATTGGTTAGTATGATCCAACGGTTAAGAAATAGGATCTCACCTAAGGGCTTTATATAAGGTCATCACAATAGAATTGTCGCTCATTGGACACCCCTTAGTTGGGCTTTTGGGCTCAGATGAAGCCATGAGTAAGATAGAGCCCATGAGAGGCCCACTTACTCCTTTTTTCTATTTCTTTTTTGTGTCAACACACTTCCTTTTACTCATCTTCAAGCCGAACCGGAGCTAGTGTGCGGTTTCATTCCAGCTCACCCTTTTTCTGATGAAGAAGAAACCACTAAATTTGCCTAGACCCTGAATTTTGTTGTCTTTCATTCAAATAATTGTAAAACCCCACCGGCCACCCTTTTCTTCTTTGTCACTCTGCAAAGTTCGGGGGTTGGAGCTGGGTCAATAAAAACTACAAATAACCATGCTTACTTCAATTACCTCTCAACGGCTGAGACCCTTTCTTCTTCTTCATCTCCGTCACACTCAAATCCTCGTATATTCCTCTCTTCCTCACTCTGTTTCCACCAAACCCATTTCGATTCACAACCCTTCTAAACCAGAACCGCAATCAAGTTCAACAATTTATGACCACACCACGGTGCGTGAAACGCTTTCTTCTTACTGCAATGACTGGAAGAAAGCCTTGGACTTCTTTAACTGGCTGGAAACTGAATGTCACTTCCTACACTCCACTGTAACCTACAATCGCATGCTTGACATTCTTGGTAAGTTCTTTGAGTTTGAGCTCTGCTGGAACTTAATTCAAAAAATGAAGCAGAACCCAGTTTCTGTTCCTGATCATACTACATTTCGTATACTGTTTAAGAGGTATGTATCTGCACACCTTGTAAAGGAAGCTATAGATACTTATAATAGATTGGAAGAGTTTGGTTTGAAGGATGAGACCTCCTATTGTAATCTTATTGATGCTCTTTGTGAGTATAAGCATGTGATTGAAGCCCAAGAATTCTGTTTTTGGAAGAACAAAGATTTGGGTTTTGATAACAGTACTAAGCTCTATAATTTACTTCTTCGCGGGTGGTTGAAAATGGGGTGGTGGGGTAAGTGTAGGGACTTTTGGGAAGAGATGGATAGGAGAGGTGTTCGTAAAGATTTGCATTCGTATTCAATATATATGGACATATTATGCAAGAGTGGAAAGCCGTGGAAGGCTGTGAAGTTGTACAAGGAGATGAAGAACAAAGGGATCAAACTGGATGTGGTGGCATATAATACGGTTATTCGTGCCATTGGTCTTTCTGATGGTGTTGATTTTTCAATGAGGTTGCTAAGGGAGATGAAGGAATTGGGTTGTCAACCAAATGTCGGGACGTATAATACAATTATAAAGCTTTTGTGCGAGAATGGGAGATGTAAGGAGGCATTTTCGTTGCTTCATCAAATGCCTAGGATGGGATTACTACCAGATGTGATAACGTATCATTGCATTTTTAAGCATCTAGAGAAGCCAAATGAGATTCTTAGACTGTTTGATAGGATGACTGAAAGTGGGGTTCAACCAAAGATGGACACTTTTGTAATGCTTATGAGGAAGTTTGGAAGATGGGGATTCCTCAGACCAATGTTTCTTGTGTGGAATAGGATGGAAAAACTTGGGTGTAGTCCTGATGAGTCTGCTTACAATGCTTTAATCGATGCTCTGGTGGAAAAAGGTATGTTAGACATGGCTAGGCAGTATGATGAAGAGATGCTAGCAAAGGGGCTTTCAGCTAAGCCAAGGGAGGAGTTGGGGACAAAACTAGTGAGCTGTGAATCTGATGATGGGTAATTGCAATATGATTTTGATGCTTCGAAAGTACCTACACATGCATCTGGAATACACAGGCATTTCCACCTGCATTTTTCTGTTGAAAAGAAAATGGGAGCTCAGGAATACCATCTAAATAATGCAAACAGTGCTGAAGGATATGGTATTTATGGCTCCCAGGTACATGTTATTATGAAGGTGTGCAGCTGAGAATATTGGTTACACTGAGGAAAGAGTTTGGGGTGGTAACTGCAGATCATTCGACGACCTTTTGTGCTGAGCTTGTCATAGCACGGACACCTATTTCCTGCTCATAATAAAACTAAATGTTAAAGACCTTTTTTATCTAGGACATGGATGTGTGGGTAAATTTGCCTGCAAAGCTGATATTTGGAGCCCAGAAGCATGGCTTCCATTGGTTCAGAAGTAGGCAAAATGTAAGGAGAGGATATTCTTGTCAGTGCCCTTGTTCTTGCCGATGTGTTGGAATTGTTTCCAAAATTAGATTCCAAGGACATAGTTGTTCATCCATTTTGTCTTCCACTCTAACGGTCATGGAAACCCTATGATGATATTAAGCAAGTTGCCAGTGGTGACAGTATGCAAGTTATTGGTGTCTAGCTGCACACTGATATGGGTAACTTTATCGTTTCTTTCGGGACATCTTATAACAATTTTTCTTCTTGTTTCCTTTTTTAGTTGCTGGGGAGGGGTGTTGTCAGTTTTAACAATTTCTTATTGGGAAAACTTCTCAATCGATTCCTAATGAGCAATTAAATTTAGAGTGAGAAACATTTTTGCTTGTGTCTGGAAAATTGAATATGAAATTGGATGCACTGTATTGGGCACTTAAAATAGTTATCGGAGTCTCTGTTATGTTTTCTTAGAGCCTTTTCTCCCTTCCATAATTATTTTATGCAGTTGCTAGCTTAAATATTACTCATTTTAATATATGTTAGTACAGTTGGTTTTGTACATTAGCAGCCTGGGTGAGTTGATGTCTTCTTTTATTTTCTCTCCTTTCATTGCATGTATCCAGTGGACCTGCGACCACTGCTTTGGATTAAAACTGTTTGTTATATTGGTTGTCCAGAGTCCAGACTATGCTTCTGTTGCCCAAAAAGTGTTACTTTACTTGGGATCATATAGAAAAGCCAGTACCCAAGTTAGAAGAAAGAGTTGGACTCCTAGAAGAAGGATCTTGCATGGATGCCACAATCCTTTCCTTAATGGTTCTTTGCAGCTTAAAATGCAGGAAAGCAAAGACTTTTGTACTTGAGATGTAATTTTGGGGACTTGTGTGGTTGAAATGCTTCATCTTTGGCGTACAAGTATGTGTAAGGAAACTTGTACTTGTATAAAAACTAATGCCTTGATGTTACGTACATTCTTTCTTTTCCCTTCATTGTTGGTTTATATTTCTGTTTATAGAATGGGAGATTTGCTTTCTTCTCTCTTTGTTCTTAAACTTTGCTCTACTGATATTATTTGCGTTCTTGGGTGATTCAATCGGTGCAATTTTAAATGAACAATTTGAATACTGATCTGTTTGAATCCTATGTGAAAAATATTTGAAACTGAAGTTAACTAGGGTTTTTCATTTGTTTGACAGAGTAAACAGCCAACCAAGTCTTAAGCAGATCTATATATAGTGCAATTCCAATCTAGAAACAATGTTTAGTTTTCACCCAAGGAAGCACTCTAGTGATCACATCCTGGGAAGTGCCATTAATTATACCCTTCCATGGTTTACCAAGTTCCTGGATGTAGCAGCACCTGAAATTCAGTGTTCTTCTCTTGTCGGTATTGTTCTTTATTTGAAAATCTTTGGACCTCCCTGATTTTTATATTATCAGGTTTGATTTTCTTGATTCTCTTTCCTTTTTTCCGTCTTTTTATTCCCTTCCTGGCTTTCAGGATACAATTGCAGTTCCTTGCTTATATTGTTTTGTTTAAGTCTACTTGGCTTGTTTGTGGTCTTCAAAGAAATAATAAACATACATGTCATTACCAGTCTCAGAGAAATAGATTTTGGAACATCAGTTTAGTAGTTTCTAAATTTAATTTTTTTAACATTTTAAAAAGAAAAATTCCCGTGGAAATGTTTGTTCAGCATTGTTTTTTTCAGGGCAAAGTTAGGAAGGGGTAGGAGAGTTTTCTCACAAACACCATCAAGGTGTCATGGACGTTTGAATCTAAGATCACTGGTCTGCAAGTCAAGTCCTTTTTCCACTAGGCTCGATCTCATTGAGATATTTGTTCAACATTTTAATCGTGCTGTTTTGTCTAGGGTTTCGAAATTCCAATTTTCTTGGAAAGCTTGCACTTTTTTCCTACAATGACACTTGCGATGTGCATCAAACACCGTCCTCAGGAAGCCATTTTAAAACCATTCTCCGAGTCTACTTATGACTTCAAACATTCAACGTTGAAAATTCATGTTGTTCACATGCAGCTGCCTAGTAGGAACGAAGCTACAAGGACTTGTAAAAGATGCAAATCTCGCCATTTCAACGGTCCCAATGATGTCCTTTGGTTGTTATGCACCATGCAATTTCATTCATAGTTTGCTTTGTAAAATGCCCCTATATGAAAATTTCAATAAAGGGTTCTAGAATGAACGGCCAGGATCATCCCATCGATTACTCAGGGGCTTCTAAGAAGGAGACAAGTGGACCAAACCAAAGACACAGTAGCTAGAAATTCAGATTCAGATCCTCCTAACAAATGGAGACCGTCAGTGCCAACAAGACTCTGCAAATAATACAACATATGTTGTGGAAAACTAAAAACTAAAATCCAAGGCCATCAGTTTATGTGGCTCCTAATAGCTCTTGAACTCTCTCTCACACTGCTATCCAATAAACAAACCAAAGGCTCTCAAAATTACACCAAAAATATCCCCTCCCTTTTCCACAATAAAAGGCCATTAACAACAACTCTCACAACTTCTAACAAGCAAAACATTAAAGCCCGCAAATTTTCACACAGATTAGAGCATAGTTTCTGGTTCTTTCTTTTTCAATGGCAACTTCAATTTCTGCAACTGGGTTTAAAGGAAACTTGTGTTCCTCATTCCATGGAACTTGGGCAACTTCAATGGTGGGGGAAGATTATGCCATGCTGGTGAAATCAGTGCCAAGCCATGTGAGAGTTGGGAAGCCAATCAGAGCACAACCCATGATGAAGAACGTCAATGAAGGCAAAGGTATCTTTGCACCTGCTGTTGTTGTTGCACGTAACATCATTGGCAAGAAGAGGTTCAACCAAATTAGGGGCAAAGCTATTGCTTTGCACTCGCAGGTAATTAATATGGTCTTAATTCCCTTTCTCACTAGCTTTGAGTTAGTCTACACTAAGCTTAGCAGTAAATTAATTCTCTCTTTGGAAACTTGGCTAAACTAAACATGTTTGGGAGGTGCCAACAGTGCTTCTAGATAATTAAAAGCGGTTTTCACAATGTTTTGCCAAAGATTAGACGAAATAGATTTTTGCAGTTACAGAAGTAGAGCCTCGTAGGTGAGAAGTAGAGTCTAGTAGGTTCTTCTTCATAAAACACTTCCAGATAAACTAATGGAAACACTGAAGTTTTTAACAAAAAAAGATTGTGTGGTTCTAAACAAAAGCGCTATACATATACACTCCCAAACATGGAATGAAATGAAATGGTATTTAGAATTGCGGGGCATATAATTAAAGCTGCAAAATCTTATTGTGTAATCATAGTAAGAGTTCGACTCTCGTCCTCTGTCAAACCACAAAAAAAGAAAATTTCATAATAAATAATTATAATAAAGATTTGGTATTTATATAATTTGTTAACAAGTTTGACACGTATTTCTCTGCAGGTAATTACTGAGTTCTGCAAATCCATAGGAGCTGACGCGAAACAAAGGCAAGGACTGATTCGGCTGGCGAAGAAGAATGGAGAAAGGCTAGGGTTCCTGGCATGAGAAAGAAATCAGTAGAGCATGCATGCCTCCATTTTGTTGTCTCCACTAGAAATTTATTGTTATAGTTAATTTCATACTTCATTCCCAAGGACTTCCAGATGCATATACTCGTCCAGCTGGGATTTCCTGAACATCTTTCAGAATGTAAAATTTGTTGTCTGCTCCTCCATATTCATCTCCATCTCCCTCTCCATCTCCATATATTATATAATGCAGTTGTCATGATCATTCTCCAGTTTAGTTGCAATTAAAACTGAGGAATTCGCTTAAAATTCACTTTAAAAGTGATTACATGGAGAATCTCCCTATATTATATGGAGAAGCGTGTGGCCACAATAAAGTCATCATGCACTACTCCCCTATAAAAACATAAATTTGTAAGGAAAAAATTGCACGTTTCCTTTATAAAAACATAGAGGAGTGCAGGCATGAATTCAGACCCCGAGTGCATGCAAATCTTTAATGGCTCATTGGCTACGCAACGTCTATCTATAAGAGGCTTAAATAGACAGACATGGAGTTAGCCAAGTTGACAAGAGCACATGTAGACTTGAACCATTCAATTATCAATTCAAATAAATCACAAGTGTATTACAAACTAAACATACTTTTTAAGTATACTATAGAAATATTCAATATTACAAACAAAACTTAATCAGTACTTGATAAAATTTTCAAAAACCGGAACATAAAGAACAAGATCATAGTACACTAGAGAAAAATAAGTTGACAAATGTTTCCTCCAGCTTTTCTCAACAAAAAATTTGTGACGGTGTTCACAACTTTGGTAATGGAGAGCGAAGACCCGTGCAACAAAACAATTGAGGAATAATCAAACATTGTATCGAGGCTTTGCTGATCTTTCCCTTTTAGAATCGTCCTGCAATAAGAGAAGAAGTGAGAAATAGAACATCAAAATCAAATAACACTTTCAACAAAACATTGAAAATTAAAATCAAATAGCACCGAATAAAATTTACATGGAAGCTGTAGGTGATCTTATCAGTGACATCGATTATCTCCTTCCACTTCCTCCCAATGCCCATCTACATGACAAGATAACAAATTCAGCCACTTGTCCAGATTTCAAATTTGCAACAAAACATGGGACTACAAAACTGTAATGGTTACGCTCTAACCAAAAAAGTGGAATATCAGTTGTGAGACTGTACAAGTAAAAATCAGAGTAGTATAATAAGAGAACTGGTATAAATACTACAAACTGATCTATGCTCTGTTGAACGTATATGCCTGACTCCTAGGGGGAAGGTTCTATACATCAGCCTGGCCAGGTGTCATTTATCGTTCTTTTCTTTTTTCATTAAGTCTACAGCTTATGGCCTCAACTTCAACCTCCCTCTCATTGCTGGAGATCCATTTCTTTTACAAACAGGTCTTGGAGAGCCTTTGTAAAGATAATAATATGACATTGATGAAGATTTTAGCAGATTTGATTTCTCCTTTTCAACTTATCTTTTCTGTTTAAAAAATCACAGCCACTATAAGTGTTTCGATTGTCTAATTTTCTCTTTATTCTTTTTTCTTCAGGGAACAAATGTTTGAGGTTTTAATTTTCCTTTGGTTAAGCATTTCCATTTAAACAACACGCACAAAGCACCCAGCAACAAACACTCATATCAATATAACAAAGACTGTGGTGAAGATTCGAATATGTTGGGGCTTTAACCCTAGTGCTGTTTAACAGCAGAGCAGATGAAGAATCATCAAAAGAGTAAAATAGATCAACCAAACCCACTAACTTAAAGTGTAATTTGAATCACACACACCTGGGCAGCCTCGTTTGCAGCATTCCTAGTCCATAATGCAAGTTTGTCCTGCCTCTGGCGCACACTTGCTACCACCCCGCAAATCTCATCAGCCTCATCAAATTGCTCTCCAATCAGTGCCATCAACTATCCAATGAAATAAGAGCCCATATTATCAGAATTCAAATAAACCCTAATGTAACATGAATCAACCTAGTGCTTAGTCCAATACACACAAAGTCATCTTCAGCCCACAGTGACCAAGATACATCAACTGTTCTCACTGATGGGCAGATGATGAGAGTAATACTCAATGTCCATATAGTTTGGCATGGTATGTTGCACTGTCAATCAAGACAGTTAAGTAGGTGAAATCAAATCTCAATGTATTCCTTCATTCAATATCTGGCAACATAGCATGCCAGACTCTCATTCCTCTACATATGTGTGCATTAATATAATGAAAAATGATGAGGAAAACAACAACTCACGGTCTCTAGCCACATGGTATCAAGGCTGGCCTTACTCCTGCTGGTGACAGTCCACTTCCCTCCATTAGCACACTCAGGATCCTCCCATTTTGGTTCAACCCCAGCCCTGAACAAGTGGAAATCTGCATTTGGTGGAAACTTGCTCGGCTTGAATACCTGATCATACAGACTGCAAATACATTTCGCATCTCAAATTAAAATTGAGGGATTGGAATCAGATTAAAGTCCTGAACTTGAATCATACAACCAAGGTTTGTGGGTCCAAAATTACAAATTTAGAACAATCTGCTAGCATTTTTGTTTTGCCAAATTAACGGGAGAAAGGGAAAAGAGAGAGGAGAGAGAGAAGGAGATCAGTTAAGTGAGAGGTGAGAGATGAATAAAAAGTATAGAATGGTTTTAAAACCTAAAACATAAAGCTTTAAATATTTTTATATCTTTAATTTTAATTCAATACATTCCTAATCATTCCTTCCTCACCTCTATCATATGTGTTCTCTCTTCCCTTTCCTCTCAGTCTCTCCCCTCAAACTTTAATTTAAATTAATAGAATGAAACTATAACAGGATGGAAAAAAAAGAAACTAAAAACTAAAAGAGGCTACGAAATCAAAAGACTAACTGGGTATCGTATTTGACCGGATCAACTAGAATTGTAAGCTAGACATTAAAGCAGGAAAAGATTAACCACAAGGAACAAGGTTAAGAACGTTGGAGCTAGCACTTTTTGTATCAAAGGGAACAAAAGCCCCATCAAGCAATGCATAAATTAAAAAATTCAACCATTTATTTTCCTCTAGATATTCTGGCAAGTTTTCTAATTTTTGGAAACAAATTGACCTATATTCCAATACATTACTTGGCTTAACAGAAAGTTTCACCAAAATTTCCCCAACCAAACAGAAGATAAGGGCATATCAGTTACCAATCAACAAACATGAAAGATCAGCACAAACCCACATCACTAAAAAAAGTAAACAATCTGAAAACACAAAGCAAAAAACAATACAGGGAAGCATAAGAAAACCAAAAAACAAAAGGGGCGGAGATGGGGATTAGGTTTAGATTATGTTATGCATACCACCAGAATTCTTGAACGGTTTCGAAGGTGTAGGCCTTGCGAAGAGAGGAACCCCAAGCAGCACCTTGCTTGGGCTTGGATTGGTTATCGAACCAAAAGGTCCACTTCCTCTCCAGCTTGTGGGGCCCACTGCTCGGCTGTATCTTTGCCTCGGCTGCCGCCGCCTCTAACCCACTATTTTCCTCAGCGTCTAATTGTGGTGGCGGCGCTGCTGCTGCTACCTCTGTCGCCATTGTTGTCTTGTGGAAACCTTTTTGATTCGTCTGTATGTCTCTCGGGGTTGTGTTGTTTGGAAGAAAAAGAAGAGGAGGAAAAGAGAGGCTTGCTTTTTTCGCAGTCGGGCGTTTATATTGTGGAGAATCCGCGGGCCTGCGATTTTGCCCTGACTTGATACGGTGGGTCGGCCCGAATGTAGAATCCTGTAGTGAGGACTTATTTAAGCCCTGATATGAGGCCATATCTTTTAATCATTAGATCAAATTAATTAGTTATTGAATTAAATTAATTATTTTAATATAAAGATTAAGAGATAAGACCCTATTTAAGGATCTTAGATAACACTCTCACTATAAAATGACTCCGGCCCAAATGTACCTAACTAAATGGGCCGAACACCAATCTCACAAACTTGAAAGATCTCTACACGTTATTTTTCCTAATTAGTCACTTTAGTACCACTTCAAAAATCGAAAATATATATTAATGTGCCACTAATATCAAAGTAAAGGGGGAAAAAAAGGACAAGCATATGAATTGTGCAAAATTCCCATGTGGATTCTCTTATGTGAGGCGTTTATACTACTCATAAATGGTTAGACTGAAGCTGGTTGGTTTATGACAACTTAGGCTTTTTGAAGCAGCGTCTCTTTCTTTTTAATATGTATCCACAAGCTATGTTCGCTTTTGATGTTTCATCTGCCTTTAGTCCCCTGTCATTGGACTCATGCTTGTTTGTATTTGGTGCTTTGTATGCACCCTGGTTTTATTCAAGTACCAGTTTGTCCAAACAAAAAAATGTTGGATTGAGGAGAATTAGATTTCGAATTCCTATTGAAGTTGTATATTAAACCATATGGATTGAGGGGAGTTAAATTCCAGATTTCTATTGAAAATGTTTACTAAACCATATGGAATTTGAATAGAAGTGGTACTAATTAGTAAAATGTCGTCGTTGTTAGGTTAAAGTAGATGACAAATTTGGAATTTTTAAAATTGTGTGATGATATAATGGGTATAAAAAAAATAAAAATAAAAATAAAAAAAGAATTCCTAATAGGTTACTTCTCCAGGAATTAGAATATCACATCCCACCCAAGAATTCAATTCCTAATTTTGTGTAAGCCCCACTTACTTTCAATTCCTTGATGTGAAGTAAACGTAGGAATCCTCCATATGGGGAATTCAATCCATGATGAGAATTCCAATTCCTGATTAGTAAACACTAATGGCATGTTTACTAATTCGTAATTGGATTAGAATGAATTGAATTGAGGAGGAGTTGGATTGAGGAGATTTAGATTCCGGATTCCTATTGAAGTTGTTTACTAAACCATATGAATTGAGGGGAGTTAGATTTCGGATTCTTATTGAAGTTGTTTACTAAATCATATGGATTGAGGGGAGTTAGATTCTAAATTCTTATTGAAGTTGTTTACTAAACCATATGGAATTGGGATATGAGTGGTACTAATTACTCAAATGTTTTCATTTTTTGGTTAAAGTAGATAGCAAATTTGAAATTTTGAATATTGTGTGAGGATATAATGGGTAAACAAGATGAATTCCTAATGGGTTAGTTCTCTAGGAATTATAATATCACCTCTCACCCAAGAATAATTCTTCCAAAATCAAGAATTCAATTTCTAATTTCGTGTGGGCCCCATTTACTTTTCAATTCCTTGATGTGAAGTAAACGTAGGAATTCTCCATATACGGAATTCAATTTAATCATGAGAATTCCAATTCCTAATTACTAAACACACCATCAGTGTAATTCATTCAAGTAAGACACTCGATTTCGCGTAGAGCTTGGTTTTCTAGTTCTAGTGTGTCGTCCCTGGCTTGGAAGTGTTATCTCTGATCCTTTCCTTTCCTTCGGAGAGTTCTCATCCTTGGACTTTATGGTTTTTGTAGAATTGTCAGTAATATGGCATGAAACACATTGTTTGTGTATGTCTGTACTTAACGAAGTTATGATTCTTCAGAGCTGATGCTCGTTCTGCTTTGATCCTGTTTTTATTTCCGATCACCGCTCATTTTCTGAAACAAAATGACCAAACACAAGCAAATAGATTGCACAAGATGTTGATCATATTTTCAAATAGATACTCTAATGCTGCTGAAACGTCCATACAACCTAGGATTTGGAACATGCTGCTGTTTCAAGTACTACATATGGTAATTTCTTCAATCTATCAGAAAGAAACATCTTAATTATTTGGGATTTACGTGTTCCTTGGAGATCAGTGGTAACAAATTCTTGGTAATGAAGACTATCATGTCCCAGAACCAAAAAGTAGGATCCAGTATTATCATCAAGTACAATATCTGTTCATCATAAGAGTATTATTCTTAGAAGGGTCCATGCCAAGTTCTTGAGAATCCATATCACGGGATCAGCTATAGATAAGTCTAAAGCACAAAGCCTGATTGCAAGAAATACCATACGGGACGAACGAGAAATTACCAGGACTTGATAAGAAAGCACATGGCATAGGGATTTAGCTGGCTCTAATATTTTGTTTACCTTCTCTTCCATTTTACTGTCCTTCGTTTCTCCTGCCAAAAAGAGAGATTCAAATGTCAAAACTGGAAGCTAAACCATACAGAAGGGACATATTTTTCTCCCTAATATGATAGATAGAAATGAGATTTGTATTGTCACTAAGCATATGATTATGTAACTAAACCTTCAGCTACAGATATTGATGGCATCAATACACTTGTGACACAAGATTTTGGAATTCTTGCAACAATGGGTGGAGAAACATCTTGGTGTTCCTCTGTAGATAAAATCCAATGTCAAATCACCCAATGACCACTAAATACTCCAGAAAAATAAAAGGATGAACAAACATATTCTTTCCTAACATTAAGGAATTGCATCATTCTTTTGGAGGAAGGATTGATCATAGGAGTAAATCAATCAAACAAGCTCCAAAAACTCAATCGGAAATCAGACATTTAAACTGAGACTTCTTTTGTCTGAGGAAAACATATCACAAACTTTTATATCCCGAGTTCACACTGATTGGAATCAACTGATAAACTGATCGCCTAAATAAATAAGAAACAGAAGTCTAATTATAATAAAGTACATTCTTCTTCATTTCAAATGTATGGAATTTGGCATGACACACTTTCATGACCCTACCATGTATGCATAATTGCAGAGTTAAAGAGTACAGACCATTTGTATATTTTTGTGAGAGAGAGTGAGACCGACAGAGAACGTGAATTTCCTTTTTCATTTATCTGGAGTAGTAAGGATTGGTCATAGGTGTAAATCAACAATACAAGATGTGATAACTCAAACTGAAATTAAACATTTAAACTGAGACTTCTTTTGTCTGAACGAAAACATATACTGAATTAATGTCCTAAGCTTCATTAACGATACAAACTTAGACCACGAATGATACAAAAAGATGCAATTTGATAGTTTCGTAAACATTAGGGACATTTTGTGATATTAAGCATTTTTCAAAAAGGAAATAGTACAGCCGCTCAGTTATACACGGTTTTTTTCCTTTTAAAAAAATAAATAAATAAATAGTATGGCCGCACGGCTATACTCCATTTTTTAATTTTTAAGAAGAAATAGTACAGACGGGCGGCTACACTAGGTTTTTAAATTTTTTTAGCTATACATTGTTTTTTTCTAATTTTTTAAAAAGAGAAATAGTATAGACGATCGGCTAAACTTGGTTTTTAAAATTTTTTTCCATAAAAAACGTGTAGCCTTCCTAATTTTCGAAAAAGAAATAGTATAGCCGAACGGCTATACGTGCTTATTTATTTATTTTTTTAATATAGTATAGCCAGTCGGCTATACTCGGGTTTGTAAATAATTTAAAAAGAAATAGTAATGCCGCGCGGCTATATGGTGTTTTTTTTTCTTAGAAATAGTATAGTTGGACGGCTATACCCTGTCTTCCTCATTCCAAATGCAGGGAATATCGCATGACACACTTTTCCTGATCCTCCATGTAGGTTTAATCACAGTTCTAAAGAGTAGACCATTTGTATATTTTTGCAAGAGGTTTGATATCAACAGAGATAATGAACATCCATTTTTGTTGTCTTTTGTTTGTTCTTAACAAAGTTATGATTCTTCAAAGCTGATGCTCGTTCTGCTTTGATCTTGTTTTTATTTCCGATCACCGCTCATTTTCTGAAACAAAATGACCAAACACAAGCAAATAGATTGCACAAGATGTTGATCATATTTTCAAATAGATACACTAATGCTTGGCGCCAAAAAAAATTAACCCGGGTTTTTCTTCCCCACTTTGCGCGACGATTTGTTTGTTTGTCGTGCTAAGTATCTTTGCGCGACCAAATATTTCGTTGCGCAAGATTTTGTAGTTTTGCGCGACAAATTTGTTTTTCGGTCACATGAGTGAATTTTGCGCGACGAATTTGTCTTCGTCGCGCAAATAGTAAAATGTAGTAGTGATATTGGGTAGTCAAGCATATGATGTTAGTTGTGTAAGCGATAATGTAAATATTGTTAGTTGCTTACACAACTTTTTTATTGACTGTATTGTGGAGGACATTATCGCATTGCTTAAAAGATTTGCAGCGCACCAGTTCATGCTACTTTTAGATATGCAGATGGGGCTGCTCGTAGAGTATCACAATTATGCCCTACATAGAGGTGGCCCTGCGTTTGTTGGAAGATTTTTGTTTTTCTTTTTTGGGTACTGTGGAGGTTATCTTTAAAATAAAAAATATAAAAAATGGGGCATCCAGCTACAATGATCCAAGTCATCACATTCACATCAGCTTAAGATAAGGTTTTCTTTTTCTTCAATTATACAACTTGCATTGGATGGTGTGTGCTGTCGAAAAAGTTAAGATAAGGTTTTCTTTTTCTTCAATCATACAGCTTAAGATAAAGAAATTGCTCTACCGACAAGGAGATATTCTCATCAATCAATCTAAAAACTAGATCTGGTTTACTTGTTTTCGTTTTGGCCAAGAGAGAGTAAGCAAGTAGAGAGAATGGCTGAGGCAGTTGTTTCCGTTGTGCTCGAAAGTGTCAGAGACTTCACCATTCAGGAAGCCAAGTTCTTGTCTGGAGTCAGCCATCAAGTTGAGGTTGCACAAAATGAGCTGCAATTGATGCAGGGCTTCCTAAAAGATGCAGATGCAAGACAAGGACAAGATGAAACAGTTCGTATTTGGGTTGCCAAGATTAGAGATGCTGCGTATGATTTGGAGGATGTCATCCAAACTTATGGCTTGAAAGTGGATTCCAAGAAGAAGAAAAGAGGCCTCAAGAATGTTCTCAAAAGATTTGCCTGCATCTTCGAGGAAGGGGTTCATCTTCACAGGATTGGGGAAGAAATTGAGAATGTCACTACCAAAATTTCTGCGTTGAGATCGAGTTTGCAGAGTTATAACATAAAGGAAATAAGGGACAGGGACAGCGGTGGTGGTGAATCTTCGTTGCAATTGCATGAGAGGCAAGGACTACTCAGGCGAAGTTATTCTCATGTTGTTGAACGTGATGTTGTTGGGATAGAGGACAACGTAGAAGGATTGGTAATGCATGTATTGAAGGATGAAAATCGTCATCAAGTTGTATCTATTTGGGGGATGGGCGGTTTAGGGAAGACCACCCTTGCAGGACAGGTTTATCATCACAAAAAAGTAAGGCAGCATTTTCATAGTTTTGCTTGGGTCTGTGTATCTCAACGGTGTCAAGTAAGAAATGTTTGGGAAGGAATTCTGTTTAAACTGATTTCTGCTACCAAGGAACAAAAACAAGAAATTAAGGAAATGACTTATGATGAAATAGCAAAGAAGCTTTTTCTTGTCATGAAAGAAATGAGATGTTTGGTGATTCTTGATGACATTTGGAGTATCGAGACATGGAATCTTTTGAAGGTTGCATTTCCAAACGTGGAAACAGAGAGCACAATACTGCTTACTACACGGAATCAAGCAGTAGCTTCGCTCCCAAATAGAAATGTTTTTCGCTACAAACTCCAGCCACTCAATGAGAATGAGAGTTGGGAACTACTAGTGAAGAAAGCAATACCTGCAAGGGCTGAAATCGGTATTTTCTCACCCTTCATCTTTTCTTTTCCAGTAACTTAGTTAAATAGCGAGCCACACATATGACACAACTTATGTAGTGTTTTTTCAGTCATTGTTGGGATTACCCTTTACAATTTTTGAACATTGTCCAACATGTGGCAATTTTTGGGAGGAAAAAAACATTAACGTGTAGCAATTTCATAACTTGGTCACACATTTGTTAGGTAGTTTATCTTATGCAATTGCAAATAATAATCAGGATAATTTTAGCTAATTCAAAATTTTCTCCCAGCCTCCTCTTCAATCCAACAATATCCCATACGTTTTATGAGTTGGTGCAGATTTAATTTTTAAATGTTTTCCATTTGGCATGTATTATAAAATCCAAACTTATAATAAGATAAAGAATATTAGTAAATTTCAGGATTTCACAATTTTAATTTTAAATCATTCGAGCAAGGAATATCCACTACGATTGCTCACACTACAAGTTCATATTTAATTTTTTTTTTCTTTCCTATTTTTTCAGACTTGGGAATGTATAGAGACTTAGGAAGGAAGATGCTTCATTATTGTAAGGGTTTGCCATTAGCCATCACTGTGCTTGCCGGAGTTCTAGTAAGAAAAAACTCCATTAGAGAATGGGAGAGAGTATATGAGAATGTTCATGAATACATAAGCAGAGGCATAGGTCATGAAGAAGAATATGGAGGTGTATCACAAGTGTTGGCATTGAGTTATGATGACCTACCGTATTACTTAAAACTATGTTTTTTATATTTAGGTCATTATCCTAAAGACTCTGAGTTTTTGGTGAGCGAATTGACTAAGTTATGGGTGGCAGAAGGTCTTATCTCCTTGAGACTACAAAGACATGGTTCGAGGGAAACAATGGAGGATATAGCACGTGATTGCTTAAGTGAGTTGGTGGAAAGGTGTTTGGTTCAAGTGGGAACAAGTGGTTCAACAGGAACAATTAAAGGTTGTCGAATCCATGATCTTGTACGAGACATGTGTTTGTTAAAGGCAAAAGAGGAAAGCTTTCTCCAAATGCAAGAAAATAATTCTTCTGTGGCAGCCGAGGCAGAACAATTGGGGAAAATTCGAAGACTTGCAATTTACTTGGATGAGAAGGCAGATAGGTTGGTTTCTTCAAGAGATGAAACAAATGGGCACGTAAGGTCTCTATTATTCTTTGGCCTAAGAGAATGGAGGCCAAAAAATGAAAAAGGATTACTTTCTCCATTGATGGATTTCAAAGTGCTTAGAGTTTTGAAGGTGGAAGGTATTTATGAAGTAGAAGTTGAGTTGCCAAGTGAAATTGGAAATATGGTACACTTAAGGTTTCTAAGTGTGAATGATAGCGGTATCAAAACGTTTCCGCCATCCCTAGGTAATTTAGTATGCTTGCAAACTCTTGATTTTCGTGTTTCAAGTTATATTGACATGGTCATCCCAAATGTGATAAAGAAGATGAAACAATTAAGACATTTATATTTACCCTGGGATTACAGAGCAAAGGGTAAGCTGGAGCTGTCTACTCTTGGCCATCTACAGACCTTATATAACATTTCAAGCAAGTATTGTGATTTGAAAGATGTTGGTAGATTAACCAATCTTAGAAAACTGAAAATAAGTCTGTCAAGCTCTTTGCAAAATCTAGAGGAAATCTTAAAATCTACAGGCAGTACGCTTAACCGTATCCGGTCTCTAATTTTTTGGAACAATTCTGAAACGAATAGCAGTGCAGAGCAAGCTATGCAAATAGTATCAAGCTGTCGGGGTATATACAAATTGACGCTGGAAGGGCCAATTGCAGAATTACCGAAAGAGCTCCACAACTATCCAAACCTCACCAAGTTAGTATTGTGGAATTGTGGTCTCAAGGAGGACCAAATGGGAATACTAGGGAAGCTGCCAAACCTAACAATTTTGAAGCTTGTAGGAGAAGCTTTCGAGGAGAATACAAAGATACTGGTTTTCTCTAAAGGAGGCTTTCCTTCTCTTCAATTTCTTGATGTTTTGGCTTGGCTGGAATAACAGAGTTGAGGGTAGAGGAAGGAGCCATGCCTAGTCTCTGCCGATTGAGCATCCAAGTTACTAATCTTAGGGAATTAACCATCAGAGGGATGCGTAGAGAACTCCACCGTCGGATTGAGGAAGATGGAGAGGATTTCTATAAAATTCAACATGTACCTTCCCTTGTAATTGAAGAACCATTCGATTAACCACCACTGATGCAATGATGGCAAGGTAATTTCTTTCCTTTAATTGTTTAATTTTAAAGCGAAATGGGTGGTTTGGTTTGTGTTGATTAGTTAAAAAATGAAGCAGCGAGAGAATATTAAAGTAGAAAAGCCAACAGAAGATGGGCTCCCTTGTTTAGCTATGTTTTCTTTGTCCATTTTTATTGCTTTTTGCTTGTGCTTGTGACTTGTGTTGTGAGTGAGAAGCTTAAAATTCCTTACTTTGAGGCCAAATATCTTATAATAATATTTGATTTGTTTTCTTTGTCCATTTTGATTGCTTTTTTGATTGTGCTTGTGAGTTGTGAGTGAGAAACTTTAATGTAAAAGCCAACAGGTTAAATTTCCTTATTTTATTACTTATAAACTTTAATATGATAATTCTATCGCATTCCAAAATCTTATAATAATATTTCAAGGCCAACAGGTTAAAATACATCACCGTTAGATTTAGATGCTCCTTTTATATGATGTTTTCCATGAGGATACAAAGATACTGGTTTTTTCCAAAGGAGGCCTTCCTTCCCTTGAATTTCTTTTTGTTGGTAGTATGGGCCAAATAACAGAGCTGAGGGTAGAGGAAGGAGCCATACCTCGTCTCTGTCGATTTTTCATCCAATTTTGCTTGCGATTGACTACACTTCCAGATGGGCTGAGATATCTTACTAATCTCAGGGAATTAAACATCACAGGAATGCGTAGAGAACTCCACCGTCAGATTGAGAAAGATGGAGAGGATTTCTATAAAATTCAGCATGTACCTTCCCTTGTAATTGGAGAACCGTCCCCCTACTCCTAACCACCACCGATGCAATGATGGCAAGGTAATTTCTTTCTTTTAAAATTTTTAATTTTGAAACGAAATGGGTGCATTTTAAAGTGGTTTGTATTTATCAGTTATAAAAAGAAGCAGAGAGAGAATAATATAAAAAGTAAAGAAATATGGGCGCACAGAATATGGTGCTCCCTTGTTTAGCTATGTTTTCTTTTTCCTTTTTTATTCTTTTTTTTTTTTTTTTTTTTTTTTTTGTTTTTTTTTTTTTTTTTACCTCTTTACACCTAGTTTTCCTTGTTTTTCGACCATTTATAATTCCATCGCATTCTGAATTCAAGTTTTCGTAGTTCCATATGGGAATCTTATAAGAAGTATTTGTCTCCATTGGATTTTTTTTGCAAGTCAAGTAACAGTTGAATATATATTTCTGGCATTTGAGACTCTTTGAAATGTCAAATCTTTCCCTTGTCATGTGAGAAACAATTAGAAAGCTCCTGTAGATAAGCAATAGGATTTTCTTTATACTTGATCACGTTAACAACTTATCTCTCGTTGTTTTAGTAAAAAGGCTAACACATACCCAAAACGTATGTAAAACACAAAGCTTAAATACATACTCTCTTTTTGGCATATTGGATAAACTATTACGTACAAGAGTACTAGCTTAAAATGAGTGTTTTTCTTTTCGAAATGTTGTACAATTTTACTACTATGTTTATATTGGAATGCAATTTTAAAGTGAAAATGGGTGGTCGGTTTGTGTCTATTGGTTATAAAATGAAGCATCGAGAGAATATTAAAGTAGAAAAGCCAACAGAATATGGGCTCCCTTGTTTAGCTATGTTTTCTTTGTCCATTTTTATTGCTTTTTGCTTGTGCTTGTGACTTGTGTTGTGAGTGAGAAGCTTAAAATTCCTTACTTTGAGGCCAAATATCTTATAATAATATTTGATTTGTTTTCTTTGTCCATTTTGATTGCTTTTTTGATTGTGCTTGTGAGTTGTGAGTGAGAAACTTTAATGTTAAATTTCCTTATTTTATTACTTATAAACTTTAATATGATAATTCTATCGCATTCCAAAATCTTATAATAATATTTCAAGGCCAACAGGTTAAAATACATCACCGTTAGATTTAGATGTTCCTTTTGAAATTTAGATGTCCTTTTGAAGTCAATCAAGTAAGAGTACGTTGAATATTTATGTGCATTTCAGAATCTTTCCATTGCTACGCGAACAACAATTAGAAAGCTCCAGCCCATAAGCAAAATGTTCTTCTTCTTTTTTATAGTTGATTATGTTAACTATATATACTCTCTTTTTTGGCATACCAGATAAACTATTACGTACAAGAGTACTAGATTGAAATGAGTGTTTTTATTTTCAAAATGTGGTAAGATATTACTACTATATATATATATTCATTTTGGAATGCACGTTTTGACAAGTAAACTGCTGAATTTGTGTTATGGTAGCTAGCTACATGTAGGAACTGATATTGAGAAAGTATGTTGATGCTCTGCAGCAGAGGGAGCATGTGCGAAGCTGAACTTACCTGGAGAAGAAAGAAATGCTCTGTGAAATCAAGAGAAGCAAAGATGTGGTCAAGTAGTTTAAAGTTCATTACAAGTTTTTGTGTCTAGTGATTGTCCAACAGTACATTTATATTACACAACTGAAATGATTGTATTATATTAAAATTTGTATTTGTATTCCTCTGTCGTGTCTGCTTTCAATTATGAATTTTCAGTAATATGGCATGGAACACAAGGGTGAATTTCCATTTTCATTTATCTGGAGTAGTAGGGATTGGTCATAGGGGTAAATTAACAATACAAGCTCTGATTACTCAAACTGAAATCAAACATTTAAACTGAGACTTCTTTTGTTTGAGCAAAAACATATACTGAACCAATGGCCTGAGCTTCTTCAGTCGTTGGTGTTTAGGACCATGAAGTGAATGGCTCTGAATTTTGGGATTGTTCAAAGAGATGGGACTAAATTGCTTTCTGGGTCTCCCTCTTGTTCTATAATCTAATCATGATGGAAAGTAGGAACGTGCAAGGAATCATTCCTCTGGTGTTTGTGCAATTTTACCACCCCATAAACTTAAAGGGCAAGACCCTTTGTGAATGTATTTTAATAATTTTAACAGAAATAGTATGGCCGCGCGGCTATACTAGGATTTTTTCTTTTGTCGAACACCGAAATAGTATAGCCACCAGATACTGCACAACTTAGCAACGATTAATATGGTCTTCGAATAAATATAAGTACTCGAAAATTAAGTAACACCCAGAAAACTACGACCAGCAATTTGAAACATCAACAGAGCCAAAAAGAAGATGAAAATGATGTCAGGAGGGTGTTTGGGAACCAAGAATTTTGAGAAATTTGAAAAAATTAGGGTTTCAGAAATCAAAATCAGGTAGCAAAAATGCAAAGACGATGAGATCGATGAATAAGATGATATCACGACATCAGAAAAACTGTAATCGACAATGCAATTGTAAACAGAAAAAAACCCAAACTTTCAACAGTATATGAGATGAAAGTTAAAAAAAACCCAAAAATCAAAAGGGATTAGAACATTGATGGGAAGTTGAAAGCATACCTAAAGAAATCAAATACAAGCTCTGAAGCTCAGGCGTTGTTGCAGGGTTTTGATTCTTTTGCTTTCCTGATCTCAACTGGAATATTTATAATCGAGTTGGGAAAATCCTGTGGGTTCAGAAAATAAAAAGAAATAAAAGATAGAGATGAGAAATCAAACCACCACCGCTATCATCCGATGGAGACTAACTTGGAGAAAATAATAAGGCAGAACCCACCACCAGGAACTGCCATTGATGAACCTCAACCAGTGATGACAAAAATCCCCGTCATACCGGGTTCCGATTTCGAGTTAAAATTGGGGACAAGTAAGGAGGTCCCCGAATATTAGTGTTTTATTATTTTAAGGAATTTTTATTGTTTTTATTGACACATCAACACAAATGTGGGTCCCTCACTTTCCACATCATCAACTTAAGAGAATACCATATAGTCAAATTGACGGAATATGTAAATTGAACAAATCTTAAAACGTTGAGGTGCAAATTTATGAAATTGAAATCCTATTGCCCATTTTGATAATGCCCCCAAACCTATAGGGGGCAAAATTTAGTCCTAATTCTTTTAGTAGAAATGTCATCTAAACTTATACTTTAATTTCAATTTGTTACCTTAAAGAAAAATTTAAGAGAAATGTCATCTTAATTTTTCAAATTCCATAATTTGTCATCTGACTCTAAACATCATCCAATTTTCCATCCATTTTAGAAGGTATTTTACTCTTTTCATTTTCAAGAGTATTTTAAATATGGAAAATTCATTATTAAAAAATTGTATTTTTTAAAAAAAAATCTCACATTCCCCCATCCCATGTGCGCCACCAGCGGTTCCAACCAACCTCGCCCACCTTGAAATCCATTCCCTCTTCACATCCCCTTTCTCCATTCCCCCTTCCCTCTTCCCCTTCCTCCTCTCTCTACCATGGAACACTTACCCTCCACACACAAATTCCCTCGGCCCACGCAAACCGAGTTCACCTTTTTCTTCTTTTTTTTATTTTTGGTATTTTTTCATTTGCATATTGAAAATTTGTGGATGGAGAGAGAGAGAGAGAGAGAGAGAGAGAGAGAGAGAGAGAAGTGGGGGGAGGGGGGTCCTGTGCGATGTGTTTTGGGGGCGGGTGAGAGAGAAAGGGAGAGAGATCTCTTTTTCCTCCTTGAAAATGGAAAACTGAAATACTCTAAAATAGATGGAAAATTGAATGGTGTTAAAGTCAAATGACAAATGATGAATTTTGAAAAATTAAGATGACATTTCTCTTAAATTTTTCTTTAAGGTGACAAATTAAAATCGAAGTATAAATTGAGGTGATATTTCTAAAAAAAAATACCTATTATTTGTTTGAGTTTGGTAGCTGAAAGTCAAGCAGACCATAAAATAATCGCAGAATACAGCACAAGGAGGGTGGCCAAGTGTAAGATGCCTATCAAACAAGATCTGCATGCCCTTCTCACATTTAGCCACAACTTGCCCTTCAAAATCAGGTGTTGTTTGCATCACTTGCCACGCAAGATACTCAAGACTTTCTCATTTGCCTTTGCTTCTTTCTCTCTCTCTCTTTCTCTCTCACGCAAGATACTCAAGAATTTCTCATTTGCCTTTGCATTTCTCTCTCTCTCTCTCTCTCCTTCCTCCACCGCTAGCTCTTTATAAAAGCAAAGTTGAGCTAGCCAGTCTCCTCTGTGCCTCCGTATGCCATAGAGACAGAAGAAGAAAAAAATTCAATATTCATATATCATGGCTGCTGTGATGGAGGGTGAAGCATTGGCAACAGAAGCTCCATATGCACCTGTCACTATTGAGAGGAAGGTCAGGGGTGACTTGGAAACCAAACTTCCTAAGCCATTCATTTCTCTCTCTCTCTCTCTCTCTCTCTCTCTCTCTCTCTCTCTCTCTCTCTCTCTCTGTATAAACATTAGGGTTGTTTCTTCTTCTTCCACTATTCTCTAACATGATCTTCAAGAAAATTCCAAGTGATATTATTTGGAAAGTTTGTTTTTAATGGAAGGATTAATTTATCATGGGGCACTATAATAATTTGACACATAGTCTAGGATTATATGAATCAAATCATTTGGTCTATGACACTGTTTTTCTTTTCCCCTTAGTGAACCTCATCCATTCCGTGAGATAAATCTACATAATGAAAATTTCTTTAAACTAAAATTCAAAGTAACAAGATTGATTTTAGTTTCTACCTCTAGATTGAGCAACTCCCCAATTGAAGCCGAGCTACCTAATTGAAGTTGAAATATTCCTTGACAAATTAATGGCAACTAGAACATGTTCAAGTGCACTAATATATTTTGTATTTTGTTTGAAAATATCCCAATTTCAGACATGCCAAGAGCATTGGTTGCTCCGGACACAAACCATCCAACAGGAACACTGGGCCATCAGCACCGCAACATGAGTGTTCTTCAGCAGCATGTAGCTTTTTTCGACCAGGACGACAATGGGATCGTCTACCCTTGGGAAACTTTTACTGGTAAATCTTCATGTGTGCCTGCTTTCTGGCTTCAACTTATTTGTTCAACCTCAACAAGCACCCTTTGTACTAAATTTATTAGGTTCTCATATACTTTGTTCTTTTCCCTTTAATCAGGATTGCGAGCCGTTGGTTTCAATCTCATCGCTGCCGTTGTTATATCTGTTTTTATCAATGGGGCTCTGAGTTATGCTACTCTGCCCGTAAGTTGTATATTGTTTGCTACACTTCTTTATACCACTGTGGTTGAATTTAAATGGTAGTTACTTAATTAGTAATAAGCATCCTAAGAAAATTTCGGTTTCACGGTATATGTCACTAATTCACCAGTAAATTACTATTACATTTGGATTATTAACACCACGTGGCGATTAGTAACAAACAGTAATTTCTCTCAATCCTTTAGATACTAAGCAGAGTGTTGTTAGAGATATCACATTCTGGACTACATGCTACATGATGTTCATGTTAATTAAAGTTGGCTATAACTGATGGAAGAAGTACATATTAAGTGCTGTATCATGTGCTTAGTTAATGCGGTTTCTTGTGTGCTTAGTTAGCTAATGCGATTTCTCGTTTAGCTGACCACGTTATGTGGAAGTTGGTGTGTGTTAAAGTCTGATAAATGTGAGTGTAAATGTAGGACATAATGAAGTTGCATTTGTAATTCTCGAATTTCCAATTTTTCACAGGGGTGGATTCCTTCTCCTTTCTTTCCCATATACATTTACAACATTCACAAATCAAAGCACGGTAGTGATTCTGGAACATATGACACAGAAGGAAGGTATGTAAATATAAATTAAACACGAAACCGTAACAATCTTTGATGTTGTGATGGGTCGAAATGAATCATTAGGACTCATCTGAAATCATTTTGCAGGTTTAGCCCAGTCAGCATTGAGAACATGTTTAGCAAGTATGCCAATACTGTGCCAGACAAGTTCACCCTGGGAGAGCTTTGGGACATGACCGAGGGGAACAGAGTTGCATTCGACTTCTTTGGATGGTAACCTTTTTCGGGTCCGTAATGCATTTCACTTACAATTTCCATGTCAACTAGCTTTGGTTCTTCACTTTGCCATCGCTTTGAGTGTGATTTTTGCAGGATCGCGAGTAAACTGGAATGGGGACTTCTGTATGTTCTTGCCAGAGATGAGGATGGTCTTCTGTCTAAAGAAGCCGTTAGGCGCTGCTTTGACGGAAGCTTATTCGAGTATTGTGCTAAGATTAATGCAGCTGGTATGGCTAAGATGGGCTAGAGCCTAGAACAAAATGCACTACTTGCAGTGGAAGCTATATGCACCAAAAGATACGATGTATATGTATGTATCTTAGTGTATGTTTGAGATGTTAAGAACTATAATAAATTGAAGGATGGCCCTTCAATGTGTTCGTTGGATTGGCTCTGGTCTTTGGTGTGTTTATAAGTGGTCTTGAGTTCAAACTTCATGGTATCCTTGTGTGTGAGTTTCACCCCAACCCCTTCCTAACTTCGGCCCAAAAAAATAAAAAAGGATGGGCCTTCACACAGTTCTCACATAAGGTTGACCAATGATCATAATTTCAGCTGGTTAACAACATTTCCCATCAAATGTTTTTTTTTTTTTTTTTCATATAAAATGCTTCATTTCAAGGCAATTGAATTGGATGAACAATTTCAAATAAAGGAATGAAAAGTACAATATTGGGTTTTGTTCAAGAAACATAGTACAATGGGTTTGGAAGTTTGAATGTTCTTTTGGCCCTTGGAAGCCCCTCAATACTGCTATATTGATCTCCTACAATGCCCCAAATGCGGTAGCCTTCACCAATCAACTGTTTTCTCACTTCAGTCTTGTAATTTTGCACCCCCATCAATTCATCATCGGGACCCCTGCAACCCCAAATGAAATTTTCCAAATATTCAAGTGAAACAAATTAATTAATTAATGAGAGACAGAGAGACAGAGAGACAGAGAGAGACAGAGACCTCAATATGAGACTTGTCCATCCATAATAGCCAACATTGACAAGGTTGTCAATTGTGGCTGATCTGAGATGCTCCCTCCTTGAAGAAACCAAAATGATCTGCAGCCCTCTGGCTTTCATCTCATTGAAGAGTTTGAGTGAGTTTTCCAGAGCAGGTGCCTTGCCCTGGCTCATCCATTCCTCCAGAGAAGTCAGGTTCAACTTCTCACCCCTATTTCCAATTTTGTTCAAAAAACAATTGCAACAATTTTGTTCAATCCTCCAATGGGTTACGTAAATCTCCACCATAAATATTTTATATGTGATCAGATTGCTTGTTTTGAATAACATATCAAAAGGCTTACCCGAAATGTTGCTTCTTGTAGTAAGGCACGGTGGAAAGGAGCGTATCGTCAATGTCGAAAATCCATGCATCTTTACCATCTTTCTCCAAATTGCAGCTGGTGCTCAGATGCACAATAGCTTCCTCAATCGCCCTCTCTGAGTCCACCTTGTACTGAGTTGAAGTAACATATTTTCCAATGTAGCCAACACATTCTTCGGGCACGACTTGGAACTCTCTGATGTTGTGCAGCTCGACATTCATCCTCCAACTCTCGCAGTAGTTTCTCAAGCTGATGCTCAGTCCATCTTTGGTGCTGTGACTCAAAATGTTCCATCCTGGCCCTGCTACTGCTACAGAAATAACAAGACTCAAACAACCTAACAACACGCTTAGATTTCTGCTCATTGTTCTCGCAAACATTGACTTTGGTGTAAGACACAAAGAAGAGAGGGAGGTGGATTTCAAGTAGGTCTTGTTAGAGAAATGGTGGACTTCAAGTAGGTCTTGTTAGATAAATGGAGCAATGGAACTAAGTTTTACGATCAATTCGCATACCGGCCAGGGTGGAAAATGCCTGATGATCAATTTCGCTAGGACATTACTACTTCGTCGCCACATGAATTATTGCGATTTTGTCGCCACATACTGACCAGGGTGGCAAAAGTAGATGCACCGACTTGCTTTTAGCCTTTCGTTAATGCTTTCTTTGGCAGGATTTGTGTACGTTATAACAAACGACTTGTAAATTATTCGAAAATGCCTCACCAAATCAGGACAGCAAAAGTAGGAACGCATCATTTATAGGGAAGAGATTTTGATTGCCAAGTGAAATTTTAAGGGAAGAAATTTTGATTGCCAAGTGAATTTGGAGGGCAAAAAGAACGATTAGAAACTGAAGCTTATTGAATCAACATGGATATCTTCGGGGGGCACATAGCAATTTCTAAATTCTGAAAATAAAACATGATAGTAATATCTAGATCCAAACAAAATCCGCTGCAGTTTGCACAACACCACAATAACAAGAAACAAAAATTTAGTCAAATTCCAGGCGCGACCTGCTTCTAATATCAAAAACACGGATAACACATATAAGTTCAGTCCTATGCATAGAGCTCAAAGAAAGTAACACTCAGACGATGGCGTTAGCAGCACTTGCAATCCTTGGCCAAAGATCAGCACACTCCTTTCCGATTGGACCAGTAATGGCAGAACCTAAACAAACAGAGAGCAGCCAATTAGTTCAGCTGACCCAACAACTTATTATAACGAAAAGAATGATGAAAATGTTGCATAACCCTCAACTAAGGAAATAAAAGCTGTACCTTTCATTTCACCCTTTTAACACTGCAAATTTTTAAAAAAAAACAAACAGTGAAATGCATGCAATGAGTGCCAGTCCAAAAACATGCTCAGCCGCCAACCAATTACAAAGAAACCAACTCATCTGGAACTTTTACCAGGATAAACAAAACCAAGAGAGTGTTACAAAAATCAAATTGTAAATCGAATAAACAAGATGCACGTTCACTTTAATATGTAGGGACCAGATGTAACAGATGTGAGCATGTAAAGCTAAGGTACACCTGTAACGATGGGCACTATCGATTTTCCAGACTTGTAACAGCATCAACCACAAGAAAAAGAGGACACTTGACTTCTGTCTGGTTACGATATAGCTAGTTTTATCTTACTATGGGAACCAAAAAAAAACAGTAGAAGCAACACACATTACACAATGTAGAGATGAATCAATACAAGTCAAATCATACAAACATGATCCCAATTCAATGCCAAAACAAATATGTAGTGCCCAAATGGAGCAGATGTGAGCATAAATGCAAGCACGCCTGTAACAATGGGCACTATTGATTTTCCAGACGTGTAACAGCATCAACTACCAGATAAAGAGGACACTTGACTTCTGTCTGGTTATCAGACACATTTTCTGACAGGATGACTATAGGAGATCTAGATAGAGGGGTACAACAGTTCAGGTAAGAAAGGCAATCAAACATTGCACGGTATGAAAGGTGTAGAGAAACTGTGAGAGAATAACTCTAGACTACAAATGCAACACAAAGAATATGCAAATTATTGGACAATACTGGGGAAACATATCAACAGTAGGAGAAAATGACACAGGAAAAGAACATGTATCGAATGGCGAAAGAGAAGATTCCATACAGAAGAGAACCCACTCGAATATTATTCGACAGGTTGGTTCCATTAATGTAGCTGGTTTCAGAAAGCATCAAATCATAATACACACATAAATCCACCAATGGAGTTATGTGCACATCATGACCCTGCTTAACCAGCATCCTTTTTTTCTCATGCTGTTTAAATCACCAAAATACAATCAACAAGCAAAGACTTCAGATTAAAAAAAATAAAGAAAGCATTAACAATTAACAAATAAAACTTATAAATAAATAAAATATTTAGCCAAACCCATCTCCATTTTTTAAGGGGAAACCAACAATATGAACACAATAAACTCAACATCACAGCAGATTTTTGTGTATAATGCGAACTTAATAGTGTAGTGCATACCAAAGAGACCTATCCTATCATTTAATCCAAGGAGCAGAACATACAGTACAATTACACTGCACTACCAATTAGTAATAATCAGAGAAATTCAACAAAAATGATATTGACCTTCAAAGTACATGAAGACCCCATCCTTTCGGCGCCATGGCTTGCGCTGCCTCACAATGACTGCAGGCAGGACCTTCTTCCTGAGGTCAGGCTTCCCCTTCTTGACAGTGGCCATAACCATGTCACCAACACAAGCAGATGGCAATCTGTTCAGACGACCCTTGATACCCTTGACGGATATGATGTAAAGGTTCTTAGCACCGGTGTTATCGGCACAGTTCACTGTGGCTGCCACTGGAAGACCCAGTGACATCCTAAACTTGTTACCAGCGGATCCTCCACGCCCTAAACAAGAAGATCAACATCAGAATCATATGTTACTATATACCAAAAAAAGGGTCAATTTAATTTCTTTTGGAAAAATAAAACAGCATAGATCGATACATCTGCGGAGTATCAAAGATTGAAAAACATAATTTCTAGGGAAAAGGTTTCTTATCAACCAAACAAACCCACATCGCAATCCTTAGAAATACATGATTCACTGAAATATTATTAAGATTTTCGTAACAATTTCTGATTGGTAAAAACGAAGGTAAACATAGAAACTGCTGAATCAAATCAATGTAACACCAAAACCCCTTTCATTTTTTGTTCCCTGCGACAGCTCAGTGGGCAAAGAACTCAAAAAGTCCAAAGCAGATTTAACACATGATAAACAATACTGGTAATCTACGGTGTTGATTAGCATGCTTGGGCTACATTTTCATGAGAGACAAGCAGAAATTAAGCAGAAACATAGGCAAAGAAGAAACAAAGGAAGAGAGCTAAGGAGGCGAGCTAACCTCGCTTCGACATTTCGGCTGCTGCTGAAACGAGACTGAGAGAGCGATTAGGGTTTTGGACTTGTATATATAGAGGGCCGCGTAGGGTTTTCAGCCAGGTTACAATTCCAAAAATTACAATTCACTCCAAATTCTTTGATTAAAATACCGAGTAAGTCCTGAGCCTTTTAAAAGAGTGTGACCTCGCTTAGTAATGGGCCTTGGGTTTGTCCTTGATTGAAGTCTCTAGAGTGGGGGCCCAGCGTTCTTTTTTATTTCTGGTTTGGCAGAGGCCTATTCTAATTTTTACCAGGATAAGCAGTAAAACCAAACAAATTATTACTGATGCTTCACTATTAATTCGACCACTGTACAGACGTGAACTAAGCGAGTTTTTTTTTATTTTTAATTTTTTTTCAGATGAGGGAAGTGAGCCCCACCATTTCACGTAAAGTAGATTAATTCAATGTAAGTTAGACTATCGCTTGTATTAAAATAAAATAAAAATTGAAAGAAACATATATGAGGAGAATGCAGGATAATCACTTGACTTCAAGCGGTTATCTTTCTTGAAAAAAAAATTATGTTTAACATACTTATTTATGGAAGACGCACAGATTTTTGTGAAGATAAGTGACAAAACTAGCTTCCATTTCCTCGTTGCCCGCTAGAACTGCTCTTATTCTCCTTATTCCCCCTCAAACCTAGCTAGGGTGCGTAACTTCAGAGAGATACAATGCTTGACAAAGAATGAACCATGTAGCCCTTTAGTGAAGACATCTGCCATTTGGTCTTCAGTTGGTATATAATGAACCAGTAAATCTCCTTTTTGAACTCTCTCTAACAAAATGATAGTTGACATCCAAGTGTTTTATTCTTGAATGGTACACAGGATTAGAGCTCAATGCAAGAGCTGATAAATTGTCACAATGAAGTATTGGCTGCTGAGGTAAAAACACCTTTAAATCTTGTAGCACATGCTGTATCCATGATATATCAGCTGAAGTAGAGCTAATGCTCGATATTCAGCTTTTGTGGAACTTTGCTTCGTTGACTGCCATGAAATTGCATTAGGACCTAGAAACACCACAAATCCTGTAATTGATCTTATTGTATTAACATATCCAGCCTGTATAAAATATATTTCCTTGTATTTAACAAATTACACAAAGTCCCTATTTATACTAGTACAGGATATCTACTTAAGGTAGGAAATAATATAGACACGAATACAATCCGATTTACAGCAGGAAAGGCTAATTGCTAGGAGGAGATTGTGAAGTTGACTTCCGTGTAGGCTAGGAAAGGAAAGCTGCGTTAACACAGCCCAGTCTGCATCACTGTAAGCAATTAACTACCAAGGACCATTAGCAACTTAAGTCCATAATCCAATGTACCCTGAATGTATCTAAGAATTCTCTTCACCAATAACCAATGCAAGTCTGAAGGAGTAGTCATGCACTGACATACACTATTAACAACATATGATAAATTTGGTCGACTAAAAGTCAAATATTGTAACACTCCAACGATACTTCTGTATAGAGAAGGATCTGATAAAGGAACACCTTCATATTTCAATACTTGACTGTGTGGCTTACAAGGAGTAGAGCAAGATCTGTAAGTAGTCATTCCTGCTTTTTGAAGAAGATCTTGAGCATACTTCTGTTGACTAACAAATATACAGCCATTTGTATTATGAGCAATTTGTAAAAACCAGAGGCATAAAAAAGAAAAAAGCAGATCTTGACCTGATAGGAATAATTCGATCGCTGAAAACAATTTAAAGCTCCAGGGCCTTCTTTGGCATTCAATCACAGTAGAAGAAGCCGAATTAGATGTGGAGTGTCGATGATAGCAATTGGCTGTCGTATGGCCTCACTTGCTGCAAATTAGACTTGAAAGAAGTAATCGACCCACCAAGAAATTCAGAGAATGGACGAAACTGAGAATTGTCATTACGACCTCCATTGAACTTGCCACGACCATAAGACACATGAGAAAAATGACGTGAATCAGAAGCTGGAGGAGTGGATACAGAAGGTGTAGGCAGAATAGCACAAAGTAGTATGACGAACCATACGCGCTTCAGCAGTGGTTTCAATAACAAGAAGATGTGGGTGAAAATCTTTAAGAGACAAAGATGATTCCCGAGCAATCAAGACAGTGCGAATCATATCACATTTCGACGGTAAACCATTCAACGCAGCAATGGTAAAATCATCATCAGATATCTTCACACGAGCGGCATGCAACTGATCGTGAATATGTTTGAGATGAAGAATGAAGCATTCAATCGAATCACTATACCTTTCTGTGCGGTTTGCAGAGCACGAGAAACCGAAGCATAGCGATCACAGAGATTAGCCAAGCCTCTCGAGCGGTCTTGCTTCCAATAACATACTCGATGGCTTCATGGGATAGAGAAGCAATAAGCAAACTCAAGAGAGCCTTAGCAAACTCGATGGCTTTATATGCATCAGTAAGCTTAGAGGTGTTCTCTTCTTCATCAACAATGGCGAATTTGGGAAGAGGAACGACAGAGCCATCAAAGTGCCCGAAAAGGTCTTAACCTTGAAGTAAATTGAATCTGATAACTCCACTTCAAGAAGTTAAAATCAGCAAGGGAAGGGTAAGCATGTCGAGAAGGCTTTCAATTTTGAGAGAGGAAACCATAAAAGTAGAAGTGGTGAAAAAATTTCAAGAAATTGAGAAAATTAGGATTTTCAGAAAAGACCGATGTGAGGAAGAATATGCATAAATCAGAGGCACAAAGAAGATGAAGCGAGGTAGAGAAGCACACAATGAGATAAGAAAGACGTAGGAAGAGAAAGAAGAAGAAGATGAATATTCTAATTTCTGTTGAGAATGAATTACATCATACATGCAGTAGTATATTTATATAATAACAAACTAACAATCACCTAACAATTTTCTAACAAGCTTAACAACTATCACGTGACAACCATGTGAAACTGCTGACTGTACATACACAGTCATCACACATATTTATTACTTGAAGGCCAATAAAATAGATTTTTTAATATTTTCCCAACAATTACAAATGCATAATATTAAATTTTTATGAAATGTTGGGGGTTAGGGGCCAGCCGAAGTGTGGCTCCATCCTTGGTGAAGACTGTAAGGCCCCATTTGGTTTGTGAAAAAGATTTGATAGGAAATACTTTCCCATGTCTTTCCCAATGAATGGGAAATGGAAGATTCTTTATTTAGTTGAAAGAAATGGAAAATTCAGGTCATCTTCAGTCATGGGCTATATCCCAAATATAGCCCTAAATTAATGCAAAACTCATCTCCAGCCATGGGCCAAATAAAATTTTGGCCAAATTTGGAGGGCCACATTTGGCCCTTTAACCCTCCAATCGGGCCAAATGTAGCTCAGTTTTGGCCTACGCCAAATTTATAGTGGGCCTCATCCATGTGCTTTTCAACAACCAATCATTAAAGCAGTCCCCACTCCCCTTTTTGAAATAATAAAATATGAAGGACCCTAAAATATAGTCTTGCATGGCTTGGAGATGAAAAAATTTAGCCATGCACTATTCTTTAAAAAATTAATATTTTGGGGGGCTAAATTTTAGTCCTGAACTACATTTAGCCCTATGGTTGAAGATGGCCTCACTTCTCATGTTTGGTAATCCTAGGAAAGTAACCAGGACATACAATTTTATTTCCGTTCACATGTCTGGTTTGTGTAGGAATGTAAAACAAAGTTTGTTTAGTTTTCCAATTATACCCGTATGAAATCAAATATAAAAAAATGCATTTAATGCTATATTGTAATTCTAAATTGTTAACGGGCATAAAATTGTCATGAAAAATGTACATTTAATGTTAACTCATTTTCCCAAACTTTCCCATGAGGAGGAAAACAAAACTCAATAGGAGAGGAGAACTTCACTTTTCCCCTATTTTCCCATGTGCTAGGCAACCATTTCTCATGCCTAAACTTACCAAAAATGGAAAATCAATTGATTTCTCATTCCCAAGCCTCCTTTCCCATGAACCAAATATGGCCTAAAAGCCATCAGTTGTATTTGTCGAAAGCTTGAGTTGATGAGAGTATTGAAAGAAACTACATTAGACATTTTAATCCTCCAATGAATTTGCATTATTATTGTATATGTTAGGATTAAATGTGAAATTTCATTCCATATTGAACGTAAATGTGAAATTTCTCAAGAGAGATAGAGAGGAAGGTGTATGCGGGACTTCACATACATTTTTCTCTCGGGGGAGCAAAGAAAATAAACATTTCAGGAAAGCTTTTCCAGCAGATGTTATTTCAAAACATTCTATTATCTCAAAAACATATGGAGCCTTGAAGGCATTAACTTTCTCAAGTCAAGAGTCTAACTAGATTCCTTGAAGGCATTAACATTCTCACTGGATTCCTTTCACAATCAAATTGATACTCATATGAAAGGAATCCAGTGAGATTACAAAACATAAGATGACATGATTTCCATTTCATTGTAGTATTTTAACCATGCTACAACTGTAAGATGAAATTATGCTTGAAGTACTTTAAAGGTTGCCGCCACGACAAAATGGGCTTCCACAGAGACACTGGAAAGCCTTCACAGGATGATCATGGTCATCAAAGTCAATGCCATAGTCCTGCAACAGTACAGACATTAAAAAGTAGGATAGCAATGTCAAGTAAATAGTAATACCAAAAGTATCAGATTTTGGTGAATTTTTCTTACCCAAGTGAGCTCCTCCATAGCATCAACGTTCCTTGTTGTGAAAAGGGCAACCTGCACAGTAAAAGACATAAAAACATATAAATAAATGCTTCCATTACCTGCTTGTATGAAGAAATGCTTCAATTAAATGCTCAGAAATCATACATGATAATAGTGATGATCTGGGGTCTCCACTTCAACAGGGATCTCAACCAAGGTAGCATCAAAACATCTAGCCAAAGAAATTCACAATTGATGTGTGAGGAGAAAAGTTTAGCACGAACCATAATTAAGGGGCGAAGAGTAAATTAAATCTATCCCATGAATCAAAATATTGAAGAAAATAAACCATTCAGGTCCCATATGACGTTGACACAGCTTGAATAAGTAGTGCTAATAAAGAAGAATTTTACGTACAGAAATTGAACAAGACATATCTACAACTGGTCACTAAGTGCATTGCACATGAAAGACTCCCCCAATAGTACAATTATTTATTATAGCTTGTGAAAGTTTGAATTTGCAGATAAACTGCAGATGTAAAGTTACTGGACAGTAATTTAGTAACTAGACTTGCAAGTAATCTAAGGAAAACTTAAATACTAAACAAAGAAATTAGAGTTTGGGTAGACCGAGTGGCTGAGATGAGTTCATGCTGACACCCCAAGCAATTTGAAGTTGGACTTGTGTAACCGAATCAATTAACTTTGGTAGAAAAGAATAGTGAATTAAGATTAGTACAAAACAAATTGGAAATCAAATAAAGGAGTAGAGTCAATGATTAGATAATCAACAAGATGTTACTTCATGATAAAATTCAAAATCTCTAAACTGAGAATTCATGTAATCTTAAAACTTCTAGTCTGAGGAGAAGATAAATGGTTTAATCAAGCAATAGAGCTTCCTAATCAACAATAAGATATATTTGTATTCACTAATATTGTATATAGATATCTCATACAAGATGAAACTAGCATCTCTTTTTCGAGCAACAAAATATGTCACATTTTCTTCCTATCATCTGTTCAGATGCAAGTTTATATCCAACTACACTTATATATGGCCATGGCATGATAATACTGCACCAATATTATGCCAAAGTTAACTCTTATAATAGGGTAAGTAGATATATATCCTGCAAGAGGTAGATATCTTTAACGGTAGCAGAAAAAGAACTTAGTTTCATAAGGGCTTTCCGTAGTGCTCGAAATTCAGAGACTAGAGACTAGACGACAAGTCCCAGGGTCATGGCTGGTTGTGATGGACACAATACCCTGAGATTCATTTGGAGAGGATGTTTTGAATAGCAACACAAACAACACCAGAGAAAACAATTACTTGAAATTTATATAAAAGAGCACATATAACTCTTCTGCAAATTATAAAATTTACTATCAAAAAAATATTTATGTGGGTCGAAGGGAGAGGTGAAAGGTGACTTTTATATGTTTGTGTGCTTGTGTGTGGCATCTACACCTGTGATTGATACATATGTATAAGAGTATGGAATTTAGACCTGTGATTGATAAATCTTGCAACATTTCCATAAACTGTAGCATCTAAGCAAAGTGCCTCTTCATCTTTTAAGACACCCTCTGAACCCCAGTCTGCATCTAGTAGCACCGGGCATGTATGCTTCTTACCAACGTTATGCATATTTCGCTCATATAGTTCTGTATTGGTAACTATCTCTCCAACATATTCACAGACAAAAGCCCCTCTTGGCAAGTCCTCCAGTGTTCGAAGGCCCCACCCTTTTCCTTCGGGCGTCAAAAACACCTGAAACATATAATAGACCAGCATTATATCAAGCTATTACATAACTAAGGGGCACAACTGACATTCACAGAGAAAAAACTAACCTGCAACTTCACAGTAATGCCTTGCTGAACAATCCGGTTTCCACAGTTCATGTTACATCCGCATTTAGACCAGCATTCCTTCATAAATTTCCTATATAAATGGCCCTTGCATGCCACAGGACTCTTCCTGTTCTTAGAGCTTTCAAGTGGGCACTTTTTACAATATACGTAGTTGTGTTCTTTAGGTTCTTGTTTCATAGATATACAGTCTTCCAGAAACTTGTCCTTGACCAATCCCCCGGGTGTGTAAGCAAACCCACCCCTAGTTTCAATAGCACAGATACATGGTATAGGTGATGCCAGACAATCCCCATAACAATGCGGACAGCAACCCTTATCAGATATACGATCAAGTGAAAATTTCACATAGGCATTCTTATAAACTAAATTCTGAGGGATGTAAAAGAAGGTTGGCAGATCTTCAACATTTCTTCCATCTTCCAGGGAAATTTTCACTCTTTCTTCACCTCTAGTTATGTCATCAATATAAACACAGGACTTTACAACTCCAAGTGAAGAATGGTGGTTCTGAGCAGCCTCCACCTTGCATAATTTTGAAGATTGTAGCCCTTGGAGAACCTTTAATCTCTTTCCACTTTCACCACAAATTTTCTCAATGTCCTCAGTTGTAAAACCAATTAAGTGGTTGAGACATTCAAATCCACTGAAAACTATATGTTTTGGTATATGGGGTACAATCTTGATAAGATTCTGAAATACAAATACTTCACTAGGAAAACTTGGAGCACCACAATTATCGCGTTGGTAATCATCTTTTCTGGCAAGAACATCTTGTGCATTGGAAATTTTTAAATCTGGTGAATCTCTGAGTCTTGTTTTTTTATCAACAGTGGAATTAGTTTCTATTGCCAAATGGGATTCCCCATTCCTATATGATTTTATGCATCTCCCTTCCACCACTTCTACCGCTGCATCACAATTTGGCAGATGGAAATCATGCTGTGGAGAAGAGGTACCAATCAAAGGAATTTTCACCTCTCCTGTTGGAGGAGATGATGAAACATCCATCTGTGATAAATCAGAAACACTATCTCTATTGTCCACATTCAATGGTTCCACTTCCAGTAACCCTGAGCTGTCTTCACCATCATCAGCATTACAACCATCATAATATGAAGAATCATGTAACAATATCACATTGAGATTTTCTGCCACCCCTGGATTGCAGCTATGCACAGGATCTAAGTTCTTCCAAATGACTAAAGCACCTTCTTCGTGGTTTCTCCGGTTAGTTCTCAATAGTGGAACACATTCCTCAGATTCTTCAGAGTCTGAAAACATATCTTCATCATTCTGATGTGCCTTTCTTGATGGAGCTGTTTCCAAGCAAGATTTAGAGAAGGGACGTGACTTTTTTTCCTGTTGTATTGTGTATAATTTCTTGGTTGAAAAAGCATCAACTTCAGTTTTGTCATACGATGGCACTTCCTTGTTCTCAGATTTCACTCCCTGGTACAAAAATACATTTAATGTTACATCACTGAAAACTAGGCATGCAAATGCAATTGAAACAAGAATTATATGTCCTGTAGATCTCCTCTGGATGGTAGATGAGAGGCAGCATTATGGCACATGAAACACCACAACCATAATTTGAAATGATAGTAAGAAAAAATAAGCAAAAAATCAATAAGATGAACCAAAAAGTACTCACCTTTGATTCGTGAATCAAAACTTCTTCTTCCTGATGTCTTAGGACAGTCCTTCTGGATAGGGTTTGAAGTTCTTCAGATGAAGAATCTGAAAACAGATTGTCATTCGAATGTGCACTTCTTGATGGAGTTTTTTCCAAGGAAGATTTGGAGAGAGACACTGCCTGTTTTTTCCGCTGACTTGTGCATAATCTCTTGGTTGGAAGTTCAACATCTTCAGTTTTATCATATGATAGAGCTTTTTTGTTCTTGGATTTCACTCCCTGGTACAGAAATTCATGAAATTTTAAAACATTTAAATTAAGCATGCAAATCAAATGGAAAAAAAGTTATTATTCCCATAGATCAGCCCTGCATGGTAACAGAGCAGGACGTGAAACACCACGCTAATAATTTCAAATATTTGTAACAGAAATATAAGGAGTAAAATCTAGATAAAGAAAAAGATGCCCACCACTGATTCACGTATCCTAGCTTCTTCTTCCTGGTGTTTCAGGGAATATTTGCTCAATGGTGGCTGAGGGTCATCACATGAAGAATCTGATAACAGCTCAACATCATTTGGATGTGCACTTCTTGATGGAGTTGTTTCCAAGGAAGATTTAGACTGAGACAATGCCTGTTTTCTCTGTTGTCTTGTGCATAATCTCTTTGTTGGATGTTCAGCATCTTCAGTTTGAGCTTCTTTGTTCTTAGATTTCACTCCCTGGTACGAAAATACATGAAATCTTAAAACATTTAAATTAAGCATGCAAATCAAAAGTTATCTTTCCCACAGATCTCCCCTCCATGGTAGACAGAGCAGGACATGAAACACCACAATAATAATTCCAAATGATTGTAACACAAAAATAAGGAGTAAATTCTATAAGATAAAGCAAAAGATCCTCACCTCTGATTCAAGTATCGAAGAAGCTTCCTGTTGTTTCATTGAATATTTTCTCAATGGCGGTTGATTATTTTCAGATGAAGAATCTGACAACAGATCATCATCACTTGGATGTGCGTGTCTTGATGGAGTTGCGTCTGAGCAAGACTTGGAGAGGTACAACGCCTGTTTCTTCTGTTGTCTTGTGTATACTCTCTGGGTTGGAAGTTCAACAGCTTCAGTTTTATCATATGATGGAGCTTCTTTCTTCTTGGATTTCACTCCCTGGTATGAAAAGACACATATATTAAAACATTAAATTAGAATTAAAATGAAATTGAAAAAAGCAATATATCCCATAGATCTCTGCATGGTAGATAAGGAATAGAATCTATACAATAAAGCAGAAAATAAAAAGGTCACCTTTGATTCATGAATTAAAGTTTCTTTTTCCTTGCTTTCCACTCTCTGTTTGAAAAAAGCCATTGTAAGCAGACAAAACAGGATAAGGAATGAGAATACAAAGTATAACCTCATATACAGAGGAAACCAATAAGCATTGAACAAACCAAACACCAGATATTAACACATATGTAATATGCACCTCCTCCTTGGAATTCTTGTCCAGTATAACGTCAAGCAGTACTCTGTAATCATCATCTACGATAAGCTCCCAGTTATTTTCATATAATTTTAGAAGTTCCTTAAGCGCTGCCTTTGTTTTGGCTCCCGAAATGCCATAACGCTTCATTACACGACAGGCATCTGCAATTGTGTGCTTTTTTGGTGGCATCACTGAGTTAAAGTTTTCTGATAGGTCAATCTGCTGGTGTGTCCCTTCCCTTTCCTTCATATGCAGAATAGTGGAATAAGTGACAGGTATGAATCAACAAAACGGATCCAAAATTGGAAAATTATTTATTAATATTCCACTCATGGTGGACTGAATTATTATGCAAGCAATGAATAACACCACTGTCAACAAAATGAAGCAGGGAACTAGGAAGCCAAGAAAACCCAAAAATTTTAACCAAGGGGCGATCACCATGGATGCCATAAGAACAAAAATGAATCATCTTATATAACTGTAGTAATGCTATCACTGGTTGTCCATATCCAGCATAAGTAGATGATTTAAAAAGAAAAATAATTAATTTTGAAATTCAGATCAGCTAGTAAACCCACATAACTGACAGGACAGCCACTGCCCAAATTTCCTCACATGGGTTAATTATATTAAAAATTGAAAGACTAAGGCTTAATACTACCACCCATGTTTAACTCAGTCAAAGGAAAAGGATTCAATGTCTTCTTGAAAACTTAAAAAAAATTCTTTATTTTAGACATCAGCTTGCGTTCTACATTGACAGCAGAATATTATTTAAGGAAACCTGAATTTTGTAAATCTTACTCAAATAAATAATCAAAACAACAACAATAACAAAAGCACACGACTAATGGACTCATAAACATCCCCCCGATCAATATGTACAGTAAACAAATAAAGCAGCAACATTTGAAACAGTGAGAAATTAAGACAAACAGGAAACTGGCAAAAGGCCTCTTCTTTCAATAGTACACAGGGCAAGACCCATATATGCATAAGTGATGGAGGTAAATTCGAGGCTACAACAGTCCTTCATCATCAGCAAACAAGAACACATCCAAAACATGATGCACAACCCAAATGCAAAGACCACAGATAACGTCAAAAACTTACAGTCACAGAGAGAGAGAGAGAGAGAGAGAGAGAGAGAGAGCGCGCGGGGAAATGAAAGGAAAGTTGAGTGTGCATTTCTCATTCTCTTTGCAGCAGAGAAAACAAACAAAAAAACAGTCTTGGGTTTTTTGTTTCAAAAGAGAAAAAATTGAAGCTGAATAAGAAAAGCAATAGGTTGAAGCTAAAGAAAAAACTGATGAAATACAGAGCAAAATACCCGAAAAGAGAGAAAGTAAGATATTTTATATGAAAGCATCAGAAATGAAAAGGAAAAATGATTACTTGACTCGCAAGCTAGTTGGAGAAATCGAAAAACAAAATAAGAAAATAGAAATTTCCCATACAGCATTCACCCAAAAGAAATAGCTAAATACAAGCATATGAAAGATACCACAGGACATGTCACACTAAACCAAAACTTTCAAAACACCTTCTTTTTCTGCTTTCAAAAGCATATCTAAAATCATCTCCCCTAAAAACAAAAAAAATCTCAAAGACTCGTAAAAATCTCAAACCTGATCATATAAAAAAGTCACCTTTCACCCAGGTGAGAGTTGCTAAACAGATAAGATGAAATGGGAAAATGTTCTTAAGGCCTTCAGATCTATGCCACTCAAAAACCCATTTTGTTTTCTTGATCCTTTTTGGAATTTTCTTTACCTTCTCTTCTTCTTTGATAGTGAATAAAAACAGAGAGAGTGATAAAAAATGTAGCTACATTTCGTGGTATGTAAATATATACCTCTAAGACTACAAGACAGAGCTGCTGTGCTGGTTTGAAGACCAAAGGTCCAAGAAGCTGTAGGGAGCTCTAGGGTTTTTCCATCTCGTACGGTCGAGTGAAAAAGTTGGAGGTGAAAAAGCTCCCTGGCCTCTTCGCCTTCTTTTGTACCCCAAAATCAAATGCAGACAAAAAAGTTTAAAAAAAATATCTTGAGCAAAGCAAAAATGGTAACCTCGCGGTAATATCAAAATAACCTCCTGCTAAATAATTAATTAGGGAGCTTCTAGATTTTCGGGATGATGTTATTTAGACATATTTAATTGTCAACCTCGTCCCAAACCTGGAAAACTGTGGGACCAAAATGGTCAAACCTTGCCACGTGTCGCATAATAAATTTTAAAAGAGTAAAAGGTCAAGATACGCCTCCATCCTGGAGTGCCATATGGCGGAGAACAATTGTGCCACGTGGACGTACAATTGGTCAGCCAATAAGAGGTGAAGGGATCATGGGCTTGGAAGTTTGCCTCTTAAATATGGGTCATAAGGCCCATTTGTGTGACTGAAGCCCAATCCAGGTATAAAAGAAGTCCAATCCAACGCAGATAAAGGGACTGATTTATGAGGCTAATTTTAGTCACAACCATCCGTCAGCTTGGTACTGCTTTTATATGTAATTGGTTTATAATTTTTTTTTAGCGATATTCTACTTTAATTTAATCTAAACTATAGGAAGGGAATTCGAACTCGGGTGCAAAGTGAAAAGCATATCCACTCTACCCAACTTAACTAAGCCCATATGTGATGTTTATAAACTTTTGATTAGAAAAAACTTTATTAGAACACGGTGAAATTCTTTACACAAAAAATAAGTGTGCTTCTCCAAGAAACACGTTCATGACTCGAACTTTTAGCCCTTCTAAAACATAAAAGGAAAATGAGGATGGAATGATGAAAGAATAGTATGGTAATTTCACAAATAAAGAATAGGAGTCATTTGAGTAAATATTTATCAGAAAAATGAAAATGAGAGGAAAGTAAGAAGCAAGATGGTAAAGGGGGAGAAAAATGGTAAGATATATCTATTTATTTTCTTTTCCTTTTCTATAAACAATTTGTTTCTCATTTCTTCATTTACTTCCAAGGACAATGCTTTCCATCTCTTTTTTTTCATTTTCAACTTGTCATTGTAACAGCGTTGTAGGTGGGCAACCATTTTTCTTTTCTCCAGTCTATTCAAAACAACCATGTCAGAAAGAATGAAACAAGAAACGCAAACGTTATCAAACAGACTAAAATGAGTCTCAATTTGCATTTACAGTGGGTTTTTTTTATAAGGATTGAATGACTCAGGTACTGGGACAAATATCAACCGCTTAGAAATAAAGTAAAGGCATAACATGCCAAGAACAACTTCTGTCAGTATTCAAAACAAACACAAATTGAAACTGACATAGAAGCAACCAATGATGCACCAAAACTTCACCAAAAGAGCTCCTCACAAGTTTAAACAAAAATGGAAAAGCAGCCTGCAGACAAAATCAAATTCCATCTCTTTCCTGAAACACCTTGCTTGCCTGGTTTAACCAAATACTTGCAGTTCAATCATCAATCTCTTTCAACCCCATATCAATATGGAGGCAAATAACCCCGCATCTGTTAAGCCTTCCATTTGGTTTGACCACAATTTTACCAGCCCTGTGATCAAGATACTCAAACACTTGTACTTATGCATCTGTATCACCACAAGAAACGTGACAGTCATCATTACAATACCAGCGAGGGGAAATTTTCTTAAGGAAACTGTCAGCCATGAAATATGCCAATATACAAGTTTAATGTTCAGATTATTAGTTAAAGTAGATCAGCAATTGAGACATTTTACAGTAATCCAGAATTCTTGACCTGCTTCTACGTAGAACTATACGGAATGAATTATATGAAAGAACTTTCCACTAACCTTAAAGTAATCACACGCAGGGTAGGAGTGAAACGCCTGCTGGAGAATGGTTACCTGAAATTTACTCCCATATACTTCCAGTACAAGGTCCTGCATACATGCTTGACCCCAAAAAAAAACAAAAAAAAAGGTCCGGCATACATGATGATTTGATAATACTTTTACAAAGTTAAATATTTTTCTTGTTCTTTTTCCCTTTATAGAATGGCTATGTGGATTTATTGTACTGTCCACTATGGTTAGTTTGCTTTTCTCATCCTTTTTTTCTTATTTTTCTCTATCTTGGCTAGGAAATTTGAAGTTAAACAAACGTGCTTCAGGCATGTTTGACTCATCTAATTAAATTGCCACCATCATTTATAACTGGTCAGGTCCATGGTTTAGAGGCTATAGGTAAGTTTCTAACTTTATCTTCTGATTATGAAGAGGACTACTACGATTATTTAGTCTCAATCTCTTCTCTATCACTTTTTATAGCTAAGCTAGACAACTATGTTTGAGTATATGATGAACACCTAGTGGGTGAACAAAATATAAGACAATCTAATATGTCAAATGTAATCCCTGTAATTAAAACATGAAAACAAAAGATAAGATCCAGGAAACTTACTTTGTGAGCACTAGAATGATGTATTCCACGCATGAACATGGTCATGAACGAACTAGCGGCGACCAGAGCAAGCATGTTAACAAGCTGCAAATCAAACGCTCTAAAGCTGGAGTGGAGGTATGCAGAAGATGAAAATTTTAAATTATGATAGCAGGGTTTGGTCTAAGAATTAAATTCCAGTTCGGATTGATCTCAGCAAAATTATTAAAATGCCAATTTCAGTGTTGCTAATTGCCCTCAAGATGATTTGCTATCAATTTAATTATATCAAAATCTCGTACATTCAATACTAATGAGCAGATTACAAGCGTTTCTGGCCTAAGAATCAAGGGACTAAATCCCAACCAATACAAACTAACCTAGAATCAGAAAACTGTCTGATATCACTGTATCAGGGTAACTGAAGTAAACCATAAAACACAACAGAAAACATCTGGATTCCAATGTATACATACATATATAATTTAAGTTGCCCACTGCTGTATACAGTATGAGAGTTACAACTACTACACAAATTTCAACCCTGGATTTTGGTACTTAAAACTCCTGTACATTTTGGTCGGAGAGTGGGACTCTGTGTATGGATAATTGCTACTGCAATTGAGAAGGACTGCAGAATGGACATAGTTGGTTGAAAATGAACAAAATATAAACCATCGTGGACATTCAACATCCTGAATGTGGGAGGGCCATGTTCTGAACCCTGAAGAATTGAAATGGGAGAAAAGCATCTCAATACATATTCAAATAATTGCATAAATGCTCAAAAGTTAAGTACGAATAGATGCAAGTATGTGACAAATTGTTCCTGGATAATTTTTAACATCAACTAACATTCTGTAGCCTTGCAAAGAACCATATAGCTTTAGCATCACACAAAATATGCTCGAAGTATAAAATACCATGTTTCAGTTCCCATCAGGTAAGTCATAAAAAACACTTCATCCTTCGTTTTCAAGCCAAAAACAATATTATTTTCCAGATTCCGAGATCTTATGTCCAAAAACATTAACTCATCAGATCAAGCACCGGATACACAAATTTTGTAAACATGTATGGATGTAGTCAATTTTAATACTTGCTCAACAACATTTTGTATTTCACTTTGTACGAAACTAAAGGGGGAAGGGAGTGAGGTAGGAGATTGGCATACCTTTCGATTTAAATCAAATGACTTGCACTCGCCCTGAGTGTCCGATTGAGGGAAAATGTCTTCTTTGCTTGATTTGGTTTGAAGTACTGTGAGTGGGCACCCCAGATCCCAACCTCCACAGTCACAATGTCCACCAGATCTCCATCTTTCAGTAAGACTTGAAACACCACCATTTCTGGTTCTTGGCCCACCATGAAGACCTGCTGGGATTAGAACATCCATACTGGTAGAGCAATCACCATTATTTCGACAACATTCGATAGGTACTGAGGCTTCCACAGTAGCAGTTTTCTTGACTCCAACTTTCTTTAAAAATTTCAAACCCCAACCTCCAGCCTCCTCCTTACGATCATCAGGGAGATGGTCTTTGACAACAATGGCAGCCAATTCAAAATTTGGAGGGAGATGATCTTCTAATAAATTGGGCAGACCTAGAGCATCTTGATTGTTGCCTGTATCTAGGCACGACTCCCGAGAAGAACTTTCAAGTTTCGAAATTGGTCCACTCAATTTGGAGGAGGTTTTTTGTTTGGACGAGTGACCTGACCTGAATACTTCTGCCACCTTCTTTGATAACCCCTTACTCTTCCTGAGATTATGGCTAGAAGTATGCATCTCAATACCACCACCAAACAAAACAAACTCAGTCTCCATGATCTTTGAATTGTTTGAGCAGAGCGAGACCAAATTATTCACTTTCATCTTACCAACGAGCTGTGACTCACCATCTCGAATTTCATGGTCCTTTTGCCCACCCTTTCCTGAATGGAACAAGTATACATAGTCCAGAGTCTTATCTTCTTCAGACTCAACCTTCCACAAGTTGGCTACATAGACCTCCCTTTTTTGATCTGTGGAGAAAACAAAATGAGGATTCCCTCCCTTCCATGTGCATTGAAGCATTCCTTGAGAAACAGTGGCGAGAGCAGAAGCAGAAGATTGATCAGAACACGCAGAGTTTGTACTACACAGAGAAACAAACCTTTTGTGGCCAGTATCAGATCCATTTTTATGGCTTCCCTTATTTGGTGTTTCCTTTTCTAGCACCGGTGAAGAAGAGAAACTTAATCCACCAGGAGATTCTGTAAAATCATAGCATATTGAGCCTTTCACATCATTTGTATTAATTCTTGTCAAGTCTGTATTGCTACCGAGGGGACCGAATTGGTGGAACAAAGGGCTCTTTAATATATTCACCATGCTCTTGCTCCCCATAACTGTACCTACAATCCACTGTCCTGCAGGGCCTATCACTACACTCCCACCTCCAGCTGCCAATGGACATTCAAAAACAAACCTAGTAGAATTACATGTATCTCCACTTCTAACTTTAGCCACATTCAAGCTCTCAGGCAAAGCACCAATCTTTGTCGAGCTCAAATTCACAACTGCACTGCATCGGGTAGCTTTGGATGCACTAATATGAATCAATTCCATGCAACGACGACGAAATTTTTCATCTAAGCTCAGTATATGTTTTGGAATCCTTCTGTCCAAGCCCAGAGCACTTGGAAACAATGAACTTTTTGTGCAACATTTACTAATTTGTGAACACTTAACATTTGAAATTAGGGCATGCTGTGGATTTGACCATGTGACTAACCTTTTCAATTTTGACCCAGAGGATTTTAAAGTACCATTTCTTGACAATTCCCGCTCCTTGCTCAATCTATGCAACGAATCGTCTTGTCCCTGGTGATCTTTCTGAGCATCTACTAACTTATCATCCATCTGCTGACCCCAATTAAATACCACACATTAATGGCAGCTAAGTTTTTCCCTATATTTTGCTTCAAACCGAATTATATAGACTTGGTGGTAGACAGCCTTATATAACTGTCCAATTCTTATCTTGCAAGAAACCTGAACACAAACACAAGCGGTAAGCATAAGCTATCAATTTGCAAATTTAAGATGACATCAATTGGAAACTTTGAAGTTTGTCCAACCCAGAAGCTACGGAGATAAGTCCAGAAATTGATCGAAGCTGTCAAAATCAAGCTTGGGAGATTGTTTTCAAAATCTGAAGCGTGAAGCATTAGGCTCCAGGCACAATCATAAAAAATAAGCTTGGAGGTTTTTATTTATTTGTTGTGCTATCAAAACCAACTGCAATTATATCTTCCACAGTTTTCTAACTTTCCCTTGGTGACTTAGATACAGTTTCTCCCTAACCCAAAACAGGAACACATACAAAAAAATCTCCCACCAACCCAACATAGCTCCTAATTCAGTAAAAAGAAAGTACTTAATTCCTAATTTCCATCTGTTTATAGTACAATTTCTCTAAGAACTGAGAAAGAAGAAGACAGACAAAAAGATTTGATCTTTATACATCTTAACTCCATATAAATAAAACCTAGAAAGGAAAATCCAACACAACATTAGAAAATCACAATTAAACCAACAAAGTGGCCTATGATAAAGATGAATAAAATATTTTAAAAAGAGGCAGAAAGTGGCCATAAAACATAATAAACAGACACCCAGAAGAAAAGTTCAAACAATTTAAAATATACATATAAAAAAAAACTAAAAAGACCAATTTTTTCTTTTTCTCTTACCTTAGGAATTGGATCCAAGAAGAAGCAAGCAGCTTATTTGCAATGCATTTAACACTGTTCTTACTCCTCAAACTTTGAGCTTGTTGTCCCAACCGCACACTTTAAACACAAAGAAGACTGAAAGGTCAAATGGGGAACCACCAAAAAGAAAGTAAAGAAAAAAAGGTGGCCAAGTGAAGAAGAATAAACAACCAGCTAAGCACATGGAAAAGCAAAGATAAGCAAGAGCCACCACCACCACTACTAATGAGATCACACGTCTCACAATTCTAGGTTCCAAGCCATCTGTTTCTTTTCATTTTCAATAAAAAATTACAACTGTTTTAGGCAACATTGAAGAAAGAACGAAAGAAATTATGAGAAATGCCTGAAAAAAAAAACTGAACTTTATTGTTTGGGTCTGAAAAACTGAAACAAAAAAACCTCTGAACTGAACCAAGAGGCGTGGTGGGGGATGAAGTGGGTTTAATTCGTAAGCCACGTTTTCTGGGTTGAATTTGGGTACCTGTTTAGTTCTACCGAAGTCCCGGGTTCAACTGTGGCGGGCCCCACCTCATATTCTTGCATTTTCTGAGCCACTACATTGACAAAGAAATTTACACAAAAGTAGATGCTTAACAAAAAGTTTATAAATTGCGTGCCTTGTTGATTTTATGTTAGAAGAAAACTTGCCCAATATATTCACGGTTGAGGAAGAGCATATCGCATTGTTAACCCTATCTTTTGATCATTGATAATGTGAATTTTTATCCCAACGTGTAATCCGCAATCATGACAATATGAAATGTAATGAGTGCTAGTGGCCTTACTAGTTTTTCTTTTTTTATTTATTGAGTTGGATGATTAAAACATAAATATCTTTCAACATTGAGAATATGCTTATTTGGAAATACATTTATAGAAAACACTTTTGCTCCTAAGCGTTTTTATTAAAATTGCTTTTATTAGAAGAGCGTTGAAATTTTTTTATAAATCCAATTGTAAGTGTTTCATGAAGAAGCACCTTCTCACTCTTATGCACAGGTAGATCGGTAGAAATCATATTTTCTTCATATCTGTTATGAATGCGATGGTGGGTGTAGCCGTGAGAGCACTTCTTTAGGTGGTGGTGATAGGGTTCGTTTAGACTCATAGGTTGATTTAAGGTTTTGGTTATGTTGGGTTTGTGGGCTTTATTTGGATTTATGATTAATTGTGGTTATGTGAGATAGTAGTTTTAGTGCGGTGTTTGTCTACGTTAGTTTTGTTTTTAGCATTTTAGTTTGTTGCCTTCTTGAAATTGATATTTTAGATGTCTTGTTGATGTCTTTGATTGTACCGTTAAAGTTTATCTAATGAAGTTTCTATTTAATTTTATATAAAAAAATGAAGCACCACCTCCAAAAAGCGGTTTTATGAAGCCAAAAGTACTTTTAAATTGTTATATCAAACATAGTCAGTAACGTTTTCCATTACAGAAGCACTCCCAAATTAATTAGTGATATTGGTCATTATACTAACAAAGAAATTTATCATATAAGATAAGACTTGGTATTGGATATAAAATTTTAAACACACACACCTTGCAATTAGCCAAAAGTCACAAGTAAAAAGTAACGTAATATTTTTACTTGAGAATTTGAATTGAAGATATAATATAATATACATTTTGAGTGTATAATGCGTGCGAACTTATCTCTGTACTATTGGTATATGGTTCAAAAATAAAGAGGGAAAAGGGGTTTTAGAGGGTGAGCTGGTGCGCATGATACTGAGAGCCACAGAACTCCACTAGTAGGTCAGGGTGGCCCCCACTACAAGTAGCCGAATAGGAGAAGGCCACATCAGCTAAATTGTTCACATTTTTTTATTATTATTATTTTTTAATAATTATTATTGGGCAATTGGGTTCAAGTTCAGACAAATTTTGTTCGTTTTTGTTGCTTTGAATTTTGATTGCCACAAGGCTACGACTTGGTCTCTTGGACTTGGACATGTGAAGAGAGAGAGAGAGAGACATAGCGTAGGAAATGATCAAATACAAACATACCTACACCTACATACATTACATTCTCTTATTTGTTTCTAATTTTTATAGTATTTATATTTATTATTATATTATTAATCAAGTTAGTTTCTTTAATGTGCTCATATTCTCCTCCCCTACTTATTTATTATGTAGGCGGCGGGTAAATTAAATCTCATCCTTCAACTCACTCAGAAAATCAGATCGGCCATCACCTCAAAAGATTTATTTCCAGCATTGAATGGTTGCAAGGTTGCAATCATAAAATTCATCATGGCTACTAAAAACCAAAACCAACCAAATTAATTATGGTTACCCTTGTTTACATCTCTCCTAATTAATAATCTAATGTAAAACAGAGTGTGTTGTCTAAAGAACTTATTTGAGGATCAACTAGTCTTTTGTGTAGTGATAGTTGTCTCCGTTTAGTTGGAGAAGGTCTCAAATTCGTTTTACATAGATGCAAAAACAATATCTAGTTGTGATTGATCCATTATTATAGTGTAGTTCTGTTGTTTATCTCGGTGTAAAAAATATTCTTTTTTTTTTTTTGGGTCAAACAAAAAGAACTAATTTGGGGAGTAAAACTTCTCTATTACAACATACGATAGAGAAGTATTTCTCTATCTTTGTTTTCTTATCATCGACCGACAAATATTTGAGGTTTGAACAATTTTTAATATTAGAAAAATAAATACCACTAGACTAAATAGAATAGCTAACTTGAATTGTTTGATTAGATATATGTCTCGATAGCATATTTTCACCTAAATGCATTTTTTTTAAAAAAATTTGGGATAATAAAAGCAGAAATTCTTTTCCAAACCACAAAATGCATTTTTGTGAAGTTCAACTACTTACTACAAAAGTCGGATACAAAAGGTAAAAAGGAAAAGTGTTTTTGGGGAAGGAAAAAAACCCTTTCGCTGTCTAAAAACGTGCTTTTTTGTTGTTAAAGGCAATTTAGTCACGAGCAAGATTGATATAGTTAGTTGGTGGGAAGTTTTTCTTGTAATAGCAATAGATGGTGGTTGGTGGTCTCTAGACTAGGCTAAATTTTCTGCAGTGGAATTATGGGTAGTGAGTTATATGACAAATGAAATTGCTAACGGCATCCCCACTACCACTAGTAGAATTGGATGTTTGTGATTATAGACTAGCATTTTTCTATGGCATCTATCCTCCATTATCATTTGTGCATGGAAAAGCTTTTACATTTGCTCAATTAATCAATATATGATCGCAACCCTAAGGCACCATTATATGAAACTTGGTTAACAATTTCCCTGCAATATGATGATAATAACTATTTTTGTTTCCATTTGATTAAATCTAATACGGTTGTTAGAATCAAAACAAATAGAAGAGTTGTTTTTGTTGAAAAATTTGATTCGTTTAGAACCATATTAAAATCTCATATCAGATTTGTAACGAGTGATCAGTTGGTATATAAAGAATTAGACCACACACACTAATGTCGAGACATATTTATTTAACCACATATCCATTGAAATCTCAAATGACCATATCGACATATTTAGTGTGAACTTGCGTAAGAATCCATACAAGTCTATGGACTCATCCGCCGGCTTTCACACAATATTTCTTCCATCCAACAATATTCCCTGCAATGTGAATATTCAAATATTCAAATTTGGTAGCCGGCCTGGGGGATCAGTGGGACCAAACTGAATCTTAAATTGGGCATGGGCATGTGCAGGGCTAAAAATCTTGGGCAAATGCAGACTGAAATGAGTGAACCTGTTTTTAAAACATTGGTTGACAAATATGACATTGACAACAAAGTTTGTGTCTATTTAGGAGCCGTCTAACCAACAAACCAGTTGAAAAATGAAGGCATTTTGTCTGCGCTCTGTAAATTTTCACACCTAACGATTAACCGAACACCCTGCTTTTTCGAAGTTTGTTTGTCATATGACTATTACACTTTCGTCGAAGTCATAGCATTTGGGCTTGATTTTTTTGACCTCCAAAAGTATGCAGAAGAACCTAGGACAAACAAACAAGGCCCTTTTCTCACCTCAGTTCATTTGAGCAGCTTCTGAAAACCTGCATAACTGTCATTAAAACGTTTTGACTTTGTGTCAATTAATCCGTGAAGGATAATTTTTCTGGCATAACAAAAATAATGAAGAGAGAAGTCTTTTTTCTTTTCAATAGAAAGGCCCGATAAAATTAAGTTACTTGGAAATGGACCACCAATGTCCACACCAAATCCTCAACTCTCGGGCCAGTACAAACATACCCAAATCCTCAACTCCATGCCTGACATGTGACTTTTTTAACGGAGATTTGGATGGAAATTGCTAAAAACTAATGGTGGGGGATAAATTGACGATAAAATTTAGTACGAGTGCTAAATTGGCTGAAAAATTAATTCATGGTGTAAATTTCAACTAGCGTGATAGTTTAGGGGGGGTATTCGGCAGTTTACCCACATAAAATTGTTCCACTGGTATTCAAGTAAAGATGCCATGAAAATGTACACCTTACAAGTTTGAAATTTGTACAAGAAATAGCATCACAAGAACTTAACATTGTTATGCACTTTTCTATACAGTCCTGACTCACTTATTTATTGGATAATATTAATGACCCAATTTATTGAATTTTTTTTTATTAAACCAAGGACAGACAAATCCTGGTGGAAACAGGGTCCTGCAAAATTGGTAGATTAATTAGTCTATGGCTAGTATACTACTCAAATCCACGATTGGATGGGATAGCTGCATTTGAAAGAGTTCACTCCACTGATATGAGCAAAGATATCTGAGGAATCAACCAAATCCTCTTCCTCTTTCACAACTACCTGTGAGATAACAGAATAAAAAGGACAACAAAACTTTGTAAGGCGACAAGACAATCAGAATAAGGAAAATGTAACAGCTTGAAAGAAAATAAAAATTCTTGGTAGATATAAGATGAGGCATATGTTTTAATAGTGTAAGAAGTATTACTTCATCGTCTTCGTCGTCTTCATGGTTGCTACAAGCAGGTCTATGAGTCTCTCCGAAGTCATCGTTCTTCGCAAATCTTCCTCTGACTCGAGGTCTGCTGTCTGCAAGTGTTTTGCGGCAGGCGTACTGCATATTTGCTTGCACAATTAGTGAGAGTTTAAATCTTAATCCCCTAGTATGAAGCACACATAGTGACATACATGCACATATGAGTAGAGGCAAATGCTTTTCACAAATGTTTTCCTCTTATAACTATATGTAAGAAGATATAATAGGATGATGAAAAAAGAAGGGAACCCTAGTGTGTGTGTGTGTGTGTGTGTGTGTGTGTGTGTGTTTGTGTTGGAGAGAGAGAGAGAGAGAGAACCTTGATTTTCTTGGTGAAATTCCTTTCATTCCTTTTCTTCATGTACCTATGGATTTTCTCTTTCCTTTCTTCAACAGAGAGCTTTCCTACTTTAAAATTTGGGTCTTCTGCTATTGGAATCTCTGTTGGTAAAGAAGTAGAATTCCCAGCTCCATTCACCAGTTGTTGACTCTCAGCACTAAGTGCCTTTCAAGTAGGAAAAAGATGAAAAATACACCAAAAAAGAAAAAAGGTAGCAGAGAAAATAACATTAGTCCCTTTCAGTGCACAAGAAAGAAAGTGCTTATATTCTTATTTTGATGCTAAGCCTGCTGATATTATTTGGCAAAGTTGAATGTGATACCACTTTTCCAGTCTCCATGCAGGTGATAAGAGTTTAAAGAGAGCAGATAAACAAGATTATACTTCTATAGATGTGGCCCCTAAGAGGATTTATAGAAGATGATCATACGCCCCCATCGATGCCTCCTAAATATGGAATTCTAAGTCTTTTGAAATTGACTCTAATGACCAATTAAAGCTCATGTGAGAGACTGGACTAAAATGAATTTTAAGAGGGCAGGTGTTGAAATGTTGTGTTACTTCAAGTTCGCTTTTCAATTCACACAGATTGAATTAAACTGTTTATATGTGTTTCTTGCCAGAAAGAAAATATCTATTCCATAAGATCTCTCTAAGCACTTATAAAGTACTAAAAGTTTCTAGCAGCGATTAGTACCTGAAGATCTTCGGGGTTAAAAACCCTCGGTAATGATTCTGGACAGAAAATTCCACCATTGTCTCCCTGATATTCCAAATCTTGCGGTTGAAGTTCAGAAGCCATAAGGATGCTGCTGGTGAAAATTCCAGAACTGTCAGCAGATAATGCAGCAGGATTTATAGTCCCAGCAGTCATGTATGGTGGTCCCATACCAGGACCAAGAAAAGAACAAGAAGGAGAAGAAGGGTTCAAAGGAACATAAGAAGGCACTGAAGACAAGCAATCCTCTTCAAAAACCGATGATAATGGAGCCGGCATAAGAGGCACTACAGGTTCAGCAGAGTACTGAGAAAATCCCTCAACAACAGAATCTGCTAAGGAGATTTGAGGTGGCACTGAAGAGAAATCAAATTGTTCTTGTTGGGGTACGAGAAACGTCGGCACAGAAAAAGGAGGGGATTGAGAAAAATCGATGGAAGCTGATATGTCATTATCAATTTCTTCTTGGGAATCAAAGATTATGGAAAGATTGCCACTATTGTTGTGGGTGGTGTTGGTGACGGTGTTAGTGCTAGCGGCAGTGGTGGTGGTGTTGGTGCTTGTGGTTGTGGTAGTGGTGCTAGTTGTTGTGGGGGTTTGTGCAATGGTTGTATCAGTATTGCCATTGTTATCCTGGTAGGTACTGAACTTAGTTTCTATGTCTGGGGGAAGTGAAAGATTTGTAGCAAAGGAGGAATTTTCTTCATAGCAGCAATTTGGAGAAGAAGTAACCTCTGAATTCTGTAGGGTCTCTTGGAATAGTTCAGGATCACAAAAATCAAAAATTTGAGCACTAATCTGGCTGGAAATTTCATCCTGCAAAACATCAGAGAGCAATGTTAACAATATGATTATTTGACAAGATTACATGTAAACCTTATCATCAATAATAAGATTGTAATAATAAAACCTTTTTCTTTAGCCGACTAGGAGCATCATTCTTCATATTTTTGCAACCAATAAAATTTTATTATTGTTGCACAAGATTTTGACAGAGGCATGCTACATCTTATGACAGTAAATTTATATAACAACCTGTGTCACAGTAGAGCTTTCCCTCCCTCCATCCCTCTGTTTTTCTCTTTCTATATGCATGAAGCAAGCATATGAAAAGTATAAAATACAATGAGATAGTTTTCCCAGGTTTTTTTTATGTGGTTTCCGTGGACCAATCTTCCATGTATATGTACATATATGATTCATGAACACAATGAGTTCTTTAAAGAAGGATGGTCGGGTGGTCGATTTTCTGTGCAAAGTAGGAAAAAGATGTGCATTTGTGCTGCATGTGACATGTAGGAAAAAATTTACCCAATTTCAGCTAGAAATCAATGGAGTTAGCTAAGATGGAAGCTCATGGAATGTTAGTTTTGTTCAATTTATAGAAACGACTCAGTCCGAGCGAACAGTGAGAATTTAAAGGGCACTTGAAAGAACCAATTTATGTTATCCATGTGAAATGCTTGTTTGTCACTAGGCTCCTTTAACCTTCTAAACTCAAAAAGAATCAAAGATAGAAAAGCTTATGGGAGAAGCATAAAAAGATAAATATTCCCATTCTAATCAAAAGAAAAGTGGAAATTTACTAGTAAGGAAATTCAGGATTAGAATGCTAAGGTGATGGCCCCCTAAGACAATGACAATGACAACTTTGTGGGTATTATTGGAAACAAGTTTGAAATATCTGCCAGGAGTGTGCATATGAAATAGCCTATATAAATGGCTCAACGAATGGTGGTACAAATTTGATGGGATTTGCTTGTGGATCATTCTATTTTGAGTAAAATGCCTTAACCCCCACAAATTCTTTGGGAGTTTGAGAGTTGAATCAAGTCCGAAACAATAAGCTCGTCGGATCAAATATGTTCTTTTGTTCCAACCAGTGGCTCTCAAACTCAGAACATTCTGAATTGTACAAGAGCCAAGTATAAAGATGATGATGATTTATTATTATTATTATTTAAATTTGGAAATGTCAAAATCAAACAAGACATTCAACAAGAAATTTACACGCAGCTAGAAAGGAAGAGATGCGAAAGGGATTGAGCAGATGATGATGGTTACAGAAAGAGGCGAAAAAGAAAGGGAGAGCATATGAAATTCCTGCTGCTTTGACCAAGAAATTTTACCCAACCAAAGCACAAATGAAAAAGGCCAAAAAAAAAAAAGGAATGCATGCATGATTTTGAATGTTCCATTCAATAATTTTGATTAGCTTGCAACCATCTCAAGACTTATTTTGAAGAACCCCATTTGCAGAAACACAAACTAATTTGCAAACAAAACACAACATAAATTATTCTGCTCAATGAATTTGATTCTATTTCATCTCCAGACTAATTCTGAAGAACCCCATTTGCAGAAAAACACTAATTAACAGATTAATCTCAACAAACATGCACAAAAACACAATCTTGGTCCAGGAAATTAACAAATATGAATCCATGCATGCATCATGCATCATGCATGAACAGAGAGCTAAACACAACAATGGAGAAAAAAAATTTAAAAAAAATGGGGGGGGGAGGGTGGGGAATAATAACCTGCTCCTGCTGCTGCTGCTGCTGAATCACATGCTGCAACATGGTTCCAATTCTCTCTCTGTTGCGTGGCTTGAGCTTTAATCAATGGTTTCGCTTGCTTAATTGAAAAAAGAAAAAAGAAAAAAATCAAAGAGAGAATGTATTTAAAATGCAACCAATATGTACATGCACATCGCTCCTCCTCACGGGCCTTGTTGTTGTGATCTGGATGGAAACTATACAAAGGAGGAGCCAAATGCAACAGAATCTCAAAGAGCTAGCAGAGCCTATAACGATCCAAAAAACCAAACGACCATGGCAAAAAAAGAAAAACAATTTACAGAGAGAAAAACAGAGGAAGGTTAAAAGAAGGGTGAGCTAAGAAAATGGAGGGGTGTGGGGTGGCAAAAGTGAGTTAATAGCCTAAACTTCATATATATATATAGTGGTAGGGGTCTGTCCGTACTTAGCCGTCAAGCCTGGCACTGGTCAACCCGAGGCCCGCGGGGGATCGCTAGCTTGGGGTCCGTACATGGCGTGGCACTCTGGATGAACACAAGTGAAAGAAGACTGGACACGTGGCGAACTGGGTCTCGAGTCTCGACCAATGAAGGGGTGACCTGGCAGTGGCCTCTAATGGATTTTGTTTTGTTTTGTTAAGAGGCAAAGCTGGTTTGGTTTGGTTGGATTTTCTTCATCTCTAACCTTCCTTAACTCGCAACAGTTAGAGCAGAAATTGGTTGACCAAGCCTTGCCTGTTGCCCGATTCTTTTCTAAGTTTTATTTTGGTAACCCCCGATTCTTTCAATGTGCGTAAATATATAATCGAAGAACGTCCTCAATGTGTCCTTGTTTGGCATACAATATTGGATTGAATTATTATTATTCAGGATTTGGTGTTAACATGTGACTAAGGAGCTTAATTAGCTAAATAGTGCTATCATGCATTTGGTATATACTATCTACACAACATTGGATTAGATCATACCTTAAACCCCGAATGTGTACACCCGACTTTAGGTTTCGATTCTCGAACTTTGAATTCTAGATCATAAATCAAACTAAACGATGTCTGATTTAATTTTTGTAGTTTTAAAAAAAAATATGATTACGTTGTAGGTTGAATTCAAACGAACAATTTTTTTTCTTCAAGTACTTATCACCTTCCTGGAGCCATTGAGCTATGTATTTAACTCCATACAACGCAAAGCTGTCGATATCTTCCCCTTTTACTGTAAAGGGAATTTATTTTTGAGATCAGTCAACTAAGGGAAGAAGAATGATGATTTTGCTGCAGTTACATAAAAGATATGGAATGGTACACATGCTAATAATTTGGGGAATTATACGCAGTGGATAACGATAAAGTTATTCCACTCTGGACAATATCCAAAATAATTTTGATAAAAATTCATGACTAAATTAACTTGACACGAAAACAATGAAACCCAAAATTTTAAAAAATAAATTAAAAGTGACTCTCCCTTTCAAGAACCTTAACCGCAGTCTTAGTCATTGACTGATGCTGAAATAATTATGCTTCTCGATCACTGGAGAATATATATTGTGTACTTGCTTATAATTCAGCCTTTTATTTGTATAGATCCTTATGGCATAGAATTGATATGATATTGATGAGGATATGAGGTGGACGTGCAGGACATCTTATGCTTGATAATGCAGAGGTGCTCAACTACTCCTGATCAATCATGGGAGTCAATTTCTGGCTATGAGCTACACCATTCAAATTGAGAGTGAGAAGATTAGTGGGAGTCCTCCGATCTCCGTATTTACGTCTAAAATTACGCATTTTCATCTTTTATTTTAGAGTCTGTTATATTTTATTTTAGGGATCGTGACATGAAAGTCCTTAACAACTTTCTTATTTATTATAAATCAAATGGTGAGTACTAAATTGTAAACCCAAAACAGTTAAGTATGGATACTCAAAAGTACGTAGTTTTGGGTATGAAAACAAAACAAACACGGAAAGATAAATTTATTTGAAATCTCCTAATTTCCATTGATGGAGATGCTACACCTTCATGATAAATCACATGGAATTTTATACAATGAATATTTGCTCTATCAGGACAAAAGATCATAGATTTGGTTTCATACATGCTGGATCGTTTTATGTTTAGGGAATCATGATTTGGTTATATGAATGAATACCTTAAGAAGGTTGGCTTTTTTTTTTTTTTTTTTTTTTTTTTTCCTTTTTTGAATTTTTTTCCTTTTCTCTTTTTGATTCAACAATACAAAAATGAAAAAAAAAAACTATCGTTTATAGGATTTGAATTCAGGAACGTATTCAACAAGACAAAGACTAAATTACTATTAAACCGAAGGGTAATTGACAAATTTTGTTTTGGATTCGATTTAAGATGTAGAGTCATGATCCATAATGGCAAACTAAAGTTATAGATGACAGGTCCTAAAGCATGCCCTTGACGATGCATACATGTCTTATTTCCTTTTAATGCTTGAATTTGGATATAGAATCATTTTCATTTTGACCATCATATACATATCATCACCAAACCTACATAAAAAAATGCTCCACCTCCTCCTTTTTATTCCAAACCCCATGCAAAAAGGCAAGCCCAACTCCATGAGCACCCAAAAAAATACACTAGGGTTGATTTGCTTTGCATCAATAATTTTCTCTTTCTAAAAATTTAGGCAAAAAAACATGACTCGTGCACATGTTTAAAAAAAGTGGGATCAATCCCCTTCCTCAATTTAGCTTATACCTCTTTCCAATCAATGTGGGTCGACAATGCTCAATTATATGTTGTTCTGGAAACTTAAGCTAACCTTTTGGTTTGTGCATCCTTCTAGAGAGCTTTCCATTTTCTGGTTTTGGCAAAAGTTCTGGAGCATGAAGTGATTCGCATGTCTCATATGTTTTGTGTTTTAGATTTTACTGAAGGGAAATATACCCTTTCTCGGAATCTAAGATTGTGTTTGATGACTTACGTACTATACCAAACTCTCACCGGAAACATGTATGAAACAAGCAAATTCTGTGTTGAAGGGACGGGAAGGTTGTGCACATGGTTTTGCAAATTATATATGCTAAGATTCTACAGAACATGTCCATTAGAATAGCTCCATCCATCCGTCCCCGTGACTTGGGATGAAATGATTAACATCATGTGATCTATTGGGATATTGTGTGGCTCGATACTAACCATGAGTGTCAATGGAGTTAATCCCATGTCAACAGTGGCGGAGCAAAGAATTTTGTCATTGTCGATGCGTGATAAAGAAAGTTATCAAATGGCATATAAATAGGTGTGTTCAAACATTTCGTCAAACACCTTAGTCATTTGCTTAAAAAGAAAAACTCAAGAAAATTGAGGTCATGCGACCAACATGTACACCATAAGATGACGTATATATATATATATATATATATATATATATTGTGTGTGTGTGTGTCCTCAAACACATCTTTCTTAGATAATTTTTCGCAAACGCTTTTCTCACAATAATCAGTCATGTGACTACATATAAGAGGAGCGTTGTATACATCCGTTATACACAAGAATTTCTCAATTCCACTTTTCGGACTAACTGAAACTGCTACCTCTTTAACAACTTCATTAAGCATGCATTAATTGAACAGAAGAAAGAAGAAAAAAGTTGTGATAGATGTTTGATGTAATGTCTCATCGTCTTCACTCAAGGTTCTGCTGTAGCATCAATCTAATCTTTGCTACAACATAACCATGATGGATGCCCATTTCGTCTGTATGGCTCTCATTAAATTCTTAGGCTCAATATTCAACAGACATGGTTTTTTTAAAGAATTTTACAAAACTGGAAAGAGGGCATCAATTTTTACACTTTGGAATGCCTCTGTTTTTCTTTTCTTAGATAAATGGTATTTCAAATTTGACAGAAATAAAGCCATATACAATTTTATTCTCAGGAGAGCAATATACTATACTGGGATATTTTTTATTTTTTATTTTTTGGGAATCAAAATATTTTGGGAATCAAATTATTGTGGGAATTTTTTTTATCTGGCTTGTTTGATATCAACCTTCAGACCACATGTCTGGTTATGTGTCTCATTTTTTGATCCAGAAGATGAATAATTTTGGGTACATTTACATATTCTTGTCTGTGTCCCTATAATATTTTCTGAGTTATAACGCTGATTAATCATCAACATTTGGGACAAGAAGAGATTAGTAAATGTAACATTTGGGATTTAATATGGGTATTTTTCTAAAGTTGCATGTAGCTCTTTTGATGTAAAATCCCACGTACATCTAAACACGCCTAAAGTGGAAAACAATATCGATACAATATAAAGAGAACATGACCCAATAACTACCATATTTTATTTTTCCTTTCTATTTCTCTTATTTTGCTTAGTCAGCTTCTGTTCTTAGGTTACACAACTTCATTACAATTCATAAGGCCATTTCTCTCAGGTTTTTATAAGTGTGCGTTGTGGATTGATATGAAATTTTTAACGGGTTGATCCGTATAAGTTTCATGTGAGATTCGAGTCCTATACCAAAGACGGGAGCTTCTACAATGAGGAGTTAAAGTGAGGAGGTTATTTGAGGAGACCGATCCGACCGTCAAAACATTTAAATATTTAAGTCCCATGATTTCTTTACATTTGTTGATGGTGAGATTTGACCTCCTCAAATAACCTCCTCACTTTAAGCCCTCATTATAGCCTTTCCGTACCAAAGACATGTCGTAAATTGTCATCCCTAAATTTGAACAATTTGAGCTTAACCAGTATTCATAATGAGTTGGACTCGAGTTGAGTTTATTTAAATCAAAAGGAGTTGAACCTGAGCCCGAAAACCAAGTCGAGTATATCGGGTTGGATCTGGGTCGCCCTCCCAACTTGCTCAACCCGCCCAAGTTGCTACACCAGTCCATTTTACTTTGGGCCAGCAGCTTAATAGAAGCCCAACTGAAGCCGGTCCGATTTTCATCTTAAGTTTTATAGAATCCCTAAATCATAAAATCCAAAGACCATCGACCTGATTTTCTTTCTTTCACAAAGTTGGATTGTATCCCTTTGTGTCCTTGCGAGACAGCGCTGCCCTCTTCTCTTGACTTCACTTCACTGAGTCGCAAGCAGCACAAAGGCTGACACAAACCCTAGCTCTCTCTGCCATAATGAACTGCTCAAGTAAAGCTCTCTCTTCCTCTCTCTCGCGTTCGTTGTTTTACTTTTATCTTTTTTGGCTGATCTCTCTTTTTCTAACTATTACTCTTCTTATTTGGCCGTACAGTCTCCGGCGAGGTGCCGGAAGAGCCTGTGGTCTCCAAGAAGTCTGGTTTGCTCTTCGAGAAGCGTTTAATCGAGAGGCATATCTCGGTGTGTTTATTTCTCTCGCTATCTTCATTCTAGGGTTTCCGTTGGTTTTACCATTATTGTTTGGTTACTGAGAAAATTCCGGAAAATTAAAGAATAACTAACATGTGAAAACTTCGGAGTGCATTTGTTTATGCCATTTATTGCTGCTAGAAGAACTCACATTATTTATATCTTAGTTTTGTTTAATAAATTTCAGTTTCAATGCTACATATGATAGAAGACTAAGTGTTTGTAGTTGTCCTGTTATCTTACTAGGAATACGGAAAATGCCCGATAACTGGAGAACCACTTACCGCTGATGATATTGTTCCAGTTCGAACGGGCAAGGTATACTGAATTTCAATATATTTACTTCATTTCATTCTTAGTACAACTTTTGGTTGATCTTTTTATATATTTAAAAACGTATATACTTGTTTATATATGTGTGTATGTATGTATATATATATATATATTGTAATTATGGGGTAAAATGGCCTCTTGAGCCGTGCACTACATGATAGAGGGTAGCCTTCGCTTACCCTTAGAAAAGGTGGAACTTAATCATGGGTCTCTGATAAGATGCCCAAGAAACTTTATCTGATAAGTGAGTTGGCATTTTGTAATTAATATAGCTCCTTATGTGGTGGATTTACTCTGATGGCTTTCCGTGCAGATTGTAAGGCCCAGACCTGCACAAGCTGCTAGTATCCCTGGCATGCTCGGAATGTTCCAGCTTGTATGTCTTCTTATTATACTATTACTGTCTTCATTCATCACCTTTCGGCATTTACGTTTATCTTGTATCTTTGACTGTTGTAGATCCTAAATTTTAATCTGTGGTTTATGCTATACTACAATTATCTCATTCAAATATGCAACTTGATTATCATCATATGTCATGGTCTTGGAATTGTCCAAGAATAAATCATGATTTGCTGTCCAGAAATAGAGATTTGTTTCTTACCCAAAATATAAAATCATGGGAACTCCTGGCGAAGACATGTAAATATAGCTAAATAATGTCCAAGGTTAAGTGAAATAAACAAAATTACGAAATGTCATGGCTAGGCTACTTATTAATTTGATGCAAAAAGAGTAAATTTTAGATTATTACTGAAAAACTTTAAATATAAGATCTAATTTTTCCTGATATAGCCGTCTCCATTATTATTCTGACTATAACCAACCAAAAGCATCCACATGATAAGTGGGACTCATTAGCAATCCCAGCATTTGCTTTCAGAGTTTGACGAGTTCATTAGCATTACCCCATTCACAGACTGCCTAACTTGAAAATTATGATAAAATTTATGGGTTATTGGATGGTCCTTGTGCATCATGTGGAATATGTTATAAGCACTATAATGAGTTACCAACAAACTGTCCATTGTTCATTCTGTTTATTGTAGCAGTTGAGCCTCTATTTTTAGTGGGTTATGAATCTTAAGAACTGGTTTTGGACAGTGCTTAATGTAATGATATGATTTTACCTTTTTCTTTTAATAATATTATTATTGCGTTGCCTAGTGTTATTGCTTTGTTTTCATCTCACATTGTAGTTCCAATTTTTGAAGTTTATTTTATATGTATTCTTTGTATAGTGAAGGAGTTTTTTTTCCTTCGTACCAATAGGAATGGGATAGTTTGATGCTAGCTAATTTTGCGATGGAGCAACAATTGCATACAGCAAGGCAAGAGTTGAGTCATGCTTTGTATCAGGTACTGCAACTAGGTGATATTTCTCCCAATTACATATTTTGCTTAGTTAAGGTACCTAGGTGCCTTCTTTTATTTCCTTTTATTTTTTTTTTTTTTTCTTGCTTAACATATTTAGCATATATTATTTTTTTTTCATTTTGTTAGTTTTGTCTTTTTTTTTTTTTTTTTTTTTTTTTTTTTTTTTTTTGGGGTTACTGCAACTGGAATATGACTTCATGTGGTCGAATGATCTAATTTTAGTAATCCATATTTTGGCAGCATGATGCTGCGTGCCGTGTTATTGCGAGACTCAAAAAAGAAAGGGATGAAGCAAGATCATTACTTGCTCTGGCTGAGAGACAAATTCCCATGTCAGCACCATCAACAGTTGCAGCAAATGCCTCTGTCCATAGCAATGGGAAACCAGGTTCTTTCTCTATATGCTTCTCAGAACATTTGATATATTTTCATAAGTTTACATATTAACTCATTTGAGGTCTATTTTCTTCTATAGCTGCTGATGACCAGCCGGGACCTGGCGTGAGGAATGTACGCCCTGGAATATCTCCCAATATCCTAGATGATATGACTGAATGTAATTCGGTTCTTTCACAGCAGAGGAAGAGGCGACAGGTACTGTTATGCAACTGTTGTCACTTGCTAGATTTTTAGTAGTATACCTTCCATCCCATGTATAGTTTTTATTGAGAAAAGATGCTGGTGAAGGTCAGCCATTTTTACAGCATTTATCTAATAAGTTATGCTAGTTATATCTTTAATTTGTATATGGGTTTTGTGCTCAGATATCCCCAACGTTGGCTCCAGTTGATGCTTTGGAGAGGTATACTCAGATATCTAGCCATCCCCTTCATAAAACAAGCAAACCAGGAATTTTATCGATTGATATTCATTCTAACAAGGTATGCGTTTGTTCTTATTTTATTATTATTTGGTTTTGTTCAAGCATCACTTCTGTATGGGTATGGCCGCTGCGTGCCTTGCTATTCAGTACTTGCTGTTAAATGCGTTTGTGGTGTTGTAATGTCTCTATTGATCTTTAGGTCTATAGCCCTGTAGACCTGTAAAAAAAAAAAAAAAAAAAAAAAAAAAAAAAAAAAAAAAAAAAAAAAAAAGTGAAAGAGAATAAAAAAATTAGAGGAGGAGACGGAGGAGGAATAAAATTTAAATGAATCTGGAAGCTCTTATGTTTTAGGGTTCAATTGCATGGTTCAGTTTTGCCATATGGATAGCACATGCTGCTATTAGATGAGAATTTGGATCTTTTGCATGCTTTTCTACCTTGATCTACTCTCTGCTCCAAAAGTTTTTCCAGTTTTTTCTCTTAAAGGTAGACACCTATTAAGGAAAAAGTAATTTCATCCTTCTGTGCCCACCTGTGTGTTTTATGTCTTTCTGATATCCTGTGCTAAAATGTCGAAAACAATACCCTAGAAGGATAAAAAGTTATGTTCAGTACACATATCAAATTTAGCTTTATGCAATTATTGTTAATTATGTGCGCCTTAGTTATGTTTCCATCTGGCTGATCAAAACTATTTTTTTTCCTTTTCCTTACAGAACATAATTGCAACTGGAGGGGTTGATACAAATGCAGTAATCTTTGATCAACCATCAGGACAAATCATATCCACTCTTAGTGGTCATTCAAAGAAGGTATCATCTATTAACCCTATCAAACAATTACTTGATGTCTTTTCATTAATGCATATTGAATGGCTATGTATCTTTTCCTTGGTAGGTTAACAGTGTCAAAATTGTACCTCGGGACGATCTGTTAATAACTGGGTCAGCAGACAAGGTAAGCCACATTTAATTTATTTCTTCTCGTTCATGGACATTTTCAACCCTTTATTGATTTGTTCATTGCTTCGTTGCCATTTCATCTTCACTATTTTCTGGACTTCGATTGCTAGCTTTGCATATTATTCGGTACCAATGTGTAACCCTGGCCACTACTGAACTTTGAATACCTCAAAATTGCAAGTTTTGAGTTGGGATTTTTGAAGTTTTACTATGTGGACCTACACGAATTCAAATTGAGATGCTAGATTTCTTTATATTGCTTTACATGTTGTAACTGGGTAACCTCCCCTGACCTGAACACAAAGGTAACAATAGAAAAGAAAAATAAAAAATTGGAGTAAACACAGAACTGTGCATGCATGCAATTTAGAGGTTATGCATAGGTTTTACTTGTGTAACTTATCAGATATTCAATCTAGTGAAGTCTATATTGTGATGTTTTGATATCATTTTTTTCCATCAATGTTGCAGACTGTTCGCATATGGCAAGGGTCTGATGATGGGAACTATAACTGTAACCACGTTTTGAAGGACCATACTGCAGAGGTAAATAGTTTTGATTCAATCTTTTCCCCAACAAGTTCACCAAAAAATGCTCCAAGTCCCTTAAGTGGAAAAAGAGCAGTAAATCAGGGAAAAAAAAAGTGAACTTACTTTGCTTCAATAACCATTTCTACTTTTTGTCTTTCTGTGTCCAAGTCATGATGTTTCTGTATTTCCTGTGTTCAGGAATTTTGGTTTATGTTATAAGATGTTTGATAACTAATGAATAATGTCTGATAAAATAAACTGCTACCTGGCAATTTTCTTTTTATTTGATATTTTTTGAGGGGCACTGCCCAGCAACCGAGTTTTATTATGTATTGCATTCTATATACTGGTTATGTGCTACGTATATTACTTTATTTAACATCTCAAAAAAATTTCAGGTGCAAGCTGTTACTGTGCATGCCACGAATAACTACTTTGTGACTGCTTCTCTTGATGGTACATGGTGCTTTTACGATCTTTCCTCAGGGTTATGTCTGACACAGGTTATAATCCTTCACTCTCTGTGTGTGTGTGCATGCATGCAGGATGCCATGTTTTCAATATCATGCACTTTGTCAAGTATCATTCTTTTTGAACATCAGCTTCTATCATGAGGCAGTACAATACAAATGCATAAACTTGAGGACATGTTTATGCAGGTCGTTAAATATGTTTAGTATGCAGCTCTTTGCATTTCGTTGGTTGATGAAGTGGGGAAAATATTTATGGTTGACAAAGTGTTGAAACTTCTGTAAAATGTTATTGTATGTTTAAACTGATGCACGTGTATATCTGCTTCTATACTAGTTGAGTTTGCTAAAATAATGAAAAAAGAGAATGGAAACTTTTTCATTTGAAACAGAGTTCATATTTTTTTTAATCCACCTATGTTCTCCTGTGATATCATTATCTGTACCTTAATTTGCCTTGTCCTTGATTACGCAATGAAAATTTCTTTGGCTCTTTAGGTTGAAGACCCTTCCGCATCTGAGGGCTATACATCTTTGGCGTTTCATCCTGATGGTCTTATCCTTGGAACAGGCACCACTGGGGGCCTTGTGAAAATTTGGGATGTTAAAAGTCAGGTGTGCAGGCATTACTTTTTCTTCTGCTTTCAACCTTTATTTTTCAGTTCTGATTTTACTTTCATTACTTGTGCTGATTGACAGACAAATGTTGCGAAGTTTGAGGGACATGTTGGTGCAGTAACTTCCATATCCTTCTCTGAGAACGGTTACTTTCTTGCGGTAGGTGCTCCACTAAGAAAAAAAATGAAGTAGATAGAGAATTATATGATATCATGCTCATATATTTTACATTTAAATTGGACAGACTGCAGCAAGTGATGGCATTAAGTTGTGGGATCTACGCAAATTGAAAAACTTCAGGACATTCACTCCATATGGTCCTGACACACCAACAAACTGTGGTATGTATATTCTCTTAGTTTCTTTCCCGGCAAAAAAAATGAGAAATATTTCATTGCAATGCTTTCACTGTGCAAAATTCTGTTGAATCACTTGAAAGCAACTCTACTTCTTGGGGATTCTTGGTTGACATGGTGAATTTTTTGTTTACATTTACATGTATCTAATTCTTCTTGCTAGATGAGAAAATTTCCTGAGGTCATATATCTATACGCTTCCCTTTTTGTTATAGTCTTCCTATTGTCTTATGTAATCTCTCATTACTTTAGTAACAATGAATTGGATAAGATTTCATATTTAGACTTTTAATATCATACAAGTCTTGCCAAATATGGAGTATAATGAGAGCTCTGTTTCTGATCCATGCAGTTGAATTCGACTACAGTGGAAGTTACCTTGCTGCTGCAGGCTCCGATACAAGGTCAGTGTTTGAAAAACATACATTTTTGGATTGAACACCTGAATTTTTTTTTAAAATGCCTTTTCATTTGTGTTAATAATATCAAGAAACTTAACGCATGATGGGGGTAGTTTAAAAATTGTAATATTCTACTGAAAATTATAGCATCCCATTATTGTATATGGATATGCGATGAACTGTAACCTTCTAAGTACAATTATGGCACACCCAAGGACAGAAGATTACAGTTTATGTCATATCCAAGGAACTACCCATTCCGTTCCTCCTACCTGCCTTCTCCCTCCCTGATTTCTCTTTTGAAGAAGATTATGAAATGAAATGATTAGCTTAGATTTACTGGACATTAGTGTAGTGGCCTGTGAAAAACTGGAATTTGGTATAATAGTGGTTAATTACTTAAGTTGTCTGAAAGTTGCCATATTTCTCTCTGAGTGAATGTGAGAAAGCTGACATTTGCATTTTACGTCAGTCCAACGGAAGCTGGATATTCTTTGAAATGCATGACAGTTTAGCAATAAATTTTGAATTTAAAGTATAGTTTCTTCTCTATTTGTAAATTCTCATCTCCAAATGCCAAATATTCTGCTACCGTCTTGCTTTCCAGAAACTTTTGAACACTGATTTTGGTATTTTGCTTTTGCAGAGTCATCCAAGCTACTAGCGTCAAATTAGATTGGAACACTATAAAGACTTTTCCTGATATGTCTGGCACAGGTTATTTCTCTTCCACTCGCCTGTCAATTGTTGGTTGTGGGCCTTTGTGGCCTTTACTTTACATTAGTCCCTGAGGTTCTTTACATTAGTCCCTGATGTTCTTTACATTCTTGTCTTGTTTTAGGTAAAGCAACAAGTGTCAAATTTGGTCCAGATGCAAAATATATTGCAGTAGGATCGATGGACCGTAACCTACGCATTTTTGGCCTGCCTGGCGATGATAGTGCAATGGAGCCCTGAAGTCTTATCAAAGTTGCCCCGTCTGCAGTTGCTGTTACCTTCACTGCGGGTTAATTTGGATTCATCTTGTTGGCCTTTGAACAGGGTTTTGAAGCAATTGTGCCTTGTAGAACATTTATGTAGTTTTGTATTTCCATGTGCAGTGTTAGCTGAGCGGTAGACGTTATTCCAGGGAAAAAAAAGGAAAGAAAAAAAAGGGGATAGAAATAGTTGAATGCTTAAGAGATTTCAATTTTCGTGGCATATTGGCGGCTGAGTTGTACTATTATTTTTTCATGTTCTTAATTCCCCCAAATACCATCATGACATTATGGTTGATCATTACTTGAAACCAAAATTGGTTATTAATGTTCCGTTAGGGTTTTTTGGTTATTAGCACGAATCTAACAATTCTTAATACAGACGTACAGTTTTAACCATTCGAACATTTTAAGAAAAAAATTAGTTCTGCAAATTTCCCTGCCATTTAGGCACGATAAATTGTGCAGCACTAAAAGAGAAGAATGCACACTCAAAGGGATATTCCCAAAATCGAATTTAGAAATTACAGATAGAAAATACTCCCCTTCTGCTAATGACAATATGACTTGTGCATGTAAGCTTTTTTTTGGGTGTTTTTGATGTATTATTTTTTCACATGTGAAATCGTAATTTGCAGGAAGGAGGAGATCTCCTAGGCAATGAGGCAAGTAGTATCCATTCTACAAATATGTATGATAGAATCACATAATTCATGGAAAATTAGATTTTCTATTTTCTTCTGCAAAGGATGTGCAAATATGCATACAATACAACTACATAACTTTAGCATAAAAATACTACATAAATTTCGGAAAATTAGAATTTTAAGACAGTCCTTGTTGCATAGCAAAATAATCCCACGAGCTACAGCTTCAAATCTAATAGCTTTCCAAAAGTATTGTTCATCCCATGTTAATCAAAGCCCTCCTATGCTGAATGGTGGAGCAAACTAGAAATAGAAGAATAAAGAATGTAATCACCAACATGATACACAGATACAAATGTATATCATCATCTTGGGCTTGTATCAAGGAAGGTACCGCGACGCATGTGTAAAACCCCAAAGCTGCATACAGAAAGGAATGCATAAGTACGTGATCAAGTATCGACATGTTATATTTGTTTGTTTACGCACTCAAGTGTTACACCTGAATGGAGATTGAGCATGCGTACACATAAAGGCGAAGAGGTTGCTCAAACACATTACCTCAACATTCTTCAACTCAAACTCTGAGTTATGAGCCAAGCACAAGTTCCCGAATGTTTCACATGGTCCGCTTGTTCCACTTAACCTTTTTCAAGCAATAGTTTACAATTGTAACAAATGGATCTGTAAGTATTTCTCCATCTGACAACAGGATACAGGTGGGAATTCAAAGGAAAGCATTGGAAAAGAAAAACTTACAGATCTCCATCCAAGCATAAAGCATAGTTACCACCACCCCCAAGAGCTAGCATGTCATTCAAACACATGTAGTAATACCTGTTGGCTCCTATGTACACAAATTAGACATGGCATCAGCAGTGCCTTTTTCTTTCTAAATGAAAAAAGGAAAAAAATAAAATAAAAGGAAAAGCCCAGCTATGGCTCTTCATCATCATAAAGTCCAAATATTTAGTTACATATTGCTTTACATTTCATCTACTATCATGAAGCATTTTTGAAACAAGAACCAGCCAATCCATACGAAGGACAAATTGACATGTTAATGCGGCGGAGTAACTTGTAACCTTCTGTCAGAGACTGAGGTATCATTTAGCATCTCTATCTTAAGCTCCACAACCCACCCATGTTATACATATCATACATATTACGCAAACCCATAATTTGAATCCCAAATACTCCAAAAGGAAACATGCCTCGCAAAGACATAGGACAAAATGCTTACCAGTTGGTCTAAATAGCCTTGGTTCACCATATATGGTTGTAAAGACAAATGTCTGGTTTGTTCCCTATAACCAAAAGGAAAGCATAAGAAGACGCTTATATTGGAAAGAAAAAGAAAGAGAAATTCCAGACATCCAAGTATATAGTTAAGAAAATAATTTTCAAATATTAGTATTCATCCTATAAAAAGAAAGGGGCATATATTCATTAAGGAAAGAGCATCTTTACTTGATATTTTCTTTTTGCCGTAGGTTTCAAGGGGCCCTCTAGAAGTCCACCAAACACAGCACCTTGCCTATCTCCAACAATCTAGAAAGTGTAAATACAGTCCACATTATCCTCACAATACTACAAATGATTTGATGTTATCAATTTCAGATCTCCTTGGCAGAGACATTAACATACCAGCAAACAAGGACCAGAGAGGTCAGAACTCTTGCGGATAAGAGTACGGAGTGATATACCATGTTTCAACGTACTGCCCTTCAATCAAAAGAATTGATACTGAATCGAAATCCAAATGCAACAATAGTATACTACTTTTAACGCAGGGCGCAAACTCCTCAAGAAGCTTACCTATACAGCAAAACCCATTGGCACCCTTTCACTATATTAGGAAGAGATGACAGCAAGAATTCTTGCAGGTCTGAGGAGATAAATACAGAGTCATCCATGAGATAGGATAGATGCTTCTGTGGACTATGCTGGTCAGTTGCTTCTTCAAACACCTCAGAACCACTGGTGCTCCCACCGGAAACATGGTCATAATCGCTTTCTCGATTATTTTCTGTTTCCTTGTTCTCACCTGGTGAACGACATTCTACATATCTATGTAGGGATTCATCTTGGGATTCAAAGTCTACATTACTAGCAGAGAGTGATCGTTGATGCTTGCCTGATCTGGATTCACCAAAGCCAACTGACGGGATAATGTAGGAAAAGTATGAAGACATTGATTTACCCCCTTTAGAATCAGGCCTGGCCTACACATTCAAAGACATAATGTAAACAATCATGATACATAAGACAATTTAAATTAAAGAAGCTACCTTCTGATTGGAAATTGTAAAAACAGGGCACTGACTATTCCCAGAAAAAAGAGGAAAAAATAAATAAATCAACCGAGCTAAATCATAACTCTGGGCATGCATGGTTGAGATGAACTTTTTGAACTGAACAAGGACACAAATAATTTGAAACAAATTACAAATGGAGCTAAACTTCTCCCCTTAGAAACCGCAAATATATAACTTTGGGGTTAAAAAAATGCAAGAAATTGTCATAAAACTCAGTTCCTAAGTTTCCTGGCAGATTACTATCACAATAACAGCAATAAGTGAATGGCCCAACTATGTTGTTTTGACAGTAATTAGCTTCAGATCACTCAGACAATGGCATTCCCTTGTTGCCCATGAGATCTCAAGTTCTCAGTTAGACAAAATCCAAACAGAACCATGTTACACAAACAACCAAACTGAAAACCTACGCTGTCTATGACACCCAGATCTCAAAATTCTTCAATAAGAAGGATCACATCAACATTGCCAGCAAAACCCATCAAGCTCAAACATTCAAGCTAATGAAAAACACAGAGAAAAAGAGCAAAAAACAGAGAAATAATTGGATCAGGGATGGTACAAAAATTACCTCAGGATGATGATGGTCCAGTGAGGGAGGAAGAGAAGAAGAGGATGATGAATCGGGTGAATCAGCAAAGAGACGTGAGAGCCTCTCTGTAACCTTCTCTTTCAAAGTGAACATTGTGATCAGCTGACGTGAAGGAAGAAGGAGAGATGCAGACAGGTCTATGAATCTCAGGCCTTTCTTTCTCTCTATGTTTTCTTTTTGGGTTTTGGTTTTTAACGTTTTTGATTTCCAAACGATTTTAGCTTTTGAATTTTTGTGTGGAGGAGGAACAAAAGGACCGTTCGTCGGTGGCAAAGAAAGCAATCAAATCAAACGGAGAAAAGGAAAGGTTTGGTCATTGGGGCAACTTCAATGTGATTTGGATTCTACTATTCTACACATAACGCATCCTATGTGATTGCTATCTATGTTTGGAATATACATTTATTGTCTATGCTTGCTTCCCAACTTTCGTGGTCTCAAAAACTATTGGTGCTATGTACAATAAAATTAGAAGACAATCTTTGTTTCCAAGAGTGCAAGTTTCACAACATTTGTTGCTAATACTTATTCAGTTTTCATGCTATATTGTAGCATTTCAAACTTTACAAATCATGCATATCATATGTGAGTTAGGCCAGTTGTTCCCCTTTTTTATATATAAAAAATACAAGCTAATCTAAACGACAAGGAAGTGGAAAATTTCTTACACAACACTACCAATTAGATCCTTTTTATATTGGGTTGATGATACTACCATTTAGTTATATAATGTAAATATTTGTTAGTTGCTTACACAACTTTGTAAATATTTGTTTGCTTACACGACTCTCTTATTGACTGTATTGTGGAGGACATTATCGCATTGCTTAAAAGATTTGCAGCGCACCAGTTCATGCTACTTTTAGATATGCAGATGGGGCTGCTCGTAGAGTATCACACATTATGCCCTACATAGGAGGCCCTGGCCTTTGTTGTTGGAGGAAAAGATTTGTTTTTTTTTTTTTTTTTTTTTTTTTTTTTTTGTTTTGGTGTGGAGGTTGTCTTTAAAATAAAAAATATAAAAAATGGGTCATCACATCAGCTTAAGATAAGGTTTTCTTTTTCTTCAATTATACAACTTGCATTGGACGCTGTGGTAGTGTGGTGTGTGCTGTCGAAAAAGTTAGAACAAATATATAATTAAGGGAAGGTGGTCAGAAAGAACGAAAACGCCGAAGTTGGACAAAGAGATATTCTCATCAATCAATCTAAAAACTAGATCTGGTTTACTTGTTTTCGTTTTGGCGAAGAGAGAGTAAGCAGTAGAGAGAATGGCTGAGGCAGTTGTTTCCGTTGTGCTCGAAAGTGTCAGAGACTTCACCGTTCAGGAAGCCAAGTTCTTGTCTGGAGTCAGCCGTCAAGTTGAAGCTGCACAAACTGAGCTAGAATTCATGCAGGGATTCCTCAAAGATGCAGATGCAAGACAAGGACAAGATACAAGAGTCCAGATTTGTGTTGCCAAAATCAGAGATGCGGCTTATGATTTGGAAGATATTATTGAAACTTATGGCTTGAAAGTGGATTCCAAGAAGAAGAAAAGAGGCCTCAAGAATGTTCTCAAAAGATTTGCCTGCATCTTCAAGGAAGGGGTTGATGTTCACAGGATTGGGGCAGAAATTGAGAATATCACTACTAAAATTTCTGCGTTGAGATCGAATTTGCAGAGTTATAACATAAAGGAAATAAGGGACAGGGACAGCGGTGGTGGTGAACCTTCCTTGCAATTGCATGAGAGGCTAAGGAGAACCTATTCTCATGTTGTTGAACGTGATGTTGTTGGGTTAGAGTCCAACGTTGAAGAATGGTTATGCATTTAGTGAAAGATGAAAACCGTCATCAAGTTGTATCTATTTGGGGGATGGGCGGTTTAGGGAAGACCACCCTTGCAAGACAGCTTTATCATCACAAAAAAGTAAGGCAGCATTTTCATAGTTTTGCTTGGGTCTGTGTATCTCAATGGTGTCAAGTCAGAAATGTTTGGGAAGGAATTTTAATTGAACTCATTTCTGCTACCTGGGAACAAAAACAAGAAATTAAGGACATGACAGATGATGAAATAGCAAAGAAGCTTTTCCGCGTTCTGCAAGAAATGAGATGTTTGGTGATACTTGATGACATTTGGAGAATCAACACATGGAATCTTTTGGAAATTGCATTTCCAAATGTGGAAACAGAGAGCGCAATATTGCTTACTACACGCAATCAAGCAGTAGCTTCGCTCCCAAATAGAAATGCTTATCGCCACCAACTCCAGCCACTCAATGAGAATGAGAGTTGGGAACTACTTGAGAAGAAAACAATATCTGAAAATGCTGATATCGGTATTTTCTCACCCTTACTCTTCTTTTCTAAGTTCTTAGTTATATAGCAAGCGACATAGAAATTACCCTTTACAATTTTTTAATATTGTCAAACATGTAGCAATTTTTGGCAAAAAAATTAAAAAAATGTAGCAATTGCAATTTTATAAACTGCCTTACTTGGTCACACATTTGTTAGGTAGCAGATGATTTATCTTATGCAATTGTAAATAATAATCAGGACAATGCTAGACAATTCAAAATTTTCTCCCAACCTTCTCTTCAATCCAAACATATCCCAAACTTTTTTGTGTTGGTCCAGATTTAATTTTTGAATGTTATCCATTTGGCATGTGCCAAATTTATAATAAGACAAAGGATATTAGTAAATTTCGGGATTTCACAATATAAATGTCTTAATTGGTATCCTTTGCTATTTCATCATATGTCATATCCTTAATTTCTTGCTTTTGTTCCTTGGCATGCTCATACTTCAAGAATTAATGTATTTGATTTTTTTTTTCTTTCTTATTTTTAGATTTGGGAATGTACACAAAGAAGAGAGAATTAGGAATGAATATGCTTCGACATTGTAAAGGTTTGCCATTAGCCATTATTGTGCTTGCCGGAATTCTAGCAAGAAAAAACACTGTTAGAGAGTGGGAGAGAGTGCATGAGAATGTTCGTGAATACATAAGGAAAGGGACAGGTCATGAAGAGGAATATCAAGGTGCATCATGGGTTTTGGCATTGAGTTATGATGACCTACCGTATTACTTAAAACCATGTTTTTTATATTTAGGTCATTATCCTGAAGATTGTATTATTTCGGTAAGCACATTGACTAAGTTATGGGTGGCAGAAGGTTTTATCTTCTCGAGACAACAAAGACATAGTTTGGGGAGAAACAATGGAGGATATAGCACGTGATTGGTTAAGTGAGTTGGTAGAAAGGTGTTTGGTTCAAGTGGGAACAAGTGGTTCAACTGGGACAATTAAAGGTTGTCGAATCCATGATCTTGTACGAGACATGTGTTTGTTAAGGGCAAAAGAGGAAAGTTTTCTCCAGATTAAATATTCTTTGCAAGAAAATACTTCTTCTATGGCAGCTGAGGCAACACAATTGGGGAAAATTCGAAGACTTGCTATTTACTTGGATAAGAACGCAGATATGTTGGTTTCTTCAAGAGATGAAACAAATGGTCACGCGAGGTCTCTATTATTCTTTGACCTAAGAGAATGGATTCCAAAAAGTGAAAAAGGATTACTATCTCCGTTGAAGGATTTCAAAGTGCTTAGAGTTTTGAAGGTTGAAGGTCTTCGGGCAAGAAGAGTAGAGTTGCCACGTGAAATTGGAAATATGGTACATTTAAGGTTTCTAAGTGTGAGGAGGAGCGAAATAAAAACGTTTCCGCCATCCCTAGGTAATTTAGTATGCATGCAAACTCTTGATTTTCGTGTTTCAAGTTATATTGACATGGTCATCCCAAATGTGATAAAGAAGATGAAACAATTAAGACATTTATATTTACCTTGGAATTACAGAGTAAAGGGTAAGCTGGAGCTGTCTACTCTTGGCCATCTACAAACCTTACATAACCTTTCAAGTGAGTATTGTGATTTGAAAGATGTTGGTAGATTAACCAATCTTAGAAAACTGAAAATAAGAGTGTTAGGCTCTTTGCAAAATCTAGAGGAAATCTTAAAATCTACAGGCAGCACGCTTAACCGTATCCGGTCTCTAATTGTGAAAAATGACACGAATAGCGGTGAAGAGCAAGCTATGCAAATAGTATCAAGCTGTCGGGGTATGTACAAATTGACGTTGGATGGGCCAATCGCAGAATTACCGAAAGAGCTACACAACTATCCAAACCTCACCAAGTTAGTATTATGGAGTTGTGGTCTCAAGGAGAACCAAATGGGAATACTAGAGAAGCTGCCAAACCTAACAAATTTGAAGCTTTTTGAAAAACCTTTCGAGGAGCATACAAAGATACTGGTTTTCTCCAGAGGAGGATTTCCTTCTCTTGAATTTCTTCATGTTTCTAGAATGGACCAAATAACAGAGCTAAGGGTAGAGAAAGGAGCCATGCCTCGTCTCTGTCGATTGTGCATCCAATTTTGCTCGGGATTGACTACACTTCCAGATGGGCTGAGATATCTTATTTATCTCAAGGAATTAACCATCAGATGGATGTGTAGAGAACTTCATCGTCGGATTGAGGAAGATGGAGAGGATTTCTATAAAATTCAACATGTACCTTCCCTTGTAATTGGAGAACCACTCGATTAACCATCGATGCAATGATAGCAAGGTAATTTCTTTTTTTTAATTTTTTAATTTTTAAAAAAGGGGTGCATTTTAAAGTGAAATGGGTGGTTTGGTTTGTGTTTATTAGTTATAAATGAAGCAGCGAGAGAATATTAAAGTAGAAAAGCCAACAAAATATGGGCTCCCTTGTTTAGCTATGTTTTCTTTCTCCATTTTTATTGCTTTTTGCTTCTGCTTGTGACTTGTGAGTGAGAAGCTTAAAAGCCAACAGGTTAAATTTCCTTATTTTGAGACCATTGATAATTCTATTGCATTCCGAATTCGGAATATCTTATAATAATGTTTCAAGTTCTGAGTGAGGAGCTTAATCTAAAAGTATTTGAATCCAGAAATTTTGAAGTTAATGAAGGGATTGATTTTGACCATTTTGTTAATGATAGATTTCTTCTTCAAGGCTTGTTAAGAGATTGGATGTTTTTTGGAAGTTAACATTTGAATATATGTGTGTGGCATTTTGAGACATTTTTAATATATGTTCATGTGAAGACACTCTTGACTAGCTTGAAATGAGTGTTTTTCTTTTCTAAATGTAGTACGATTTTACTACTATGTTCATATTGGAATGCAATTTTCACAAGCAAATTGCTGAATTTGTGTTATGATAATTGCAGGTAGGACCTGACATTGAGAAAGTATCTCGAAGCTCTGCGACATAGGGAGCATGTGCGAAGCTGAACTTACAGGGAGAAGAAAGAAATGCTCTGTGAAAATCAAGAGGAGAAAAGATGTGTTCAAATAGTTCAAAGTTGGTTACAAGCTTTTGGGTCTAGTTATTATATTAAAATTTCCTTGATGAAACCTTGTATTTGTATTCCTCTTTCGTGTGTGTCTTCAATTATGAATATTTTATCTTTGTGAGACGTACATTTGCGAAATCGATATACTGTAACGGATAATTTTATCTTCGTTTATAAGTTTTTAAAGTGCCATTGGCAACAAGATAGGACATGTAAAAGAAGTCAGATATTTCCCAAGGCAGAGTGTTTTTAATGCTGCCCTCCCTGCACCCCTGAAACATATGCACCCCAAGGAATTAGCAACGAACTCAGACCTCAAGTTTAAAATACTTGCCCCTTGACTGAACCACTCTAATAAGCAAGTTTCGGAACAAATACTGAAGGAAGAAAGGGAGAGGTTAGAACGACGGCACAGGGCAGACAGCGAGAGTAATTAGCTTCAGATCACTCAGACAATGGCATTCCCTTGTTGCCCACGAGATCTCAAGTTCTCAGCTAGACAAAATCCAAACAGAACCATATTACACAAACAACCAAACTGAAAACCTACGTTATCTATGACACCCAGATCTCAAAATTCTTGAATAAGAAGGATCACATCAACATTGCCAGCAAAACCCATCAAGCTCAAACATTCAAGCAAATGAAAAACACAGAGAAAAAGAACAAAAAACAGAGAAATAATTGGATCAGGGATGGCACAAAAATTACCTCAGGATGATGATGGTCCAGTGAGGGAGGAAGAGGTTGCTATTACTTATTCAGTTTTCAAATAAAATAAGTCTCCTAGGAAAACCGATTCACTTTTACTGTTTAGGCTTAAAATAATTAAAATAACGTCAACATCATCATTATGTAGGTTGCGATCTCCTAATCTAATTATCGACACACATTATGACTCAATCTCGGCTAATTAGTTCTTTAGAAAATGTGTCATTTTATTGACATGTGCAATTTGATTATTTTATGAAGGAAAACAATCTACTTCTGAGAACATTTTACCCAAAGTATAAAAAATATCATGATGAATTGGTTAAAATTCTAAATCTCGTTAAGCATAATCCTTTAGCTCATAATTTCTATTAGAGAAATTTTATTGAACACAAAATTTAGGGCATTTGGTTCTGTTTCATGCTATATTGTAGCATTTCGAACTTTACAAATCATGCATAAGTGAGTTAGACTAGTTGTGCTATCTTTTTATATATTAAAAATACAAGCTAGTCTAAACTATAAGGAAGTGGAAAATTTCTTACATAACACTACCAATTAGATCCTTTTTATATTGGGTTGATGATACTACCATTTAGTTATGTAATGTAAATATTTGTTAGTTGCTTACACAACTTTGTAAATATTTGTTTGCTTACACAACTCTCTTATCGACTGTATTGCGGAGGACATTATCGCTTTGCTTAAAAGATTTGCAATGCGCCAGTTCATGCTACTTTTAGGCCATTTCCAGCAGCCTAGGCGGGCTCGGGCTGGGGGGGGGGGGGGGGGGGGGGGGAGGAGGGAGCCCAAAATGCAATTCTAGCAACAAAGGCTGGCTCGGGCAGGGTGGGGTCCACGTGCCTGGGTTGGCCTGAAGGCAGAAGGAGCCCGAGGGCGCAGCTGACGTCATTGCTGATGCCAGCGTGACGTTAGCATGCGGTTTTAAAATTTTTTTACCGTTGGCGCGTGCAATGCACGCGCCAACGTTAAAAAAAATTCAAACGCGCGCGTCAACTTTTCCCCCAACGGCTTTGTGTGACGTGGTCCTTCCGATTTCTCCTTGTCATCCAATCCAACGCCCTGACATTTTTCAAGGCAAAAAATTATGAAAAAAATCGTAAAAAAATATTGTATTTTTTTTCTATAAATACCAATACCTACTCTTCAGTTTTAACAACAAATTCTCATACATCTTCTCCTTCTCCAACTATTATTCACTTTCTATTCAATATTTTCTTCACTTTTTACTCTAAATTGTTTTCATTTTCAAGTTTAATTTTTCTCTATCATTATGGCTTTTTCTCAAGAAATCGGAGGGGCATGGAGCATCATAGAAGATGCCTTGTTGTGTGAGTGTTGGGTCCAAATTAGTCATGATCCCATATCGGGTAATGAGATGAAATTCAGTCAAATGTGGAAAAAAATTCTTCACGAATTTGTTGAAAGATCGGGTTCCACCCGTACGGAAAGCGCATTGTCAAGTCGGTGGAAACTTCTCAACAAAGAGTTGGGGAAATGGAGAGATGCCCTCACAAAAGCGATGAATAACCATGCAAGCGGGGAAAATCTCAGCGATGAGGTAAATTATTTGTAATTTTCATTTTATTAATTTTAATGTCCTATTAATTTTAATTTTAATGTTTCTTGCAATTGGTATATTTTGTTAATATTTCTTGTATTTCCATATTTATTTAAATGTTTCTTGCAATTTTTATATTTTGTTATTATTTCTTGTATTTCTAATATTTATTTAAATGGTTGTTGCATTCTCTATATTTTGTTAATATTTCTTGTATTTCCATATTTATTTGAATGTTTCTTGCAATTTATATATATATATTTTTATTTCTTGTATTTCTAATATTTATTTGAATGTTTCTTGCATTCTCTATATTTTGTTAATATTTCTTGGATTTTCATTCATATGTTTATCTTTTTTGCATTACCAATATTTTTTTAAAGTTCCTTGCTTATTCAATTTTATATATATATAGATTGTGCAAGCTCAAATGTGGTATGGTGCTATTGGACAAGGGAAAAAAAATTTCAACCATACCCAATGTTGGGAGGTGGTGAAGCATTGTAAGAGATTTAGCATTATTCCAATGGCTCCAACTTTGGTGTTAAACGAGATGCCACTCCATAATTCACAAGCTTCGGATTCGCCTATGGAATCCCCTATGAGTGAAGACTCACCCATTGAAAAGGAGCTGAGGCATATTGGGAGGAAGGCGGCGAAGGCAAAGAGAGGATGCAATTCTACGAGTAATACCTCTAAATTTTTGGAGGAAATTACAAGGCAAAGCGCCTTGAGAATTGAAATAGACAAGAAAGTCCAAGAAGATGATAGGGCAATGGCAATAGAATTTGCTAAAGAAAAGGAGTATGTACACAAAGAAAGGGAGTATCAACGCAAAGAAAATGAAGAAAAGAAGGATCGGGAAACCATGGCCATGGATACAAGTCACATGTCTCCTGAAACAAAACAATATTGGAAGCTAGAACGAAATGCTATTATGAGACGAAGACTTTTTTGTGATGATGGACCTAGCCAAACGGATTGGTTAAATGATGAAAACCCTTAAGTTAGTTTGCTTGCCTTTTCATTTCAATGTATTTTAATGTTTTGTTTTAAAAATTAGTTGGAATTCATGTATTTTATTTTATTAGTAGTATTGGTTTTCTTTGAGTTACCAAAGAAACTATTGAATAAGATTCCTTTTTATTCAAAACATTCAATACATAAAAAAACTAACCATAACCAAAGCATTAAAAATAAAAAAACAAACAAACCACAACCAAAGTATAAAAAAACCAAACATAACTAAACATAAAACATATACATTAAAATCTTAAAAATGTTCTTCATGTCACTTCATTCACCGTCATTTCCTTTCACCGCCCATAAATGCTCCATTAAGTCAACTTGACGGCGTTCATGAATATACGAAGATTGCATCTCCCTATATCGATCAATCATACGGTTCATGAAAAGACCATCTCTAACCAACGGTTCATGCTCCACTGGTCCTCCATTTGGCCCTATTGGTTTTTCATAAATTCGGGTCAAGGCCGTGCTCATGGGATCGGGTTCGTACACCTCTTCAACTTTGTAATCATACTCATCCTCCACAATCATGTTATGAAGGATGATGCATGACATCATTATGCTCCTCAACACCTCCTCATCAAACATACGCGTCGCACCCTTAATGATCGCCCACTGAGCTTGGAGGATACCAAAGCACCTCTCCACATCCTTTCTGTAACCCTCTTGATATGTAGCAAATAATTTTTGCTTCTTAGTTCAGGGATGCGGAAGTGATTTCACAAATGTTGTCCACCTCGGGTAGATCCCGTCAGCTAGATAATACTCAGTTTGGTAGACGGTATTATTGACTTCATATGTGATTTTCAGGGCTTCTCCTCTCAAAACATCATTAAACACCGGGGATTGACCTAGGACGTTCAAGTCATTTTGAGATCCAGCAACTTCGAAAAAGGAGTGCCAAACCCATGTATCAAAACCTGCAACGGTTTCAAGGATGATGCTTTTTTGGCATTTCTGATTTCCGTAATCACCCTGCCAAACAGTTGGGCAATTCTTCCATTGCCAGTGCATGCAGTCGATGCTACCAATCATTCCTGGAAATCTTCTCTGTTTGGCTTTTTGCAGAAGTCGTTGCAGGTCCCTGTGCGTGAGTCGGCGCAGGTAGTCCATGGTGTACAGAGTTTCAACTGCATCAAAAAATCTAACCAAACTCTCCAAGGCAGTGGACTTCCCCATCCGGGCAATCTCATCCACCTGATCAGCAAATGCATCATACGCCAACATTCGTATAACAGCTATGAACTTTTGTTCGAGAAGCAGTCCCAAAACACCAACACAATTTCTCTTTTGAACAAAGTATTCATCATAATTGCAAATATCATGCATGATTTTATTGAACAAATGTTGTGGCATTCTATACCTCCCTCGAAAATGAACATCATAGTACAGAGATGTTGGGATAAAATAATCTTCCATAAGATTCTTACCCCGAAAATGCCTATGTCTGTCAACATTTGGGGCACGGCCTTCATGTGAACCACGACTGTTCTGGTTTTCTTCATCAAGCATGGCCACAACCATGACAAGTTGCTGATCTAGATCTCTCTGCGCTCTTTTGCTTGCAGCTCGTCTACACGTTTTTTCTCTTATTTCTCGCTCTTGCCTCTCCAAGACCTCCTCCATGTCTGACATTGTGAATGAAATATGAAATATGAAATTTAAAATCTGAGAAATGAAATTTTTGAGAAGATGTAGTGTGAGAGGTTTGTGAGCTGAGCCTTAGTTTTATAGAAAAATTTAGGTCGATAGAGATGACACGTGGCACAATTTGATAAGGTGAAAATCTTATCTGAAATTTGAAATTCAATGAAATGTATCTGAAATGTGAAATTCAAATGAAAAGTTGAAATTCAAATGAAATTTATCTGAAATTTGAAATTCAGATGACACGTGGCGCAATTTTATAGGGTGAAAATCTTATCCAAAATTTGAAACTCGGATGAAATTTATCTAAAATTGAAATTGAAATGAAATTTATCTGAAATTTGAAATTCAGATGAAATTTATATGAAATTTGAAATTTGAAATTTGAAAAAAAATATTTATCTGAAATTTGAAACCGAAAATCTTATCCGAATATTTTATCAGAAAATCTCATCCGAAAATATTGTCCAAATTAATTGTTTAGGTAAACAAATTTGTGAAAAAAACAAAAAATTGAATAGTACCCCCCTTGCTATGGCAACTACTGAAAGTGTAACTTATTTTTTGCAATGGCAGACACTATTCCTGTAAATAGTGTCAGCCCTAGCCGCCCCTTGCAATAGCAAGATTTCCACTGCTGGAAGTGTCCTTAGATGTACAGATGGGGCTGCTCGTAGAGTATGTTGCATAGAGGTGGCTCTGCGTTTGTTGGAAGATTTTTTATTTTTATTTTTTTGTACTGTGGAGGTTATCTTTAAAATAAAAAATATAAAAAATGGGGCATCCAGTATAATGAACCAGGTCCTCACATTCACATCAGCTTAAGATAAAGTTTTCTTTTTCTTTTTCTTTTTCTTCAATTATACAACTTGCATTGGATGCTGTGGTAGTGTGCTGTCGAAAAAGTTAGAACAAATATATAATCAAGGGAAGGTGGTCAGAAAGAACGAAAACGCCAAAGTTTACTACTTTTTGTTGGGTGGAATTGGACTTCATACATAGACAGAAAGAAATTGCTCAACTGATAAAGAGATATTCTCATCAATCAATCTAAAAACTAGATCTGGATTACTTGTTTTCGTTTTGGCGAAGAGAGAGTAAGCAGTAGAGAGAATGGCTGAGGCAGTTGTTTCCGTTGTGCTCGAGAGTGTCAGAGACTTCACCATTCAGGAAGCCAAGTTCTTGTCTGGAGTCAGCCGTCAAGTTGAAGCTGCACAAACTGAGCTAGAATTCATGCAGGGATTCCTCAAAGATGCAGATGCAAGACAAGGACAAGATACAAGAGTCCAGATTTGTGTTGCCAAAATTAGAGATGCGGCTTATGATTTGGAAGATATTATTGAAACTTATGGCTTGAAAGTGGATTCCAAGAAGAAGAAAAGAGGCCTCAAGAATGTAATCAAAAGATTTGCCTGCTTCTTCAAGGAAGGGCTTGATGTTCACAGGATTGGGGCAGAAATTGAGAGTATCACTACTAAAATTTCTGCGTTGAGATCGAATTTGCAGAGTTATAACATAAAGGAAATAAGGGACAGGGACAGCAGTGGTGGTGAATCTTCCTTGCAATTGCATGAGAGGCTAAGGAGAAGTTATTCTCATGTTGTTGAACGTGATGTTGTTGGGTTAGAGTCCAACGTTGAAGAATTGGTTATGCATTTGGTGAAAGATGAAAATCGTCATCAAGTTGTATCTATTTGGGGGATGGGCGGTTTAGGGAAGACCACCCTTGCAAGAAAGGTTTATCATCACAAAAAAGTAAGGCAGCATTTTCATAGTTTTGCTTGGGTCTGTGTATCTCAACGTTTTCAAGTCAGAAATGTTTGGGAAGGAATTTTAATTGAACTCATTTCTGCTACCTGGGAACAAAAACAAGAAATTAAGGACATGACAGATGATGAAATAGCAAAGAAGCTTTTCCTTGTTCTGCAAAAAATGAGATGTTTGGTGATACTTGATGACATTTGGAGAATCAACACATGGAATCTTTTGGAATTTGCATTTCCAAATGTGGAAACAGAGAGCACAATACTGCTTACTACACGGAATCAAGCAGTAGCTTCGCTCCAAAATAGAAATGTTTTTCTCCACAAACTCCAGCCACTCAATGAGAATGAGAGTTGGGAACTACTTGAGAAGAAAGCAATACCTGCAAGGGCTGAAATCGGTATTTTCCCACCCTTCATCTTTTCTTTTCTAGGTCCTTGGTTATATAGCAAGCCACATAGAAACCATTACATTGCTTACGACACAACTTATGTATTGTTTTTTCTTTTTTCAGTCATTGTTGGGATTACCCTTTAATTTCTTTTTTCAATTTTATTGACTGCCTTACTTGGTTACACAATTTCTTTTTTGGGGTCACTCATTTGTCAGGTAGCAAGATGGATGGTAATTTATCTTATGCAATTGCAAATAATAATCAGGACAGTGCTAGCTAATTCAAAATTTTCTCCCAACCTTCTCTTCCATCCAACGATATCCCATACGTTTTCTGTGTTGGTACAGATTTAATTTTTAAATGTTCTCCATTTGGCATGTATTAGCAAATCCAAACTTATATTAAGATAAAGGATATCAATAAATTTCGAGATTTCACAATTTTAATTTTAAATCATTCGAGCAAGGAATATCCACTAAGACTGCTCATACTACAAGTTCGTATTTGATTTTTTTTTCTTTCTTATTTTTCAGACTTGGGAATGTACACAAAGAAGAAAGACTTAGGAACGAAGATGCTTCAATATTGTAAAGGTTTGCCATTAGCCATCATTGTGCTTGCCGGAGTTCTAGCTAGAAAAAACTCCATTAGAGAATGGGTGAGAGTGTATGAGAATGTTCGTGAATACATAAACAGAGGCATCGGACATGAAGAAGAATATGAAGGTGTATCACGAGTGTTGGCATTAAGTTATGATGATCTACCGTATTACTTAAAACCATGTTTTTTATATTTAAGTCATTATCCTGAAGACTCTGAGTTTTTGGTGAGTGAATTGACTAAGTTATGGGTGGCAGAAGGTCTTATCTTCTCGAGACAACAAAGACATAGTTTGTGGGAAACAATGGAGGATATAGCACGTGATTGCGTAAGTGAGTTGGTAGAAAGGTGTTTGGTTCAAGTGGGAACAAGTGGTTCAACTGGGACAATTAAAAGTTGTCGAATTCATGATCTTGTACGAGACATGTGTTTGTTAAAGGCAAAAGATGAAAGCTTTCTCCAAATTAACTATTCTTTGCAAGAAAATACTTCTTCTATGGCAGCCCAGGCATCACAATTGGGGAAAATTCGAAGACTTGCAATTTACGTGGATGAGAAGGCAGATAATTTGGTTTCTTCAAGAGATGAAACAAATGGGCACGTAAGGTCTTTATTATTCTTTGTCCCAAGAGAATGGAGGCCAAAAAGTGAAAAAGGATTACTATCTCCGTTGGAGGATTTCAAAGTGCTTAGAGTTTTGAAGGTTGAAGGTCTTCGGGCAAGAAGAGTAGAGTTGCCAAGTGAAATTGGAAATATGGTACACTTAAGGTTTCTAAGTCTGAGGATTAGCGAAATAAAAACGTTTCCGCCATCCCTAGGTAATTTAGTATGCTTGCAAACTCTTGATTTTCGTGTTTCAAGTTATATTGACATGGTCATCCCAAATGTTATAAAGAAGATGAAACAATTAAGACATTTATATTTACCTTGGAATTATAGAGTAAATGGTAAGCTAGAGCTGTCTACTCTTGGCCATCTACAGACCTTACATAACCTTTCAAGTGAGTATTGTGATTTGAAAGATGTTGGTAGATTAACCAATCTTAGAAAATTGAGAATAACACTGTCAAGCTCTTTGCAAAACCTGGAGGAAATCTTAAAATCTACAGGCAGCACGCTTAATCGTATTCGGTCTCTAATGGTGAAAAATAACATGAATAGTGGTGAAGAGCAAGCTATGCAAATAGTATTAAGCTGTCGGGGTATATACAAATGATGCTGGAAGGGCCAATCGCAGAATTGTCGAAAGAGCTCCACAACTATCCAAACCTCACCAAGTTAGTATTGTGGAGGTGTGGTCTCAAGGAGGACCAAATGGGAATACTAGAGAAGCTGCCAAACCTAACAATTTTGGAGCTTATAGGAGAAGCTTTCGAGAAGAATACAAAGATACTGGTTTTCTCCAAAGGAGGCTTTTCTTCTCTTCAATGTCTTAATGTTTCTGTTACAGACCAAATAACAGAGCTGAGGGTAGAGGAAGGAGCCATGTCTCGTCTCTGTCGATTGGGAATTAAATATTACAGGGGATTGACTACATTTCCAGATGGGCTGAGATATCTTACTAATCTCAAGGAATTAACCATCAGAGGGATGCGTAGAGAACTCCACCGTCGGATTGAGAAAGATGGAGAGGATTTCTATAAAATTCAACATGTACCTTCCCTTGTAATTGGAGAACCAGACGAGGACGACGACTAGCCACCACCGATGCAATGATGGCAAGGTAATTTCTTTCCTTTAATTGTTTAATTTTAAAGCGAAATGGGTGGTTTGGTTTGTGTTGATTAGTTATAAAATGAAGCAGAGAGAGAATATTAAAGTAGAAAAGCCAACAGAATATGGGCTCCCTTGTTTAGCTATGTTTTCTTTCTCCATTTTTATTGCTTTTTGCTTGTGCTTGTGACTTGTGAGTCCTGACTCCTGAGCCTTATCATTTCCCAATTTCCAAATATTTTTGCCTCTTTTTTGTTGCACCATTACCTCTTTACATCTAGTTTTCCTTGTTTATCGACCATTTATAATTCCATTGCATTCTGAATTCAAGTTTCCGTAGTTCCATATGGGAATCTTATAAGTATTTGTCTCCATTGGATTTTTTTTTGCAAGTCAAGTAACAGTTGAATATATATTTCTGGCATTTGAGACTCTTCGAAATGTCAAATCTTTCCTTGTCATGTGAAAAACAATTAGAAAGCTCCAGTGGATAAGCAATAGGATTTTCTTTATATTTGATCATGTTAACAACTTATCTCTCATTGTTTTAGTAAAAAGGTTAACACATACCCAAAACGTATGTAAAACACAAAGCTTAAATACGTACTCTCTTTTTTGGCATATTGGATAAACTATTACGTATAAGAGTACTAGCTTAAAATGAGTGTTTTTCTTTTCGAAATGTAGTACAATTTTACTACTATGTTCATATTGGACTGCAATTTTCACAAATAAACTTCTGAATTTGTGTTTTTTTGGGTAACTGCAAGTAGGACCTGACATTGAGAAAGTATGTCGAAGCTCTGCAGTAGAGGGAGCATGTGCGAAGCTAAACTTACAGGGAGAAGAAAGAAATGCTATGTGAAAATCAAGACGAGCAAAGATGTGGTCAAATAGTTTAAAGTTTGTTACAAGCTTGTATTTGTATTCCTCTTTCGTGTGTGTTTTCAATTATGAATATTTTATCTTTGTGAGACATACATTTACGAGATTGATATAAAGTAAATTTTTTAAGTGCCATTGGCCCTCAAGATAGGACATGTACCCCAAGGCGAGTCGTTTTGAAACACATGCACCCCAAGGAATTAGCAACAAACTCAGACCTAAAGTTTAACATACCTGCCCCTTGACTGAGCCACTCTAATAAGCAAATTTAAATCTCTATTAGTTTTCACAACTCTCTAATATGAGGTAATTTATTATGCTGACCAAATATTCAAAGGAAAAAAACAAGTTCCATAACGTAAATTACTAATTATTTTTACTAATTTTGGGCCGTCGTGGGCCCATTATAGTTAACAAACTCTCCTATGTCGGTTCAAGGCCTGTACAAATTGATTGGTGGTCCAACACCAATTCCACCACACGCTTCCAAAACCCTAAAGTCCAGAACCTAAACCCCTCCTCTCTCCATTCTCTCTCCCTCTCACAGTAACACAAAGACACGGAAGAAAGAAAAGGAGATATCAGAATGGCGGCACAGGGCAGACAGCGACAGTCATTGCGAAACGGCAGCGAGGAGCAGAGCCTGCTTTCCAGGGTATCGCAATCGGGGGTGGTGCAGCAGACGAAGCGAGCGGCGAACGACGCGTCGTTGGTGACGAAGAAGCTGATGAAGAGCACGGGCAAGGCGGCGTGGATTTTGGGAACGACATTCCTAATCCTGGGGGTCCCACTGATCATCGCCATGGATCGCGAGCAGCAGTTCAACGAACTCGAGTTGCAGCAGGCCAACATCCTCGGTTCCCCTTCCTCTCTCAAGTAAAAACAAAAACCTAACAACAAGAGCCCTCTTCGTCTTCTCCATTCCTCGCCTCGCCCTTTCCCCTCCTTCAATTTTCGTTTCTTTTTTGTTTTAGTGATGTTAATTTTTGTAACTGCAGAATTTGGGCTATTATACAATTATGGCTAAAATATTATATATTTGGGTATTGTTTATTGAAGTTTATTCAATTATGGCAAAATTGCTTTCTGGGTCTAAAAAAAATAAAAATTGCTTTCTGGGTTTTCTCTGTCAAGGAGGAATGTGCAAGGAATCATTCCTCAGGTATTGGTGCAATTTAACCTCTCCTTCAACTTAAGAACCCTTTGTGAATGTATTTGTGCTATGTTTTGTAGTGCTTTCAAAACAAAACAAAGCATATCATGTTCTGTTGCAAAAAAGAAAAAGAAAAGGAAGATCAATCTATATCTGTATAATTCACTAAAGTACAAGCACTGATCTAGAGGCTAGTACAAAAAATGCACAGATTATCTCAGAGCTTGGTTTACAACAAAGCACATGCTGTTTCATAAAAAAGGAAGATGAATCTAGCATCAGTGTTTCACTCAACATATACTATTTGACCTGGCAAAAAAGCTAACTCTCACCAAATATATACACAAGTTAGGTGGAGATAAAAGTATCATGATGAATTGGTTAAAATTCGAAATCTCATTAAGCATAATCCTTTAGCTCATAATTTCTATTAGAGAAAGTTTACTGAACTCAAAATTTAGGGCTTTTGGTTCTGTTTCATGCCATATAGTAGCATTTCGAACTTTACAAATAAGGTATATGTGAGTTAGGCCACTTCTGCCCATTTATATATATATATATATATATATATATATATATATAAGACAAGCGATAGTCTATATTACAAGGGATAATGAAGTTTCTTCTACGAACACTACCAAGGTGCAATGAGGATTCAAACATAAAACCACTAGTCTACAAGTCAAGACCATTTTACACTGAATTAAACCTCATTGTGTGCCTGCTTCTTTGCAGACATTCAATCCTCCGTCTCGTAAATTAGAATAGCAGGGTTATCACTTGCATTACATTTGGTTACTTTCACTTTCAAATTGAATAATGTTTGGGTATGTTGTTGGGTTCTGTTTTTTCAGATCTTAAGAGTATGATATCAGCTGGGTTGGCTGCTATAGCATATTGTGATTACAATCTCGTGGAGGCGGTGACTTGGAATGAAAGTATGTGTATTTTGTGCATTGGCCATGGTGGGGGAAGCTTGCCATTGTTTTTGGCTAGTAAGATTCAAGATAGGTTGCATTTCAAGTTGGGTTTTAATGGAGTTGGAAGTTGAAGGAATGAAGAATGTGCCATTTTTGTCTTTTATTTCTTTACCGCTGTTTCTTGGCTATTTCCAAATCCAATGTGTTGTCACACATCCTATCAGAAGTTTTGAACTGAATAGTTGGGTGTTGAACCTAACCTAGAATGATTTGCTCCTTTTCAGGTGCTGTTGTTGACAGACGTAGTTGAAATCGACCCTCTTGTTATCTCGGCCTCAGTTAAAGCTATGGGGTTTCCAGCTTTCTCAGTTGTTACTCCGTCGGGCAAGCGTACTGTCTCAAAACCCGATACCATGGATGAGGTTCTGTGGAAATGCATCCACGAGAGGCTGTTCCTCTATGAGTCCGATGCTGAGGAGTTCATTCTCAACAACACCAGCTTGTACGATATGATCTTCATTGATGCTTATGATGGCGAAGATATCTTCCCTCACAAATTATGGGATCCACATTCCCCATTTTTAAAAGCTCTCAGCAATTGGCTTCGCCCTGAACATGGCACGGTTGTGGCGAACCTTCATTCAGACACTGAGATCTTGAACCCTGATGGCTCTGCTCCATCCGTTCTGCAGCAAACCTTGCCAATGGGAAAGTACGTCTCGGGGTTTGCCGGGCATACAAGGACGTGGCAGTAGGTAATGGAAGTAGTTGTAGAGGAAAAGATTCTTGTTTGGGGTTTACTGTTTCAGTTCCTTGGGTGGCCAATACGTCTCTGGTTGTCTGCAGAGGCTTTGGGGTTAAGGGTGGGCCTGGCAACAGAGATGTGATCATGAACACTCTCATATCCAAATCCTTTGAACTGGAAAATATTCTCAACTTGCCATTCTCTTGTTTGCAATATATAAAGAGAGGTTCTTTGTTTGTCTTATTCTCTTGGTTCAATTGCCATTTTTCCATTAAGATTTACCTGTGGATCAAATTGATGATGTTTTATTTTGGGGTTAACCAATTTTTAGCACAATTGATGACAAGCTAATATCACAACACGTGAGATCATTAAGTTGATCGAGTCCCATGTAGACAACTCTAAATCGTTGATGGATGTGAGGTTCACATTTATTAATAGTTGTCTTTCTGCACTAGTACAAGATAGTGCTGGGTTCGGTTTGGGTTGGTTTGGTTTTGGGCCCAACTAGACACTGAACTGTAGGTCGCGGTGTGGCTATTATGGAAACCAAAACCAAACCATAGCTGGTTAATTGAACTTATTGGTTTGGTTTGGTTCAGTTTGAGTTTTTAGGCTTTCTTAGAAATTGGCCCAAATTTCACATAAAATATATTTATGAGCCCAATTCAAAGCATATAAACCTATACATGAATTCAAAGCATATAAAGCTGTACATATTCAAAGCATTTTTTAGCCCAAAATCATATGTTAAAAACTGTATATCATCATCATCATATATTCAATATCCATCATCACACATGAATTTAACACATTACAATCCATCATCATCACACATGAATTTAACACATTACAATCCATCATCACAGATATGACAAACATCAAACATCAATTTAACAAATTCAACACTACATGAAAGAGAGATATTAGTATATTACAAGTTTCAACAACAACAAAGCAACAACATCAGAAATTACAAAGCATCAAAGCAACATAAATTAAAAAAGCTTGTTGCAGCAGCAGCTGCCATCTTGTTTCTTCAATCAATCCGTGGGAATGAGAGTGTCACTAGGAGGTTGTCCATTTAATTGAAACGATTCAAATTCTGCAAGAACATAAAACATAAGATAAATTAATGTTTACAAAGTTAAAACACACAAATTAAAACGAAAAACAATAACAATACCAAACCATTACCTTTTTCCAGTTTCTTCAAAGTTAGGTACAACTCCAATTCATCTTCAGTGGGCTCCCTGTTGAAGGTTGCAATCTCCTAATTAGATTATCGACACACATCATGACTCAATCTCGGCTAGTTCTTTAGCAAATGTGTTTATTTTATTGACATGTGCAATTTGATTATTTTATAAAGGAAAACAATCTACTTCTGAGAACATTTTATCCAAATTATTTTAAAAAAATTATCATGATGAATTGGTTAAAATTCGAAATCTCATTAAGCATAATCCTTTAGCTTATAATTTCTATTAAAGAAATTTTATTGAACTCAAAATTTAGGGCATTTGGTTATGTTTCATGCCATATTGTAGCATTTCGAACTTTACAAATCATGCGTATGTGAGTTAGGCCAGTTGTGCCCATTTTTTATATATAAAAAATATAAGCTATAGTCTAAACTACAAGGGAGTGGAAAACTTCTTACACAAACACTACCAATTGCCCAAATAGAGATGCCGCTTACGATTTGGAAGATGTTATTGAAACTTATGGCTTGAAAGTGGTTTCCACGAAGAAAAGAGGTGTGAAGAATGTTCTCAAAAGATTTGCTTGCATCTTCAAGGAAGGGGTCAATCTTCACAGGATTGGGAAAGAAACTGAGAATATCACTACCAAAATTTCTGAGTTGAGGTCGTGTTTGCAGAAGTATAACATAAAGGAAATTAATCCTTGTAATTGGAGAACTACTCGACTATCAACCACCACCGACAATGCCAAGGTAATTTCTTTCTTTTTAAAAAAATGAGTGCATTTTAAAGCGAAATTGGTGGTTTGGTTTGTGTTTATGACTTATAAAATGAAGCACCAAGAGCAGAGCACAATATGTGCTCCCCTGTTTAGCTGTGTTTTCTTTGTCCATTTTTATTGTTTTTTGCTTGTGCTTGCGGCAGGTCAGGACTGGTAAACGAAGGCCTTTCCATTTATAGCTCTTTATCAACTGATTTTGAAATTAAACCAGCAGTGGAGATATGTGCTTGTGTGGTGGATCTGTTAGGCCAATCAGGTGAGACCTCGATCGAGCATTAAATTTCATCAAAACGATGCCTGTAGAACCTGGTCCAAGTGTTTGGGGGTCTTTAGTTACTGCTTCTGTGTTGCATGGGAATCATGACATGCAAGATCTAGCTTACAGGTTCCTTATTCAACTAGAACCCAAAAACCCTTCGAATTATATTTCGCTATCAAAACTTCTATGCTTCTTCTAGAAGGTGGGACGTTGTAGCTGAAATGAGAAGAATGATGAAAGAAAGAGGTTTGAAGAAGGCACCTGGGGGCAGCTGAATAAGCATTAATTCCAAGACTCATTGTTTCTATGTTGCTGATAAAGCACAACCTTGTTCTAATTCGATCTATCAGATGCTTGACTACCTTATCTTAGTGATGAAGGGAGCCTGCTATTCTGATGATTTTGAACATCCAGCATAGATCCTTTTTATATTGGGCTGGTACTACCATTTAGTGATATAATGATTGTTGTTAGTTGCTTACACAACTTTGTAAATTTTTTTTTCTTTATCAGATTCAGGTCTGCCTAATGTAAGTGATCTAATAGCCTCATCGGGCTTACATGCAACTGGTGTATACTACGTCCCTTTCACAATAGTTGATTATGTGATCTGCTTGTGAGTGGCGATTGTGACAAGTGTGTATAGTCAAACCTAGATAAGGTGGTTGAGCTTGCCATTTCCTATAGGCAAGGGGAACCAAGAAATTTTCAACGGGTGGGCTAGCTAAAGTTGTTAGCTTAAAATTTAATGATAATTTTTTTAGTACCTATAATTTCTATAGTCTTTCTAAAAATAAAAGTAAACGCCAAAATTGAGGGAAGGTGGTCTTGCATTGGATGCTGTGGTCCAATGATAATTGAGGGAAGGTGGTCAGAAAGAAAACGCCAAAATTTGCTACTTCTTGTTGGGTGGAATTGGACCACACACATAGAAATTGCTCTACCGACAAAGAGATGTTCTCATCAATCAATCTAAAAACTGGATCTGGTTTACTTGTTTTCGTTTTGGCGAAAGAGAGTAAGCAGTAGAGAGAATGGCTGAGGCAGTTGTTTCCGTCGTGCTCGAAAGTGTCAGAGACTTCACCATTCAGGAAGCCAAGTTCTTGTCTGGAGTCAGCCGTCAAGTTGAAGCTGCACAAACTGAGCTAGAATTCATGCAGGGATTCCTCAAAGATGCAGATGCAAGACAAGGACAAGATACAAGAGTCCAGATTTGTGTTGCCAAAATTAGAGATGCGGCTTATGATTTGGAAGATATTATTGAAACTTATGGCTTGAAAGTGGATTCCAAGAAGAAGAAAAGAGGCCTCAAGAATGTTCTCAAAAGATTTGCCTGCATCTTCAAGGAAGGGGTTGATGTTCACATGATTGCGGCAGAAATTGAGAATATCACTACCAAAATTTCGGTGTTGAGATCGAATTTGCAGAGTTATAACATAAAGGAAATGAGGGACAGGGACAGCGGTGGTGGTGAATCTTCCTTGCAATTGCATGAGAGGCTAAGGAGAAGTTATTCTCATGTTGTTGAACGTGATGTTGTTGGGATAGAGGACAACGTAGAAGGATTGGTAATGCATGTATTGAAGGATGAAAATCGTCATCAAGTTGTATCTATTTGGGGGATGGGCGGTTTAGGGAAGACCACCCTTGCAAGACAGCTTTATCATCACAAAAAAGTAAGGCAGCGTTTTCATAGTTTTGCTTGGGTCTGTGTATCTCAATGGTGTCAAGTCAGAAATGTTTGGGAAAGAATTTTAATTGAACTCACTTCTGCTACCAAGGAACCAAAACAAGAAATTAAGGAGATGACAGATGACGAAATAGCAAAGAAGCTTTTTTGTGTCATGGAAGAAATGAGATGTTTGGTGATTCTTGATGACATTTGGAGTATCGAGACATGGAATCTTTTGAAGGTTGCATTTCCAAACGTGGAAACAGAGAGCACAATACTGCTTACTACACGGAATCAAGCAGTAGCTTCACTCCCAAATATAAATGTTTTTCTCCACAAACTCCAGCCACTCAATGAGAATGAGAGTTGGGAACTACTTGTGAAGAAAGCAATACCTGCAAGGGCTGAAATCGGTATTTTCTCACCCTTGATATTTTCTTTTCCAGGTCCTTGGTTATATAGCAAGCCACATAGAAACCATTACATTGCATATGACACAACTTATGTAGTGTTTTTTCTTTTTTCAATCGTTGGATTTTACAATTATTTTTTAATATTGTCGAACATGTAACAATTTTATTGACTGCCTTACACATTTGTTTTTTTTTGGGTCACTCATTTGTTAGGTAACAAGATGGATGGTAATTTATCTTATGCAATTGCAAATAATAATTAGGACAATGCTAGCTATTTCAAAATTTTGACCCAACCTTCTCTTCAATCCAACGATATCCCATTTGTTTTCTGTGTTGGTGCTGATTTAATTTTTAAATGTTCTCCATTTGGCATGTATTATAAAATCTAAGCTTATAATAAGATAAGGATATCAGTAAATTTTGGGATTTCACAATTTTAATTTTAAATCATTCAGGCAAGGAATATCCACTAAGACTGCTCATACTACAAGTACGTATTTGATTTTTTTTATCTTTCCTATTTTTCAGGCTTAGGAATGTACACAAAGAAGAAAGACTTAGGAATGAAGATGCTTCAACATTGTAAAGGTTTGCCATTAGCCATCATTGTGCTTGCTGGAGTTCTAGCCAGAAAAAACTCCATTAGAGAATGGGTGAGAGTGTATGAGAATGTTCGTGAATACATAAATAGAGGCATCGGACATGAAGAAGAATACGAAGGTGTATCACGAGTGTTGGCATTGAGTTATGATGACCTACCGTATTACTTAAAACCATGTTTTTTATATTTAAGTTATTATCCTGAAGATTGTATTATTTCGGTAAGCACATTGACTAAGTTATGGGTGGCAGAAGGTCTTATCTTCTTAAGACAACAAGGTCATGGTTCGGAGAAAACAATGGAGGATATAGCACGTGATTGCTTAAGTGAGTTAGTGGAAAGGTGTTTGGTTCAAGTGGGAACAAGTGGTTCAACTGGGACAATTAAAGATTGTCGAATCCATGATCTTATACGAGACATGTGTTTGTTAAAGGCAAAAGATGAAAGCTTTCTCCAAATTAACTATTCTTTGCAAGAAAATACTTCTTCTGTGACAGCCCAGGCATCACAATTGGGGAAAATTCGAAGACTTGCAATTTATGTGGATGAGAAGGCAGATAGGTTGGTTTCTTCAAGAGATGAAACAAATGGGCATGTAAGGTCTCTATTATTCTTTGGCCTAAGAGAATGGAGGCCAAAAAGTGAAAAAGGATTACTATCTCCGTTGAAGGATTTCAAAGTGCTTAGAGTTTTGAAGGTTGAAGGTCTTCGGGCAAGAAGAGTAGAGTTGCCAAGTGAAATTGGAAATATGGTACACTTAAGGTTTCTAAGTGTGAGGAGGAGCGAAATAAAGACGTGTCCGCCATCCCTAGGTAATTTAGTATGCATGCAAACTCTTGATTTTCGTGTTTCAAGTTATATTGACATGGTCATCCCAAATGTGATAAAGAAGATGAAACAATTAAGACATTTATATTTACCTTGGAATTACAGAGCAAAGGGTAAGCTGGAGCTGTCTACTCTTGGCCATCTACAGACCTTACATAACCTTTCAAGTGAGTATTGTGATTTGAAAGATGTTGGTAGATTAACCAATCTTAGAAAACTGAAAATAAGAGTGTTAGGCTCTTTGCAAAATCTAGAGGAAATCTTAAAATCTACAGGCAGCACGCTTAACCGTATCCGGTCTCTAATTGTGAAAAATGACATGAATAGTGGTGAAGAGCAAGCTATGCAAATAGTATCAAGCTGTCGGGGTATATACAAATTGACGTTGGATGGGCCAATCGCAGAATTACCGAAAGAGCTACACAACTATCCAAACCTCACCAAGTTAGTATTATGGAGTTGTGGTCTCAAAGAGGACCAAATGGGAATACTAGAGAAGCTGCCAAACCTAACAAATTTGAAGCTTTTTGAAAAACCTTTCGAGGAGAATACAAAGATACTGGTTTTCTCCAAAGGAAGCTTTCCTTCTCTTGAATTTCTTCATGTTTCTAGAATGGACCAAATAACAGAGTTGAGGGTAGAGAAAGGAGCCATGCCTCGTCTTTGTCAATTGTGCATCCAATTTTGCTCGGGATTGACTACACTTCCAGATGGGCTGAGATATCTTATTTATCTCAAGGAATTAACCATAAGATGGATGTGTAGAGAACTCCACCGTCGGATTGAGGAAGATGGAGAGGATTTCTATAAAATTCAACATGTACCTTCCCTTGTAATTGGAGAACCACTCGATTAACCACCGATGCAATGATAGCAAGGTAATTTCTTTTTTTTAATTTTTTAATTTAAAAAAAAGGGTGCAATGATAGCAAGTCAATATCATTTTTCACTTGACCAGACCTCATTGTGTGCTCGCTTCTTTGCAGACATTGAATCCTTATTCTCGTAAATTAGAATAACCTCGCTTGTGTTTTTAAAAAAGACTATACAAAATTTGAATAATAAAAACAAAACAAGTTGGGCCTTATGCAAACAAGTTGTGTTAGCATATCCGGAATGATGTGGCGCCAAGCTACATCAGAGAGGGTCCAGGCTTAGGGTTTTACTTCCCGGGGATGATGTGGCGCCGAGCTAGATCGAGCGCGGGTGTCAACATCCGGAAGCTCTCTACCGCAGTACAACGTCGTATCGAGGACGAGGGCGACTGGTCCTACGCCTCGGAATGGTGGGGCACAGAATCTGAAGGCCACACCGTCCTCCGATCCACATCCGACAAAGGCAACGGCGTCGTTTCAGTCGTCGCCTACCCTTCGTCGAAACCCAGTGAACTCCACTGGGCATCAACGGAGAGATGGCTACAGAAAAGGTACGAAGAGATACATGGATGCCATGAACAGAACGACAGATTCAGAGTGCTCGGATATCAATGGCGCGCTCTTCGCTTCAACGATGACACTCGCCAAAGCACCGTCAAGGTTTTGGCTGCGTATCGGCAATCTGAACCTGGCGTTTTCGCCGTTATGCAGCAGCCGCATTGCTTGGCTGTTCCATGTAAGCAAACCCTTTTGGCCTCTGATGATTTGGTTTGGGCTTCTGTCTCAATTTAGTATCCAATTCAATTTCTATTTAGCTTTTGGTTACAATTGAATCACATTTGCATCACATCGCTTGGTGATTGATTGAACTTTATCTAGTATTTCAGTGTGTTTCAGTAATGATTGCATTACATTTGGTTACTTTCACTTTCAAATTGAATAATGTTTGGGCATGTTGTCGGGTTCTGTTTTTTTCAGATCTTAAGAGTATGATATCAGCTGGGTTGGCTGCTATAGCATCTTGTGATTACAATCTCATGGATGCGGTGACTGGGAACGAAAGCATGCGTATTTTGTGCATTGGCCATGGTGGGGGAAGCTTGCCATTGTTTTTGGCTAGTATGATTCAAGGTAGGTTGCATTTCAAGTTGGGTTTTAATCGAGTTGGAAGTTGAAGGAATGAAGGATGTGCCATTTTTGTCTTTTATTTCTTTACCGCTGTTTCTTGGTTATTTCCAAATCCAATGTGTTGTCACACATCCTATCAGAAGTTTTGAACTGAATAGTTAGGTATTGAACCTAACCTAGAATTATCTGCTCCTTTTTAGGTGCTGTTGTTGACATAGTTGAAATCGACCCTCTTGTTATCTCGGCCTCAGTTAAAGCTATGGGGTTTCCAGCTTTCTCAGTTGTTACTCCATCGGGCAAGCGTGCTATCTCAATACCCGATACCATGGATGAGGTTCTGTGGAAAGGCATCCACGAGAGGCTGTTCCTCTATGAGTCTGATGCTGAGGAGTTCATTCTCAATAACACCAGCTTGTACGATATGATCTTCATTGATGCTTATGATGGTGAAGATATCTTCCCTCACAAATTATGGGATCCACATTCCCCATTTTTAAAAGCTCTCAGCAATCGGCTTTGCCCTGAACATGGCACGGTTGTGGTGAACCTTCATTCAGACACTGAGATCTTGAACCCTGATGGCTCTGCTCCATCCGTTCTGCAGCAAACCTTGCCAATGGGAAAGTACGTCTCGGGGGTTTGCCGGGCATACAAGGACGTGGTAGTGGGTAATGGAAGTAGTTGTGGGGGAAAAGATTCTGGTTTGGGGTTTACTGTTTCAGTTCCTTGGGTGTGCAATACGTCACTGGTTGTCTGCAGAGGCTTTAGGGTTAAGGGTGGGCATAGCAACAGAGATGTGATCATGAACACTCTCATATCCAAATCCTTTGAACTGGAAAATGTTCTCAACTTGCCATTCTCTTGTTTGCAATATATAAAGAGAGGTTTTATAGTTGTTGATTAATTTCATAACAAGTTTTTATATCTGGCCAAGTTTCTTCAGAGTTTGACTGAGGTTCTTTGTTTGTCTTAGTCTGTTGGTTCAATGGCCATTTCCCATTAAGATTTACCTGTGGATCAAATTGATGATGTTTTATTTTGGGGTTAACCAATTTTAGCACAATTGATGACAAAAGCTAATATCACAACACGTGCGATCATTGACTTAAGTTGATCGAGTCCCATGTAGACAGCGGGTGGAGAAACATCTTGGTGCTCCTTTTCTGTAGATAAAATCCTCAATGACCAATAAATCCTCAGGAAAAAAAATGAGCTGAACAAAAACTCAATTGGAAATAAGACATTTAAACGGAGACTTCTTTTGTCTGAGGAAAACATCAGTAAAAAATTAGAGCTGAAAATTTTATATCATGAGTTCACACTGATTGGAATGAACAGATCCTTGTAGTTACATATAACGAGGGATTACACCAAAGGCCTGAGCTTCATCTACAAAGATCAAGCCACAGAGAGAGAATTAGTCTGGAAAACCAATCCTAAACTGATAAACTGATCGCCTAAATAAATAAGAAACAGAAGTCTAATTATAATAAAGTACATTCTTCTTCATTTCAAATGTATGGAATTTGGCATGACACACTTTCATGACCCTACCATGTATGCATAATTGCAGAGTTAAAGAGTACAGACCATTTGTATACTTTTGCGAGACAGAGTCTTGAGATCGACAGAGAACGTGAATTTCCATTTTCATTTATCTGGAGTAGTAAGGATTGGTCATAGGGGTAAATCAACAATACAAGCTCTGATAAGTCAAACTGAAATCAAACATTTAAATTGAGACTTCTTTTGTCTGAGCAAAAACATATACTGAACCAATGGCCTGAGCTTCATCAACAATACAAACTTTGACCACGAATGACACAAAAAGATGCAATTTGATAGTTTCGTAAACCTTAAGGACGTTTTGTGATATTAAGCTTTTTCTTTAAAAGGAAATAGTATAGCCGATCGGCTATATATGGTTTTTTTCCTTTCTTTATCCAAACAAATAAATAGTATAGCCAGGCGGCTATACGCATAGTACCGCCGGGCGGCTATTCTCGGTTTTTCTAATTTTTTTAAAATAGTATAGCCGCACGGCTATACCTGGTTTTTAATCTTTTGAGAGAAATCGTATAGCCGAGAGGCTAAACTTGGATTAAAATTTTTTTTTAAATAAAAAACGTATAGCCGACCGGCTACACGCGGTTTTTTCCTAATTTAAAAAATAAAAAAAAATAGTATCGCCGAACGGCTATACGCGGTTATTTATTCATTTATTAAAAATAGTACAGCCATCCGGCTATACCCAGTGTTTTTTTAATTTTTTAAAAATAGTAGTGCCTGTCGGCTATACTCGGTTTTTAAATAATTTTAAAAGAAACAGTATAGCCGCCTGGCTATACGTTGTTTTAAATTTTTTGAAAAGGATAGCTATACGTGGTTTTTTGAAAAAGAAATAATATAGCCGCCCAGCGCTACTCGGTTGTTTTATGTATTTTTTTAAACAGTATAGCCGATCGGCTATACGCCTTTTTTTTATTTTTGAAAAATAGTATAAGGTTCTTGCTATGAAAGGCAATTAGTAATTACAAACAAACCACATGATGTGGCAATAAAAGAAGGCAGGCCTAATTTGGAAACAGTAGTTCACTCAATTATGAGAACTGATCTAATGGTTACATCCCTGGTTACAAAAAAGCTCATGCTGTTTCATGAACAAACAGGAAGATCTATTATGTATCAGAGTAATTCATTCAAGTAAGAGTGCCAAACTAATGGCAACTAAAAGACGCTCGATTTCCCATAGAGCTTGGTTTTCCATTTCTAGGGGGTCGTCTCTGGCTTGGAAGTGTTATCTCTGACCCTTTCCTTTCTTTAAGAGAGTTCTCATCCTTGGGACTTTTTGGTTTTTGTAGAATTTTCAGTAATATGGCATGGAACACATTGTGTAGGTTTTCCTAACCAAGTTATGATTCTTCAGAGCTGATGGTCGTTCTGCTTTGCTCCTGTGTTCATTTCCTATCACCGTATCATTTTCTGAAACAAAATAACCAAACACAAAGGTCAAGCCACAGAGAGAGAATTAGTCTGGAAAACCAATAATGACTCATGAGGACTAATAAACATTTTCCTACGGCATTAATGTAGGGATACAATCTACCACTTCCCTTAATACGTGTGCCAATCCTAAACTGATAGACTGATCACCTAAACAAATAGCAAACTGGATTATCATGAAGCATATGCTTCCTCATTCCAGTGCACAGAATACTGCATGAAACGCTTTTCTGGACCCTACCATGTAAGTTTAATCACAGTTCTAGAGAGTACAGACCATTTGTATATTTTTGTAAGAAAGAATTTTGTCAATACAGATATGAATGTTCATTTTCTGTCCTTTTCTTTTGTGTGCAATTTTCATGCTCGGTACTAGCAAAAAAAGGAATGAAATAAAACAAAAAGATTTCTTTACACTTCAGCTTGACAACTGCAAATTTCAGAACAATCCTAAATATAAAAGGTATTATTACAAATGAATTCAAAGATACATATGAGACTGAGCAAGCAAACTTTTAGAGCTCATTTCTGTGATACAAATGCAAAACCCCATTAGTAGAACGAACACAATTTATCAAAACACGTAGCAAAAAAATAGTTGCATGTGTCAATTGGCAAAACAGGCAGGTTCAAAAGTCCTATTACTCAATACTCCATGAATAACAATAAACCAGGACTGAAATAGATTAAACTTTCAAACTAGGAAATTCAGGATTTAAGGAAAACCTGGAAAAACAAGAATTAATGATGACATGACGATCATCTTGGTCTTCTTGGTGCCTGACCTTCACCTTCGGGTACACAGTACACTTCAAGATTCCAAAGAGAAACAAGAAAATCCAATTTCAGAATCATTTTATTTTCTACTTTCTATTAACATAATCCAAAAGAATAACCCAAACGACAAAGCAAGCTAAATAAAATGAACACAAACCCATTTCTTTTTTCCTCTTCTTCTCCTCTTCTGTTCAACTATATTAAACAATCTACCATATATCTCCACAAGTACAACTACCATTAACAAATCTATGGTATCTGTTTACATCTCTCACAATGATCTCCCTCTCCAATACTCTACAGATATACTTGAATGCCTCATGGCAATCCCGGCATATCCTCAAATTCTTCACAATCCTTATTGACTTGCCTGGTGGTGCCGCGCCACTCACCACTGCAAATGCTACTGCCAACTTCTCACTGTGATACCAAAGGGCTTCCTTTTTCTCCCATTCCCCTACTTCATGCAATATCTCATCCCAAACCGGCACATATCCTAATTTTCCTATCTCCTCCATCAACTCTACCAATTTAGCATAGATCTCATTCATTCTTTCATGCCTTCTGTCCCGGGCGAAAAAGACATGAACTTTCCCCCTTACCTCGATCCAACTCCTTCCACCTTCCTTTTGTACCCTCCTATCTTTCATCATCTTCCTCACTTCTGCAACTTCATCCCACCTTCCAGCGTTTGATAACACATTTGCAGCAATTACGTAAGCAGAGTCATCATGTGGGTCAATTTCCAATAACCGTTTAGCCATGGACCTAGCGAAATCAGGTGCTTTATGATACGCTGAACTTGATAGCAGTGATCGCCACACTGCAGCGTCTGGTATCAACGGCATTGTCAGTGCAGCCCTTTCAGCCTCTTCCAATTGACCAGCTCTTCCCATTGCACCAACCAAACACGTATAATGCTCGATCGCTGGTTCCAACCCATAATCTACCTTCATCCGGGTCAACCACCAATCAGTCTCAGAAACCAAACCTGCATTGCAAAATGACGTTAAAATTGCCAAAAAACTATATTCATCCGGCACAAGACCCCGAGCTTCCATTGCATTGAAAATCTCAAGCATCGATTTTGTATCCCCCTGTTGTGCATATCCAGCCAGCATCACATTCCACCCCACAATGTTCATGCTTGACAAGTTCTCATCAAAAACCTGTCTAGCATCAGACACAAGCCCAGCTTTCCCATACGAATCAATCAAAGCCGTCCCCACAATAACATTTCCATCAAGTCCCGTAACTATAGCATGAGAATGTATGATCCTACATTGCTCCAACACAGCAAGCTCCCTTGCAGCACGAAGTGCGCCGGAAACACTATACATAGTAGACCCAATATCAGAACATTTCATGTCAGCAAAAGTGGACAACGCCTCAACGGGTCTCGAGTTCTGCGCCAACCCAACAATAACCGCTGCATAACAAACCTCGTCTTTGTGGGAAATTTCATCGAGCATCTTGCGGGCTTCAATGGGTAAGCGACATTTGGAGTAGAAATGAATGAGGGCAGACCCAGAAAAGGGCTGCGCCGAGACGCCGAGCTTGAGAGAGAGGGAGTGGAGGGCAAGGCCGAAGGAGAGAGAAGGGAGAGAAGCACAGGTTTTGAAGAGGGAACCGAAGGTGCGCTGGTTGGGGAAAGTGGGGTGGCGGAGCATGGAAACAAAGTGTTGGAGGGCGAAGAGGGTGTTGCAGTGGGCCGAGATCACGGCCGTCCATGAGACGACATTGGGAGAAGAGATTTGGTGAAAGAGGCGGAGAGAGTAGGAGAGGAGATTGGACTTGGAGTAGAGAGTGATGAGGTTGTTGCGGAGGGAACGGTCGATGTTGGCGGCCGTGATGGCTCGGGCGTGGAGGATGCGAGGGTCTGCGTTGGGTGGTTGCGGTGGAGGAGGGGGTGGTTGTATTGAGACTCGGTTCATTTTGGAGAGGAGGAGCTTGTTGGACACTGGAAGACTTGCAGTTTGGGGTTTTTGGAGGGGTTTAGCTGTGCATGCTGAATGCACGTGAGTTCTCTTATATTTTCATGTATTATTTAAGAAAAAAAGTCACCAGCGAAAGTTGTTGAAAGAAACTCTCTTGCAAAGTTGCAAACTATCCCGCCAATAACACAATGACACGTGAAAAAATTAGCCCATGCTTCCTTGTGTTATTGGCTAAGAATTAACAAAATTAAAAGTTTTTTTTTTTTTTTTTTTTTTTTTTTTTTTTTTTGACTCAGGTTGGAATCCCTATGACAACAGTGTGTGAGAAAATTTTTATCTCCCTCATATAACTTGTATTTTAAAAAGAAGTCACTTTTGGTTCCGTTAATTTGTTGATTTTTTTACTTTAGTTCTTGTAGTTTAATTTTGATAATTTAACCTTTGTAATTTAATTCTATCACAATTCAAGGACATATAATTTCCATCTAATTCTATCTAAAATTTCGTCTAAAATACCTTCCACGACTTAAGGATGAACCATAAAATTACGAAAATTAAAACTACAGGAATGAAAGTGGAAAAAAAATCAGGTAAACGTGACTTTTTGACTTTATATGATTTATTTTTTATGAGCGAATTTTGTTGTAAATTATGTGGCTGCCCACAAAATCTCCAAAATTCGGAGACTTGCGACAAGACTTCACATATGCACTGGTAGTCGACTGCATTGTTTTATTTTTTCAGCACAACTTGCAGGCCGGCTTGGTCAACATTTTTGCATCTTCCCCCAAATTGCAGAGGGGAATGCTAGATGGGTTAGTAAATTGCCAGAGCTGCCACAAACAGAGCTGCTTAGTCTTCAATGGCTGCTTCTACCTCCACCACTCTTCCTCCTCCTCCAAAGAAATATGACGTCTTCCTGAGCTTCAGAGATGAGAACACCCGCACAAATTTTACAGAAGATTTTATACACAGCTTTGGACCAAAAAAGGATCTTCTTTTTTTTCGTCTTTTTTGCTGAATTTTTTTGTGTTCAAAACTTCCCATTTGACGTTCTAAGATTCTTGCAAGTTACAAAATTGTCATAATGATCTTGAAGAAGTAAAACTATAGACCGGACAACTAATAACTAGTGTGAAGGCTAGCTAGGCACCAAGGGGGCAAAGATGAGAGAAGATGCATGCATGGAAGATTTGTATGTGGGACCCATCACCCATGTCTGACCTGTCATTGCACACCAAAATGACCTGTTGACAGCATGGAATGAGACTTTTCAGTTGTCCACTGGTTATTGGCTTTTTCCCCTTTTTTATTCTTTTATTTTCTACTGCATATATTTGTTTGAGCAGCTACAAATCAATAATGAGTTTGAATGAAATTCAAAGCCCATTCAAGATTAATCACATTCCAATCAGGACCGAAGTTAAACAATATGCATGCCAAGATATCAGAATATTAGGGCATCTCAAATCTAAGAATTTAGATGATCTTATAGGATCACTTTGTACTTGAGAATATTATAATTCATGTATGCTACGATATGGACAAAAATGATATGAAGAAAACAAATGAGTTTCAAATAATTCTTTACATATAGACATTTCAAATCCATACGTATCACATCTAACTATTTCAATATTTTCAACCAAATGTTTTCTAAGTTCCGTAGCAAATTTAACCTTGTTGTCATATCCAAGTATTTTTTTTCTTTTCAAACTCCTCTATTCCAAAGTTATAGGAGCTATGGCTTCACTTTAAATTTATATGGACAGAATCCTGCAAATATGGAACTTTGATTTTTTATTTTTATTTTTTCCTTCTTCTTTTTCTCATGAATCTCCTTTTTTCTTGTTGCTGAAGTTAGAAGTTGAAGATTTGCTGTGACATCATAGAAACTTTTTATCTTTTTCCCTCTTGAGTTGTTGGTGAAGTAAAAAAGATGGAAACAAATCTTAAACTACAAGCCAGCTTTTACCACAAAATTATTAGGTTAGCAATTTCATCAGCATCCAAAATCTAAAACAACTCATCCAAGATTTTCCACTGAATAAGAGAGTACGAAATTGTAGGGCCTAATCCTCATTGGGGCCCTTTTTTTATTTATTTATAAATTTAACTCACTACTGAAAATGAGAGTATCTTCTAATGTAACATCATTCTTGATTCAACTTTTCTTTAGTATCCTTCGGGTCTTGGCTTTTTTCTTTTTTTGCCCTCCTTCATTGCCAAACTCAAATGTATATATAGGATAGCTTTATAATTTCATCACTAATGAATGTTTATCAAACTAAAATGGCAGACAACAAGGACAATGATACTTTGATAGTTTCATCTAAAAAGAAAGGTCGGTGGCTTGTGGTACTTTTAAGTTTCAACTAGAATTATGAGGACTTATAGCTCAAGTGAAAAAATATCAAGGTGTACAACGGACTTATAGCTAAAGCCACCAACGCCATCCTGTATGAACCATTTGAAGTCGGCAGTTCCACCAAACTTTTACTGAGCTAGGCCAAACACAACACATACAACATTGTATACCATCTCTCTAATAAAGGTCCCACAAAGATGCGGAACCCATTATACAAGTACATCTTAGAGATGTGGTATAAAAAGATAGCCTACCTAACATATTACTCTATTGGATAAGGGTAAAGCTATGCCATATACTTTTACCCTGTAAATATTGGAATTTCAACTCTTGCCTCTCCTACCAATAAGAAAAATTCTGAACTACAAACAAATTTCTCTGGTTTCGAAAATTTGGCATTTCAAAAGGCGTTAGAGCATCTCCAAGGGAGATGTCAAATACCAAACATTAAAGTGAGATGTTATTTCTAGCCGTTAAATGTCTATGTGGCACTTTTAACACATCTGTTGGAGATGCTCTTATAGTTTTTTGTTCTTTTGGGCCGTGACTTTCAAACAAACCTACTTCTAACCTATAAATTTTTTAGCAATGTCGCCAATAAATAAATTACAAAAGAACAAAAAAACCCAGAAAAATAAATAAATTAAAAAGTATGCGCTCTGTGTTATGTGCGCTCATGAGAAAGAAAGAAAGAGAAGTTGTTTGCAACTTGCAGCTTTCTAGAAAGCATAAAAGTTGTGAAGAAATCGGGGAAGTGAGAAAAAAGAGACAAACACACACCCACATGACTCATCAGGGACAAGGAAGGTAAAACAATAAACAAAGAAAAGAGGCCAAAATCTGTTCGTCCTTGCCCGATTCTTTTTTCTTTTTTTCTTTTTCTTTTCCATCCATTTCAAAATGACAAACATTCATTCCTACATCAATTTTTCACGGAGGTGAAATTTTTTCTGAATTTCATGCTCTAAATGCTTCTTTTCCTCCTTCCCTACTTTGCCTCTGCCAATTCTATCCACCACAAAAACCTCATTTTCTTCTCTCTAGAAGAAGAAAAAAAAAGAGAGAGAGAAAATTAACAAAACAAAAAATTGTTGCAAGTATCCACCACTTTAAAAGAAGCTTGCTTCTTGAGAAACCCATGTCCTCCTATCAATAATCTGCACAGAATAACATGATCAAACCATGGCAGATTAGAATTTAGAATCAGAACAATTAAAAGCAGAAATAAGATGCATCTCATATTCTTGTATGTATATAATTTACATACCATCATGCTTCTTCATCAAATTTCTGGCAAACAACAAAAATATGACTAGAAACCCAACTCCAGCTGCTCCTCCCAAAATGATAGCCACTGTCTTCCCTGTATTTCCTGACCCTATTTCAATCAAGCACATTCAAAACTCAGATCAATATAATGGAACCATTCTTAGAGAGAGAAACACTAATCTAAGTTACCCAACTTAACAAAAAGCCCTCTTTGACAACCTAACCAGAAATTGGACAAATTGTAAAAACAAAAAGTCATGGCCCCAAATCCAAAAGAACAAAATCTGACTTCCATTTTACCTGATGAAGATGAAGAAGATGATGATGAAGATGAGGAGGATCTCCTGGGAACCCCATTTGGGTAATAACTATAGCTAAGAAAGCACTTGTGGAGATAGATTTGGCCTGAAATGGCACTCCCACATTCAACCTGAGCTCTCTGCACAGCATTCTTCACACACTCACCACAATCCGAGTCTCCCACATCTCCTTGGCACTGCCCCAAGACATAAACTTGTTGGTAATTTGTTGTATAGAAGCCATGGCCACTCACAACACCGTTCTCCAACACTGTATAGGCAGTGTCCCTTCTCTCTTCAAACCCACTTCCAGCAATATTTGTTCCCCCACAAGTCTTGAACAACATTTCCATGCCTGAAATTTGGGCAAAACCAGAGATTTCATAGAGCATGTAGCACCCAATCAGCTGAACCCTAGCAGCAATGGTTTTGCCACAGAGATTATCAGACATTTGTGGCAATTTGCTCACACAGTTGTAACAGTCGGAATTGCTGAGGTCCCCTCTGCATTGAAAGAGACCAGAGATGGTGGTTTGGCCACTGCCAGAGTTGGTTTTGAAAAACTTGGCCTTGGTGGACTGTTGAACCAAAGACCCAAAAAGGGCTGAGAGGGATTGAGAGTAAACCCCAGTTGGATCTGAAAAGGTCTGCTTTGCACAGCCCTTGTAGACCAAGGAGGTGATATCAGTAGCAGATTCAGCAAGTGGGATGATGAGCTGAAGACTGAAGAAGAACAAAAGCAAATACAGGAAGAAATTGGGAACAGGTTTTGAGAGAAAACCCATTTGCTGTGTTCCTTTTTGTATCAAATCATGTCAGTTTTTGGAAGGTCTGGGAGGTGTTTTTGGGGGGTTTTGAGAGAAACCCAGCTGAGAACTGAGTAAAGGTTGAAGCTTTGTGCTTAAACTGTGATTTTTGTGCTTCTTTTTGCTGAAAAAGTTCGGGTTTTTGGCTTCGGCTTTGGTTTTGGTTTTGGTTTTGGTTTCTGGTTTTGTATGGTGCAGAGCAGTGGTGCCTGGGATTTTCCCCTTCTCTTTGGCTTTGGATGGCCTACCTCTCTGTACATGGCAGGGGCAAGGGGTATCTCTTTTCACACCAGGGTCCAGAAAATGTACATTGTATAATTGATGGTAGAGTAGTAAATAAATTATTATTATGGGGAGAATGGACAATTAGCTTTATTTTAAGCAGTATTTAAATGTTTGAAGAGAATGAGAACAAAATGGTATATATAAAATAATAATCTCGAAAGGAGAATAAATATTCCCTGTTTAAAGAAGGTTTTGGGTTGGGAAGCAGAAGCAATATGAAAGAAAAGGATTCTGATTTTGGGGGAGAAGAAAGTAATGAACTTTGACTGAAGTACATCATATTTTGAGTAATTGAAGGGTAGATCGTGGGGTCCAGGAGATCAGCGGTCCTTATTATAAGTTTGGATGTAGGCCCATCGGCCTAAAATCTGCAAAAGACTAGGTTAACTTGGAGGCAAAGCCTCTTTACAAAATTTGATTCATTTGTAATTGGTATGCTCGTACCATTCTTGCCTTACATGTTGCATTGTGATGATGATTTGTTCACCTTTCTCAAATATCACTAGTTCACAATCACAAGTACCAAAACATATAATTGTATTTTTTTTCCATAATTCATGAGATATGATACATGAACCTTGGTACGCCCATTTAATAACTTTATGTGGCATGTTTACTTATTCATAATGAGTATTATAATTATTCTGATTCATGACTTCATCTAAGTTTACTAACACATAGATATTTGAATTCTTATGCTTCTTGATTTTCTTTGCACCAACACGTAATGAGTCAAAACTCAAAACTATGTGGGTTACACATTAGAATCCGTAATCCAATACTTGAAAAAACAGAAATTAAATTGATTATGAGGGAGTAGTTTTATCATACCCATTTGAACTCACATCTCCACTTATCTCAAGCCATGTAAAAGAGTTAATATGCAAAAGTAAAACGCTAGCTCCAATACTTCTCGTCTACTTTATTTTAAATAATGTTATTTACACTTCAAAAGTTATTTCACGCACTCCTCGTGTATGAAAGGAGTGTGAGAAAGGTAGATGTGGCGTGCATATATCACTCACTTTCCTTTTTTCTCATGCTTTCTTTAAATGGGAAGTTAGATTCTTTTTTATTATAATCCTGTATTTGTTTATCTTTCCACTGTTTACATCATGTGGCTTGTAGGAGATTTTATGACATATATATATATAAATAAAATTTATGAAAGGAGGAGCCTTTAGCTGTACAAGTTGGGCTTTTTGAAAGCGAAAAGAATTAAGTAAATAAATAAGAAAGCTTTTGATGCATATATATATATATATATAGCTGCCAAATTAAAAGAATTAGGCCCTTTTAGTTTTAGAGCACATGTTGCAGGATGGAAGAAGATTTCATAGAGTATTGCATTGCCTGTTTTTATGTTGGATCCATCCATGTTTAATTAACTAAACTACAAGCCCTAAGTACATAATTTTCTTTTAAATACATCATAAACATGGGCTATCTGAGCTTGAAACTATAATTTGCTTGACCTACAATTAAGGTGGAGTAAACTCTAGGCCAAGTATTTTTTTTTCCCCCTCTAATTGAGTATATAATAATGCTTTATAAGACAATCATGCCTCCAATGTCAAATTGGATACAACTGGCTATATGAAAAAGGAAATTGGAATACCAAAAACCAATTTTGGTGTTTCTCGATTGGGGTAAGTATTATGACTCTAGTTAATAAATCTGTGTATTATATCCGTATGTACGTATTTTTTAAAAAATATTTGTGTTTCCATATACTATAAGGGCAGAACCACAACCAAGGCTGTGGTCCACCAACAACAGGTATGCTGCCTTTTGGTTTTTTGTTCGCAAAGTAAGTTTTTGAAGAATAATATATAATATAAATATTAAAAAAACTATATAGCTCACTATCAACTACAATACATTAGGGATTTTTTTGGCGGTGTTTAATGAAATATCCTTTTTTGACCAAAGAAAAAGGGAAAGCTCTTTAACATGGACTCAATAAAAACCCTCGCAAGTTCTTCAACCCACAATTGCAGACGGAGTAAGTAATTGAAACTCACAGGTGGGAAGAGACTTTCAAAGACAGAACAGTATGTTAACTTAATTCTATTGTTCTTGTGTTTACAACGATTATATATGTGAAGCTTAATTATTTATATTTTTTGCACTTTGCATTTGTGAAGCTTGTTCGGTTGATGCCCAGAGATTCAAATGGATTCAAAGTGCAAAGGTATGATTTGAAGTTTATTGAAATTTAGTCAATAGAGTTAGACTACATAAATAAATGCTGGCAGAAAACACCACCACTTTCGACTTGGATAGCTTGATGGGAATTAAACAGTGGCGTTGCTATATTTAATGTGTTGCATTCAAGTCTACATATTAATTATGTGCGTGATTTAAGCTTGAGGGAGCGCTTCAAGGTCTCTTCTATTTCGTGAGTATTGATAGAGATAGAGACCACAAAGATTTATGATGCAAGGGATAGGTATCCTCCTATTGCTTGGATTGGAACCCAATTTGCAAAGCTTAAACGATTACGAGTTGTAGCTCAAATAGTTAATTACGAGTTGTAACTCAAATAGTTCAGAGTATTTACCCTGCACCTAAGGTTTTAGATTCGATTTCCTCATCTTTTATATGATTGTATAGAAATTTTGAAGACTTTAATTTGACTTCTTTAACAAAATTAAAGTGAAAAATCTTAACTCAACCTCAGACTCAATGAATTTAGTTGGTCAATCGAAAGTATCCAAATTCTAACTCATATTGTTCCACATTACTTTTGTAGACAACTGAAGATAAATTTATTTGGAGTCTTAATCCTAGTGTAGAAGCTTTTGTGTTAATTCTCCAACTTTGAATTGAAATGGAATTCCCCCTTAACGAATAGGAAGCCGTTGGCTAAAAACGACATGCCGTTCATAACAAAGAAGCCGTTGGTTGCGCGTTGACATCTGACTTGGCAAAACGGCACAATTTGCTAAGTGGCGTGATCAACTGTGACTGCCTTCAAGAAATCATCAGTCTAAAACTTGAGCCTCTTTGACCTGACGAATGATTCCTTCCACGTTCCTCCTTTCCACCATCATATTGGATTATAGAATAAGAGAGAACCCAGAGAGCAATTATTTTTTTGTTGAAAAATCCAGAAAGCAAAGTCCCAACTTTTTGAATATTCCCAAAATTCAGAGCCATTGACTTCATGGTCCAACCCCATTTGGCCATTTGGACCCTCCTCTCTATACTTCTCTCAACACCTGAAGAAGCTCTCAGAAGTGAGAGAAGAAGAGGAAAAAAGAAATGGGTTTGTGTTCGTTTTTCATTTTATTTAGCTTTCTCTGTCTTTTGGGTTCTTTGTTTGGATTATGTTGTTAGAAAGTAGAATTTCTGAAATGGGTTTGTGTTCATTTTTCATTTTATTTAGCTTGCTTTGTCTTTTGGGTTCTTTGTTTGGATGGATTATGTTGTTAGAAAGTAGAATTTCTGAAATGGGTTTTCTTGTTTCTCTCTGGAATCTTGAAGTGTACCCGAAGGTGAAGGTCAGGCAACAAGAAGACCAAGATGATCGTCGTGCCGTCATTGATTTTTGTTTCCCAGGTTTTCCTTCAATCCTGTATTTCCAAGTTTGGAAACTTTAATCAATTTACAAAATTTTGCTTTCTGAGTTCTATTTCAGTCCTGGTTTATTGTTATCCATGGAGTATTGAGTAAGAGGACTTTTGAAGCTTCCTGCTTTATAAATTGCGGTTGTTTTACTCATGGATTTTGTCATTTCTACCACAGAATTGAGCTCTGAAACTTTGATTGCTCAGTCTCATTTGTATCTTTGAATTCATTTGTAATAATACCTTTTATATTTACAATTGTTCTTAAATTTGCAGTTGTCAAGTTGAAGAAAGTGTAAAGAAACCTTTTTGTTTCATTTCATTCCTGTTTCATTGTAATACTGAGCATGAGAATTGCACAAAAAAAATGTGAGAAGAAAATGGAAATTCATGATCTCTATTGATAACAAAACTCTCTCTTATAAAAATATACAAATGGTCTATACTCTTTAGAACTATGATTAAACATACATGCTAGGGTCCAGAAAAGTGTGACATGCGATATTCTGTGTATTGGAATGAGGAAGAATGTACTTTATTATAATCCAGTTTGCTATTTGTTTAGGTGATCGGTTTATCAGTTTAGGATTGGCATGCGTATCACTTCCAAGTTAAGGAAAGTGGTAGATTGTATACCTACATTAAAGCCCTAGGAAAATGTTTATTAGTCCTCATGATTCATTATTGGTTTTCCAGACAAATTTCGTCCATGTGGCTTGACCTTTGTAGATGAAGCTCAGGCCGTTGGTTCAGTATATGTTTTTTCTCAGAAAAAGTCTCAGTTTAAATGTCTGATTTCAGCTTGAGTTATCAGAGCTTGTATTGTTGATTTACTCCTTTGACCAATCCTTACTCTGGAGCAATGATGCCATTCTTTTAAAATACTACCTCACTATAGAAGCATTACTTCCCTTCCTCTTTCGCTTTACCTATTTTAATGTTAGGATAAAATGTTTGTTCATATCATTTTTTATTTTTCCTGAGGATTTATTGGTCATTGGGTAATTTGACATTTGATTTTTTCTACAGAGAAGGAGCACCAAGATGTTTCTCCCCCCACTATTGCAAGAATTCCAAAATCTTATGTCCCAAGTGTAGTGATGCCATCAATATCTGTAGCTGAAGGTTTAGTTACAAAATCATATGCTTCGTGACAATACAGATTCTATCATATTTATTAGGGGGAAAAAGATTTTCTTTCTGTATGGTATGTCTTCCAGTTTTGACATTTGAATGTGTCTTTTGACAGGAGAAATGAAGGACAGTAAAATGGAAGAGCTGAGTAAACAAAATATTAGAGCCAGCTCAATCCCAAGGCCTCGTGCTGTCTTATCAAGTCCTGGTAATTTATCTTCCTTTTTAATCTATATCAAGGTATTTCTTGCAATCAGGCGTTGTGATTTACACTTATCTAACTGCTATCATGATATGGACTCTCAACTCTTAATGAGCAGATATTGTACAGTAAGTGTAAAATTGAAAAGCTGAGGATGGGGTCATTGATAATTATACTGGATCCTACTCTTTGGTTCTGGGAGAGTTTGTTGGCTATATTATGCTGACCGTCCATTGCACAACAGAACATGGCAGATGCTTAATAATTAGCCATTGTCTGATATCCAATGAACGCCTCAAAGTGCTGGGGGCGATGTAATCATATTTGGCTAATCTCTAAATAATTAAGATGTTTCTTTCTGATAGATTGAAGAAATTAGCATACTGATAAACACTGAGTCTGATATGTAGTACTTGAAACGGCAGCATGTTCCTAATCCTAGGCTGTGTGGGCGTTTCAGCAGCATTAGTAATCTATTTAAAAATATGATCAACATCTTGTACAATTGCTTACCTTTCTGTGTGGTTATTTTGTTTCAGAAAATGATACAGTGATCGGAAATAAAAACAGGATCAAAGCAGAACGACCATCAGCTTTGAAGAATCATAACTTGGTTAAGAAACCTACACAATGTGTTCCACGCCATATTACTGAAAATTCTACAAAAACCAAAAAGTCCAAGGATGAGAACTCTCTTAAAGAAAGGAAAGGGTCAGAGATAACACTTCCAAGCCAGAGACGACCCCCTAGAAATGGAAAACCAAGCTCTGCGGGAAATCGAGTGTCTTTTAGTTGCCATTAGTTTGGCACTCTTACTTGAATGAATTACTCTGATACATAATAGATCTTCCTGTTTGTTCATGAAACAGCATGAGATTTTTTGTAACCAGGGATGTAACTATTAGATCAGTGCTCATAATCGAGTGAACTGCTGTTTCTAAATTGGGTCTGCTTCTTTTATTGCAATATCATGTGGTTTGTTTGTAATTACAAATTGCCTTTCATAGCAAGAACCTTATACTGTGTTTAAAAAATTAAAAACCGAGTATAGCCGCACGGCTGTACTATTTCCCAGAAAAAATGTAACAAGCCGAGTATCGCCGTCCGGCTATACTATTTATCTTTTTTAAAATTTAGGAACAAACCGAGTATAGCCTATTTCTTTTAAAAGTATTAAAAACCGAGTATAGCCGACCGGCTGTACTATTCTAAAAAAATAAATAAATAACCGCGTATAGCCGGTCGGCTATACTATTTATTTTTTATAAAAAGAACAAAACCAAGTATAGCCGGTCGGCTATACTATTTCTTTTCGAAAAATTAGGAAAAAGCCGAGTATAGCCGCCCACCTTTGTGTTGATGTGTCAATAAAAACAACAAAAATTCCTTAAAATAATTCGGGGACCTCCTTACTTGTCCCCAATTTTAACCCGAAATCGGAACCCGGTACGACGGGGATTTTTGTCATCACTAGTTGAGGTTCATCAATGGCAGTTCCTGGTGGTGGGTTCTGCCTTATTATTTTCTCCTTCTATTTTTCTCCAAGTTAATCTCCATCGGATGATAGCGGTGGTGGTTTGATTTCTCATCTCTATCTTTTTATTTTCTGAACCCACAGGATTTTCCCAACTCGATTATAAATATTCCAGTTGAGATCAGGAAAGCAAAAGAATCAAAACCCTGCAACAACGCCTGAGCTTCAGAGCTTGTATTTGATTTCTTTAGGTATGCTTTCAACTTCCCATCAATGTTCTAATCCCTTTTGATTTTTGGGTTTTTTTAACTTTCATCTCATATACTGTTGAAAGTTTGGGTTTTTTTCTGTTTACAATTGCATTGTCGATTACAGTTTTTCTGATGTCGTGATATCATCTTATTCATCGATCTCATCGTCTTTGCATTTTTGCTACCTGATTTTGATTTCTGAAACCCTAATTTTTTCAAATATCTCAAAATTCTTGGTTCCCAAACACCCTCCTGACATCATTTTCATCTTCTTTTTGGCTCTGTTGATGTTTCAAATTGCTGGTCGTAGTTTTCTGGGTGTTACTTAATTTTCGAGTACTTATATTTATTTGAAGACCATATTAATCGTTGCTAAGTTGTGCAGTATCTGGTGGCTATACTATTTCGTTTTTCAATAAAAGGAAAAATCCTAGTATAGCCGCGCGGCCATACTATTTATTTTAAAATTATTAAAATACATTCACAAAGGGTCTTGCCCTTTAAGTTTATGGGGTGGTAAAATTGCACAAACACCAGAGGAATGATTCCTTGCACGTTCCTACTTTCCATCATCATTAGATTATAGAACAAGAGGGAGACCCAGAAAGCAATTTAGTCCCATCTCTTTGAACGACTGAAGAAGCTCAGGCCATTGGTTCAGTATATGTTTTTGCTCAAACAAAACAAGTCTCAGTTTAAATGTTTGATTTCAGTTTGAGTAATCAGAGCTTGTATTGTTAATTTACCCCTATGACCAATCCCTACTACTCCAGATAAATGAAAATGGAAATTCACCCTTGTGTTCCATGCCATATTACTGAAAATTCATAATTGAAAGCAGACACGAAAGAGGAATACAAATTCATAAGGAAATTTTAATATAATACAATCATTTCAGTTGTGTAATATAAATGTACTGTTGGACAACATCTTTGCTCCTCTTGATTTCACAGAGCATTTCTTGACCACATCTCCAGGCACATGCTCTCTCTGCTGCAGAGCTTCGACATACTTTCTCAATATCAGTTCCTACATGTAGCTAGCTACCATAACACAAATTCAGCAGTTTACTTGTCAAAACGTGCATTCCAAAATGAATATATATAGTAGTACCACATTTTGAAAATAAAAACACTCATTTCAATCTAGTACTCTTGTACGTAATAGTTTATCCAGTATGCCAAAAAAGAGAGTATATATAGTTTACATAATCAACTAGAAAAAAAAAGAAGAAGATTTAGCTTATGGAGTGGAGCTTTCTAATTGTTGTTCGCGTAGCAATGGAAAGATTCTGAAATGCACATAAATATTCAACGTACTCTTACTTGATTGACTTCAAAAGGAACATCTAAATCTAAATCTAACGGTGATGTATTTTAACCTGTTGGCCTTGAAATATTATTATAAGATTTTGGAATGCGATAGAATTATCATATTAAAGTTTATAAGTAATAAAATAAGGAAATTTAACCTGTTGGCTTTTACATTAAAGTTTCTCACTCACAACTCACAAGCACAATCAAAAAAGCAATCAAAATGGACAAAGAAAACAAATCAAATATTATTATAAGATATTTGGCCTCAAAGTAAGGAATTTTAAGCTTCTCACTCACAACACAAGTCACAAGCACAAGCAAAAAGCAATAAAAATGGACAAAGAAAACATAGCTAAACAAGGGAGCCCATATTCTGTTGGCTTTTCTACTTTAATATTCTCTCGCTGCTTCATTTTTTAACTAATAAACACAAACCAGACCACCCATTTCGCTTTAAAATTAAACAATTAAAGGAAAGAAATTACCTTGCCATCATTGCATCATTCTTATGGTTAGTCGAGTGGTTCTCCAATTACAAGGGAAGGTACATGTTGAATTTTATAGAAATCCTCTCCATCTTCCTGAATTCGACCGTGGAGTTCTCTACTCATCCTTGTGATGGTTAATTCCCTGAGATTAGTAAGATATCTCAGCCCATCTGGAAGTGTCGTCAATCCCCAGCAATATTCAATTTCCAATCGACAGAGACGAGGCATGGCTCCTTCCTCTACTCTCCACTCTGTTATACTGTCCAGGCCACTAACATCAAGAAATTGAAGAGAAGGAAAGCCTCCTTTGGAGAAAACTAGTATCCTTGTATTCTCATGGACCGTTCTTCCAAGAAGCTTCAAAATTGTTAGGTTTGGCAGCTTCCCTAGTATTCCCATTTGGTCCTCCTTGAGACCACAACTCCACAATACTAACTTGGTGAGGTTTGGATAGTTGTGTAGCTCTTCCGGTAATTCTGCGATTGGCCCATCCAACGTCAATTTGTATATACCCCGACAGCTTGATACTATTTGCATAGCTTGCTCTGCACCGCTATTCGTTCCATAATTGTTCCCCAAAATTAGAGACCGGATACGGTTAAGCGTACTGCCTGTAGATTTTAAGATTTCCTCCAGATTTTGCAAAGAGCTTGACAGACTTATTTTCAGTTTTCTAAGATTGGTTAATCTACCAACATCTTTCAAATCACAATACTCACTTGAAAGGTAATCTAAGGTCTGTAGATGGCCAAGAGTAGACAGCTCCAGCTTACCCTTTGCTTTGTAATTCCGGGGTAAATATAAATGTCTTAATTGTTTCATCTTCTTTATCACATTTGGGATGACCTCATTGTTGCGCAAAACACGATAATCAAGAGTTTGCAAGCATACTAAATTACCTAGGGATGGCGGAAACTTTTTTATATCACTCCACTTCACACTTAGAAACCTTAAGTGTACCATATTTCCAATTTCACTTGGCAACTCAACTTCTACTTCATTAAGACCTTCCACCTTCAAAACTCTAAGCACTTTGAAATCCATCAATGGAGATAGTAATCCTTTTTCACTTTTTGGAATCCATTCTTCTAGGCCAAAGAATAATAGAGACCTTACGTGCCCATTTGTTTCATCTCTTGAAGAAACCAACCTATCTGCCTTCTCATCCACGTAAATTGCAAGTCTTCGAATTTTCCCCAATTGTTCTGCCTCGACTGCCACAGAAGAAGTATTTTCTTGCATTTGGAGGAAGCTTTCCTCATTTGCCTTAAACAAACACATGTCTCGTACAAGATCATGGATTCGACAACCTTTAATTGTTCCTGTTGAACCACTTGTTCCCACTTGAACCAAACACCTTTCCACCAACTCACTTAAGCAATCACGTGCTATATCCTCCATTGTTTTCCTCGAACCATGTCTTTGTTGTCTCAAGGAGATAAGACCTTCTGCCACCCATAACTTAGTCAATTCGCTCACCAAAAACTCAGAGTCTTCAAGATAATGACCTAAATATAAAAAACATGGTTTTAAGTAATACGGTAGGTCATCATAACTCAATGCCAACACTCTTGATACACCTTCATATTCTTCTTCTTGTCTGATGCCTCTGCTTATGTATTCATGAACATTCTCTAACACTCTCTCCCATTCTCTAATGGAGTTTTTTCTGGCTAAAACTCCGGCAAGCACAATAATGGCTAATGGCAAACCTTTACAATGTTGAAGCATCTTCCTTCCTAAGTCTCTGTACATTCCCAAGTCTGAAAAATAGGATGAAAAAAAAATTCAAATACGGACTTGTAGTGTGAGCAGTCTTAGTGGATATTCCTTGCTCGAATGATTTAAAATTAAAATTGTGAAATCCCGAAATTTATTGATATCCTTTATCTAATATAAATTTGAATTTGCTAATACATGCCAAATGGAGAACATTTAAAAATTAAATCTGCACCAACACAGAAAACGTATGGGATATCGTTGGATGGAAGAGAAGGTTGGGAGAAAATTTTGAATTAGCTAGCATTGTCCTGATTATTATTTGCAATTGCATAAGATAAATTACCATCCATCTTGCTACCTGACAAATGAGTGACCCCAAAAAAAAATTGTGTAACCAAGTAAGGCAGTCAATAAAATTGAAAAAAAAATTAAAGGGTAATCCCAACAATGACTGGAAAAAGAAAAAACAAAACATAAGTTGTGTCTTAAGCAATGTACTGGTTTCTATGTGGCTTGCTATATAACTAAGAACCTGGAAAAGAAAAGAGTAAGGGTGAGAATTACCGATATCAGCCCTTCCAGATATTGCTATCTTCTCAAATAGTTCCCAGCTCTTTTTCTCATTTAGTGCCTGGAGTTCGTGGAGAAAAGCATTTCTATTCGGGGGCAAAGCTACTGCTTGATTGCGTGTTGTAAGCAATATTGTGCTCTCTGTTTTCACATTTGGAAATGCATCCTTCAAAAGATTCCATGTCTCGATTCTCCATATGTCATCAAGTATCACCAAACATCTCATTTCTTGCAGAACAAGGAAAAGCTTCTTTGCTATTTCATCATCTGTCATGTCCTTAATTTCTTGTTTTTGTTCCTTGGTAGCAGAAATGAGTTCAATTAAAATTCCTTCCCAAACATTTCTGACTTGAAAACGTTGAGATACACAGACCCAAGCAAAACTATGAAAATGCTGCCTTACTTTTTTGTGATGATAAACCTTTCTTGCAAGGGTGGTCTTCCCTAAACCGCCCATACCCCAAACAGATACAACTTGATGACGGTTTTCATCTTTCACCAAATGCATAACCAATTCTTCAACGTTGGACTCTAACCCAACAACATCACGTTCAACAACATGAGAATAGGTTCTCCTTAGCCTCTCATGCAATTGCAAGGAAGATTCACCACCACTACTTTCTCTTGTTTCCTTTATGTCATACTTCTGCAAACTTGACCTCAAATCAGAAATTCTGGTGGTGATATTCTCAATTTCGTTCCCAATCCTGTGAACATCAACCCATTCCTTGAAGATGCAGGCAAATCTTTTGAGAACATTCTTGAGGCCTCTTTTCTTCTTCTTGAAATCCACTTTCAAGCCATAAGTTTCAATAATATCTTCCAAATCATAAGCCGCATCTCTAATTCTGGCAACACAAATCTGGACTCTTGTATCTTGTCCTTGTCTTGCATCTGCATCTTTGAGGAATCCCTGCATGAATTCTAGCTCAGTTTGTGCAGCTTCAACTTGACGGCTGACTCCAGACAAGAACTTGGCTTCCTGAATGGTGAAGTCTCTGACACTTTCGAGCACAACGGAAACAACTGCCTCAGCCATTCTCTCTACTACTTACTCTCTCTTGGCCAAAACGAAAACAACAACTAAACCTTCAGATTTAGTTTGCAGATTGATGATCGATGAAATCTTCTCTGAATTTTCGTCTATATGTATGAAATGTGGCCAATAAACTAAACCAAAAGATAAATAGTTTGCCAAAACCACTTTGTCATTTTCGTATCTTTCTTTTCTTTGTCAGAAAAGAAAAGAAACTCGAATCAATGCAAGTTGTGTTCCACAGTTCTTTCTCTTCCGAGAGAAATTCTTATCTTCTAATAAAATTATTCGGTGTTCTTTTCTAATATCACTTTATTCTTATCTTCTGAAATAAAGAAAACAACTGCCTCAGTCATTCTCTCTATGAGAATATCTCTTTGTCGGTAGATCTGTGCTGGATGTTTAAAATCATCAGGAATAGCAGGCTCCCTTCATCACTAAGATAAGGTAGTCAAGCATCTGATAGATCGAATTAGAACAAGGATGTGCTTTATCAGCAACATAGAAACAATGAGTCTTTGAATTAATGCTTATCCAGCTGCACCCAGGTGCCTTCTTCAAACCTCTTTCTTTCATCATTCTTCTTCTCATTTCAGCTACAACGTCCCACCTCCTAGAAGAGGCATAGAAGTTCGATAGCGAAATATAATTTGAAGGGTTTTTGGGTTCTAGTTGAATAAGGAACCTGTAAGCTAGATCTTGCATGTCACGATTCTCATGCAACACAGAAGCAGTAACTAAAGACGCCCAAACACTTGGACCAGGTTCTACAGACATCGTTCTGGGAGACAGTTTGTTGGCTATTATGATGACTGTTCATTATACAACAGAACATGGCAGACGCTAGCTTAATAATTAGCTATTGTCTGATATCCAATGAAACCCTCAAAGTGATGGGGTGATGTAGTCATATTTGTCTAATCCCCAAATATTTAAGATGTTTCTTTCTGATAGATTGGAGAAATTACCATAAACTGACAAACGTTTTGAGTTCGATATGTAGTACTTGAAACAGCAGCATGTTCCTGATCCTAGGTTGCATGGAAGTTTCAGCAGCATTTGTTTATCTAGTTGAAAATATGATCAGCACCTTGTACAGTCTATTTGCTTACCTTTGTGTTTGGTCATTTTGTGTCATAAAATGATATGGTGATTGGAAATAAATATAGGATCAAAGCAGAAAGACCATCAGCTCTGAAGAATTATAACTTGGTTAAGAACAAACATACACAATGTGTCCCCAGTCCCGGCCCTGCCCAGGGGCAGTCAGTGCGACTGCCCTAGGCCCATTATTCAAGGGGGCCTCAAATTTTATTATTATAATAAGTGTTATATTATATTATTATAAATTAATTTAATATTTTTTCATAATTTTTAGGAATAGGATATTGAGATGAATATGAAATTTTGAAACAAAAGATCCATGACGAGAGTTTTAAAAGAAATTCTTTGATATTGGCTTGACTTTCATTTTTGAAATTCTTTGACTCACTGGTATGGTATCCATAGTTGAACATTTTTTTTCATTATTTAGGAATATGGAAGACATTGCTCAAAGTTTAAAAATGTTTTCGAATAAATACTTTCTCAAAAAATCCAATGCTTAGTTGATAAAACAAGAAGTATACTATTAATGTGTGTAGGGCACACTTCAGATTTTCGCCCTGGGTCTTTGAAAACCCAGGACCCGCCCTGTGTGTCCCATGCCATATTACTGAAATTTTTACAAAACCAGAAAGTCCAAGGATGAGAACTCTCTTCAGGAAAGGAAAAGATCAGAGATAACACTTTTAAGCCAGAGACGACCCCCTAGAACTCGAACACCAACCTAGAATGCAAATGACACTTACATGTGGCACGCTGAAATGGCAATTTGGGACAACACCCACGAGCGTGTTGCTCTCATCTCTGCGTTCCATCGCTACGACGAAGCTTCCCTTCCCAGCAGAGGGGAAGTCAATGATGAAATGGATCTCTATTCTCAAGTCAGCTATGATTCTATGAATCCATGCACAACACCCACGAGCGTTCCACGTGATATCTTGAGCAAATTTCAATTTGATAACCGGTAACCGACAAATGCCATTAACCATTTACTTTCTTTTATTGTACTATTCATTGAAATTTGCCTATGCTGTGTATGCACAGTGATGGGCCTATGCAGTGTATGCTCAACACTTGCATGCACAGTCGTGACAGCAGTCCCACATCGACTCCAAACAAAAGCTTCAAATTTTTTTAGTTTATAAAAGTATCTTCACCCCAACTATTTTCTCAGGTCTAGTTGTATTACTTGCTAAAGTATTAGCTGGGCCACTTGTTAAAGTCCTAGTTGGGCTTTAAGTTGTGATTTTTTTTATAAATGCTTAATTCGGCATTTAAATTTCTAAATAGTTGGGCTTCTTATGTAATTGGGCTTCTGAAGAAACCCTAAGAATTCTTTCTTATGCAATTGGGCTTCAATATGATTTGCACCGTATATTCAAAGGCCATTTGCTAAGTTTGTGCCGTACAGTTTTTCAGAGGAACGAGATGGGAAAGAAGAAGATTGCTATAGAGAAGATTGAAAACAAGCAGTCTCGCCTTGTGACTTTCTCAAGGAGAAGGAATGGGCTCTTCAAGAAAGCCAAAGATTTCTCAAATCTCTCCGGCTCATCCGTTGCAATTCTTGTAATCTCTCCAGGGGGCCGCCGTTACACTTATGCCTCTCCTTCCTTTGACTCAGTGGTCGACCAATTCCTCTCCGAAACCATTGATGGCTCTTCCACTGTGACTGACGGTTCTTCTTCATTTGACTATGTGGATGACCAATTTCTCCCCACCCACCAAAGCTGGATCAACTTCCGTTGATTCTATGGTGGATCAATTCCTCTCCACCGGGGCTGCCTCACCTTCCTATGACTCTGTGATTGACGAGTTTCTGTCCACCGCTATTGGCTCTCCTTCGGTTGACTCCACCGCTGATCAAATCGTGCCCATTGCAACTGTTGACTCTTCCACCACCACTACTTCTGGCTCTTTCCGAGACACATTGAAGGCTTTGTCGGACATCAACATTGAAGCTTGTAATGATTTGGAAGAGTTGATGACTTTGAAAAATAACTTGGAGCAAATCATCAGAGAGAGGACAAGGCTAATATAATAATTTCCACGGCAGTCTTTTATCTTGTTAATCTCCACTTGTTTATAGATTTGGGGAGAGTTAGCCTTTTTGTTAGGTCAAATAGTATATATGTTAGTGAAACACACTGATGACTGATGCAGGATGCATCTTCCTTTCTGATGGAACAACATGTGCTTTGTTGTAGACCAAGCTCTGAGATCATCTGTGCATTTTTTGTACTAGCCTCTAGATCAGTGCTTCTACTTTAGTGTGAATTATACAGATATAGGTTGATCTTCCTTCTTCCTTTTTTAATGCAACAGAACATGATGTTCTTGCTTTGTAATTGTCTCTAACATAATGAAGAAAATTGTGCATATGTTTATCCTCTATTAATGCACCTTCTTTTCTTTTACAAATGTTATCTGAAAAATCTGCCTCAACATCCTTGGATGCCTTGGGAAATTTTTCAGAACCTTGAACACATTTGACCATCGACAATCGCATCTGGTACTTAACATTCATCCCATGATTATATGGACAATGATGACCATCCAACTTTCCCAAGTCCTCATTATCCGATTAGAAAATTACACCGAGATCTTCTTTCGCTTTTGTTCAATCCCTAAATGCGTATATAAAAGCATGTGCAACAAAACCTCAGCCATAATACCCTAACCTATGCAACTTTTACATACTGAAATGATGCAGCATTTGATTTTGCAATTTCAGCCTCAATCTCTGTATGCAGTAACTCTAATACAGAATAGATCCTACAAAATTTGGGGTGGGATTTGTCCCCTGAAAGAAATACATGCCCAATGTTGTTAACCTCAATCCAACTGCACCCAGGTTGCTTCTTGACTCCTTTCTCTTTCATTCTTGTCCAAATCCTCTCCGCATCTTCTTTTCTTCCAATACTTAAATACATTTCTGCCAAAATCAAATATATACCAGAATTACCGGGCTCTATGTCCAAAACCTTCTCCCCTGCAATCACACCCACCTCAACATTCTTGTGGATTCTACAGGCTCCGAGTAATGCTCCCCAGACACTTGCAGGAATTTCAAATCCATCTGCTCTCATTTGATCTAAAAAACTCATTGCCTCATCTATAAGTCCAAATCTCCCCAACAAATCAACAACACATGTAAAATGCTCAGTTGTAGGTTCAATGAAATACTTGCATCTCATCATATGAAAGTAGTATCTGCCTTGGTCCACCAACCCCGCATGGCTACAGGCAGACAGAACACCAACAAAAGTTATGTGATTGGGTTGAACATCTGTTGATCTCATTTGTTCGAACATCTCCAAAGCTACTTCACCATTCCCATGGTGAGCGAATCCGCAGATTATAGAATTCCAAGAAATGACATCATGACTTTTCATGCAAGAGAATTCCAATAAAGCAAAATCCATATTCCCACATCTTGAGTACATGGTCACCATAGCATTGGACACTGCAACGAAGTGATCAAATCCCGCTTTTACTGTGAGTGCATGAGTTTGCCTACCAAGGTGTAAGGTTGGTAAGTCTGAACAGATTGTCAAAACACTAGTAAACGTATTTTTGTCTGGGGATGGCCCTGATTCTTTCATTCTAATGAAAAGCTTCAAACCTTCTTCACCAAGATCATTTTCACTTAATCCAAATATTGTGGCGTTCCATGCAGCTGTATCTCGAGTTGGCATTGATTCAAAGAGTTCAATTGCACTGCCAACCTCTCCAATTCCCAAATACCCAACAATCATATTTGTCCATGATACAACATCTTTGTAAGGGTTTTTCTCAAGAAAAGCATGAGCTTCTCTAGTGAGCCCATTTCTTACTAATTTAAAAATAATCGAGTTCCAGGTTTTTGGACATTTCTCTGGCATCTCCATGAAAAGCTCCAAGGCATCATTAATTCTTTGAACCTTGACCAACCCATTCACCATTAGAGTCCAAGATTCCAAATCCCGCTCGGGCATTTTCTGGAACAACCCCTCAGCAATTGCAACATACCCGTTTTCTATATACCCAAGGATCATAGCATTCCAAGCCTGAACATCTCTCACAAGCATGCCATCAAAGAGTTCTCGGGCTTCAACAACACGTCCTGCACTAGAAAACCCCGAAATCATTATAGTCCAAGAGGCCAAATCTCGAATATTCATTCGCTTAAAATACTTTTCAGCCAAATCAAACTCTCCAGAATTCACAAGACCCCCAACCACCAAGTTCCATGAAATCACATCCTTCAATGGCATCCCATCAAACACTTGTACCGCTTCACCAATCATCCCATTACGAATATACCCGGAAACCATTGAATTCCAAGTGACAACATCTCTATAAATCATCCTGTCAAAGACTTGCCTTGCACCATCCACATCCCTACATTGCATCAACCCGGTAATCACGGTGTTATATGAGAAAACATCACGCTCAGTCATCTGACTAAATAAATTAATCGCATCTTGGAACTGCCCATTTAGAAAGTAGCCGCGAATCATGGCATTCCACGTGACGGTGTTTCTTCGAGGCATTTTGTCGAACAGCTTCTGGGCTTCTTCCACAAAGCCATCCCTCATGAAAGTTGAGATTTTGGAGTTGAGGGGCTTTAGATTGGTGTGTGGAGTTGCAGTTTGGTTTTGCATAAATGGTTTTGCGGTCGCCGTGCAGAGTGATCTGGTGAGTCGTAGAGAGAGGTTTCGAGTGAGCATACTCCATTAGTTCAAGTGTGACGAACTACGCGGGATCGGAAATAAGCAAAAATGCAATGGTGACTTGACCCGTTGTAACTTGGGCTTTGCCCTTGACCCGTTAATGAAGGATTATAATCTTACACCCAACATATGACTAGCCTGCATAGGCCCAAACATTTTGATTTTGAACCAATCAATACGTGATCGGCATATCAACCCAGGAGTATATCCATCTTCACACATGTTTCTTGTCGTCCATAAAATCTATCCCCCCGCATCAAACGTTCTGAATTTAAATTATGGCTTAAATGTTAAAATGGTCCTTGTGTTTTAGTCAATTGGCAAATTTAGTCCTTGTGTTTTTAATTTGACCAATTTAGTCCATGTGTTTTACTCCGTTAGCCAATGTTGTCCATTTCGTTAAATTTCTGTTAAAAAATTCATATAAAATTTTAAAAATTATTAAGTTCTATTCACAAAGCAAACAAATATGAATTAAAATAACAAAATGTTAGAAAAACAATCTGGAAACTCGATAGCCTATATGTTCTCATGCCACCACAACCACCATGAGGAGTCCCAGCCACCACCATATTCTCTCTCTCTCTCTCTCTCTCTCTCTCTCTCTCCTCTCTCTCTCTCTCTGTCTCTGTGTGTGTTTTTCAATTGTCGAATCCCAACATGGCAACCAAGTTCTTCAGTTTCTTTTCACTGATTCTTTTGCTCTGCTCCACATTCATTGCAGTAAAGTGCCTCGCCTTTCAATATCATGAGTACAACAATTGGAGATTTCCTTGATGGGTTATCTCTTGGAACCACCAAAGAATTGGGCCCTAGCCCAGGTGAGGGGCACAAATTTACGAACCAACAAACCCTTGGAGGGATAAAGAAACCTAGCCCGAGCCCTCCCTTCCCTCCCCACAACTCCTCCATCTCTCTTTCTCTCTTCCTTTTTCCATCCCACCCACCCCAATAAAATATGAGTGAAATAAAGATTCAACATCAGTATTGGCAGGCAACTAATGGTTGTGGTGTTGGGTTGGGTGGCGGCAGCAGCATGAGAGAAGGACACAGTCTGTTGGTTTTCCAGAATTTTTTTTTTTTATTTGTATTAATATTATAAACTGAACTTAACAAATTTTTTATATTAATTTTTAAATTTTAATGAATTTTTTTAAAGGTAATTTAACATAATGGACAACATTGACTAACGATGTAAAACACAGGGATTAAATTGACCAAATTAAAAACACAATGATTAAATTTGCCAAATGTGTAAAACACAGGGACCATTTTAACATTACGAGAGCAAAAAATTTATTTATTTATTTTATACCTATCATTCTTAGGTGACTAATGCATATGTATTTTTTTACCTTGAAGTCTGGTACTCTATGAAGAATGTGTCATGAAGGATTTTTCATTAAAAAAATCATTAAAATGACGCGACAAATGATCAAATAGAATAAAGAATCATGCAGAAATTGAAAATAGGAAATGCATTTCTAAGTATGGAATATGGGCCTGAATTTGTAATAGTTATTACTTACTATCTTGCTGGATTTATAAAGACCAAAAACACGGAATTTCAAAAAACTCTCTCTCTGCTTCCTGAACCCTAGCCCCCCTCTCTTCTAGCGCCGCCAGGGGAGAAGTGGTCACCGACCCTTCTCCCCCCCCCTTTTCTTGCCTCCTTGCTCCTCCTTTCCTCCTATCCTCCCTTCCCCCCCTTCTCCTCCCTCTTTTTGGTTCTTTGATCTGTTTTTTTTTTCGGCTTTTTCTCCTCTTTTCTTTTTTTCTCTGCTTCCCTCCTCCCCCTCTCTCCTTCGTCCCCCTTCCTCCTCCTCCCTTCTCTTTCCTCTTTTCCAGATCTCTCACCTTCTCTTTTCTTTCTGTTCTTTTCTCCCATCTCCTTCTTTTAATTTCTTTTTTGATTTTCTCCTTTACTTTTTTTTTCCCTGCCTTCTCCTCCATCTTCCATTCCCCCTCCCCCCCCAAAAAATTTTCCTCCACGGGTTGCTGCTCTGTTTTTGCAGAGCCAGTTCCTTTTCGTTCTTCTTTTTTTAAAGTTTAATTTGTTTCGTGTTTTAGGCCGTGAAGGCTTCGGTTTTAGGTTTTGGTGTTCTTTACAGGTTTCTGCAATGCATTTTCTCTCCTCATTGTTGGAGGCTGCGCCACATCGGTTGGTCTTAACCACTATCATCGGCTCCTTGACTCCACAAATGTTTCTTCTGTTGTCTATCCTCAGTGGAACTGTTGGAGTTTGGGATGCCTTTAAAGTGCAAATCGCACTTATTTCTTGGATTATGGTAGTGCTACTCCTACTGGGTGTAGCTTTGGTGGCTTGCCCACCACCATTTTCTGTTGGTCACTGGTTTCTCCTTGGTGGTTGTCGGCTTGCTATGGTGGCGCGGCTTGTGACTGTAGGATTGTGCGGCAGATGTCTGTTAATGGTGTTAGGGTTTCCTCATGTTGTGTTGAGCTTTGTGGGCTTTTGCATTTTGTGGGTTTTCTGCCTTGATGTGGGCCCTTCGCCTCTATGTGGGCTTAATGCCTTTATGTATGCTTTATGCATTTTGTTAGTTTTATTTGTAGTGGGCTATGTCTGTATGCATTGCATTTTGTGTGAACTCAATTATTTGAGTTCATTTTGATGTAATATGGTGTTTGACCTTCTATTTAATGAAACAAGATTTCGTCCAAAAAAAAATCTTGCTGGATTTATTTTTCCTGATTTATTATATGCAAGAATCTCCATTTCGGGTGTGTTCTTCTTATACATCTCTTGTATTTACCTATTTATTTATGAAATTACACTTGTTCTCCTGAAAAAAATTAATAATAATAAAAAAATTATGGAATATGGACCAAACCAATCAACCAAAGCTTTCCTCTTGGTCCCAAGAAAATGGTAAATTAGAGCTCCGATGTTTGATCCAAATTGAACTTTTTTCTTCTTTTAGAATTTTTATTTGGGCAGAACTAGATTGGAGATTGGAGATTGGAGATTTGACATGGGCATATCTTATCCCCCCAATATATCTCTTCTACTCTTACTGGCCACAATCTGCCCACATCAGCCAAGATATAGCCTACACCATCAGTCTCTCTTCCTCTTACCCCGTATCTCATCATCGATCACACCCCTTTTTAACCGTAAAACTACCATAACCACCACCTCCTCTGCCTCACTCACAACCCCACAACCCCACCTCTGCCACCATGGCTGCCTCTGCAGCTGCGGCCATGAGCTCATCTTTCTCACCCTCTATCTACACCGTCAAATGCCTACGATCATCCAATCAAATTTCCCCACTTGATCATCTCCACCTTAAAATGGCCCCTACCCGAATGCTTTCATCATCATCTCTATCAAACCCTTGTGCCATAGAACCCCTACTTTCGATCAATGCCGGTTCAAACAAGTTTCGGGTGCTGAGGGTAAGTACTGCCGTGGCTCAAGAAGAGGTGGCGGTGACTGATGAGATTGAGCAAGTGGCCTCATTGGCTGAGGAGGAGCAGCAGGAAGAAAAGAAAGCAGAGGAGCGGGTGCTGTCCGCAGGTGATGAAGAGTTGGGGGGAGAAGCGACAGCTGAAGTTTCAGGTGGAGGAGATGAAGGTGAGGAGGCTGTTGCTGTGAACACAAAGCTTTACTTTGGGAACCTTCCTTACAGCGTTGACAGTGCACAGCTTGCTGGGATAATTCAGGACTACGGAAGTCCAGAGCTGATTGAGGTGAGGATTAATTTCCTTGTGATTAATTACTTTGTTTAGTAGGTGATGTGGTATTGTTATTAATTTATTGTCTGATCAAACACTTTTAGCCTCATTCTCTATTAGAATATGGATTAGTCACAATTTATTAGATCGGGTTACTATAAAATAGGATTTTGCACTGAAGATGCACCCTAGCTAATACCCATATTGTCATTTTAGATTAATTAAGCGAACTTTCCACATTGATAATCTAACAACATAATATGTTAAATATTTAACGAGACAACACTACCCTTAATATATAACAGGATGTATTTGCCTAGAGTTTAAGCTTTTTATGTGACATGGCATCAAAATGGGGAAAGTGCTTTTCCCAAATCCTAGTCCTAGCTTCTACTTTCCTTCATCCTCTCACATTTAATGTCAGCAATTATATGATCTAAATGAAGAAACTACTCCATAATTTTCAATTGATTTATAGTTCTGTAGCAGACAACTAAAAAATGACTTAAAACATTTAGGTGGTGATTAGGTTTTGGGGTTATTAAAAACTGAACCACTAACTTTAGACATTTACCTCTCAATGAACTTTGTTCATCTACTGCTTTCTCATCACTTAATGATGTGCCTCTGAGAACTGTAAATGGAACACATATTTGTAAAAGTTGTATGGATTAACCAGATACTGTAACCAGACAAAGTTTTTCCCTTCTTTTGGGGAAAGTTTGAATTCTGCTATTTGTTACTGATGACGCCTTTCATCAAAGGTTCTCTATCATAGGGACACTGGAAAAAGCAGAGGATTCGCATTCGTTACAATGAGCACTGTTGAAGATTGTAATGCTGTCATTGAAAATCTTGATGGACGTGTAAGAGTCTCTCTCTCTCTCTCTCTCTCTCTCTCTCTCTCTCTCTCTCTCTCATGCTTACATAAGAGCCTTTCACTTAAAACCCTATCGATAAAACTTTGTGTCACATTTACTCATTACAACTCTCGTGGCAATAGAAAATGCATCTCACTCGTAACACATGAATTATATATCTATGAGAGATGTCAGCAAATGTGGTACATGTATCGTTACTCGAATCTTAATGCTAAAAGCATTCTGATATTTCAGGAATTCATGGGGCGAACCTTGAGGGTGAACTTAGCGGACAAGCCAAGACCGAAATTACCTCTATATCCTGAAACTGAGTTCAAGCTTTTTGTAGGGAATTTATCCTGGTCAGTCACATCTGAAAGCTTGACGAAAGCTTTTCAAGAATATGGAAATGTGGTTGGAGCCAGGGTGCTATATGATGGGGAGACAGGAAGGTCCCGTGGCTATGGATTTGTATGCTACTCAACGAAGTCAGAGATGGACACTGCCTTAGAATCTCTCGATGGAGCGGTACTATGAGTCCCATCCACCTCTACACATATAAGTTATTTGCACTTACGACAAATCACAATTTGACATTTGTTCCCTTATAAGGAGAGATAACTTGCATGAACTTGTAACACCACGTCGTGTTACCTCACATACAATAATTCCTCCAGTATAGAAAAAGAAAAAGAAGAATGAGTGGACATGTTTCAAATTGTAGTTTGCTTGTGAGAAAGCATGGCTTGTTGAGGCCAGCATTTTCTATGTATTGGGTAGGCAACTGACTATCCCTGTTTTGTTTTCTTGGCTTCTCAGGAGCTAGAAGGAAGAGCACTGCGTGTAAGCTTGGCTGAAGGGAAACGTTCATAAATATTAACAGTGTAAATTTGGAAAAAAGGGTTAATTGGAAATGTTAGCTGAGGTATTCACACAAGTGACTTGATTGGAGCTTCTCCCTTCCCTCTCTTGTTGCTTTTTGTAACTCTCTTTTTTTTCATCCCACGACTCTTCCGGAAATTCCTGGAGGATATGACTGTTTTTGGCAATGACAATGGTGATTTTGCTGCCTGATCGATCTGCTAAATTAATACAGATCAGTTTTTGTGTTCATCAAGTCAATGGCATTTGTTAAACTACATTGCAAAAACTATCAAATTTGATCATTTATAAAAGTGTATAGCTATTTGATCATTTTGGTTGCCCATGTACTTTCGGTAGTCGAAATAGAGTATTGCTTAGCTCCTTAAAACTAAGGAGGAGCTCCTTCTTAAAATCATGAAGCACTTAAAACCCAAAAATGTAATTTGTTAAAGAAAATGTTAAAAAGAAAAATAATATAATATAAAGGTGTGGAAACCCGTATGTTAGAGGCTAGTTCTTGTTAAATACATCAATTAATTAGCAAGTTAAGTGGCTAGGTTATACATTTGGATCACAAATTTAAGCAACCACCTAGATTATAAATCATCCAAATTGACAATAATATAACACTCCGTGGAATGAACGTCTTGATAGTTTAGTACTAAGGGCTCATTTGGTCTACGGACTTAACTTCTTGTGAATGAAACTTCCATGTCTAATACAACTATATAGTAATGGAATATGTTCATTCCCATGTTTTGAAACACTATGAAATGAGGACCAAGAAATGCCACTCTCTCTCATTCCTATGTTTGATTTGTACAATATTAGTAATGGAAAGTTGAGTTTTCCAATTAATACCCTTATTTTTTATTTATTTAAACTTTTTAGTAAAAATTGATATTTTATTTAAAATTTAGAATACGAGTAATTTAGTTACCAAAAAAAGTGGATTAAATGCTTTCCCAAGTGGGGAGAAAAAGATTGTCAAGGAGAGTCGATGGAATGAAATTCTCCCTTACATGGGAAGTTTATAACCATGAGCTAGGTATTGCATTCCTAATAGTGCACTTACCAAATATGAAGATGTAATTTCATACCAATTCCTAAACTTCTAAATCTTCAACCATAACAATCCTAAGTATCTAATTAAAGAATATATATGTTTCAGAGTAATGTCATACATAATCCACCTGATTAATGATTAGGACTAACAATGTGGCATCATAGCATGGAAGAGTGTCGGAAAATAACCTTATCGAGTGTGTTTATGGCAATAGAATATATTCATATGAGTATTGCCAGTTTAACAATATAACAAGTATATGACGATAGTATATATCAATATAAGAGTAACGTATAAGTATATGACCATAGCATTTACACATGGTCTTACTTAGATATATGAAATATAATGTCGCTAAATTGCCAATATAATTAATTCATTCAAATAAGAATTCACTTGATTAGTAATTTGAATTGACAATGTGATATTATAATATGTCAGACTGACATGTCATATAAAACAACAATCCAAAGCGTTATATGATTTAGATTGACAATGGGGTACCATAACATATTAGACTATTAGTAGACAAACATTTCCATGATGTGTGTTATATTGCTATAATAGCAGTTAGGACGAATATTTGTGAGATTACTTGCTAATTGTCTCTCACCTTTTTGCATGATCTTACTAATTATGTTGGTTCCTATCTTCACCATGCTTTTAGATAATCATGGGAACAATTGGTAAACACATATTAATTTCACCCAATTCAACTAAATCATACAATTCAATTCAAACTCTTAGTTTTTGTAGCACCTTTGCAAAGAATATTCTCTTTTTCAAAAAAGGAAAGAAAAAGATTGCAACCCAATATCACAAGCGTAAGTTAGCAAGTAGTGACGAAGGGGAAAGGGTCCTTTTGTGATGCAATTCCATGATAAAGTGCGCCGCGTGGAGTGAGTGTCACCAATTTCTGTGGTGGCGGCTACCAACAAAAGCCGCAAGCAGCAAAAACTAAACCCACTGAGTGAAGAGATCGATCCTCTCCCCCAAATCTATCTCAAGGTCTCCTTCTCTCTCTCTCTGTCTCCATATACATTTTCTCTCTCTAAGACTAAAGCCTCCCCCATTTCTCAGATCCCCCCCTTCTCTCTCTTTGTCTACATGTGTAAATGTCTGTATGTATTTGGCATTTGTGCTTAATCTTATCTTTTGGGTTTTGGTGCAGATTTGAGGGGGCGTTTGCAGATCTAGGGTTTTTGATTTTGCTGTTTTAGGGTTTTAGAGGTTTCGAATATGGCCACGCCCTTTGCCATTCCCGTCACTGCTGCTCAGGTTCTCTCTCTCTCTCTCTCTCTCTCTCTCTCTCTGTGTTTCTCTAGCGCTGAGAGTGAAATCTTCGTTGTTTTTGTGTGGTTTAGGTTGGGACGTACTTTGTGGGGCAGTACTACCAAGTGCTTCAGCAACAGCCAGACCTTGTTCATCAATTCTACTCCGACGCCAGCACTATGCTTCGTATTGACGGCAACACCAGAGAGACCGCCACTGCAATGCTGGTATTATTCGTCTTTTTTTCTTCATTAGTTTTATGATTAAGTTCCTTCAAACGTTTTCAACTATTTCTGACAAATAAATATGAGTTGATATGGGTGAATAAAGCTGTATGGATGTGTATTTCAACTTTCAAGTAACCTGCTTGATGGGTTTATGGGTTTTTGTTTATTTATTTTTTTAGGTTCCTATATGTACTGGGTCGGTGAATAATTTATTTAGTTTCCCTGCGTATATACACTTGTTATCAGTGTATATTAGCTGATTGTACTGGTTGCAAAGAGGGTTCTTTGTGCATCTAGCTGTGAGAAGTGTTTGTATTTTTTTTTCATGCTTGAAATATTTACCTCATTGTATTGCGTGTTGGAGGCCTCATTTTCTTATATTTTCTTTGTTACTCCTTATTTGTGGATCAGCGAAATTGAAAAAAAGAAGTATGCTTATTTGGTATAGGGATATTGGCTGCATTAGCCTTCACATTTTTGTTTTCTTTTTCCGACATAAGGTCAAGTATGTTATTAGGTACAGGTTTAACTGGTTTAAACCATTATCCGAACTTAGTAGGTTGAATATGGATTCCATCTTGTCATTCAGCCAGATATAAAAGCCATAATCTCTTTTAGATCCCTGATTTTTGTACAAAACACTGTCCATTTTCTGTTTTCATTAATTTGATCAATTCACTCTCCTCTGACTTGTAAATTCATGGACCTCTGTTGTACATGGCAACCATTTGAGGTAAGTGGTCCTTACTCTCATTAGGTGTTATCCCTAATGAGGAAAATCAGGAAGCGGTACTTCTAACAAGCAATCGCATGATGGTACTGGATAATTGGAGTTAGTTACAGTTTAAACAATGGTTCCGAGATGATTAATAATTGATTGCATTTGTATAGCATTTCTCTGATTTTGTTACTTTTTTAGGAATCATGTCTAGTACACCATAAATATTTGTTTTAATTTGTTAATAACTCTGTGTGTGCTATTACGAATATAAGATACCTGGCTATCCTTGAAGCGCCCCTTGTTGCAGTTCATAGTATACTGCTGGGTTCTAGATTCTTTCTTTTTGGCCATGAATTTTTATGTTCAATTTTTGTAGGAAACATACTAATAGTATCATTAAGAACAAACCATGGAATGCTTTTATAAATCTGTGGTTTTTTGTAGTGCATGCCCATCATATATTGATGGGCAATTACTGCTAGAAAGTTATCGATAAGAATTGAATTTAAGCAATACAAAACATGAATCTCCCACATTGATATAGTTATTAATCACAGCCTGTCCCAATCAGTTGAACCGGTATTTGGGTTGCTCCAACCTGGATTCTCTTAGGTTCATTCAAAGGATTCAATCAGCAAGAAACCCGTCTGTGATCAGAGTCCAGCCAATATATATATATATATTTGCTGTCTTTTCTTTTTTCTTCTCTTAAGAAAAACAGTATGAATGTTCTAAATGACAAAAATATTAAATACTATTTTAACTTGTCTTGCACATTTGCAGTTTTATTGATTGACCTGCTGTTGGAGCAATGACCCATGGCCTTTTTCTTAATACAACTTTTTTTGGTTCTATAACTATGAATATATTTATTTTAAGTAAATTTCGCACACTCTTAGCACTCACAGTCACATTGACCCAACTATTGCTTGGAATGTTCAGTCATTTTGCCTAAGTTAGAAACAATTAATTTGATGCCACATGCATAGTTTATATAAGCAGTTGTATGCTACTTGTTCTTTCTGTATAAGGTGTAGCCCATTTGGTGTACCCCTCTGTTGAATACTCAAGTTAATCCTTTCTTTGTGTGTATGCAACAGCAAATCCATTCGCTTGTTATGTCGCTCAATTATACTGGATATGAAATCAACACAGCACATTCCTTGGAATCTTGGAATGGAGGTGTTCTTGTGATGGTTTCAGGCTCCCTGCAAACACAAAATTTCACTGGAAGGAAGAAATTTGTTCAAACTTTTTTCCTTGCACCTCAGGAAAAAGGTTATTTTGTACTTAACGATATATTTCACTTCATTGATGAGGAACTAATGCACCACCATCCATCGGTCATATTAGCCCAGAGCAATCTTGATGCCAAGCTAAGTGTTCCTACTACGATCCCTGAGCCAGGTATTGTAATGCATCATAATTTACGTTGATTTGAAGATTCCATTTTCAGTAGGCATTATCAAGTCTGTTATTTTAGTGGTGGATAAAAGATATGATTATTTACAAGAAAAGTGTAGAAAGGATATATATTTGCATTTATGTACAAGAATCTATTCCTTGAAAGAAAGAATTTTATGTATGACAACAAAACAAATTCCATAATTAGCAATGGCAATTGTGTTGTTGATTGGTTTCTACTTTTTGTGCAATTGTTGAATAGTGATGTTAACTTGTTTTGAAACCATGTTTATGCACGATTACAATCTGATAAGAAAATGCCTTCAATGTCATTTTTAATAATATGTTTAAATTGTTGTGGCTAAAAATGCCTTTTGTGAAGTTCTTAGTAACTTAATTTTATTTGGTAGTTAGTCAAGTTTCATGACAACGTATAAAAAAAGTTTTTTTGTTTAGTAGTTTAATTGATGAAACTGGTGATTTTGCAGTGGCTAGCTATTTGCTGGGTGGAGAAATTCAGACAAGAGACTTCGCGGCTCCTGCTGTCAAAGAAAATGGTCCGGTTGAAAGTTATGGTTTTGCAGAGCAACGGTTGCAGCAAGTTGTTGAAAGTGAGAATTTGTTGGATGATAGTGTTGTAGAACAGTCAAATGGTTCACTCATAGTACAGTGAATACTGTACAAGATCACCTGTCTGCATCTGTGGAGGAACCTATTGGAGAGCCCCAAAAGCAGACCTATGCTTCCATAGTACGCACTGAACCTGTGACTAACTAATTATGTTCACAGAAACACATACTTATGGATACATAAAATCTTATGCTCATTATATGTGACCAATTTTGTCTGCTTGGTTCTTTTGGAAGTTACGTGTTGCTAAAGGACAACCTGCGCCTTCTGTAGCTCCCCAGCATTCAGCTAACAGGAGTGCACTACCGGCTTCAGAGTGGAATCACCATCCTCAGTCCTCTGCTCAGCAGCCCATTTCATCATCAAATACATACGAAAGGCCTGTTGCAGAGACAGCAGATGAGGCAGCAACTCTAGAGGATGAAGGTGAGCTTTTGGGCTTTCATTTGTAACCCATTAAGTTTTGCTCATAAGTTTTTTTTTTACTCAGTTTTGTTCACTGTTTTCCTCTAAATCAACATATGGGCTGTTTGATATGCACTTCAACAGTTTTATTTAATAATCTTCTTATTATTTTTGGTGAATGCTTTTAGGCGAAATAAAGTCTGTTTATGTAAGAAACTTGCCGCCTACTGTATCTCCATCTGAAGTTGAGGAGGAATTTGTGAATTTTGGAAAACTCAAGCAGCCTGAAGGAGTGGTCATTAGGAGTCGCAAGGTTCATGCTCTTCTTTCTTATTCTTTTGTTCCCTCAGGTCCCACTCCGCATGTGTCATTGTATATCAGTCTGAAATTATTAAGCTAAAATATTTCATTGTTGTGCAGGATGTTGGTGTTTGCTATGCGTTTGTTGAATTTGAAGATATTACTGGTGTTCAGAATGCCGTCAAGGTCCACTCTTAAAAACATCAATGCTTGAGTGCTGTTTGCAAAATTTGAATTCTGATTACTTCCCTTACAATTTAAATTGGAGATGGAGGCAAATTCGGATTTCCTTTCCTCCTACAAATCTGCTTACTGAATCTTTTATTGATTTTTTCTTGTCCTATTTTCTATAGGCTGGTAGTGTTGAGATTGCTGGACGACAAGTGTACATTGAAGAGCGGAGACCAAACAGCAACATCCCATCTCGAGTGGGAAGTATGTTTCCTTTATTAATATTCTGTGATCTTATTAACATGTAAAATAAGTGTCTTAAATTCTCTAGTGGAAAAATTACTACATTTAACAATGCCTGGCCATTTACATAGTGGCAACATAATGGCCTCCTACATGTGCTCACTGTGATTGGTTGGAAGATCAAGCCGCCCCTAGCTATATTTGGCGACAGCGGTTGGATCTGTTATTGTTTTGTCGTACTAGTGTCATGATAATTGTCTACTCCCATATTCTAATAGTTCTTGCATGTGATATTGTGATTATTTTGTGTAGCAATTTTAGAATTACTTCATAACTGTTTCATCCTACAATCTATGCTGCTGTATTTAGTATGTGGCCACTATCAACGGTCTTAGTTTCATCCACTTTCTTGTGCTAGTTATCTAATGAAAGAAACCCTCGTCAATATGACTGCTTAGTATGATAGATTGTAACTGCAACTGGCATTAGACATATTGGAGCTTTGTTTCTGATTGAATTGTTATGGTAGCCAAATCTTGCTATGCTTCTCTCTATGTTCCAGGCTTTGCATAAAGATATGCTCTTCTTGTAATTTTATTTTGATGAATTGTTGTGAACAGGAAGGGGTAGAGGAAGGGGCAGCTACCAAGCTGAGGCACCGAGGGGCCGTTTTGTCTCTCGGGGTTTTGGGAGGGGAGGTGGCTATGACGGAGGTGACCAGGACTACAGCCGACCAAGGGGAAATGGCTACTATCGTCCAAGTCCCCGACAAGAAAGAGCAAACCCAGGTTATCAATCATCAAGAGGCGGGCAAAATTCATCAGAGTTCACTAATTAGGATTATTTTACAATGAGGAAAGGAAATTTTTGGGTCAGCAGATAACCTTTATTGGTTGCATAAACTACATACTGGTATTTCGTAGAGGCAGTTTAGCTTAGATATGTTGGGCATGTGAATCATATTTTTCTAAGAAGGGGTTGTTGCTTGATACTGGAATTCTTAATTCAAGAGGTGATGGGTTTGCAATTTTGACCTCAGTTCTTCTTTGCGAAATCTTTGCATGGTCTCTCCTAACCTGTCTAATCTGTTAGACTTTTGCTTTCACCATCTTCCAATTTGTGGAGCAAACAATTTAAATGCGAAATGAACATGGTTATCTGCTTTATTTTCATTACTTCCAGGGGAAAAATGGTCATAAGAACATGAAACGAAAAGGGAAAAAAAAAGGTAAAATTAACAAAATCACTCGCAATGTCGTCCCTAGAAGACTGAATTGTTGAAAATTGAAATCATCAATATTTACTAGTTTACTTTTAAGTTGGTTTTGTTGTTTTTCCTCTCATTTCATATGGCTTGCAATGCAAGCTCTTATTCGATACCGGAAGTTTTAACAAGGATGAATGCTAAGGACCCTTAAATATTTTCTGCCAATAATTTTCTTTTTGAGTTTTAACTGTGATGAAAGCATGTAAAAGTGGCACAAGGTCTCATTGCAGTCTTTGCAGATGAGGATAAATAAAATAAATACAATAAAACCACTTTAATAAATTATATAAAATTTTCCCCTTTGGGACAAATCATACAAAAATAAATAAAAAATCATAGCCCATTTCAGCATTTCTTATAATGAATCTGTATGGTATGGCAGTTCTGCCAAAAAGGAAACAAAATGGCATGGCAGTTTATTTTGATAGTTGGTACCATCGATAAATCAGCAAGATAAATTACAGACATAAATTATGAAGCAGAGGAAATGAGCAACTGATCATATTACGATCCATTCTGAACTATCGAGCGACAATTATTTATTACAAGTTTGCCGTTTCTAATAGAAACATTGTAGCAGAAACATATAGAACATAAACCTGGTGGCATGGCATCTATAACAGATTAAAAGTACAACCATTTTCTCTAGAAAATGTTCACTTAACTAACTTCTAAGGCCACCAAGTTTCTCAGTTTAAAACTTTGATAGTGATGGTGTATCTCTATGTACAGCTTTAGACCCTATGCAGCATTAGAACCTGATTCAGTAGTTCTGCAATCTGCTGTGTTAGGAATTCAGGCATTCACAGCGGTCATGGTTCCTCCTTGTACGAGAGGCACTTGAATGTGGCCTTGCATTACCGTATCTTCCTCTTCTTCAGCTTCCCAGAGGAAATGAGCATATGCCGCAAGAACATAGCTAAACACAAAGGAACAAAATGTTTAAGAGGTCATTTTAATCAGTTATATTATCTTTTTTATGATTAGATCTTTACTACTAGTCAAATATTTTGAAACATCTCCAATCATTCGGACCAACAAATGGTGATCTAGAGGATTGGGAAACAGGATTTGTTCAAAGTTAGAAAGTTCAATAACTAATTCAAGGTCCTGCATATCATTGTTTATGTTCCAGATTGAAGATAATATAGAAAATATTCATGAACATGTTCAAGTAGAAATTCTGAGATCATGTAAGAGTATGTACCTGTCCTCAGGATTTGCTTGAACGGCTCTCTCAAAGTAAGACAATGCCTTCTCACTGTCATGATGAAGTTCCCAAACCAGTTTAGCATATTGCGCCATGATCTCACTGTCCCCAGGATCAGCTTGCATGGCCCGCAAATAGTATTGTTCTGCTCCTTGAAGGTCTCCCTTGGACTGTAGGCAATCACGATAAGTTACACGTGTGACTAGAAATCCAACTTAATATATTTATATAAAAAAATAGGTGTTCTATAATAAAAAGAAGTCAGATGTATAGAGAAAATAGAGATCAAAATGTGCATCTCTCACCTGACACAAGAACTGAGCATAATTTCTTAGCAACAAAGCATTGTTGGGATTCTCTTCAATCATCATCTTGTAATTCTCCTCAGCATTGTAACCTCTTCTGGAGCCAGCTTCGGCAGTATCGAGCATGTCAATCCCATTTTCTGCTGCAATGTGCGAAGATGGACTAACTTTCTTAGTTTCTTCTTTGGAATTGGTGTTTTCAAGTTCATTCATACTATCTCCCTTGTCACCTTCTTCCCGGTCATCCTCTATTTCCCATAGAAAACTAGCATATGCCCCAAGAACACGGCTGCAACAAGAAGACAAATAATTAACTTCCAAATGCGCTAAATGCAATCTGTCATGTTTTTTGTACTGAGCATCAACTTTGAGACTACTTGATTTTTTGCAAACAAACCAACCTGGAACGTAACCCAACTTAATATGTACGATAATCTAGATTTTCTGCTGTGAAATTAGATTTCAAATTTTCTTTGGAGATGGATTTATACAGGAAATTAATCACCTGTCTTCAGGAGCAGCTTGAGTTGCACGTTCAAAGTAACTCAAGGCTCTATCTTGGTCATGATGGAGCTGCCAAACCAGCTTAGCATACTCAAGTAAAGACTCACCATCTTGAGGATTCGCTAGTGTAGCACGCAAATAGTAATCTTCAGCTCCATGGAAATCTCCCTTGGACTGCCATGAAAGGATTGAAGTACATTGCACAAAAATTAGAAATCAAGATTTATTCTGTATAGGAGGTATGAATTTAGCTTCTTCCCAAGTCACTTAATCGGGAAGAAGTTTAGTCAGAACGATCAGGCTATTCAGTAGTTTTAACTCAAGTCACATATAACTAAGGTTAAAAGGCAACATTTCGTTCTCCCTGATAGAGACGAGAAGAAGACTTGTTCAACGTGAATAACAACCTTCACGATAATTAAGCCTAATAGCAGGACCGGAACCAAAGCTGTAGCCGAAGCAACAAGAGCTACTGTTGCAAAAATGAAAAGAACAATAGCAGCAACAGTTGCAAGCACACTCTTTGAGTCTTAGGCAGGGTATTTGTCTGCAGCCCAGTCAATGGTCAACAAAAAGATTGGATCGCAGAAACAGAAACTAGAAAAGGCTTAGACCTTGCCTTACACAACCACTATTGTGATGCAGATTTGAACTCACAGTTTAGCTCTGGAATAATGGAGATTGGAAAATCAGGCACAAAAAATTGTTGGGATTGCTCATTCATTGGACACAAAACATAAGCTCTTTATATTCCAGAATCAAGAATCAAAAATTGGATATTTGCATCAGTTTCTTAACTATATAGCTCTTTCAGTTTTATGTGATAATCATTATAAATTGAACACAACCAAAATAGGGGAAAAAAGAAAATACTAGCGAAAAAACACATGCTTCAACAAAAAATCTTACTTGTAAAGCTTGAGCATAATTCCTAAGGAACAAAGGGTGGCAGGGATATTCATCAACCATCCTCTTATAATACTCCTCTCCATTGCCGCTCTCATCGATATTTGCCATAGATAATTCATCATCCCAAGCATCCCAACCAAAACCAGCAGCCTGAACCCCAAGCCCCGCTGCAAGATACATGGAAGGACTTGCAGGACGTACTTGTTCTTCAACACGAAAACTCTGGATCCCATCCAAACCTTCTTCTTCCTCTTCACCCTTCTCCTCAATCAATCCCATACTCTTCTTCCCAAAACAGAAGTCCCCACCTCCCATCATCGATTCTATGTTCTCTCCTATTGTAATGGTCCTCTCCAGTGGTTCTTGATCTGAACCTTGAAAGTCAAGCATGCCTGAGTGAAATATCGAAAAAGACGGAGCTGTTTCCAGCATTGAATTGTTATCTTGATAGGAAGAAGACGTTCTTGGTGCAACCGAATTTCGAAAATCTTCCATGTCACAAGAACTATCAACTAGCCCTTCCAAGTTTCCATCAGACCAAGCTCGCCGAATTGCTTTGAGGCCTAAACTCTTGGATTCTGGATTGAACTCTATGAACCCAGAAGCAGAATGAGAGTTTGGAGAAGAAGAGTTGCATGAAAAAGATGTCAAGTTGAAATGGTGATGATGAGCACTATTGGGACTGTCTGAGACGGATGAGAGGAGTGTTTCAATGGCTGGGGTTGATGAGCTTCTGAGCAGCATTTTAATAAAGCTTTTTATACAACTACTAGTCTTTGGCTTGCCTGTAAATGGAAACAATATTGAATTTTTCATATATATATAATATAAAAAATAAAATAAAAATCAGATTGAATCAGAACCTCTCATTTCAGTACCAGATCATGTTCATGTTGCCAAACCATAGGAATATGTAGGCTCAAGTTGCATCACAGATAGTAGGTAAGTTGGAATTTAGCTAAAAACTTATCAATTATGCACATGGCTTTAAATGTACAACACATGGAAGAACTGCCATTCATTCATTCATCCAAAGAAAGAAAGAAGAACATGTATCTTTAGGTATATAGAAAGCGATAACATGTTGGTTTGGTTGCAATATTAATCAAAGCCAAATAAGTAACAAGATGCACGAAATTCCATGAATAAAGAAAAATAAGACATGAAAATCACAAGAAAGAATGTGAGGAAGCTTGTGACCAAATTAATCTTTTCTGGTAAAAATAATTTGTGGGTTATGAGCATTGGGATCTAATTAATTCATACAAGGTTTAGTTTAGGTGAGTGTTTATGTATTCATCAAGAACCACGAATAGTATAAGAGTAGCGTTCGAAGGCATACCTCTCTCCCTTCACTTTTGCTGTATGCAGCAAACCCTTCTTCCCTTTCTTATTGTAAGGAAAGAAGGTTTGTGCTGATTGTCTTGTAAGGAAGAAATGAGAAGGTGGAAGGAACTTGATGTGGTTTAAGGCATCTATTCTATTGCAGTGGCAGAGTACTTTTTTGTTTTTCTGTTGTTTTTTTATTTATTTATAAAAAGTTGAATTTGTCATTAATGTGAGAGATATGTAAGCTTGGCCATAAGGTAGTATTTTTACTCTGAATTTTCTTTATTGGCTGCTCGAAGAGACAGCAATCTCTGGCACGTGTAATTTTCATTGAAAGGTGTCATGCATTCTTTCTTGATCTTTTGGGTACAGTTTTTTTAAGCAACATTCCAAAACAACACCACTTGATTTTATTTTTTTTCTAATTTTATATAAACGATATTAGGAATGGGGAATCCAACTCAGGAACTCGGAGTGCAGGGATAAACTTGAGTTACACCGCTTCTTTTTGATTCAGAGGTCAAGAAAAGTGGCATGGGCTTACACAAATTTTGCCCATTTCAAAAGGCCTGTGAGTCATGACTTAAGGGCCTGTATGTCTTTCAGTGGAATAGCAGTTTTGGACAGATGGACTAACTTGGTTAGAATTTTGGGTTACATAATATGAGTCATTCTATAGTGAGGGTCTTATACATGGCATTTAGATGAGGTCTTATCTCTTAATCGTTGAATTAGACTAATCAATTTGATATAACGGCCAAGATATAGGGCCTCACCTAAGGGCCATATATAAGTCCCTCACTCACTATAGATTTCTGGTACATAGCAGAGGCACTTAAGATAGAGTAATGACTTTATTTGCATTATTGATGAATAGGTCACACTTTTTTGTGTCATGTCATTGTCCTATAAAAGTTTGATTGTGTTCACCTAACTAATCGATAGATACTGTTATACTTAAAAAAAAAATTAAGCCAACATGACTCTCTGCCACATTAAAATAGGTGGTTGTTTTAACGCAATAATGTAGTGTACACGTCAAATACCATGTAAATTAATACACGAAAATTAAAACAAAAACAGTTTGCTATTAAGCATTTTCCTTAATTGTTTGTATTGTTTAAAGAAGTTTCAGATGTGATATCAATCAACCGTAACAAGTTAGTTTTATTTAGGATCTTCTTCAGTTCTGTATCTATGACTAGGGTATATCAAATTGTTGTTAACCAGGCTTGTTTTTACTAAATACAAGATAGGTAGAACCACTTTTGATTTTTCAAGTGAAAATGGTACTTGGAATACACACTGTGCCAGCCAAAGCCAAAGCCAAGCATCAGAATTTCCCAGTTTGATGCTAGCCAAATATAGTTATTAGTTAAGGAGTTAAGGTGATACTGTAAACCCCTCTGGCTCACCAAATTAGAAATTACTGTTATGTTGGCTGCTTAAGACAATGACATGATTGAAAATTTGGAAGGACCATAAATCTCACCCTGAAATTACCCTAATTTTAGCTCAGGGACTGCATGTAATTAAGCCAAATCAACAACCTCCTCCTTCACCTCCCCCACACCTTCCAAAATTAAACTTCAGTGTAACCAAAAACCGTGGGGTCAAACTCTCCCACATTGACAATTGTCTTCCTCACATAACCAACCCTCCATTATTCTACGCTGTTTTCGCACAATTCCACCTTGCAGGTGCCCTCATTCTCTCTCTCCCCTCCTCCCTTTTTTCAACCATACCTCCCTTCCCCCATGATGCATGCCCTTGCCTCTCGTCGTCCAAGAAGAGGACGACGAGCGGAACCATCTCCATCTTCGCCACTACCACCATCACTTTTTTAAAACACATTTACGTCCATCTCTTTGATCCTTAGCTAGCCTCTATTGAATATCCATCGATCGGAAAACCTTAAAGAAGGCGCGATTTGAATTTATTATTCAATCGCGGCGACAATGTCTCAATCAATCTTAGCTCCGTTCCAACTCCTGGAACTCAACGTCATATCGGCCCAGGACCTTGCGCCGATATCACGCTCCATGCGCACGTACGCCATTGCATGGGTGCACCCAGATCGAAAGCTATCGACGCGGGTGGACACTCAGGGCCACAACAATCCGACATGGAACGACAAGTTTGTGTTCCGGGTGGACGAGGATTTTTTACACGAGGACACCTCCGCCGTGATGATTGAGATCTACGCTCTCCATTGGTTCAAGGACGTCCATGTGGGCACGGTTCGTGTCCTGGTGGGTAACCTTATCCCCACCCCGGCAAAGCCCCACCACCACAACCCTCAGCTAGGCATGCGGTTCGTAGCTCTCCAGGTGCGCCGTCCCTCGGGCCGGCCGCAGGGGATTCTAAACATCGGCGTGGCGCTGCTTCACAGCTCCATGAGGAGCATGCCCTTGTATTCCCAACTCAGCACATCAGCCGTCGGATACAAAACCTTGATGGGCGAGGAAGACCCACATCGCAGTAGTCAAAACCATCATGCAGGCAGTCAAATGACGACGTATTCGAAGCCGGAGCTACGGCGCAGCAAGAGCGACTCCAGCTCCATGTTCGGGTCGGACCTGAGAGCCACAGAATTTAAAAACAAGGGCAAAAATGGAAAGGCGGGCTCAATGGTCAACGGGTCAGAAGTCAGCATAAAAAGGAACAAAAAAGGTCGTCTGTCCAAAGCCAGCTCGATCATTGGTGGTTCAGAAATAATTATTAGGAAGAGCAAGGACAAAAAAGGAAAATCAAGCTCCCTGCTTAGCGCCTCAGATATAAGCTACAAAAAAGGGAAGCCGAGCTCCATGCTCGGCGCCTCAGACGTGAACAGCTCGGTGGCCCCACCAAAGTACGGAAAAGACAAAAAAGGAAAGCCGAGCTCCGTTCTCAGCGCCTCCGAAGCCATCGTGCGGGACCCACAGAAAAAGGGTGACAGTAGTAACGGTAAACCCGCAAGCTCCATGCCCAGCGCATCCGAACCGGAAGACCCGCCCAGAAGGAAACCCGCCAGTCACAAACCATCGCCGAAATTCAACCTGGCAGAAAATTACGGTTCTACCCCCGGACGGAAGTCCGCTCCGCGAGCTGGCAAATCGCCGTTCTACAAGCTGCAGTCGCCGTACGAGCAGTACGCGACGCCGAGGAAATCGAACATCATGCCGGTGCCGTTCATAACGGAGTCGGAGCTGGGGCCTTCGCCGTCGGAGGTGGCGGCGGCGATCGCGAAGGAGCGCTTGGATCAGGACACGGAGAGCTCGGTGGTAGTGGGCGCATGGAACGAGGAAGACAGCGTGGAGGGCTTGCAGTCCAAGCTCGAGCGGTGGCGCACGGAGCTGCCGCCGGTTTACGATCGCGGAGAGTTCGCGAGCTTTCCTTCCAGCGACGAGCGCCACGAGCGGCGGCACAGCGATGGCGGAAGCGGGCTCTTCTCGTGCTTTAGTAATATTTGTGGAATCGAGTGCTCCATTGTATGCGGGTCGGGCGATTCGGATAGTAAGACCCGGAAGAAGAATGGTAGCAAAAGTGGCGGAAAGGTCCCACGGAGCCCCTCAGTCGGAAATCTAAGCTACATGTGAAAGGACCCGGATGGAGATGGGTAAATGGGCAGGGTTTTTTTGTTTTCCATAATTTGGCAGGCAACGGTCGTGAAAGAAGATGGAAGTTGAAATCAACCGCTTAGCTCGTGCTAACTTACGCCAAGGGTGATACTATTAACGAAGAAAGAACAAGCGAAACGTAAGGGCAGGGCATGGGCGCAGGATACGCAAGTGCACACCAGGGGGTTGATGATATTGAGTTGCACTTGGTTAGGCCATTCTCTTCCTCTTCCCAATTTTAATTTTGTATTCATCGAATTTCTGCTGTGTAATTTATTGTTTCCCCAAAAAACAGAAAAACAAAATACAAAGGACCGTCCAAATTAAAATTTGTGTTTATTTATATTATTGTTGATGTAGAATATAAATCTTATATGAACAATTTTATCATTTATCGAATTATCAGTAATGTGACGTGGGATATTAATATTTAGTTTTTTTGTTTTTTGTTTTGTTTTGTTTTTTTTTTTTTTTTTTTTTTTTTGTCGAATAAGATATTGGTTCCCCATATCTCTTTAATTGAAAAAGCATCCAAAAAAATATATAAGAAAAAAGCGTTGAATATAATGGGATTTGAGAGCAAAGAAGTGAGGGAAAGAGTTTGATGATTCTAAGAGTGAAGGTGATTGGAGTTTGATATCTGTGTTTCAAGGCTAATGTGCTCATTAGAAATTTTTGCATGTTCTGGTTACACCATCCAATATACATAAGACATGTGGAAATATTTTATTTTTATTTTAAAAAAGCAGTGCAGTAAATTGGTGAGTCCAAACCACATGTCCTATGTATATTTTGTTGGCGAGTCCTTACTTAGTTAGGATTTTGGTCCTTACTTAGTTAGGATTTTGGTTCCTTATTTCATTAGAATTTTGGTTAGTCCTATTGTAATAGAGATTTACTTCCTATTGTAATTTAAATATATTTCCTATTTTATTTAGGGTTAACACATCTTTGTATTTGTATAAATACCTCCATATTGGAGAAGAAGAATAATATGAGCGTATCTGAGCATAATTGAATATTTATCCTACTTTGTTTGACATGGTATCAGAGCCTAGGTTTTCTTGTGACCTGTGTTTGCGGTCTCCTTGAGAGTCGTTGCTAATCCTTGAGATCCTCTGACAAATTGAGAGTGGTTGGCATTCCTCATTCCTAACCCATCATGGGTCTTCACCTTGCTGTAAATCCCCGTTTCTCCTTTCCTTCATAATCAACATATATTTCTTCTGCCTTAGCCATAGCCGCACCTTTCTGCAATTTTACCCTTGTCTCTGTCCTTACCGTGTTTATGTTGAGTCATTACCTTTCTTTTTCTCTACCTATGCCTGCTGCTGCCTTTTTTCTCTTACTCTTCATCTCTCTATGAGCTTGCTTTCTGTTAAAATCAGATTGAGCCCATGTTAGTTTCAGTCTCTTGCGCTCACAGCCGAGCCTCTCTTTTAAATGTATACCATATGGGCAACACGCCCCTTCACCATTGATTGCCTGATCTCTTTCCTCTGTAAGCCTCGTCACCGCTCGCCGAGCCTTCTCCTCTCTCTATCCTGCCGAGCTACACTGCCGTTGTTCCCTTTGCACAGTCGCTCTGGTCCTCTCTCTCTGTGCACGCCTATATGGTCCTTTCCCATTTGATAATGTGTTTCACTTCCTGCCCAAGAAACATCTGTGTTTTCTTACTCTCTATTTATTTGGGTGTTACTTTCTCCAAATCTCAACTCTCATACATCGTTGGATTTGAGGGGGAGTGACACTGCTACTCATCTATTCCGCTGCAATTCAGCTACCTATCAGCCATGACTGATTCTTCTACATCTGAGCGTTAGTCCGCTTCTGTTTCTTAAGTGCCACTTTTCTTATGGTTCCGACGACCTCTTCTCTTCAGGGGGAGAGAGGGAGTGAAGAGAAGTTGTTTATGTTGTTACTGCTACCACAGTTGTTTGCCCAGGGGGAGTGAAGAAAAGTTGTCTATGTTGTTGCTGCTTCCACAGTTGTTTGTCATGCCTTGTCTTGCTGGTGCCAGTGCCTTATATTGCTATTGCTGGTGCCAGTGCCTTGTGTTGCTCTTGCTGCTATCAGTTTTTTTGTCTCTTGCTGGGGACACTGTTGTTGTTGCTTCTACCATGTTCGTGTCTTTGCTGGTGTGTTTTTTCCGCTGCGATCATGACCGTTGACCTTGCCTTACCCTATTTTTTAGGGTTTGGTTTATGCCTATCTACTGTCGTGCTCACAAAGTTTCTGTGTTCTGACTTACCTACTGCTGTACTTACAGGGTTTCTATGTTCTGCCTTACCTATGGGCATGCTCACAGAGTTTTTGTGTTATGCTATGTGCCCTATTTTTTAAGGTTTGCTCTTGTGTTTCTGCTACGAACTTTGCTTTAGTTTGTCACTTGTTTCACCCGTGGTTGACGAAAAGACATTCTCTACAGTTGGTGTTTCTCAAGTATGGTGTTCTATGACTCGTTTGTCAAGTTAGGCGTGCCAAATATCTTTGCCCAACTTGAGGGGGAGTGTTGGCGAGTCCTTATTTAGTTAGGATTTTGGTTCCTTATTTCATTAGAATTTTGGTTACTTACCAATTATTATTTAGTCCTATTGTAATAGAGATTTACTTCCTATTGTAATTTAAATATATTTCCTATTTTATTTAGGTTAACACACCTTTGTATTTGTATAAATACCTCTATATTGGAGAAGAATAATAATATGAGACTATATGAGCATAATTGAATATTTACCCTACTTTGTTTGACATATTTGTGTACCCGAAACATGCAAAAGTAATGTTTAGAGAGATTATATTTTAGAACCATATAAATTAAATTAAGGGATTATATTTATACATACATAAATTGATTACATGATCCAATTGGTATGTTAATTAATAGCATCAAAATATCTCATGTTGGGTATTTATTAATCCTTGTTGTCGATCCTTTTAAAGATGTTTTAGAGATATACAATTTGGTATTTAATGATCAGTATAATGGTTGTTACAATTTAGTTATGCTCATCCTCTTATCAAATGGTTTAATTTGATACTTATAAAAAAAAAAAAAAAAAAAAAAAAAAAAAAAATCAATAGTTCAGATGTGCTAGAATATGAATATGGTTTGAATGTATTAGGTTTTGTTTTATTCTTCTCCATAAGGAGATATATATATATATATATATATATATAGGAGTTTACATGAGGGTCTTACAAGGAATTAAATATAGTAAAGAATTAGGAAAGTATCTCCTAATTGTACAATGATTTATCACTTATATAAAAAATAGGAAAGTAAATCCCTTAATTAATCAAGGAAGTAAATCTCCTTGATTAATTAGGAGACTCACGTCAACACTCTTCCTCAAGTTAGTGCATATTTGTCATCAATGTCTAACTTGGTAAGTGAGTCATGAAATACTCTTCCACAAACAGCTTTGGTTAAGATATCTGCTAGTTGATCTTCTGATTTTACGAATGGTAGGCGAATGATCTTTTTCTCAATTTTTTCTTTGATAAAATGTTTATCCACCTCAACATGTTTGGTTCGATCATGTTGAACTGGATTGTGGGCAATATCGATAACTGAGTTGTTGTCACAATGCAACTTTATTGGCTTTTCTGGCTTGAAGCCCAATTCTGTCAAGGGTCTTCTTATCCACAATAATTCACAAACTTCGTGAGTCATTCCTCGATACTCTGCTTTTGCACTAGACCGAGAAACCGCATTTTGCTTTTTACTCTGCTAAGTGACTAGGTTACCTCTCACGAATGTAAAGTAACCAGAAGTAGAGCGTCTATCTATAATAGAACCAACCCAATCAGCATCTGTGTATCCAATAATTTCCAGGTCTCCATTTTTTGAGAACATTAATCCTTTCCCATGGGCTGACTTTAAGTATCTTAATATTCGATCAACTGCATTCCTATGAGAAACATTGGGCGAATGTATAAATTGATTAACCACACTCACAGCATATGCAATATCTGGTCTTGGAGGACATATGAAAAATAAAACCTTTGGTGGTGGTGATAGAAGCAGGAGTCTGGGTAGCTAGGTCAGCAGGATTGACTGTATGCTTCTGTGAGTTTGCAATAAGATGGAGAATCGTATGGGTTCTTGACATCGCAACGGAAGTAAGATGTGATATGAGAAGGTGAGGAATGTAATGTGAGAAATTTGATGTAGGAATTGGATTTAAGAGGTATGTGTATGAGATTTGAGGGTATGTATTTAGGGATTTGGATAAGAGGATTTGAGGACTTTAGATTTGAGGGATTTGGATTTGGGGAAAAATATGAGGAATTTGATGTAGGAATTGGAATTAAGAGGTATGTGTATAAGATTTGAGGGTATGTGTTTAGAGATTTGGATAAGATGATTTGAGGACTTTAGATTTGAGGGATTTGGATTTGGGGACAAATATGAGGAATTTGATTTATGGTTTTGGATTTGAATATGAGAAATTTGAGATAAGGGTTTAGAGACGAAACAACTTCTCTTCATTCCCCCTCTCTCCCTAAAGAGAAGGAGTCGTCAGAGTAAAGAGATATGCAGTATCTTTATGGGAATACGTCAAGGTAATGGGGATATGTCAAAGGATTCAAACCATATTCATATTTTAGCATGGTATCAGAGCAATCGATCCTCGGTTGTCTCTAAATTCTCATATCAAATTTTTTCTTCAAACACAAACCCTAAATCCTCATATCAAATTTCTTCAAACACAAACCCTACATCCTCATATCACATTTCTTCACTCCCAAACCCTAAATCAAATTCCTCATATTTACAGCTTCAGATTCAGATCTTTATACCCGAATCCTCATATCCTCTTATCACGAAACCCTAAACACAAATTTTTCCTCTTATCACAAAACCCTAATCACATCTTTTTCCTCTTATTCTTAAATCCTTCTGCTGCCATGAATATCGTCTCATCTTCCCAAACCACTGCCTCCACTTCCCCATCCTCCAAAATTGCCACAACAGGCTCCCACAGTTATGCTTTGCATAGTTCTTCAAAGAAACACATCTGGGTCATTGACACCAGAGCCACTGATCACATGACCTTTGATCCTAGACAAATTACCTCTCATACACCGTCTTCTCAATCGGTGATGTCTAATGCTAATGGTACCTCCTCTCCAGTAATTGGGGAGGGTTCCCTCTCTCTCTCTGACTCCCTCACTTTGGATTCGGTATTGATTGTTCCATCCTTACATCATAATCTCTTGTCTGTTGCCCAACTTACTACGGCTTTGAATTGCACTGTAACCTTTTGGCCTACTCATTGTGTTTTTCAGGACATTCTTAGTAGCAAGATGATTGGTTGTGGTACTAGGAGGGGCAAACTCTACTATCTGGACTTGAAATTTGACAGTGAAGCCAGCCTCAGTCACGCTTACAAAATTGGGGGTACGAGTGTTGAGAAGCAAACTTCCGAAGTATGGTTATGGCATCGCTGTCTTGGACATGCTTCATTTGGATATTTACGAAAGATATTTTCTTCCTTATTTTCCCAATTAGATCTCTCCAGTTTTACGTGTGACATCTGTGAACTAGCCAAGAGCCATCGTGTTCTTTTTCCCTTAAGTTCCCATAAAAGTTTGGTTCCTTTTTCTCTTGTTCATTTTGATGTTTGGGGCCCGGCTAAAATTACCACTCCAAGGGTAGCTAGATGGTTTGTCACGTTTATCGATGATTACACTCCCCAATAGAATGGTGTGGCTGAACGAAAGAATAGACATTTATTGGAAGTGGTTCGTGCCTCTCTCTTTGGTGCCAATATGCCTCGGTCTTTTTGGGGAGAAGCCGTCCTCTCTGCAGCATACCTTATCAATCGGATTCCCTCCAGTATCCTCAATTTCCAAACCCCCTTCAAACACTCTACCACCATATCCAAATACCTCCTCCCAAAAACCTAGAACCACGAATTTTTGGATGTGTGGTCTTTGTCCACTTACATGATCACCAACGGAGCAAATTGGATCCTCGTGCCGAAAAGTGTGTTTTTATTGGTTACGCACCTCATCAGAAAGGTTATCGGTGTTATCATCCTCCTAGTCAGAATGTGCATACTTTTATAGATGTTGTGTTCCAGGAACACGATATATATTTTTCAGCCGTACATGAGGAGCATCGCAATGCCAACACATCTCAAATTTCAAGACTTTTTCCTTCAGAATTGTCCCATACTGAAAATGACCGGTCGCATACTGCAAGCGACCGATCGCCAGAGCCTCCGCCTGAAAATGACTGGTCGCTGGAAGCAAGTGACCGGTCACTTGAGACTCTGCCTTAAAGCGACCGGTCGCTGGTTGAAAACGACCGGTCGCCCCCCGAAAATCTGAATATGCTTCAAAATGACCGGTCGCCAGAGGACCACGACAGGTCGTCTCCCTGCTGTCAAACTCAAGAGGAGAACATTGAAGAGTTTTTGCCCGCTCAAGAGAATTCTTGATCTTCAATACCACACCAATCACCTGCTGAGGACGTCATTCAGGTAACATATTTTCCTGAAACTTATAACATTAATGAAATATCCCATGATGATTTAATTTCAGAAGGCACAGAGCCTGCATATCAGATTCCAAAATGGAAGAACCGTGGAAAACCTCCAGTTCATTACGAAGCAGATCTTAATGCAAAAGGAAAATATCTCATCAACAATTATGTATCCATCAGCAAACTATCAGAGTCACGGGTACACTTTGTAAAGCAGTTGGCAGACATACCGATTCCCATCAGTGTCACTGAAGCACTAAACGACTCAAAATGGAAAGAAGCCATGAATGAAGAAATGCGAGCTCTCCAGAAGAATGGCACATGGGAACTCGTGTCATTACCTCATGGAAAAAAGACAGTGGAATGTAGGTGGATTTATATTGTGAAACTCAAAGCAGATGGATCTATTGAAAGATATAAAGCTAGATTGGTGGCGAAAGGGTACACAAAAAGATATGGGATAAACTACCAAGAGACCTTTGCCCCAGTAGCCAAGATTAAAACTATCAGAGTCCTTCTGTCTCTAGCAGCAAATCTAGATTGACCATTATATCAGTTTGATGTCAAAAATGCTTTCTTACATGGAGACTTGGAAGAAGAAGTATATATGGATTTGCCACCAGGATGTAACTTAGCTCGTGACAAGGAGAATCAAGTTTGCAAACTCAGAAAGTCATTATATGGGTTAAAGCAATTCCCCAGGGCATGATTTGGCAGATTCACTAAATCCATGATGAATTTTGGATATATACAGAGTAATGCATATCACACTTTGTTCTTGAAGCGTGATGGAAGAAGACTTACTGCATTGATTGTTTATGTGGATGACATAGTTGTAACTGGAAACGACACAGGAAAGCAATTGAAACTGCAGAAGTATTTGTCTCAGGAATTTGAGATAAGGGTTTAGAGACAAAACAACTTCTCTTCACTCCCCCTTTCCCCCTAAAAAGAAGGGGTCGTCAAAGTAAAGAGATATGCAGTATCTTCGTGGGAATACGTCAAGGTAACCTGGCTCTGATACCATGCTAGAATATTAATATGGTTTGAATGTATTAAGTTTTGTTTTATTCTTCTCCATAAGGAGATATATATATATATATATATATATGAGTTTACATGAGGGTCTTACAATGAATTAGATATAATAAAGAATTAGGAAAGTATCTCCTAATTGTACAATGATTTATCACTTATATAAAAAATAGGAAAGTAAATCCCTTAATTAATCAAGGAAGTAAATCTCCTTAATTAATTAGGAGAATCACGTCAACAAGATGAACACTTATCAAACAGATCTTTTCCTCTCATCTATCTAACTCTAATATCAATGTGCATACACCTGAGGAGGTAGAAAGGGGAAGATCATAGAAGAAGTATACTTGACCAAGAAAAGAGGAAGAAATGAAGAGGGAAAAGTTTGGCGGCCAAAAGGGTGCGTGGAGACACAAAATGATACCAAACCGTATCCTAAAAGCCACATTTCAGCTGTCTAAGATCTAAATCTGATTATGGAGGAATATACACCCAATCTTTTGCGGGCCACACCAATATACACTTCTATACTTTCACCAGACAACCAAGAAGAAGTTTCCTCCACCGTACGCGCCAAATTTCCAACAATAAATTGGGCGAAAATTATTTATAATGCTTACGTTCTTAAAAATTGAGTGGAAATACATGTTATGTTTTAGATCACATACTACTCATCCTTTCACCTGCTCCGTTATCTAAGTTTTTCTCCATCAAGACAAGTAGCAATAGTTTTTTTAATTTGTTCTCATTGCGATCAACTTATTGCATCAAGCATGTATGTTGCACGAACATATGTTATTACAACTATAGTTATATTTAGCATTTTAGAAATTTGATACTGTTTTACATGCTATTGGTATTCTACTTTTAAAAAATTTAATGTTTGGATTACGCATGCTTTTAAAGAAGTTCACTATGTATGTAGCCTCTTACTTAACGTCCCTTGGTTAAGAGTGCTAGACAATTACAATTTGAATACTACCATGGTGTGAATTGTATTATTTTATAAGGTCATATGGGCTTTAGTCGTAAATATTTCGTTCTTTATAAATATTTTGTTTTTATAAAAAACACTTATCAAATGAAATTTACTCACTAACAATTTAATGATAGTTCTCTCTAATATCCAACGAAATGCGTTTTTTATTTATGAACAAAGATGAGATTTTAAATTACTCAAATATACGAGGAGGAAATTTGAACCCGAAAGAAATTATAAATTCGAATTTGTCATCAAACAAAAGAAATATATATATATATATATATATATATTTGTCTAGAATAAAAGAGGCTGTAGCGCGTGGGCAAGAAAGTAAAGTACAGAAAGTGTGGAGCTGTCTCAGACTAAAAATGGATGTTTATTGTCTAGTGGTCCCCACAAGTCCTCCGGTCAGCCGCGGACTCTGTCGGCTTACGTGGCGGTGAGCCAAAATGCCCTGGGGTAGCCGAGGCACGTGACTTGGCTCCCACTTTGTCGACTTGTCCCTTCAACCCACAACCTCTTTCTTACCTTTGGGTAGTCCCACTTCTTTTCTATTTTCTATTTTTTTTTCGCCACAGGCTTTAAAACTTGCCATTTGTCTGTTTTATATTTTCTTTTTCTTTTTGTACCCTGCTATTTCTGCTTTCTCCTTTCTCATTAGAAATATATATATATTGTACAAGACAGTTTGGCTTTCGGCATGGAGAATATATTTTAAAATATAATATTTGAGTAGAGCTATAAAACTCAATCCAAGATATAAGATGAATGAAGTTCACAATTTTCTCAAGGGAAAATGAGAAATTTCTATAAACATAAATTACATACATACTTAATAATTAATATCAAATGAATCAAGATATATGTGTGTAAAGCGATCCATGGGTGAGTTGTTAGTCTAGAAGAAATAGTCTTCCCTGCCTAACATTTTTTTGCATGTTAAATTTCTAGTTGATGTCTGCATTAAAATATGTGTGCGCACTTTTATAGGTAAAAAGTCATTTTTTGTTCTTATAATTTGGTGGTTTTACCATTTTAGTCCGCGTAGTTTAATTTGTTAATTTTATCTATGTAGTTTTGAATCCGAGCAATTTAAGAACAAGTTACAAATTCTGTCAAAATCATTCCAATTTCGTTATAAATTATGTCAAATCCTATACTCAAAACGTAATGGAATTGGAAGGAATTTAACATAATTTGTAACGTGTCATTGAATTGCTTGAATTTAAAATTATGGGGCTAAAATTGAAACTATGAATATCAAAATAGTAAAACCGGCCAACTACAGAAACTAAATGTGACTTTCTCTGTTAGTTTGATCAATATGAACCCCATGACCATGACCATAATCAGTTAAGTTGTGATTTATGGTACTGATCAAGAATATATGCCATTACTGATTTATCACCCAAAAAAACTACACCACCAATTAATGAGATAACCATAATTATGTGTCGAACCCATTACAAAATTGATTGTCTTTGCATTCACGAGTCGAAATGAGAGACTTATTCCAACCAAATGAAAACAGCTCCACCTTGTTGTGAGTTAATTGAATTCATAGAGAGAGATGAGAGAAAACCCAAGAGAGAACCCTTAGCCACCACCCCCATGCTTTTTGTCCTCTCTTCTTCTCTTTTTCCTTCCCTTTCCACATCCTCCCCTTCCCATCCTCTTTGCTTTCGTCTCCCGCATCATCTCGCTCTTTGTTTCATTAGCTCGTTTATGGTTTAATTCTGTAGTAGATATATGCAAATCTATCATTTTTGGGTGTATCTTCTCTATTTGGCGAGGAGGAAAGCTGATTGGTGCAGATCTTTTCTCTCTGGGAGCTTTCAGACATTGGGTTGGCTTTGTGACAATGGGGTTGCAATCCGACTAATTTAGTTTCTTTATTTTTGAAATAAGTCCCATAAACTAAACTATCTTTGGATTTTTTTTGTGCCTAGTTTTCACTTCTTCTTTTGAGAAATTTTCACCTTTCTTGTGTGAGAGTTTTTCACCTCTCTTGTTCTGGCTTGGTTTTGACAAGCTTTTTTTAAAAATTTTAAAAAAAAAAAAATTTTTAATATTTTTTTTTAAATTTTTTTTTATAAATTGTTATGAGTTTGCAATCTTAGTTAGGATGCTTATGTAGGAGTTTCTTCAATAATGCGTGATCGTTAGTGGAGGCGCACCGAATTATCTTAATGTTGATGTTAAATCTCTCTGTAATTATAATAGTCATTTGTAATTAGTGCCTTTTTTTATGAATACAATTTCAAATTTTCTATTAAAAAAATAACAAATAAAAAAAACATTCTTGTGAGTTACAATGACTCTACGTTTTCCTTTGATGAGCAGTGTGACCTTTTCTTGTAGTAAGTGAAGTATTCTTTTGTTAGAAAAAAACAAACAATGTTTAATCCTTCTATAATAGAATGCTACAATTTAAAATTGGAAATGTTATTCCTTCCTATTATCGAAATTGTTAGAGTCAAAACAAGTATAGGAGAATTTTTGTCATGCATGGAATAAATAATTCCTCCATTTTCACATAAGACAAACATTTTTTCTTGGAAAATCTCATAGAAATATTGATTTCTCACAAGTGTTGGAGTTTTAAATCCACAAGCGCATATGTGTTTAATTGTCTTGTGCACACCTCTCTAAATCTATGAACTCCATAAGAAATTGAAACCAATTTCAGATCTCACTTTTCTTTAAAAAATAAGAAAAAAACAATGCAATTCAACGGCCAATATTAGAAGTATGTAACCAATCTTTAACATAAAATACTTATTCGAAAATAAAATAATAATTAATTAATAAGGCAGAAAAGTTATTTAGATGGTAAATAAACTTGGTTTTTAACTTTTTACAGTGCAAAGTAAGTAACCCAACAATTGTTAGTAAATTGTAAGAAAATTACACGTAGGGGCAAACTATATATTGCAACATTGACTTACTTGTTTGTACCTTTCTTTCCTAAACAATCAATTGATTAGACCATCTCTACCAAAAAACAAATTCTTGAGAAGTGGTCCCCCTAATTCCATAATTTTTAATGATAATTAAGTTGTTCTAATTATAATAATCAATATGCTTTCCCTTTCTTGTTATTTTTCTCAGCTTTACTGGGAAGGCCCACCATCCACTGTCAGTGCATCTCTCTTTAGGTCTCACCTTTCTAAAACAAGGTTTTGTGCCCTTTGTCTTCCCAATAGTAGACAGCACATAAGGAGAAATAAGAACAGAATAATGCTTTTTGCTTGTAAAAAGACTCAACCTTTAGTTTTTAACCTTTGCTTTTTATACTTTAAGCAAAGCTAAGAGACACCTAAGCTCAAATTAATAGTGATCCCTACTCCTTAGTTTGAGCAGAATAATTGTAATTTAGGTCTAGGATTATGCAACAATTTCAATTAAAAAGAAGTGGTATTTGCTAACCACATATTTGAATCTTTGCCCATTACCTAAACAGACACTTTGAGAATGGTATTTCTCGATCTTACTTTCTTACTCAAACTGCATTTTCTTAACAAAAAAAGAAATGTCGCATTAACAACCATACAACCTAAAATTAACGAAAAGAGAGAAGGAAAGTGTTATTCTCATTTTTAATCTGTCATCTTACGCTATATTTGTATTATTTAAAATTACAAGTTATTAAACTTAGATTGCAGAATGAAAAACTAGGACTGTGAATAACAGCTCAAAAACAAAAAAAATTGAGTAAATAATTTGTTTGATTAGATTAAAAAAAAAGGGGGTACCTACTTATGAGGCCTATGCTGCCTATAATAATACTTAATCAGTAAAAGCAATTGACATCCCAAGAACTAGCACTGTTACCTGCATAATTTTTCTGTATATGCAACTAGAATCCCAATTTTCCTCATTGTCCAAATTAAAAGGTCCGACAAGCCAAAGTTTAATATTATCATTAACCATCATACCAAGACCAAAAAGTTAAAAATACCATCATACTAGCTAGGAACTTGTATCATTTCCAACCTCTCATCATACCACCACACTATTATTTTAATTATTCCCATTAATTCTTTCTTCTAAACCTTATCATGCCCACACAAATGACCATCAAAGCAAAAGATAATCTTTGTAATTAGAGGAACACAGCAACCTAACAGCTCCAATTTGTATATGCTTCAACATAAAATTTTATAATATGATTCTCTCTATCTATACTTTTTGTATTATAAACAAGGTAGTCTTTATAATTTTTTTTATACTACTTGCCTCTTTATCCTTTATACGAATTACAGTTTGACATATATGCAAAAATAATTCATCAAAAAATAAAAAGAAATTTTTTATTAAAATGTCATGAAATTTGAAAAAATGTCATGAAATTTTTTATTACAGTTTGAAAAAAAATTTCCTCACATACACTACTAAAATGTTATGAAATTTGAACATAAGATTACTGATTTGTAAGTCAAAGTCTTTTTTAAAGGGCTAGACTGGTTGGCTCTTTATAAAATATAAATAAAAAAGCCAAATTAGAAAACAATCAATTTTGTTTCTTTTAGTACAACACCAAGACCCAACAGAGAGAAACAGATTCTTGAAAGATATGAATGATGTCAAGGAAAAATGAGGGTGGGTGGTGAGAGTGCAAGGCGCACTAGCAGACATATGGGCCCCATCATCATCACTCTCTCCACCACCTCTTCAACCTACCCCTCCTTCCCCTCCCTCTTTGCTCTGCTTTTGCCTTTGCATTCTTCCCCTTCTTCCTTTGTGGTCCATCTATTATACACAACTCTCAAACAAGCAAAACAAACAAACAAATTCCTACAACTCTCAAACTCCCAGTCTTCTCTCTCAAACCCACAATTTCTTCAACCTTAATTTCTTTGACCTCTTCAAAATCTTCAACCTTTTCTCCCGTCTCTCTCTTGATCAATTCATGGAAGGCACACTTGGGTTACTTGGTGGTGGTGGTGGTGGGTCTTCCGGGGGCTCATCAAATGAGTCAGCAATGTCAAAGGTGGAGGTGGTGGAGCAAGACTACGTGGGGATGTCATCTGAGGCAACCTCATACCCAGCTGAGGCAGAGCTTGAGCTGGGCCTGGGCCTTGGCCTGAGCCTTGGTGGTGGTGGAGGTGGTGGTGCAGGGAAGCAGCCAAAGCCATGTGCATGGGGTGAGCGTGGTAGAATCTTGACTGCTAAAGACTTCCCTTCCATGGTGGGCTCTGCAGTCCCTTCTTCTAGGTTCTCTCACAGACCCAATGCTTCTTCTGCTGTTGCTGTTTCTGGGACTAAGAGAGCTGCTGACTCTGTTTCTCAAGAGGGTGGCTCTCCCACTGCTGTAAGGTGAGGCTATTCATGGAAAGCAAGCTCTTTATATATATATATATATATATATATATATAAATATATATATATTTATTTATTCATAAAAAAGTATAAATTTTTACTCTTATATTCTTGTGTTTGACTGCTGAGAAAACTGAGAAATTGCACGTTCTCTTCTTGTTTTTGTGTCCATTCCAGGAAAATATAAAACTTAAGAAAAACCAAGTAGCTGTGTTCGCTTGGCTTATTTTATGCCCTCTTAAGAAAAATTTAAAAGAATTTTTTTAATAACAATTTTCTGTTTCATTTATTTATTTTCTTTTTCTTGATTAATATTGGTCTATTATTATCAGTCTGTAATCTTTTTCATATTGCATCTAGTTCTTAATCTGTTTTTGACTATTGAATTATAGAAAAAAGAACTATAATCTTTCACTCTCTTTATCTAGTCCTAAATATTTTATTTAAATTTATTGTGTTTTATATGCCATTAAGTTGTAGTATTATACTCTGTTGAATGCCCACAATGTATTTTATCAGAAAGTTCTGGAAAAAAAAACAGAGAATGTGTTGTTTATTCTGACAATTAAGGTTATGAATGCTCTGTATCTCTGGTTTTGTATTTTGGATCATTGATGGTTGTATTTTGTGTTATGAAAGCAGTCAAGTTGTGGGATGGCCACCTATTAGTGCTGCAAGGTTGAATAGCTTGGTTAACCAAGCAAAGACTGCAAGGGCTGAAGATGACAAGGAAGACGAGGAAAAATCTAAGGACACTTCTAAGAAGAAGATTAACATGGGTAATAAGACTACTGCTAAAGAGAAAGGGCGTCTCGGATTTGTGAAGGTGAACATGGATGGAATTCCTATAGGGAGGAAAGTGGATATGAATGCTCACTCTTGCTATGAGACTTTAGCTCAAACACTGGAGGACATGTTTTTCAGCCCCACTACAGCTATTGGTTAGTTCTCTTTCTTTGATTTTGGTACCTTTGGCACATTTGAAATGAGGACTTTAACTCAAAAGAATGGAGGCTCTCTGTTTTATTTCATGTTATGATCATCAATTGGTCAGTTTTGATGCACTGTGTATGTGATGTTACTACTATTGTATGACAATGGTTTTGTGCTCATGTCAGGTGGAGACAAGGAACAAGCAACAAAACCCTCTAAACTTCTGGATGGATCCTCTGAGTTTGTACTCACTTATGAAGATAAAGAAGGAGATTGGATGCTTGTAGGAGATGTGCCTTGGGGGTATGCTTCTACCTCTAATTATTAGTTTTGTTAAAAAAAAGAAAACGGGATGGTGAACCTAAAAAAATAAAGAGAGCAATGTACTTTGTAACATCAAATTTGACATTCCCGGAGTTTCCTTCTGTTACTTTCTAGTAAATAATGCTGACAGTATGTTTGCTATTTTTATGGTATATAGGATGTTCATCAGCTCAGTGAAAAGGCTTCGTATCATGAGGACCTCTGAGGCTAATGGACTTGGTATGCATTTAAAATCTTCAAGCCTATATATAGCTTTCCAATTTCAGTTTGTTAGTTTATCGCATTCGTACGAGACTATGAGGACCTCTGTCTAATCCTGATTAATCATTTATTTACAGCTCCAAGATTTCAAGAAAGCAGTGAGAGACAAAGAAACAAACCTATCTAGAATAGGTGCTGCTACCCGATTATTTTTAAGTCTGGTAAGATGAAGGAAACCTACAGTTTGACAACAGAAGGAAGTAGAAATTTGATGAGACAGAGTGTGAAGATCGGCTTCCACTGGGCTTTGCTTGCTTTTCTTTCAAAACCATTCTCTGGTTCTTGCTGGTTTTTTTTCTTCTTTTTTTCTTCTGGTAGGCCATATTGTTTTTTAGGTTTTACAGCCTCTTACATAGTGCTAGCATACAGGCCTGCATACTCGGCTACATATGCTGCTTTCTCATACTGTAAATATGGGAGCACTTCATATCTAGAGTGTTGAGTTTGCTTCAATCTAGTGGACTCGTTTTTCTTGGTGATAGAAGAAAAGCTTGTATGGTTTTTGTTATTTATTAATTATTTTGGTTGTGTTGATTAGCAATATATTTATTTATTTGTACTTCAGCCTCAAGTTTTAACTTGACTTTTGAATCATGGTACAACAATTATACTAAATTGGTAGCATAATAACTCAATTCTGAAAATATGTATGCATTTTCTATTGGTGGTGGCTGTGGTTTTGTATTCACAACAATTGCCTGCTCTTGCTAACTGGTACAACTGACAACAATGGAGGGGACCCCAATCTTCTGCGTGTTCGTAATAATTTTTTCTCTGGGGTCCGTACTGTCATTATTCTAAGAGCTCTAGGCTGTAGAAGAAATTACCTTAGTCAATTGGATTAAAGCTTGTGTCCCCATACCTTGTTGCGACTCTGCTGTGAAATTTTTATCTAACGTCATGATGGTAAAATCAGATATTACTTGGCAGAAACTCTCAAGACTCGTACAACTGATAATAAGTTTATAACTAAACAATTCTCCTAAGTCCCAAGTGGTGAAGATGCACTAAACTTGTTATAATGGGTGTACACTGCCATGTCTTCTTGTAATTGGTGTACACTGTGATGTCATCTGGTGTTATCGTCGGAAACAAAATTTCTCTACATAAACCTCCAAACTTTTATTGATCGGCATCAAGGCCTTTTGTTTTGTTCTGTATTTTTCTCAACAAAGTTGTTCTTTGTAGAGGGTAAAAATTATGCAATCATTTAGTTTTTGACCTCAGATTACTACCCAATGAGTTGATGGAAACTGGACAGTGGTGGTCCTACTCTACCATAATTACCTTCTTTTAAGTAATTTGTGGGACAACTGTATCTTATTAATGCTCACAGTCATGCTAGTCTCTGTTCAACTTTCTGATCTGACTTGCATGCTTTTTCTTGCTGGTTTCCATTCCATATCTTTGATGAAGGAAAAACCCATAAACTTCATTGGCAGAAAGTTACAACTGAGAATGGCTAATTGACTCTGCCAGTTTCAACCTTTTCTCAATTTGAACAGTAATTGAATGACTGAGCCATCATTAAAGCTCTTCTTGAATTTTTATTTTTTGTTTGGGTCTGAATTTAAAGCTCTTCTTCACTTTCACCAAAACTTGCTGAGCATGCAGCCTCAAGAAGAACACTTATAATTGCTTTGGAACCCAACAGCTGGAAAGCTTTAATTTATTACCATTTCCCCTTTCTGGGTTGCACTGTAAAGTGATCCTAGGAAGCCCTTAATGGGTGGAGAAAAAAGACAGTCACAAGTGATGAGCTTTAATGCCATACAGGGCACACAGTGGCCAATTTTAGATCAAGACTATGACCCAGCAAGAGTTTGTGGTGGGGTTTCGTATATTGATTATGGCTGAGAGACTTCTGTTTGATTGTGACAATTGTTTGGTTCTTGGATTCATTTGTGCAGACATTTTGGCATGTGTTCTGCTAATTGATTACTGTGTAAATTAAAAAAAACTTTTAACTTTTATAAAATGTTCTTCATTTTTTTCAATTATATTTGAGAGAGATGTTTTAAACTTGGTATTTCCTCAGGACCCTCCCCCAAGTATTGTACATTTATTATGCAGGAAGTGATCCTCACCATGATGCATGATGCATAAAAAGTTACTGAAAATAGAAATAGCAACAATAGTGTTTGTTTGGTGCATTTCAAAATTCAATGAGAGAATAAATGCTTTGGTCTAGTAAAAACAAGTTCAAGATAAATAGTTTTAATAAAAGAAAACAGAACAAAGCCAACGGGGTCTCACTCAGTGAAAGAGGGCCTTGCCTTGACTTGCATACCACAGGTCTCAAGTTCGAATCCCCACAACATTATAGTTGTGTGTGTGTGTGTGTGTGAGAGAGAAATCTCCCTCTTCTCTAGTTTAGATTATGAAGAAAACAAAATAACTTTGAGAAATGAAAAGCATATGCAACCAAAGTTCAGATTTATGATGCTTTCCAAGTCCTCTGAAGTATATGGAGAAGCAAGATTCGACCTGGGAATTGAAGTTGCTGTCGACAATCCCTTTCCAAGAGTAACATAAGAAGAACAAAGGAACAGACAAAAGTTTGGTCTACCAAGTTATAAGCAATATATATGTCAAAAGTGATGGGGGTTACCCAAGTTGCAGTTCTATTTTTCAGGTTTCTTTTTGTTTTGCTGGAGAAAATTGTGGACATTGTCATACCAATTTGTCTGAAAACTCTTAAACCAGTGTAAGGGCTCGTTTGGGAGTGCTTCTTTCCGAAGCGCTTATGCCAGTAGCGCTTATGTTAGTAGCACTTATGACATAAGTGCTTCTACAAAGAAGCAGTTGTCGTTTGGATGTCACATTTAAAAGTACTTTTATACTACATAAAAGTGCTTTTGATATTTTGTTGAGTGTTTGGTTGACAAAGTAAAAGCGCTTTATAGTAATGGCAACCCTTCCCAATATAATCTCTCACAAAGCCATATATGTTTTCCATTAATGCATCTGTCTTTTTCCTTTTCATTCAATTTCAATCAAAATATATGGAAAGTATATATGTGCTGAAATTTGAAAGTAGTGAGCGACGGAGGCAACAAACAGACAAACAAGCCATAAATTTAAGCAAAAGGGAAAACACCATGACAGTGTGAAAAGCTCTGTCTTTTGTCTCTCTATCTGTATGAAAAGCTCAAGTGGGTTCTATCTTTTTGGGTTGCTTGCTCCTTTCTCTTTCTTTCCTTCTTTTCTGTCTTGGGTTGTTGTGTTTTTAGTATATTTCAAGGCTGAAGAAGCTAAACTGAAGCTGTTTATTGATGGGAAGATAATAGATGCAAGCAGATATGATCACAACGTTTTTCAAGGCTTTGTGTTTATATAGGGAGTTTTCTTTTGGGATTTTTTCAAAGTTCTGGCTTAGTCTGGAATTTTGGGAACTTGTAAGGGTGGAAAAAGGTCTGAGAAGAAGAAGGCAGAAGAAGAAGAAGGGTGTTGCTAAAGGGTGCTAAGTCTGAAGCTTCGTTGCCGACCAGAGTTAACAGTGTGTGTGAGAGAGATGGAATAGAAGCTGTGTTTTTGTCTAATAAGTTTTGGCGTCTGTTGGGCTTTTCGCGGGTAGCGTTTTAATTTTAATAGGAGAGAAAAAGATAGAGAGAAAAAAAAAAAAAAAAGATTAAAAAAAAAAATATGGGTATTCTCGGCATTTTAAAAGTTTCATTAAAGGGAGCCAAGTGCTTCCCGTGTTTTTGTCCTGCAGTGCTTTTAAGAAGAAGCACCTCTCAAGTGCTTCTTCCAAAACCACTCCAGTGCTTTTGGATCTCACCCAAAGCGCTTTTGCAATTTTTGCCAAACACTATTTTTAAAATATATAAGCGCTTTCACCCATTTAGAAGCGCTTTTCGCTGCTCCAAAAACACTCCCAAACGAGCCCTAAATCTAATGCAGACCACAAAAATAAAGTGTAGCATTCTTTTATGACAGCTGGGACACCAACTTCTATGCTCAACAGCAAAATGCACAAAAGAGTTTGTTTAAACCAAAATTTCTATCCTCTGAATTTGAATGAAAACATTTAATGTTGAAACAAATAGATTAAATGCTGCAATAAGCTTTTAACATTTAATGTTGAAACAAATAGATTAAATGCGGCAATAAGCTTTTAAGTTTTTTTTTTTGGGTGCAACAATATGCTTTTAAGTAAAGTGTTATTTCTCCTAATTTAGAAAACAGAGGTCCATGGTTCAAGTTCAACCTGTATTATCGGGGCAGTGCAGAGAGAGTTGCTAGCATTCCGCTGATCTTTTAAGCCAAGCCTCATAATCATTGATTTTAGCTGAAAAATTAGGATTTTCCAGCTGAACCAAGCAATCGGAAATACCCACGGGCGGAAGCCCCCACATTGGGTCTGGTTTTGCAATTTTTATGTTACAGGACGAAGAAATAGCAAATTGCTTATTAAGACGGGTTGAACCCGCAATCACACTCAACCTGTTAAGCACCCCTCTTTTGCTGAAAGTTAAGAACTTGAACGAAGAAAAAAAAACCCACATGATTTCGGTCTTCGAATTGAGAAACTTTCACTATTATGGTGTATCTTGCATTTCTATGTAACATACAATAAATTCTTGAATAGAACAGATATACAATGCCTCTCTTACAATAACAGGTCCAACCAGCACACGAGGGATGGATTTGAGATGGATGTTGTATACATTCGATGTATGTGAGCATTTTCCGTACAACTTAAAGATGACTTCTAAAATTAGGATAAAGTCAAATTAGAACAAATTTCATGCAAGCAGAGGTCACCAAAAGTTGTCCAGTGATGTTCACTTGGACACCCCCTTTATTTTCTGGTCATAAAACATTCTAGCATTCGTACTAACAATTACACACATAAATACATATGGCACTGACCTGTTAATCACACAGCATACAAAACCCTTGGGAATGGTTTCCCATTATTCCTTAATCTCCGCTACCTAATAACTTATAGTGGCAAGAATACAAAGCAAACACACTGATCAAATTTATGATGATATCAATTGCCTACTGCAAAAACTCTCTCGGGTCGGTGACATAACCGGTCAAAGCAGATGCAGCAGCCGTGTAGGGGGAAGCAAGATATATCTCGCCTTCCTTGTGGCCCATTCGGCCAGGGAAGTTCCTGTTTGTTGTTGAGACACATACCTGCAAAGACAAAATGGTATAATGTACCACAGAAATAAAGAAAAAAAATAGTTATCAAAACGAAGATATTTTCCTTGTTCATATAAAGTGGCACCCAATAATAGTAGGCTAGTAGCACTGAGAAGTGGATGTTCCAATATCCAAAAACATATTTTTTGGAGTTGCTTAATCCAAATTCATTTTTCCTTAAACATGAGGGCATGACCATTGCGAATGTGTTGCAGGTTAAGGAATAGACTTGCCTTAGGTTCATTCAAGCGAGCATAGGTGTCTTTAGGACCACCTAAGCAAGCACCGCAACTGGGACTCGCAGGCGTGTCACATCCAGCTTCCTCAAATATCTGTGAGCAAGTCTTGCCACCAGATCCTGGTACTGGAAGACTATACACGTCCATCCAAACCTACAGATTTTAGCATATGCAAAATATAAGATTTTATCATCATGTATTTCATAGATTCCTTCATAAATTTATACTACAGACGTTGTCGCCTAAGCACTTAATTCTGTAGCATGACAAACCTTTTGGGTAGCAGGCACAAGAAATGTTGGCACTTTGACCTTTTTGCCCTGCAGTAAAGCAATTAGATCTTTAAAGCTAAAACCAAGAAACAAGAAAATTTCCCAGAAAATCAAATAAAAACTTGGATGTGGAACAGTAGAAGGATCTACAATACAAACATGCACTCACTACCAAAAGCAAGTGCTAGAAACGACAAATAAAAACATCGAATAAAAAAATCCAAACTGTACCAGCAGACCATAACCCACATAATGGTGAAATTTAATAATGATAAAGAAAATACAGGTTGACTGCATTAATTTTGATTAGCAAAACGCATGTGATTTACAAATTGCAAATCATCAACAATACATAACTACACTTATATGCATGCATTTGATAACAAAACAATCGGATGCTTATCAAAGTCAGCACATGCTAACAATATTAAAATTCTTGTGCTATAGAGATTTGACTCCTTACTGATGCTAGAAAAACTTTAGCTGCAGCCATAAAATCCTCTGTTTTTCCACCAGTACAAGAACCAATATATACTCTGTCAATTTTCACATCTTTGCATTCTCTTGCCAAAGCACGATTATCAGGAGAATGAGGCTGCAAAATAATTAAAAAACATTAGTAGGACAAGTGAGGAAAAATTAGCAACCTTTGAAGATCTAAAACAGAGACTAAACATTATGAGATTAATCTATGTGCTACTCACCTTTGCCACCAATGGCTCTAGTTTTGAGATATCAAATCTGTACTCAGACAGAAATCTAGATGCAAACAAAACAAACTTATTAATACAAATGAATTTCCAAATATCATGATTATTAAGGACCAAAATAAAGTATTCATTTTAACATTAATACAAGGGATACAAAAGGCCAGCATGAATTATTCATTTTAACATTCAATTTTCTTAAATCTGACAAAAATTTACAAATGATAAGGTTACTAGCCAGTGATACAATCTGAACTAAGCTACAATGGTAAATGACCACATAGTACTTAAATATGGCATTTAAATATGTATATTTTCAAAAAGAAGACTGCAGAATGATATCTGGTTATTCTAGCATAGAATTAGAACCTCAAAATCCCAGTAAAATCATATTCTGAAAAGCTGACTTCATAATACTGGTAAATCTTGAAGGTACTTAAAAATGCATTAACCATAAAACTAAACAGAAAATTTTAGAGTGCATGTCTACATTGAATGCAAATACATGCTTCAGATTTCAAAGTTATTACACAACAGAAGTATCACATTATAAGCTGGATCATGAAACGGAATAATAAAATGTGGGTATTTAATAGCATAAACTACCTTGCTTTGTCATCACTGTATACAGGTTCATAGGGTACAGAAGTCTTATCCTGCAATTCAACATATAATATTATACAGGTTGTGCTAGACAACACAAATGTATGTGACAGGAAAAAAAAGAACAAGATCTGTTGCAAAACCACCACGAAAAAGTAACCTCTGTAACAAGATAAAAGCAAAACCCCATGCATGGCTCTAATGTAAGGCTTGCTCCCAACCCCATTCTACTGATTCTAAACTCAGCCTTGGGCCTGCTGCCATAAGGCATACCATTGTGTGCATGAGAGAGAGAGAGAGAGAGAGAGAGAGAGAGAGAGAGAGAGAGAGAGAGAGAGAGAGCTATCATAGCATTTGATGATTTGTAGCACTAACCTCAAGGTACTTATATGTGGTGCTATCAGCAGGAACAATACCATTTTTACCCCCCAGCCTCAACAACCATGTTGCATAATGTCATCCTTTCTTCCATCTGTCGAGCACAGGTTCATTAAAGAGTAATTAACAACTGCAACCAGATGAATCATGTCATCATACATGCATTCAGTGAGACCTTTAAATTTCACTTACAGATAAGCTTTCAACAGTGCTGCCAACAAACTCCATAGCTTTATATGTTGCCCCAGAAACAGATATTTCACCAATAATCTGCCAGATGAAAATCATTTATCAGGGCAACAACAGGAAGACTGGTTGTGTTCATCAAGTTATAGATCAAACAACTGAAAATCATAAGCTCTATCGAACTGATATATTATAACTTTTCAGTATGTCATGAACAATGAACGGAAACAAATGCCTTTAGACTTGGTTAAACTTACTTGCAGAATCAAATCTTTGGCAAGCAAATAGTCAGGCATTTCACCATCCATCACAAATCTCAATGTTGGAGGTACCTGCAATTTAAAGAAGGCAATCAGAAAAGTAAAAAAACACAACACAATTTATTGACCACAACAGAAATTATGAGTTTAAAGATTTAACTACCTAGATCACACACAGCTCATACAGGAATGACAAACACATTTAGCTTTTAGAAAAGCACCATTTCCTTTTTGCTCTCCATAGTTTGTGGATTCCTGACCTGTTTTTTACGTGTCTAACAACTTCTACTGTGTGCTTTTGACTTTTTGAAAATTGAGAAACCCAAGCGAGGAGCATACCCCATTCTCAAATATTAGAAACTGAACATGCCTACGATAACAGAAATAATATTCTAAGAAGTCCACCTAGACTATTTAATCTAGGGTTTATGGCACAAGTGAGATACTAGTGCTTACTTGACATGAATTTAGCATAACAAACACATGCTACTAGAGTCAGTTCTTTGATACTGCATGTATGTACCCGGCTCAGGCAATTTTAGTTACTTCTAGCCAAACACAACCATCCAAAAATGTCTAAATCAAATCCTTTCAAGTGCCCTATCATCACCTTCATGGCCACAAATAAAAAAAAGCAGAATGATGGCATAATAGTTCTGAAAACTTATAGATACACACCTTTGGACGTCAGCCTACACACCATTCATTTAAATAACATGCAGCTTATTTAATCCTATTGTTTGTCACCACCTACTATCCGAAGCACATTTTATATTGCTTTCTTATCACTTATTCTGACATAATTTAGTAAAATTACGAATTTGTACAGCTACATACATAGTTTCTGATGTTTCAAGTCAAATACTAGTTGTCAAAAATTGATGTTTCTATCAATACATGTAACATTAACACATGGGGCATCACGTAGATGACATGTTCATATCCAGAACAGAAATATTTATGCACATACCAATGTCGATCATTAACTGAATCACTACCCCCTCAAACAATTTGTACATGTCATTATTCATACCAAAACCAAAGACATAATCCAATGTACAAGCCGAAATATCTGTACCATTATAACAATGTTGATGATTCATTAGCCCTTCATTTATTACACAAACTCAGACACTAATTATAAATTATTCTAAAATCATCACCAATTGCACATAAGGTAAGAAATAACTCCCAAACCATTAGTGTCACAAGATCAGCAAATAATATCAATGCCTCAGAAAATTTTGATAGCTGTGAAACACAATATGAAAGCTAAACAGGGAGAATGGGAGCCATATTAACCAATATTATATTAATGGAAGTCAAAATATCCGTGGAATTACACCATTTGCATGATATCTTCTGGTCAGTGATAATTATATGTGATTGGGAAAGTATAAATGAAAACAAATCTGAAACATCTGCAAACCTTGAGCAGGAGCTTCCCAGTGCCCAACACAAAACCTGCATCAGTGTTCCCGATTCCAGTAGCAAATTGTCCAAAAGCTCCCGCAGTACAGGTGTGAGAATCTGTACCCAGTAGGACCTGAAGGCAATATAAAGTGTTTGATTGCTGTTTTTTGGATTCTAAAGCCATAAAATAGTAGTGAACTCTGCAAAATGAAAGTACCTCTCCAGGCCTGCAATGGCCTTCTTGAGCAAGAGCAACATGGCACACACCCTTATAATCAGGGTTAGCCTGCAAAAATGTGAGTTAAACTCAATATCTGAAAATAAAAGCAAATAAACCATAAGAAACAATACGACTTCAGAGCCAAACCTTAAAATTACTCAGATCCTTGATATCATAGAAGTACTTGATGTTTTGTTCTGTGCAGAAATCCCTCAAAATATCCACATTACGATTCGCACGTTCATCACTTGTAAATATATAATGGTCAGGTATAATTACAATCTTTTCACGGTCCCAAACCTGTAATGTCAAAACGATGATGCAATATTTATCCCCCAAGAAAACATAAATAATGCAGCGATTACAAATTTCAGATATGGAAAATAGACATTATTAACAGTAAAAATACACACAGCAAGACAGAGCTGAAGATGTAAGCTTAAAAAAACCAAATATACGCCATCAAGCTATGAGTCAGGCAAATAAAATCCATCAACCAATTATCGGGGCATTTGGATCCCTAACACTCAATTCTGCTCCTGAGGGAAGCACCACAAGGATTTAGCCAACTCTACTCTATCTCTTAGTATATAGTTTCCGATAGTTCACCCTCCCCTTTCTTTTGGTGTTTGAATAATATCCGAACTTATTAATCATCAATTTTTTTTCCCTCCACGCCTCCCACAGGAAACTCCTTAATTTATCAACTTTCCTAGCCACCCTATTGGACAATCTTAAAAGGGACATGAAATACATAGGGAGACTACTCAGTATGGGTTGAGTCAAGATAAGTCTCCACATCTAGCAACACAGCCTTCTTCCACTACCTATGTCACATGCCACTCCCTTTGCTAGAGACCTCTGGATCTATCCTTCACATTGATTGCTACCAGCACAACCTTGGGTGTGTTAATCTTTCGGCCTGACATAACTTAAAAGAGTGATATCTGAACAAAATTGGCAAATTTCTCCCCCCTCACTGTCAAGAAAAGAAATGTCATTCGCAAATTGAAGGTGAGATACTTGTTTTCACTCCTTCCCCACTGTGAAACCTTCTATGAAATAACAATTTCTAGCTCTCAACAACAACCTCCTAAAGATCTCAACAAATAATGTAAATAAAACGGGGTAGAGCAACTCCCACCTGTTGTAGCCCCTAAGAAGCTCTAAATCTTCCTCTCGACCTCCCATCTATAATCATTGAAAAGCTAAAGAAGCTAAAGCAATGAATAATTCACAGCACCCACTTCCTGCCAAAACCTATTCTATGTATCTCTGAATGTGATCATTACCATTGCTAGATAAAGAGAGTCACCCTGACTTGATCAATGAACCTATTACGTCTCACTTAAAATTTATGCCAACTCCTTTTCGTTTTTGGTTTGTAAAGCATGTTTAGGAATATGGCTTCTGATTATGCTGCTTCAAGGGCCATCCCGATTTCCTCTCCCTAGTTCAGCTCTTAAAGTTTAAGAGGGAGTTGGGCTGGTGGGTGTTTAATACACTGATGTTTTTGGCAAAAAATGAAGTACCTTGGCGTTCTGGCCGAACTCTTTCTTGAAGATCCCAAAGGAACCAGGGCCACAAACATCATGTGTCATCAAAACATCGACGTTAACCCAAACATTCTCACCAGGGCTCAACTGGGTTTTCTCAGAAGCTCTAGCAAATATCTTCTCAGTCATCGTCATTCCCGTCTTGACCTGAGAATGAATCAAAACCCAATGTAAAAAACAATGAGCTGGAGATTCCCATTAATTCTAACCGCACAAAACAATGAAGAAAAAGGGAAATAAAGATCCTAACCGAGCCAGTAGTGGCAGGTTTGCGCTCTGATTGTTTTGGTGCAGTGACCGAACAGATTGTCTTGGATGTTCTCTTGCATTTCTGACTGGAAAGCGGCGATGCGGAAGAGAAAGCAGAGAGACCCAAATCTTTCTGCGGTTCAAATCAAATTTCAGAAGACATGGTTTAGTGAAACAGGAAAACAAAAGGAAAAAAAAGAGTTCAGACTTAAATGTGAGAACTTTATACGGGTATTGAACAAAAAGAGAATACCTTGTTGCTGATGAAAGAGGTGGATGGTGGAGCAACAGTGGAGCAAGCTGCCATGGATGTGAAATGTGTGGCTATTCGGCAAAACACAGTTTTCTGAAAGGAAGAAAATGAAAAGCAAGTTGGGGTTTTGGTTTTGTGTTTGTTTGTGTTATTGAAACTGAGAGGCGGCGGCTGAGGGCGAGAATTGGTGCACAGTACAGATGACAAGTGGAGGCGTGTGTGCTTTTTTTTAAATTGGCTACTAATTTTAACCTGTTAAAAGTGAATATGTGGAAAAAGCAGGCTACATTCGAGAATTTATCAAAAATAGCCAAAATTTACCCCTTACTCTAAAAAATGTCAGTTTTTATAAAATCTTTCAAATATAGTAAAAAACTCATATAAATAGACACAAATACCCTTAAAAATTAAAACCGACATAAACCTAAAAAGCAAAACTACACACAAAATTTGGATTCGCACGCATGTTTGTAGTCTTTGGTTGAACTACTGCTGAGCACCCACGTCTGTAGCCTTGGTCTGAAGCAATTCCAACACTCCCTAATTCAACTTACCGATTTGTAATCTCATGTTTGCTTTTCTTTCTCTCTCTCCTTCCATCTTTGTTTTAATTCCATGGTTTTCTGTTGGCCACTTGAAATAGTTTATTCAACTTATTAATTTTGTTTGTTGGATTGGATTTGAAGATAAAGAACTTATTAATTGTATTTCTTTTTCGATTTGGATAAATAAAATATTTCCAATTTGGGTCTGCCTGGATCATTGTAAATTAAATTAGGGAGTATTGAGGCTATACAGATGTGTTGCCCATTGATATGGTTATTAAGTTCCTGATCAACTCCCATAGAGACACTCCTCATTTCATGCAATGACGATACTTTGTACAAATGTGATTATATGACCTTTATGTGCGAAAAAAAGAGTTTTTCAATGAGTTGAATATTCAAAACATAATTATTGAATACTAGTGTCTCTAATATAAGTTTTTAAGTTTCTTGGTCCTATTGACGGATATTTCCTCTCAGGTTGCTGTGATAAACACAACAATGACAGCTCTCACAAAGACAGTGGGTGTGTTCCCGAAGTCGTTGATAACAAAGTCTTTGCACATAGATTCAATACTTTGATAACATATCTTTTCATTTATCCTATCTCGACGTCTTTGCACATAGATTAAATACTTAGACATTTTCAAGAGAAATAACGTCACCTAAGAAGGAAGGTGAACAACTTGTTTTATAAGCAAAGCTATAGTTCAAGCTAAAGTACAGACCCTCATGGAGAGATTGTGGACCTTGGCAGCACGGGATCTCTTTGTAGATGTTGATTCTCGGGCCTTTTTTTTTCCATTAGCATGATCTTTCTTTTTAAGTTTATGTGGGTTTTAATTTTTAAAGGCATTTGTGTCTATTTAGGTGAGTTTTTGGCTATATTTGAAAGATTTTATAAAAACTGACATTTTTGAAAGTGGGGGATAAATTTTGGCTATTTTTGATAAATTCCCGCTACATTCCCGGATTTTTCTTTCTTTTATTTATCTATTTTATTTCAATTAGTTTTTTGTTCTTTTTAATCTTATTCAAGGGGTAAAATTAAGTTTTGCGTTGTAAAAAAATACACTCTGTCTATCTATCCGGATTATCACTTTTGTTCGTTCTATTTTGAAAAGGCTTAATATCACAAAATGTCCTTAAAGTTTACAAAACTATCATATTACATGTTTAATGTTTTTTTTTTGTCATTCGTGGTTCTCAAGGTTAGTATGTGTGATTACAAATAGTTTCTGCCGTTATGTTCTGTCAAAAACTCCGTTAGTTTACTGACATGACATATATATCACAAAACATCCATGAGATTCACGCACCTATCACAAATAGTCCCTGCGAAATTTCTTAATTTTTTCATTTAAAATGCATAAAATTTTGGTTTTCTTTTTTAAATCTTATGAATTTTGAATTATTTTTAAAAATTATTTTTTCATCTCCAATAATATAGTGTCATGTGTATTTAAAAAACAACATATATTTTTAAATAATTTAAAATTCATAAAATTTAAAAATGAAAAAACCAGGGGTTTAGGATTCATAAATAGTCCTCAAGGTTAAAATCTTTCTATAAATGGTTTTTTTCATTTTTAAAATTTTATGAATTTTAAATTAATTTTTAAAAACTTCATTAGTTTGTTGATGTGACATATATGCGGAACCCACATCTTCAAAAATATAGTGTCACATGTATTTAAAATACAATATATATTTGTAAATAATTTATAAAAAAAACCAAAATTTTATGAATTTTAAATGAAAAAATATAAAATTTTTGCAAGGACCATTTATGATAGGTGAGTGAACCTCAGGGATGTTTTGTGATAACTAACGGAGTTTTTAACGAAACTTAACGGCATGAATCATTTGTGATCACACATACTAACCTTAAGGACCACGAATGACACCAAAAAACATTAAGGATGCAATCTGACAGTTTCATAAACCTTAGAGATGTTTTGTGATACTAAGCCATTCTGGAAAAATGGGTTTCAAACTTGAGACTTCTTTTAACACTAAAAAATAAATATCATTAAATCTTAATTACTCAGAAATGAATTTAAGCAAAGACATTCTTGAAATACAATAAACCCAAGAAATAAACTCAATAAATGGCTTAGGATTCAAGATCTCATATCAGAAAAAATAGCATATCCTAGAGTGGTTTAAGAGCTCTTGAGTACCGTCAACATGTCTACTCCAGTAGAAAAGGTCATTGACTTGCAAATCAGAGGTCTCAGATTCGAACCCTCATGACATCATAGTTGTGCATGTATGTGTGTGATAAATTATTCTCCCCTCTAATTTAGACTATCGCTTATACTCTACCAAAAAAAAAGTCTAAAACTAATCAAATAATAACCACTTAACATTTTCTGTAATTTGTGTTTTGGACTTTGGAGAGGATTTTACCAGTGGGAATTGGGTGTGGCACGGACTAGGCTAGAGCCTGGCCTGAGAAAAAAAGTATGGGGCTCGCTCTCACAAATGGACCATTAGAATCGTATAATATATATATATATATATATGTATATAGAGAGCTTCCATTGAGGGATCCCTCAAATAAGCTTATTTGAGGGACACCCCTTGTATGGCCCACTCCGGATTATATTTCACTAATCCAAACCGTCTATTTTGTAGAGACACATTCAAAGATCATCTCTATAAAAAATCACTTGAATCTGATATCATTTGACCATTCAATTGAGTTATTGAAATTTTAGTACTTTCTTGAAGCACCGTGTTCATTGATTTTGTAGAACACAATTGAATGTAGAAACAGTTTCCGATTTGTCTAATTTTTTGTAAGGATGATCTATGAATGAAGACCTAAAAAATCAATGGTTTGGATCATTGGAAAAAAAATTGTAGGGTACCCTAAAAGGCGTCCCTCAAATAAAATTATTTGAGGGATCCCTCAATAGAAGGGGACTGTATATATATATATATATATATATATTTATAAATAAATAAAAAATTTGGACCATTAGCATCTGCCGGGTATGATATGAGAATGACAACCCAAAAACATCCTATTTTATTAGCTTTTTTTCTTCTTCCAAAGCAAAACATTTTATAGAACGAGTCATGTTGATAGTCCTTGTATTTGGTTTTGTAATTTACCTTCGTCAAGTTTTTTAAAAGGTATTTATAATGTTCGGAAGCTTGGGTTCCTCAGAGTCAAGAGTCAGGGTAACCTCGTTCTCGTTGCAATTCTCATGTTGTGTTTTTTTTTAAGAACAAGACAGACAAAAAAAAGTGCCTCTTTCTTTGGAGGCCAGGTTGAGGTGCTGCACAAGTGTCGCACTGTGAAATGATTCAAGATGTTCACAAGAGGCAAAAATAACGATAATAATTCGATCAATAAGATTAAAAATTGCGAGCATCTTCAAGTTGCAAGTCTAAACATGAACTCTGTATGATAATCCCACACCAAATCAATAGCTAGTTGATTATTTATGAGAGTGTTAATTTTTTATTTATTATGATATCGTTTTAGTAGGTGAGTTGATAAAGGAAGAGTTTCTAAATTTTTAGGGTGTTTTAATTAGTCAAGGGCTAAAGTAAAATTCACAGTGGGGTCTTATTATTATTATTTTAGAAATTTTGTGATTACAATTATAATTCAGTCAAAAAAATCATTATCCACAAAGTGTCAACATAAACTGACAACAAAATGCGAATATGGATTATTTCATAGATTTCATACCACGATGTCACAAGTTACAACTTTAATTCCAACTGCATGCACACATCCTTGGTGAATTTTGATTTAGAAAAGTAAACAACTATAGTTTAGGAAAAATACCAAGCAGTTGCTATAATTCTCCAAGGAGTTGGTATTTTTCCTAAACTATAGTTGGTATTTTTCCTAAACTATAGTTGGTATAAACAACTATGGTTGATTCAGAATGTCGTTGATATTTTTCCTAAACTAAGGGCCAGTTTGGCATTGCTGTGCTGTGAAAATAATCGCTGTCAGATTTGCTGTGAGAGAAATCAGCTGTGAGAGAAAGCAGTTTGACGTTTGGTAAAATTTTTGTTAAAAATGTTGTTGGGATTGATTTTACGTATAATAAGAAAATGATTGTCGCATAATCATTAAACCCAGCGCCTCTTCGAAACTGATTCCTGTATAATCAGAAAATGAAAGCATCTCATTAGTTGCTTTCCCTTATAGCTTTCTCTCACAGCAATTTTTAACAATAAGTGATTTTCTCACAGTTTACCAAACGGGTTGGGCTTCTCAAAATTTTTTCAAATCACTTATCACCCCAAATAAGCAATGCCAAACTGGTACTAAGCAGTACCTTTATATAGATAGATACATTTTTTATATATATAATAGTATAGCTACACGGCTATACTGTTTTAGACACGTGACGAAGTGGCGCTAGCGCCAGGCATGCCCTCATTTTAAAAGTAAATAAATAGTATAGCCGCGCAACTATAGTTTTAATAAAAAGGGTATAGAGCCTATACGACACGTGGGAATCGGGTGGTCCTTCT